AAGTTAGAGTTATCTCACTTGTCACTGATTGTTCGCCAAATGGATACGCCAATAAGACACGAGTTGCCAGAATTTGTATTTCTATTACTGAAATACTTATAAATATAACTATATGTGTGTAAACTTAACTATGTAGGTATGTTTATATTAAGTAAGCATATTTTCAAATATTCATAAAACGAAAAATAAGTACTTGATAGTGCTGATAGTCTTATATATTTTTTTCATTTCCAATTTATCTGTTTAATTCATTTATCTTACATTTTGTTATATAAATATATTTGTATCCATTAAGTTAGAAAAAAATATCCTTAAGTCCACAACAATATAAGAATGGTTTCTATCAAGGTGGGATACTGAGTAATTTGAGTGATTTTGGTATTTTGATTTTGTTTGTGTTTCGGTTTTGTGTGGTTTCAGGAGGGGGTTATTTCGCCATTGGGGTGGGGGAGGTCTGGAACTTTCTTGGAATTGAATACTTATTAGAAATTCTAATTCTAACATTCTAAGAACAAGACACAGTTTTGCAATGTTTCAAGCTTCTTTTGGGATATTTGGTGGCCCTAAAGAGGGCCATGGTGTTACAAAGCTTCACCGAAGCGACTGTCCGTTTAACGTTTAGCCTTGCGTCGGCGCCTTCTCTTGGGAGCCTTGCGCCTCCCTGCTCTCTTCACCGATCGTCTACGACGACGGCGGCGGCCTGCCCTACGCTTCCTTGAGCGTGTCCTCTTGCGCCGTCTTGAAGTACTCCTCCTGCGGGAGGCCGATCGCCTTCTGCGGGAGGTTGTGCGACGACGACGACGAGAGGCAGACCTCGATCGTCTACGGGACCCCCGTCTTGCCCTCTTGGCAGATCGGGATCGAGAGCGGGATCTCGACTTAGAACGCGCCTTTACACGAGCCATCGTTAAAGCATCCAAGACAGTCACACTGAGATGAATGCCAATCGCCGATGTCGTCGCGGGTTTTATTCACAACGCGCGGACGTTCGAGGAGACACCTAGCAACCGAACGTAGCGACGTCGCAAGGCATACCGGCTGCATGTCCTTCCTTGTACTCGAAGATTGTCAGCCATGATGGAAATGAAATAAGTGCTGAATAAAATAGAATCATAATTATAAACTGAATAAAACTAACTAAATTATATGCTTAAGAGGTTTCCCGACTTGTTTCGGTTAATTGAAAGTCAGGTTTCGTATTTGTTTTCTATTTAAGGCACCATATTCCTCGAATATTATTATTTTTGATGAAACAAACATGCCTTTTTTTGTGTACTTATATTTCCTTAATATCTCTTCATTAATTTCATGGGTACAATGTGTGAAGCCCATTTCTGGTGTCCCCCGCCGTGATATTGCTGGAATATTGCTAAAAGCGGCGTAAAACCATACTCACTCACTCACTCATTAATTTCACCGTTACGGGTAATTAATTTGTATTTTAAGAATTCATCCAGGTTTTTTGTTTCACATTTATTATTGTTGGAGTTTTTATCTAGAATAGTGTTTTGTACTTCTTGTTGTGTTTATTTTTTTTTTTTTTATAATTGTTATCCGGGTTTTTGTTTCCTATTGTTTTTTGTTGCTCCTGAATCTGTTTCCCAAAAGAAGAGAACCGATGATCGAAATATGAAAGAAAACATTGTTTTGAAATTCACCTAATATAAGCATTGTCAGACAGGTGAATTTAAGGGGAATCTGTTTTATATTTTAATTATCTAAATCAAAGGCCTAAGTTGCTTCTCTTTTCACACGTTCCTACTTTCATTTCTTATCATTACTGCTAAAGTTTAACATGGCAGGTAATAGGCAGAGAGAAAAACATGTTCTAAGAATTCTAGTTTTTCCATGATTGTGAAACTTTGGGTAGGTGGAACGCGTAATAGTTTAAAATAGTGGATTTGTGTTGGGTGCATGAACATTTGCACGGGGGACGTGGCATTTGAGAGGAAGTAAAAAAACGTACAACTTTATGGAAAACAACTTCCGGTTTATTACATATAGCGACGTTTCTATGTATATTCTCACACCGTTATCAAGCGTATGATGTTTGCTTGAGAGGATTTGGACTTTGTCAAACTTAATTTGATGGCTGGGGAGTTTTTCCTCTTAACCAAACATCAGAACTTCACCAAAAGAACACTCCCAGAAGCCATAGAAATCCGCTGTCACAAACGTTTGATCAGCAGAGATCAAGGGTATTACTTCTCGTCTTCCTATTAAGATCCAGTCAAGCAATAGACTATTTGTCGGGCCCAATCAGCTTGCCACAACTGTTTAATTTTAATCCTTATCCTTACTGTACATCTGGTTTCCTTACCTGTGAGCTATTTGTCATTCTTATTGTACATATTCATTACCCGTGTGCTTCAAAACCTGGGGGCGGTCGGGTAGCCTAGTGGTTAAAGCGTTCGCTCGTCACGCCGAAGACCCGGGTTTGATTCCCGACATGGGTACAATGTGTGAAGCCCATTTCTGGTGTACCCCGCTGTGATATTGCTGGAATATTGCTAAAAGCGGCGTAAAACCATACTCACTCACTCACTCACTTCAATACCTGTGTGCTATTTCAGTATGTGTCATCCTTACTGTACATCTGGCTTCATCCATTTAACTGTATGGTACGTGTTATCTATCACCTGTTGTTGTCAATGTTAATCTGCTGCTCATCACAACATGTCATGTATCTGTACCTCTCATCACCTGGTTGTTGTCACTCCAGCTTGAAAACGGTGTAAGAATCTTCATCGAAACACTGCTATATGCAATAAACCAGAAGTTGTTTTCCATAAAGTTGTACATTTTTTTACTTACTCACCAACTTCTAGAATGCCAAGAAAACAGTCATTTGAGAGTTTATGATTAGATATTGGATCCGCTGCGTGTACATTAATTGTTTTTCGTTGCGATGTTTACGTTGTAACGGTTGGCAATGTACGTGTATGTTTAAATTATTTCCTCTATCAAACTAGGCCTCGATTTTTTTTATAAAACAAGGGTCAGCTACACTCAATGATTCATTCTACTCTTAACATTTGAACATACATAGGGTTTTCTCGTAATCCCCCTACTCCGATAGTACTTAGTAATTAATAGCCGTGCCTCTAAAATGTAAAGTAGAGTTAATTAATAAGAGTCAGACTCTGCTTGCAAGAATACACAATAAATATATATGTCTTCAAGACCCATGTATCCTACGAGGCCTCATTTTCAGGTATATATGCACTACTACAAATTCCTGTGCGTTAACAGAGGAAATGCACCATTGAACGAGGAGACGTACGGTATACGGAATTAAGTCCCAGACAATATTCTTTTACAGTTTTAAAATGCGTTAGCGTTTCGTGGCCACAGTCATTCGAACTCAGAACATTATACATACGGATACGCGTTGCGGTAATTTCGTAGCCCTAGAAAATTCGTGACCGGGAAAATAAGAAACTTCGTATCCCTATCAAGTCTTTGAAAGGCACCAAGAAGTGATACACATAATAATGAAGGAGTAAGTATATACTGCGATACGTTGTGTTCCTCATAATAATGAAGGAGTAAGTATATACTGCGATACGTTGTGTTCCTCATAATAATGAAGGAGTAAGTATATACTGCGATACGTTGTGTTCCTCATAATAATGAAGGAGTAAGTATATACTGCGATACGTTGTTCCTCATAATAATGAAGGAGTAAGTATATACTCCGAAACGTTGTGTTCCTCATAATAATGAAGGAGTAAGTATATACTCCGATACGTTGTGTTCCTCATAATAATGAAGGAGTAAGTATATACTGCGATACGTTGTTCCTCATAATAATGAAGGAGTAAGTATATACTCCGAAACGTTGTGTTCCTCATAATAATGAAGGAGTAAGTATATACTCCGATACGTTGTGTTCCTCGTAATGAAGAAGTTGACATCCATAAATCACCTTCCTTCATATCCCTATTTCGTATTTCTAAATAACGATATATTATCGTTGAATCATAGGTTTTCTAACATCTTATATTCAGTTATAAGACAACGATGTCACAGTGGATCAGTCCATTCACAGCACAGGGATAGAGAACAAAACAGACGCTGTTGAGATTTCATAAAACAAACAAATCACCACGCAATCACTGGATTCACATTTACAAAGTCAACCATTTAATTTTCCATAACATTCACGTCAACATACGCATACATACAACCATCAACACACAATGAAGCTCATCACAGTAAAACAACAACCAATATCCCAATTCACTACAATCAGTCACTGCATAGTCTGGTCCAGACAGCCATTATATAGCTGATGAAATCACCATTACTTTATATACCTTCACCTGGTTTTGTTTGTTTGTTTGTTGTCAACAACGCCGGACTCAACAATATTCCGGCTATATGACGGTGGTCTGTAAATAATCGAGTGTGGACCAGAAAATCCAGTGATTGATATCATGAGCAACGATCCACGCCAATGACATGTATCAACCAAGTCAGCGAGCCTGACCACCCGATCCCGTTAATCGCCTCTTACGGCAAGCATGGGTTGCTGAAGACCTATTCTAACCCGGATCTTCACGGGTCCCTTCACCTGGTAATATTGTTAAATAAACGTCTCAAATCTCCATCTCAACAGCCCCAGGGGTCAATTTTAAGGAGCCCATAAGTAATTGTCAGTTTAGCTTCGGTCAACAGAAAAAAACATGTTCTTCTTCTTGTACAAATAAAATATCGCCCCTATGCAAAACATTACATGTTCTTCAGATCTAAATATAAATTAGTATGTCATACATAATGTAGTGCGTATTGCATAATGCATAATGGTTACAAATTGCATTCGACTTGGGATACGAAATTACTCATGTCTTGGGATACGAATTTACATAAACCCTACAGATACTAGGATACTATATCTATCGCTCGATGAATATTGATGTGATTCGAACCTCCAAACGGCAATGCGTCTCAATGTCATTTTGTAACGGAACATGGTTAAAAGTTTGGAGTGACCTCCCTTTACTAGAATATTGTGTTTTTGTGAAGTGCATCACATGTTACAGTCCCATAGTCGCCTGTCTGGCTTTTGACACGAGTGTCAGTTGGTAGGATTTGTTAGGTTGTAAGTATTCCGCTTCAGACCGCAAGTCAACACCACGTGACCTGGTGAGGCACGAGCGTTTCTGCCATAAAAAGGATGTAGGGTGGTTCCCTATGAGCTAATTTTACATGTACCACCCATGACATTGATAAAATGTAAAAGTTCACTGTTTTGGTCACAACACCTCCATCAAACGCCATGTCACTGGCTCGCTGACTTGGTTGATGCATGTCATCGATCCCAATTGCGTGGATCGATGCTCATGATAATAATCACTGGATTGTCTGGTCCAGACTCGATTATTTACAGACCACCGTCATATAGCTGCAATATTGCTGAGTGCGGCATTAAACAACCAACCAACCAATAACGTTCACCCCTGCCTCTGAGGGTGTCAATAATATGTATCAGTCAGTTATTCGCATTTGGCATTTCTTGTGTCAAGGGTACTTATTCAATCTAAGATTAGGTCATAATTCCAAGTCTGATGTGAAATGTCTTACATGTTATGTAATATGCACATGGCAGCACAGCAAGAGAGTAATGGCAGTTGAGTTGCAAAAATAACATTAATCAAAGGATTAACTGATAATACATTTATTGATTAATGACTGTTATCTTGCACAGTGGACTTGTCAAAAGTAATTGTTTATATGTATGTAGGTTTACTACAGCAGACGGATTACAGCCATATCTGGGCATGAAGTGCCTATGTTAAAGCAACATACTTCTAAGGATCAACCAATAATATGTTAATTGATTGCACATTTATTATATAACTCAATGGATTTTTTTTAAGAACCGTGGACGTAATGAACACAGTTGTTACGTTTGCTATCTCACCTGACCAGGGAGACATGTGACACCTACTGTATTCGACGTAATAAGCGCCCAGGGCGCTCTCAAAATTAGAAATAGGGGGCTCTTATAAGAATGTTATTTTGGTGAAAAAAACAGAGTTGAAAGATAAATTTCGTGGTTTATGCTGACAGCCTGAAATGTTTATGTATGACAGATATATTTTTCCAGAATTCAATAAGTCTTGTGTACATTGATCAATCGGAAGGGGTGCTAATTGGGATTGTTCACTAGCCAATATCTTAGCAAATGTTGCCATGGGCGCTTATTAGAGCAGGGCGCTTATTACGTCGAATACGGTATGTGAAAAACCAGAAACAAACTTATGCAATCAGTTGAGAGGTGAAGGCAGGTTATAATATCCCCAAAAGCTCTATTTCTTAAAATATTACATTGTTTCAAAGACATGACATTGAACAAGTTTTTTTGTACAGCTTTATCTGAATGGGATATTGGTCCTTTATATGGTTATTGATGGATACATTCCTCAAACAGGTAACTGCCTAATATTTTCATATAACTTTTGATGGCTATAGTTGCGATATTTACATTTTGTTTTCATTTATTTGCCGTAACAAGAATGTGAGAGGTCTCACTGGTGACTGATCAAATTGTTCCATATGCAAAACATATCCAGCAGTTAATATCAGTTGATATCACCAGTTTCAGATACAATCCATCCGATCATTGCGTCAAATTTATTTAGAAGTTTGTCTGGATATTTTTTAACTGAATCACTGCTAGATTGGTAGAAAATGTGCGTACAGCTGATTGCTATTTCTTGCTTAGTTTATGAGAAAATACACACAGTAATCATTATTCTGCTTATAAAACAATGCCTAGCAGAAATCATCGTTCTGGTCATAATTTACCTAAAATTTCACATTTTAATTGACTAAGTTTGTTATCACCTGTTTGTTTACCTGTGTTCTCTGAAGGGATACCATGTAGTTTTTTATTGTACATAATATAATGTTGACGGATAGCTTGAATTTTTCAAGTCGTGTATGGATTAATCAATAACAAAACCAGTCAGTTTGGCTGTAGCTCATTATAGTATACCTTTTGTTATATAGATATCCTTCTTCAATCCTCCGATAGGCTTTGCTTCGCGCAGTGCAGCGAGAACAGCGCCAAATGCAAGTCGAAGCAGACAAAATTATGGTCCATAATAAGCAAATTGTGAATCCGCGACAAAAAAGTCGATCCATATTTTAATACTTTCAAACTTGTTGTTTCCCTATAGCTAATACAGTTCACACTAGAAACAAATTCAGATAACAATTTCATTTATGGGCCTACTTGCACAAAGTGGTCTTAGTGCTACACCTATTGGAAGTCTATGTTAAGGTATTGGAGTTAAGATTGTTGTAGTGCTAAGATCTATTTGAGCAAGTGGACCCAGCTGGACTTTTAGATAAAAAATGTTGGGTACGGATGAAAATAATTATTTTACATATAGAGAATTTCATACTAATTGGGGTCTGGTTGGCCCAGTGGTATAAGGCCACAGTCATATGTGGTCCTTAGTCTATCAATCACCAGCATTAGTTGACACCCTCTGTGGGCCAGTGGATAGAGCATCTACCAGGTGGGGGGGGCATTAAAAGATGGTACTTGTTGTTACCTTGCCTCATCGTCATCATTAAGGGGATGAACAAGGACTGGTCTGCTCGGAGTTAGTGTAATTTGTTGAATGGGTATCCATGTATGTGGCATGGAAAGGCATTTTGAAACCGGCATTAGTCAGGACTAGTATGAAAGGCTCCACCAACACACACGCATACATGCAAATCACAATATGGAAGCAATAATCTTGGATGCAACGTAAAACCCCATTTCAGTTTTTTACACCCTGCATCCCTTTTGACTTCTCTCCACATTATCTGGGCCTGCTGTAATATCAGTGTTCAGAGTGACTCACCCTCAGTTTTCAGGCTGTGCAGGGCAATGCGGCACTACATCGGAATAGACGTTGGTACAGGAAGTGTGCGGGCGGCCATTGTGTCGGAAGCAGGAGAGCTGGTGGCAACTTCGGTGGCTGAGATCACGACCTGGAACCCTGTCACCGATCACTATGAGCAGTCCTCAGACAACATCTGGTCTGCTGTCACAACTACAGTCAAAGTACTTCATTTCTGTAGTTTTCGTGACTTTTGACATAGTCTATATCTATTATTAAAATCATGTACATGTTTTTTAATGTGGAGCCATGTAGATTTCATGTCCTTAATCAGATTTGGGACTGAGTGAATATGGCTTTTAGCAATTATGATCCAGCAATATCCCTTTTTGGGGGGGTGGGGGGTGGGGAGGGGGGGTGCATGGGCTTCACCCATGTGGTGAACTTGGACTTTCTGGGTAATGAACGAACTGTCTAGTATAAGATAGTGGCTTCACCCATGTGGTGAACTTGGACTCTCTGGGTGATGAACGAACTGTCTAGTATAAGGTTTCAAATGTTAAGTTTAGTGTTCTCAAATCAGGTATTTATCCATGATTCCAAACTAAGTGCCCATGGCAGGCAGATTGGAAAAATATAATATTTTTCAAAATTGGATTTTTTTAATGTTCTTATTTGCATAAAATCTGAGGAATTGGGAAATATATCATTCAATTTTGGAAATTTTACTGTCATTTACTGCAGACTTGGGGCCAAATATCAGCCCCTCAGCAAGTCTAGATACATCCCTGCAAATGTTAAGGTTACGTAGCTGGGTGAGTGTGTCCGCCCTGTAGCTATAGTGTCTCCTGTTCTAGAATGTGCTGGAGACGTCTGGTGTGGACAGGGACCAGGTGAAAGGAGTGGGCTTTGATGGAACCTGCTCTCTAGTTGTCCTTGACAAAAACTTCAAGCCTGTGTCTGTCAGTCAAACAGGTAAAGTATACATGGAATATGGACAGTAGAATGATATGTTCCTGTAGACTAACTATACCTACCACCAAACAGGAAGATTGTATAAACAGTAGAATGATATCTTCCTGCAGACTAACTATCCCTACCACCAAACAGGTAGATTGTATAGACAGTTGATTGAGTTGAATGATATCTCCCTGTAGAACATCTGGTCAGTGCGAAGTACTGAGTGTCCGCTGTTTCCTTGTTGACAGGGCGCCCTGAATGTAACGTGATCCTGTGGATGGACCACCGGGCTGCGACCCAGGCCCACGCCATCAACCAGACGGGGAGCCCGGTGCTGCAGTACGTGGGGGGCAGGATGTCCCTGGAGATGCAGATGCCGAAACTCTGCTGGCTGAAACAGGTGGGAGGAGAGTACCTTGTAGGAGGTTTAATGCCAACTTGAAGCCTATTTCAGGTATATAACAGCTGTCAGCTTGATGTGTGGGGACAGCCCAATGTGATGCAGGTTGTTGACATTTATCATGTTGGACCTGACACACTGAGGATGATAATCTGTGAATGTCTGGGATTCAAGCCCATGATGAGGTGACCTTGTCGCAAATATGGGCGTGACTCTCCTGCCACAAATATGGGCATAATTCCCCTGTCACAAATATGGGTATGACTCCACTTCCATAAATATGGACATGACTCCCCTGCCACAGATATGGGCATGACTCCACTTCCATAAATATGGGCATGACTCCCCTGCTACAAATATGGACATGACTACCCTGTTACAAATATGGGCATGACTCCCCTGCTACTGATATGGACATTACTCCCCTGCCACTAATATGGGCGTGATACAACTACCACAAATATGGACGTGGCTCCCCTTCCACAAATATGGGTGTGGCTTCCCTGTTACAAATATGGGCGTGACTTAACTGTCACAAATATGGTTGTGACTCCCCTTCCACAAATATGGGCATGACTACCCTGCTACAAATATGGGCATGACCCCCCTTCCACAAATATGGGCATGACTCCCCTGCTACAAATATGGACATGACTCCCCTGCCACTAATATGGGCAGGATTCAACTACCACAAATATGGGCGTGACACCCCTGTAACAAATATGGGCATGACCCCCCTGACATTTATCATGTTGGACCTGACACACTGAGGATGATAATCTGTGAATGTCTGGGATTCAAGCCCATGATGAGGTGACCTTGTCGCAAATATGGGCGTGACTCTCCTGCCACAAATATGGGCATAATTCCCCTGCCACAGATATGGGCATGACTCCACTTCCATAAATATGGGCATGACTACCCTGCTACAAATATGGGCATGACCCCCCTTCCACAAATATGGGCATGACTCCCCTGCTACAAATATGGACATGACTCCCCTGCCACTAATATGGGCAGGATTCAACTACCACAAATATGGGCGTGACACCCCTGTAACAAATATGGGCATGACACCCCTGCTACAAATACGGGCGTGACACATCTGCCACAAATATGGGCGTGACTCAACTGCCACAAATATGGGCATGACCCCCCTTCCACAAATATGGGTGTGACTCCCCTTCCACAAATATGGGCATGACCCCCCCATCCACAAATATGGGCATGACCCCCCCTTCCACAAATATGGTCGTGACTCCCCTGCTACAAATATGGGTGTGACTCCCCTGCCACTAATATGGGCAGGATTCAACTACCACAAATATGGGCGTGACTCCCCTGCTACAAATATGGACATGACTCCCCTGCCAATAATATGGGCGTGATACAACTACCACAAATATGGGCATGACTCCCCTGCTACAAATATGGGCGTGACTCAACTACAACAAATATGGGTGTGACACCCCTGTAACAAATATGGGCGTGACTCCCCTGCCACAAGTATGGGCGTGACTCAACTGCCACTAATATGGGCGTGACTCAACTGCCACAAATATCGGTGTGACTCAACTGCCACAAATATCGGTGTGACTCAACTGCCACAAATATCGGCGTGACTCAACTGCCACAAATATGGGCGTAATTTTCCAAAAGCAAATTGTGGCTCCTGATGCCACTGGATCACGAAGGCCCTAAAGTATGTTGTACTAACCATGACTGGATTGTTCCCCACTGTAGCTCCAGTTCCCTGCATCTTTACAGAAACTACATTCTGAAGAATTTAGATTTATGTTTGACTGAGTTGTGGCACCAAAATCAGATGCAAATGTTGTTGTTGGAGCAGTCCTTATCAGTTGCTTTTACTGTCCTGCAGAACCTGAAGGACGAGTGTTGGAACCATTCCGCACACTTCTTTGATCTGCCGGACTTCCTCACATGGAGGGCCACCCACTCTGTGTCCAGGTGAGACTCACTTTCTGCCTGCAACAACATGACAATAACTGACAAGTGTGGATTGTGATTGTCTGGTCCTGACTCCATTATGTACAGACCGATGTCATATAGCTGGAATATTGCTGAGTGCAGCGTTAAACAGCAAACAAACAACAAAAATTACCCTGGTGCATAGTACATGCTCTACATTCCTCCACCATCCCTGAATATTACCCAGTGTAAACACCCCAATCATCTGTTCTTTATCTCCTGGTATGCCCAGGTCGCTGTGCACGCTGGTGTGTAAGTGGGGGTATGTGGCCGGGACGGAGACCGAGTCCGGATGGAGCGGAGACTTCTTCAAGAACATCGGCCTGGAAGACCTCATGCATGATAACTACAGCAAAATAGGTACAGAGGTTTTCTGCATTTGTACACATTTCGTATATGTACAGAGGTTTTCAGCTTTTGTACACATTTCGTATATGTACAGAGGTTTTCAGCATTTGTACACATTTCGTATATGTACAGAGGTTTTCAGCATTTGTACACATTTTGTATATGTACAGAGGTTTTCAGCTTTTGTACACATTTCGTATATGTACAGAGGTTTTCAGCTTTTGTACACATTTTGTATATGTACAGAGGTTTCAGCTTTTGTACACATTTCGTATATGTACATAGGTTGTTTGCTTTAGACCAGTGTTCCACTTCAGACGAGTCTTCTTGCTCCTTGGTTCTATCCATCTTGGCCCCTCCAAACTCCCCAGCCCCAGATTTGTTGCTTCTGGTATGCCAGTCTTCCTTAGGGCCGGGCACTCACAATATAATTATCAGGTTGTTGTACCAAGGGCCTAATACACCAAATGCTGTTGTTTTGATTGCTCTAAGTTTCAAAAAAGGTGTGAACGTGGGCTTTTGTATCAAACCTGCAACTGTGTTGAAAAGGTACTGTGACATTAGCAGAGTTTGGTTCAGTGTATTTATTTTTATGTGTGCTCTTTGTGAAACAAAAGTTTGGGTTGGCTGGGACATTTTATTGTCCCTTATGCCAGGAACAACTTTGATCTTTGAATTGTTTTCAGAAAATAGATATTGTTTGGATGTTTTATCACTTTTCACTTCAAGCCCTCTGTTTATTAAAAACTTATATTATAATCATCATATTGAAATTGAGTAAATTTTAGAAATCTTATGAAAGATCTATGTTCAGTATATATAGAACCAGAAAAAAATATTTCACATGATATCTTGATTATGACTGAGAGTGTAGCATTTTTGATAAAGTTAAAATATAGTTTTTGTTGTTTCAGTACCTATGTTAGTAGTCAAGAATATTATGCCTAATTCTCCGTGATCTTTCATTTCAAACATGATGCATGTCCATCTCTAATACTGAATATATGTTTGCAAAGTTATGAAGATGTATCGCCATAGATATTGGAGTTGTTTTTCACATTATAGTAATTTTGACTTAGGCTTCACCTAAATATTGTTGTCTTCAGGCATGATGAACAACATTACTGTTTCTGTACACAGGAAGTGATGTGCGAGCGCCAGGAGAGGCTTGTGGGACAGGATTAACCCCGGAGGCAGCAGAAGAGCTGGGTTTGAAACCAGGAACCCCAGTAGGAACAGCCCTCATCGATGCACATGCAGGGGGAGTAGGTAGGAAGTGACACTTACCGTAGTCTATGTAATACATTCTCTTTGTACATGCAGGGGGAGTAGGTAGGAAGAGACACTTACGGTAGTCTACATAATACATTCTCTTTGTACATGCAGGGGGAGTAGGTAGGAAGTGACACTTACCGTAGTCTATGTAATACATTCTCTTTGTACATGCAGGGGGAGTAGGTAGGAAGTGACACTTACCGTAGTCTATGTAATACATTCTCTTTGTACATGCAGGGGGAGTAGGTAGGAAGAGACACTACCGTAGTCTATGTAATACATTCTCTTTGTACATGCAGGGGAAGTAGGTAGGAAGAGACACTTACCGTAGTCTGTAATACATTCTCTTTGTACATGCAGGGGGAGTAGGTAGGAAGAGACACTTACCGTAGTCTATGTAATACATTCTCTTTGTACATGCAGGGGGAGTAGGTAGGAAGAGACACTTACCGTAGTCTACATAATACATTCTCTTTGTACATGCAGGGGGAGTAGGTAGGAAGTGACACTTACCGTAGTCTATGTAATACATTCTCTTTGTACATGCAGGGGGAGTAGGTAGGAAGTGACACTTACCGTAGTCTATGTAATACATTCTCTTTGTACATGCAGGGGGAGTAGGTAGGAAGTGACACTTACCGTAGTCTATGTAATACATTCTCTTTGTACATGCAGGGGGAGTAGGTAGGAAGAGACACTACCGTAGTCTATGTAATACATTCTCTTTGTACATGCAGGGGAAGTAGGTAGGAAGAGACACTTACCGTAGTCTATGTAATACATTCTCTTTGTACATGCAGGGGGAGTAGGTAGGAAGAGACACTTACCGTCGTCTATGTAATACATTCTCTTTGTACATGCAGGGGGAGTAGGTAGGAAGTGACACTTACCGTAGTCTACATAATACATTCTCTTTGTACATGCAGGGGGAGTAGGTAGGAAGAGACACTTACCGTAGTCTACATAATACATTCTCTTTGTACATGCAGGGGGAGTAGGTAGGAAGAGACACTTACCGTCGTCTATGTAATACATTCTCTTTGTACATGCAGGGGGAGTAGGTAGGAAGAGACACTTACCGTAGTCTACATAATACATTCTCTTTGTACATGCAGGGGGAGTAGGTAGGAAGAGACACTTACCGTAGTCTATGTAATACATTCTCTTTGTACATGCAGGGGGAGTAGGTAGGAAGAGACACTTACCGTAGTCTACATAATACATTCTCTTTGTACATGCAGGGGGAGTAGGTAGGAAGAGACACTTACCGTAGCCTACATAATACATTCTCTTTGTACATGCAGGGGGAGTAGGTAGGAAGAGACACTTACCGTAGTCTACATAATACATTCTCTTTGTACATGCAGGGGGAGTAGGTAGGAAGAGACACTTACCGTAGTCTATGTAATACATTCTCTTTGTACATGCAGGGGGAGTAGGTAGGAAGAGACACTTACCGTAGTCTACATAATACACTCTCTTTGTACATGCAGGGGGAGTAGGTAGGAAGAGACACTTACCGTAGTCTACATAATACATTCTCTTTGTACATGCAGGGGGAGTAGGTAGGAAGAGACACTTACCGTACACTACATAATACATTCTCTTTGTACATGCAGGTGGAGTAGGTAGGAAGAGACACTTACCGTAGTCTATGTAATACATTCTCTTTGTACATGCAGGGGGAGTAGGTAGGAAGAGACACTTACCGTAGTCTATGTAATACATTCTCTTTGTACATGCAGGGGGAGTAGGTAGGAAGAGACACTTACCGTAGTCTACATAATACATTCTCTTTGTACATGCAGGGGGAGTAGGTAGGAAGTGACACTTACCGTAGTCTGTAATACATTCTCTTTGTACATGCAGGGGGAGTAGGTAGGAAGAGACACTTACCGTAGTCTATGTAATACATTCTCTTTGTACATGCAGGGGGAGTAGGTAGGAAGAGACACTTACCGTAGTCTACATAATACATTCTCTTTGTACATGCAGGGGGAGTAGGTAGGAAGAGACACTTACCGTCGTCTATGTAATACATTCTCTTTGTACATGCAGGGGGAGTAGGTAGGAAGAGACACTTACCGTAGTCTACATAATACATTCTCTTTGTACATGCAGGGGGAGTAGGTAGGAAGAGACACTTACCGTAGTCTACATAATACATTCTCTTTGTACATGCAGGGGGAGTAGGTAGGAAGAGACACTTACCGTAGTCTACATAATACATTCTCTTTGTACATGCAGGGGGAGTAGGTAGGAAGTGACACTTACCGTAGTCTGTAATACATTCTCTTTGTACATGCAGGGGGAGTAGGTAGGAAGAGACACTTACCGTAGTCTATGTAATACATTCTCTTTGTACATGCAGGGGGAGTAGGTAGGAAGAGACACTTACCGTAGTCTACATAATACATTCTCTTTGTACATGCAGGGGGAGTAGGTAGGAAGAGACACTTACCGTCGTCTATGTAATACATTCTCTTTGTACATGCAGGGGGAGTAGGTAGGAAGAGACACTTACCGTAGTCTACATAATACATTCTCTTTGTACATGCAGGGGGAGTAGGTAGGAAGAGACACTTACCGTAGTCTATGTAATACATTCTCTTTGTACATGCAGGGGGAGTAGGTAGGAAGAGACACTTACCGTAGTCTACATAATACATTCTCTTTGTACATGCAGGGGGAGTAGGTAGGAAGAGACACTTACCGTAGCCTACATAATACATTCTCTTTGTACATGCAGGGGGAGTAGGTAGGAAGAGACACTAACCGTAGTCTATGTAATACATTCTCTTTGTACATGCAGGGGGAGTAGGTAGGAAGAGACACTTACCGTAGTCTATGTAATACATTCTCTTTGTACATGCAGGGGGAGTAGGTAGGAAGAGACACTTACCGTAGTCTACATAATACATTCTCTTTGTACATGCAGGGGGAGTAGGTAGGAAGTGACACTTACCGTAGTCTACATAATACATTCTCTTTGTACATGCAGGGGAAGTAGGTAGGAAGTGACACTTACCGTAGTCTATGTAATACATTCTCTTTGTACATGCAGGGGGAGTAGGTAGGAAGAGACACTTACCGTAGTCTACATAATACATTCTCTTTGTACATGCAGGGGGAGTAGGTAGGAAGAGACACTTACCGTAGTCTATGTAATACATTCTCTTTGTACATGCAGGGGGAGTAGGTAGGAAGAGACACTTACCGTAGTCTATGTAATACATTCTCTTTGTACATGCAGGGGGAGTAGGTAGGAAGAGACACTTACCGTAGTCTACATAATACATTCTCTTTGTACATGCAGGGGGAGTAGGAAGGAAGAGACACTTACCGTAGTCTACATAATACATTCTCTCCAAGTTGTACATGCAGGAGGAGCATGCAGAAAAGGACACCTACCGTAGTCTATGTAATATACTCTCTTTGTACATGCAGTGTCTTTATTATGTGGTCTCTAGAGGTTTATTCAAATAGTTAATTTAGAAAAAGAATCGGAGAAAGCAGCTCCTAACCAATCAAACGGTTTGATGATTATGATTATCAAACATGCCTGACATACAGTGTCCAACGAAGCTTTCCCTTTGGTCTAGGAATGAGTCCAGCAATATCTTAGAGGCTTATTTAAATGTTCAGACAATATTCTTGTTCTTTATTTGATTGTTTTGTTCAATTCACTACATAACTGAGGGGAATTCCCTTCTGAATGGCAAGAAGCAATTATTGTTCAATTACACATAATATTAGGACATGTGGGGATCGTTTCAGGTTCAGATGAGGTCGGGATTGTTTACATACTGTAATTAGTTTTGTTGTGCAATATTTCTTTGTGAAACAAGTTTGCCCATCATGTAACATCCTTTTCACTCACTCACTCTGCAGGTTGTCTCGGGTGTGTCCCTGCCAATCTCAGCAGCCCCCTACCGCCTGTAACCGGTCGACTGGTCCTTATCTGCGGTACATCCTCATGTCATATGGCCGTGAGTCTTCACTCGGAGAAAAATCTTTAAACTGCACACATGCATGCACGCACAGATATGTTTTGTATTTCCATGTTTAATTTCATATTTTCTGTTTCAGATCAGCAAGTCAGCCACATTTGTTGGTGGAGTGTGGGGGCCTTACTATTCTGCCATGTTGCCTGAACACTGGTTAAACGAGGGTGGACAGAGTGCCACAGGCAAGCTAGTAGGTAAACACTTGATAAACAAGGATGGGTAGAGTACCATGAGAAAGCTAATAGGTAAACACTGGTTAAACGAGGGTAGACAGAGTGCCACAGGCAAGCTAGTTAGTAAACACTTGATAAACAAGGATGGGTAGAGTACCATGAGAAAGCTAATAGGTAAACACTGGTTAAACGAGGGTGGACAGAGTGCCACAGGCAAGCTAGTAGGTAAACACTGGTTAAACGAGGGTGGACAGAGTGCCACAGGCAAGCTAGTAGGTAAACACTGGATAGACAAGGATGGGTAGAGTGCCACAGGCAAGCTAGTAGGTAAACACTGGATAGACAAGGATGGGTAGAGTGCCACAGGCAAGCTAGTTAGTAAACACTGGATAGACAAGGATGGGTAGAGTGCCACAGGCAAGCTAGTTAGTAAACACTGGATAAACGAGGGTGGAAAGACTGCCATGGGAAAGCTAGTAGGTAAATACTGGTTAAACGAGGGTGGACAGAGTGCCACAGGCAAGCTAGTAGGTAAACACTGGATGGACAAGGATGGGTAGAGTGCCACAGGCAAGCTAGTTAGTAAATACTGGATAGACAAGGATGGGTAGAGTGCCACAGGCAAGCTAGTTAGTAAACACTGGATAAACGAGGGTGGAAAGACTGCCATGGGAAAGCTAGTAGGTAAACACTGGATAAACGAGGAAGGGTAGAGTGCCACAGGCAAGCTAGTAGGTGAACACTGGATAAACGAGGGTGGATAGAGTGCCACAGGCAAGCTAGTAGGTAAACACTGGATAGACAAGGATGGGTAGAGTGCCACAGGCAAGCTAGTTAGTAAACACTGGATAAACGAGGGTGGAAAGACTGCCATGGGAAAGCTAGTAGGTAAATACTGGTTAAACGAGGGTGGACAGAGTGCCACAGGCAAGCTAGTAGGTGAACACTGGATAAACGAGGGTGGATAGAGTGCCATAGAAAAGCTAGTAGGTAACACTGGTTAAAGAAGGCTGGGTAGAACACCATGGGCAACCTAGTAGGTAGACACTGGATAAACGAGGTTGGATAGAGTGCCACTGGGAAGCTAGTTAGTAAATACTGGATAAACAAGGGTGGGAAGAGTGCCACAGGCAAGCTAGTTAGTAAACACTCGATAAACGAGGGTGGAAAGACTGCCATTGGAAAGCTAGTAGGTAAACACTGGTTAAACGAGGGTGGACAGAGTGCCACAGGCAAGCTAGTAGGTAAACACTGGATAGACAAGGATGGGTAGAGCGCCACAGGCAAGCTAGTAGGTAAACACTGGATAGACAAGGATGGGTAGAGTGCCACAGGCAAGCTAGTTAGTAAACACTGGATAAACGAGGGTGGAAAGACTGCCATGGGAAAGCTAGTAGGTAAACACTGGATAAACGAGGATGGGTAGAGTGCCACAGGCAAGCTAGTAGGTGAACACTGGATAAACGAGGGTGGATAGAGTGCCACAGGCAAGCTAGTAGGTGAACACTGGATAAACGAGGGTGGATAGAGTGCCATAGAAAAGCTAGTAGGTAACACTGGTTAAAGAAGGCTGGGTAGAACACCATGGGCAAGCTAGTAGGTAGACACTGGATAAACGAGGTTGGATAGAGTGCCACTGGGAAGCTATTAGGTAAACACTGGATAAACAAGGGTGGGAAGAGTGCCACAGGCAAGCTAGTTAGTAAACACTGGATAAACGAGGGTGGAAAGACTGCCATGTGATAGCTAGTAGGTAAACACTGGTTAAACGAGGGTGGACAGAGTGCCACAGGCAAGCTAGTAGGTAAACACTGGATAAACAAGGATGGGTAGAGTGCCACAGGCAAGCTAGTTAGTAAACACTGGATAATCGAGGGTGGAAAGACTGCCATGGGAAAGCTAGTTAGTAAACACTGGATAAACGAGGATGGGTAGAGTGCCACAGGCAAGCTAGTAGGTGAACACTGGATAAACGAGGGTGGATAGAGTGCCATAGAAAAGCTAGTAGGTAAACACTGGTTAAAGAAGGCTGGGTAGAACACCATGGGCAAGCTAGTAGGTAGACACTGGATAAACGAGGTTGGATAGAGTGCCACTGGGAAGCTATTAGGTAAACACTGGATAAACAAGGGTGGGAAGAGTGCCACAGGCAAGCTAGTTAGTAAACACTGGATAAACGAGGGTGGTAAGACTGCCATGGGAGAGCTAGTAGGTAAACACTGGTTAAACGAGGGTGAGCAGAGGGCCATGGGAAAGCTAATAGGTAAACACTGGATAAACTAGAGTTTAGTTCAGGTAAACAAAGTTTCTGAGTTAAGAGTACAGTGCTGAATGATTCACACTGACTGAGTAAGTCACTACATATGCATGGAGATGTTAATGGAAGTCCTGCCAAGTTAGATTCTAGTAAATGCACACCCGGTTTCTTTTTCTATTGGTCACTTTTCTTGATGTATGCATATACACATACATATTTTAAATTAATTTCAGTCTACGTTTGTCATAACTACAATGTCTAGAATGCACCAGATTGTTGAGCATCGTCTCCATGTGATCACGGTGAGGATAGTGTTGTGAGGCCACTGTGTTCTCTTGCAGATAGACTTTGTGATTGAGACTCACCCAGCGTACCAGGAGGCACTCTCACAGGCAAATACAAAGTCATGTCACATTTCTTCATTCTTCACTTCAAGATTATTTAATATTAATATAGAATGATCACAGTCTTGTAAGGGCTGTATTTATTCCCTGAACAATCAGTGTATTATGATGAACCTAGTGTATTATGATAACCTCGGTGTATTATGATAACCTCTGTGTGTTATGACGAACCTAGTGTACTATGATAACCTCAGTCTATTGTGACCAACCTCAGTGTATTATGACGAACCTAGTGTATTATGATAACCTTGGTGTATTATGATAACCTTGGTGTTTTATGACAAACCTAGTGTACTATGATAACCTCAGTGTATTGTGACGAACCTAGTGTACTATGATAACCTCGGTGTATTATGATAACCTCTGTGTATTATGATGATCCTAGTGTACTATGATAACCTCGGTGTATTATGATAACCTCAGTGTATTATGATAACCTCAGTGTATTATGATAACCTCAGTGTATTATGATAACCTCAGTGTATTATGATGAACCTAGTGTACTGATAACCTCGGTGTATTATGATAACCTCTGTGTATTATGATGATCCTAGTGTACTATGATAACCCCAGTGTATTATAACCTCAGTGTATTATGATAACCTCAGTGTATTATGATAACCTCAGTGTATTATGATGAACCTAGTGTACTATGATAACCTCAGTGTATTATGATAACCTCAGTGTATTATGATAACCTCAGTGTATTATGATGAACCTAGTGTACTATGATAACCTCAGTGTATTATGATAACCTCAGTGTATTATGATAACCTCAGTGTATTATGATGAACCTAGTGTACTATGATAACCTCAGTGTATTATAACCTCAGTGTATTATGATAACCTCAGTGTATTATGATAACCTCAGTGTATTATGATGAACCTAGTGTATTATGATAACATCAGTGTATTATAACCTAGTGTATTATGATAACCTCAGTGTATTATGATAACCTCAGTGTATTATGATGAACCTAGTGTATTATGATAACCTCAGTGTATTATAACCTAGTGTATTATGATAACATCAGTGTATTATGATAACCTCAGTGTATTATGACGAACCTAGTGTACTATGATAACCTCAGTGTACTATGATAACCTCAGTGTATTATGACGAACCTAGTGTACTATGATAACCTCAGTGTATTATGATAACATCAGTGTATTATAACCTAGTGTATTGATAACCTCAGTGTATTATGATAACCTCAGTGTATTATGATGAACCTAGTGTATTATGATAACCTCAGTGTATTATAACCTAGTGTATTATGATAACATCAGTGTATTATGATAACCTCAGTGTATTATGACGAACCTAGTGTACTATGATAACCTCAGTGTACTATGATAACCTCAGTGTATTATGATAACCTCAGTGTACTATGATAACCTCAGTGTACTATGATAACCTCAGTGTATTATGATTTTGTGAATAAACTGAGTTTCCCTTTTTGAACATGTACCAAAAAATAGACATGCAAAAACAAATGCAAACCTGATATTGTAATCTGAGAAAATATGTTGAAAACTTTGTATGTGTTCACATTATTTATTGATGTCTTCCTATCGATTTACAGAGGTGTCCACATACATGGCTTCCTCAATAGCCACATAGAGGTGATGAGTGGTGACAAGGGGAGACAATCTGTTGCTCAACTCACGTCTGACCTTCACATGTGGCCAGATTTCCACGGTAACCGCTCACCTATTGCAGACCCGACTCTGAAAGGAATGGTAAGTTCATATCTTTCTTTTGATGATCTTTCCAGTGGATTCTGGGGCATTTTGTTGCCACCATTTTTCCAAAAATTGTATTTAAAACTTTTGTTCGATTGTCTTTGTTTGTTGATGAAAACATATGTTTCCATGTAGGTATTTGATATCCTAGAATTGGTCTTTTTGGAATCATAGATTTGTGGTGCTGAGTTCATTTTCTAAAAATAGGGTCTTGTGCGTCCTAAGCGTTCAGACAATATGTTCACAGCCATGTTTGTTTTAAATGACACGCTAATGATGCCAAAGACCCTTCATTAAGTTAATGACGCGCTAATGACAGCACGATGTCATTAAAATGTTGGTACAATTGGATTTAATGATACATCAGTTAATGAAGGTTTAATGACACATTAATGCATCATTAAAGTTTGATACAACCAGTTCCTTGTCATTTGCGCCAGGTGTGTGGGTTGACGCTGTCATCTGGCGTGGATAACCTGGCTCTCATCTACCTAGCTACACTCCAAGCACTCACAGTACGTCTCCAGTACCTCAGTATGGCACCATACATGGTTGCATGAATTTAATATGGCACTCAGTGCATAACATTCTCAGTATCATGTATGGTCATGTAACATTCCCTTCTTGATGTATTGTTTCCATGGTTACAGAACGGTACCTGACACATGTAGCATTTCCTTTTTGATGTCTGGTTACCATGGTTATAGTATGGCACTCGACGCATGTAACATTCCCTTTTTTATGTATGGTTGCCATGGTTACAGTATGGCACCTGACACTGTTACAATCACTGTTTAATGTGCATGTAACATTCACTGTATGGTTGCCATGGCTACAGAACAGCACCCAACACACGTAACATTCCCTTTGTTATGTATGGTTACAGTATGGCGCCCAAAACATGTAGCATTCACTGTTTGATGTATGGTTGCCATGGTTACAAAACAGCACCCAACACATGTAACATTCCCTTTGTGATATATGGTTACAGTACGGCACCCAAGACATGTAACATTCAAGGTATGACATATGGTTGCCATGGTTACAGTACAGCACCAGACACATGTAACATTCACTGTAAGACATATGGTTGCCTTGGTTACAATACGGCACCCGACACATGCAACATTCACTCTTTGACGTATGGTTGTCATGGTTACAGTATGGCACCCGACACATGTAACATTCACTGTAAGACATATGGTTGCCTTGGTTACACTACGGCACCCGACACATGCAACGTTCACCTTTGACGTATGGTTGTCATGGTTACAGTATGGCACCCGAAACATCATCTCCGAGATGAACAGAAGCGGTCACAGCATCTCCCTGGTGTATCTGTGTGGGGGGCTCAGGAACAACCATCTGTTTGTCACAACCACAGCGGACATACTCAGTATGTACCCGCTCTGTTTCATACCCTAGTCCTCTTTCCTGGGTAGCTTACATTTTAGTGAGGGTCAATTGCAGTCAAATTCGAGCAGGCATAATGGCCTGTTATGATGTGAGTTGTGTGTTTTTATGAATTTGATGCAGTTTTGATCAAGTAATTTTGGTGTTGTAGAAATAACTGTGTTATTATTGCGAGAAAAATGAGAAAATGGTATATTTGTTCACATGATAATGCCAGCAGAGATTTGTCTGATGACTTGGGGTAATAACACAGGCTCTGGTGAGGTGAGGTGAAATTGGATTTAACGTCGCGTCCAAGATTATTGCACTTATATAGGGACGTGCATGCATGTGTGTGTGTGTGTTTGGCTGCTTGTACTAGTCTGGACTGATGCCGATTTATAGTGCTAGCCCACTGAGATACATGCCGCAGTGCAGTTTAACATGAATACCCCACTCAGACACAGTATACTGACTCCGAGCCGACCAGTCCTGTTTTAGCCCCTTAATGCCGAGCGCCAGTCAGGGTAACAACAAGTACCATCTTTTAACCTCTTTTGGTATGACGCCGCCGGGGACCACCCCCCGAACCTTCCACTCTCCGGGCGGACGCTCTACCACTAGACCACGGAGGCGTTCGGCTCCCGAAGTGAAAACCTGAACTGAGAAGTGTTTACCGTATTCGATGTAATAAGCGCCCACAGCGATATTTGCTAATATATTGGCCAGTGAACAATCCCAATTAGCACCCCTTCCGATTAATCAATGTACACAAGACTTATTTATTCGCGTATAACACGCACTCATGTGTTATGTGCATACTTAATTATGGGCAATTAAATTCTGGAAAAATATGTCTGTCATATATAAACATTTCAGGCTGTCAGCATAAACCACGATATTTATCTTTCAACTCTGTTTTTTTCACTAAAGTAATATTCCAATAAGAGCCCCCTATGTCTAATTTTGAGAGCGCCCTGGGCACTTATTACGTCGAATACGGTAGTAGTAAAACACCACGGTCATGAGCATTGACCCTCGTGAACATGTGGGTTTAAATTAGTCTTCCACAATCCATGCTTGTCGTATGAGGCGACTAAAGGGATTGGGTGGTCAGACTAACTGACTTGGTTAATGCATGTCATATCTCAAATGTGTAGATCGGTGTGCATGATGTCGATCACTGGATTGTCTGATCCAGACACTATTACTTACAGGCCAGAGTCATGTAGCTGGAAGATTGCTGAGTACAGCGTTAAACAACAAACAATGAAACAAACAACAAGAACATTGAAGAAACACTAAGATAGCTCAAGTTAGACATTTCTATCAACTTCTGTGTCACATATAGATAGCTGTTGTGACATTTTGAAATTTGGGAGTAACCTCAGGTTCAGATGGCACATGTCTTTTCTCTACAAACACAAATAGGGATATTAATGTTGTGTTTGTTGCATGTATGATCTTCTAAACTATTGCCCTGGATGTGACACTGTATCTACTCCTCCTTCCAGACATGACGGTTGTGCTGCCTGACAACACGGAGTCTGTGTTACTGGGGTCGGCCATATTGGGGGCCAGGGCTTCCGGGGACTACACCAGCATCCAGGTACATACTCCTCATCTGACTGCCAGGGTCCACCCACATCTGACTGTCAGGGTCCACTCACATCTGATTGTCATGGTCCACTCACATCTGACTGTCAGGGTCCACTCACATCTGACTGTCAGGGTCCACTCACATCTGACTGACAGGGTCCACTCACATCTGACTGGCAGGGTCCACTCACATCTGACTGACAGGGTCCACTCACATCTGCCTGGCAGGGTCCACTCACATCTGACTGTCAGGGTCCACTCACATCTGATTGTCATGGTCCACTTACATCTGACTGTCAGGGTCTACTCACATCTGACTGTCAGGGTCCACTCACATCTGACTGACAGGGTCCACTCACATCTGACTGGCAGGGTCCACTCACATCTGACTGACAGGGTCCACTCACATCTGACTGGCAGGGTCCACCCACATCTGTCATGGTCCACTCACATCTATCAGGGTCCACTCACATCTGACTGTCAAGGTCCACTCATTTTTTCAAGGATTTTCAGGGACAGTTTTTTTTTAAAATTAATTTTAAAATAACAGCTCTCACCCCCCACCCTTGTCCTCAGAATATCAAATAGTCGATCCTTTTTGTGAAGAATCATTTATTCTCATAGTAAATGTTATTTTCAGGATGCAATGGGAAAGATGGGAGGCAAGGGTTCAGTTGTGATGCCAGACCAGAATGTTCGTCAGTAAGTTGCCTTGTTAGATAATATTCATCAGTAAGTTGCCTTGTTAGATAATATTCCACAGTAAGTTGCTGTATTAGCTTAGCAGCTTGTCCAATACTCAGGAGTACACAGATATAATTTCATGACGTGTATTTGCATTGAACAGTTTTTGGTGCAACTTTCTATTAGCATGCTACAGTGTAACAATGTTAATTCAAGCCATTCTTAATAAATCGAGGCTTCTGTAGTTTGAGACAAGGGAATGCAGTGATAAGACAAGAGTGTTGATAAGGCCTCGGTCAGGGCTGCACATTCACACAGCCTTAGACGATGTATTGAGTTTCTGGAATTGAGCTTTCACTGTTGGTATTTGTTCCAGTTTTGTTAGTTTGTTGTTTACCTCCTCACTCAGCAGTTGTCCACCAATGTGATGATGGCTTGTATATATTCATCTTCCCGAGGCAAGAGAGTAACTGACTATAAAAGTCAAGTTTTCACCCTTGCGAACTAGGCTGGAATTATGAAGTTATATTTTGGCTGGACTAACGAGTCTATGCATAGTCCAATCAAAACGCGTTACAAAATCGACATCCGGTTCTTAAACAACATGGATTTCAACGTGCAGATTTCAGTCGAGTGCAGGATTTGCAATGATGTGTATCACCAACTGGGTGTCAACAGATATTTTCCAAAACGTTTCATGTTCTTATTGAAGGTGCTCACCTTATTTGATGCACTGTAAGACCCATTTGATTACAATTTAGATCTTGGTCATCGATCAGATTGACTGGGCGTCACCATTTTGTTTGTTTTGTCACAAATGGAAGTGATATGAGTGGTGGAATCTGATTGTTCAATAGGAGGGTCATAGAAGGGACATAACTCACATGTGGCACTACAATCAAGCCCAGAAATTCCAGACTATTTTGGCAAGGGTGGAAACTGGACTTTTACTATCAGTTAACTTCCCTGCCTCAGGAAGATGATATAAAATCGAGTCTGGGATAGACAAACCAGTGACTGACATCATGAACAACATCCCTTGCCATATGGGTATGTTAAGATGCAATCAAGCAAATAAAAGTCTGACCACCTGATTAAGTCTATTTGTACGACAAGCATAGGTTGCTGGGCACATGCTCTAACTAGGTATCTGGACATGGTGTTCTGGTGACACAAATGACATCATGTGATTGTAGGTATCATGACAAGAAGTACCAGGTGTACTTGAAGATGTTAGAACACCAGCAGGAATACACACAGATCATGACCCAGTGAAGGAGAAGAGTGAGCATGGAGGAACATGAGCAGAAAAACAGATTGTTCCACACACAGAGTTCTGGCAGCAGATGCTCCGTAGGCTGGTGAAGCCTGTACGTTTTCTGGACATGATTCGAGAGGAACCTGAAGAGATTAATGTCCATGATTTATCCCAGGTGGACTCAGGAGCCATCGGCGAGAATGTATTCATAATCAGAGCTATATCTCTTTCTTATGTATTGCTGGAATCAATAATTTGAATTATTGTAATATAGTCGTGGCAGGGAAGAAAATGGGTTTATCCATTCAAGGTGTTGCATGCCGAGGTATGACTTGAATAAGCTAAAAATTAACACAAAAGAGAGCTGAATGTGATTTTGTTGTGGTTCAATCTAATTAACACAAAAGAGAGCTGAATGTGATTTTGTTATAGTTCAATCTCATTGAAATCAGACCTCAGTTCTTGCTACTGCTTAACAAAGATCTGAGGACATCCCATTAGGGATCACGTCAGAACGACTTTTCATCCGCCCAATCAGAGCGTCGCTTACCAGATCATGAAAGTGACCGTCGGAATGTGATTTCTAATCATGCAACCACGAGAACTTTAACACGGGGAATTCCGAACGATAGTTACGGGTTTAACGACCAAATCCATACACTCTAGACCATCTATTAGCCATTCCAGAATGTTCTTTTGTTCAGGTTTCAAATTTTTAGTCGAGAATTTGTCAAAATATGTTTCGAAGCGTTGTCGCCAATTTGAAATTAGTGCCGTAAAGCACGAGAAAACTGTCTTCTGATTGGTCATTCCATTGGTCGGTCAAAGTTCGCGCAAGGTCGGTCTGACGTGATCCGTAATGGTATGTCCTCAGATCTTTGTTTAGCGGTAGCAAGAACTAAGATCTGATTTTAATGAGATTGGTTATGGTTTAACACTGTGTTGCAAGATCAGGGATAAATAATTTTCAGTATCGAAGGATCAACAAATTTGTCAGCCTTCCCTGTTTTGTGTATTATTGGAAGCTGGTAATGGTTCCATTGTGAACAGAGGTGTTGGGCATCATTACGATGTGGATGTTAATTCTGAATGGGGAATAACCAGTTTTACTCATATCTGATTGGTAGATGTTACTAGTTGTTGAAATTGACCTTACACCAGTTGTTAAGAAGAATATTATATTTATGTATATCATAATGTTTCATGAATTCTCACATTGAATCATCATATCACAAGATTGACATTGCCATGTATAAATGTCGACAAAATACACACTTAAAAAAGTATCTTGACCTCGGTGAGGTTATAGTTTTGTTCTGTGTTCACATTTCATCTACCACTCTGAAGATCAGGGTGAGAATTGGGCTTCAACACCCCATGCTTGTCGTAAGAGGCAACTAAAGGGATTGGGTGGTCAGGCTCCCTGACTTGATTGATGTGATGCATGTCAACGTATCCCTTTTGTGTAGATTGATGCTCATGAAGTCAATCATTTGATTGTCCTGTCCAGGTTTGATTATTTACAGATCTCTCTCGTTTAGCTGGTATATTGTTGAGTGTGGTTTTAAACAAACAAAACAAAATCATATTTCATCTTTTCTCAAAAGAATTGCAAATTGATTAGCTGGAACATTCCACACTGCATTCAAACATTCACTCACTCACTCACTCCTGAGGACTGCATCATGATAATCACTATGAAACATACATTACATATCCCGTGTAATTTGATGTTGTTAATTCAGCCCGACTCAGGCTATATAGGTAGGACTATGGCGGGTCGGAATCTGTGGGCGGCCTATTTCAGGGTAGAAATGCACCTCCATCTGCTGTACGACTTGAATCCAGCTATGATGCTGTGTCGAAGTGATGTCAAGGAGGTGAGCCACCCTCTTGTCCATGTGCTTCTGTCTTGTTACCAATATACTAACCTTGCTTCTTTATTGATAAGTTTCCACATATCTGAAAATCTGCGCTCAGTCCAACCATGTATTTGACTTTGTTATGTTTTAAGTATACCTTCAAACAAGATATTCTAGACTCTTGCCACATTTTATATCATGATTACAAAGCAGAAGAAACAGCAATATCTTTATTTACTGGCAAGAAGGGGTGAAATAATAGATTTTTGTACATCATGAAGTTTCATGGGACAATACGATATGATACGTGTTTTTTTTCTGTATTGATACAAGACGATATACTTGCTGGGATAAATTACTTACTACTCGTTTAATGAGAAAGCAGTTTTGTGACATATCTTGAGATGAGTGTAATTAGCGTTTTAAGTTCACTACTAAAAACAGCCGCTACGAACATGTGACTACAGCTAGCTTTACCTTTTGTACCTGCTCTGAAATATTTATAGTCAAGAAGTTTCTACGCAATTTTATGTAAATACATGTATGCGTATCGTGATATGTATCGTTTCACCACTACTGGCAAGTTGTGTGTTGTTCCTAGAAAGTCAGATTTAAACTGTTTGTTAGTGGTTAAAAATGAAAATGACGAGAATGAAAGGTGGGTGAAAGTGATGGGTATGTTGTTGACAAAGGATCCCGATCAGTGTGATGGGACTCTAACTCATGATGGGTGGATCCTGGTGTGACAAAGGGGTGCAACTCTTTACAAGGAATGGTGACCCTTAGATGACTTAAATCTGACCTGAGGCACCAAGTACGTTTCCAGTTTGCTTAGGAAAGATTGATGTTGCATAAATGAATTCCAAAAGTTCATGCCTTTAGAGAACATGCTGTTCTGTTTGGGTCCCAATGCAACTGTCAATGACCTCCTGGCTGTCATAGGAGGCTTGGAAATGCATTGAGTGAGCAGTCTTAGCAATTTACCAACAAGATCGGTTGAGGAAGAATTGAGCTTCACACATTGTCCACACGTAGGAATTGAAAACAAAAGACTTTAACCTCTGGCTACTTCGCCATCTCTAAATGCATTCACAAATAGCATGGGATCGGGTGGTCAGACTCGCTGACTTGGTTGATGCATGTCATCGTATCCCAATTGTGTAGATCGATGCTGATTATGTCAATCACTGGATTATCTGATCCAGACTCAATAATTAACTAGACCTCCATCATTTAGTTGGAATATTGCTGAGTGCGGTGTTAAACACCTGTGACAGTGTTGACAATATGAACCCAGCCTGCAGATAATCTCAAACACAAACTTCACAGTAATCATCCCACTTTGGTTCAGCATTTAAGTATCAATCAAAACAAACAAGCACAGTGTATTAATATACAACTACATTTATTTCGTAATGACTGTGTTTATGTACAAGTATGTAACAAAATCCAATCTGCAGAACAATGAACATCATCTGCTTGTTTTAGCGAATCCAGTCACATTGTGACCCCACTATGGCTTCCATCCACACACCTCGTTACAGCCGACATGAGAGCGTTCCAAGGCATGCAGTCTTCACCAGATACACTCTGCATGCTCAGAAAGGTTCTCATAATCATGTTCCATTTAATCTAAGACTTGACATTCATAATGTTATAAATGTTCTGAAATACAGGTTATTCTTCAATCTAACGTCTCAACTCATATGTCTCCTCCCTTTTGAACAGTGGTGTTTCAAATTTTCACTTGTACCAGTTATTAGTATGTTCAATGACTGTTTGAATGAATTCTACAAGAAACTTGTATACAGCTTAGCATGAAACATTGAAACCCTCGACTACATTAATCCAATAAAAGTGTTTTGCGTGGAGACATGTCCTCTCCCATATTCAGTAGAATCAGAAGAATCTTTTCAGAGTGAGTGAGTTAGTGATTTGGGTTTAACGCCGCTTTTAACAGTATTCCAGTTATATCACGACGTGTCAGCTTAATGTGGGAGGAAAGCCCGAAGTGATGCAGGCCTCAGGCGTTTACCACTTCGGTGAAACCCACGAGCACGGGTATGGTGCTGACAACCCTAGAAACATAATCGGGGCGAACCGAGATTCGAACCCACAATCATAGGTTTCTGGCGTGTCCAAGGGACGCAACTCTGCACAGCGAATCGCGGTGCCTTAGACTGGGCCACCCGTGCCCCCGAATCTGTTCAGAGAGCTTGGGAGAAAACTGTTCTGTCTGATAGTGTTGATAATCAGTTGTTGACACATATGATATCGACCATCAATGTTTACAGGAAATGTTCAACTCACGAATATATTACATTACCGCCATCATAATGTACATGCAACTATTCAGACATTTCCAGTTTGAAAGAATAAAGATTTGAAATCATGATTAAAGCAGATACAATTTATGTAACCTATACAAAATATTGATTGATGATAAACTTAATGATTGGTTGGAACAATTAAATGGCCAAAGATGAACTACCCAACACAAGGTCCTTGCTCCTGCCAACATGGTTTCTATACCATATTTCAGGTGCTACGTTCCCAAGATAGTGACCAGTCAAGGGCGAGTAACTCCCATGCCATGTCCTTTTTGACAAATATTTAATGATAAACTCACTTTACCTACAAACATGTATATTCAAACAATTTCAGTGAGTGAGTTAAGATTTATAGTCACGTCGGCAATATTTCAGCCATATCCTGACTACCAATCAATTACAGACCAAATTACACCTAAAATATATATATAAAAAACACCTAAAATATAATTTTACTCCATTTGGATAAAAGTATTGCCAGAAGAAATTATTGTATTTTCTGTAATTATTATAATTATATATTCTGTAAACAGTGAGCAAGTTAACACTGCTTTAAACAGTATTTCACAGCATGTCTATTTAATTTGAAAGAAAAACCCAAAGTGAGGCATGTCTCAGATGATAACCACCGAGATACCACGCTGCAGTTTAACATGGATACCCCACTCAGACACAGTATACAGACTCCAAGCTCACCAGTCCTTGTTTCATCCCCTTAATGCCAAGCACCAGGCAGGGAAACAAAAAGTACCATCTTTTAACATCCTGTGTTATGATGCGGCCATCGAATCAAACCACCAGATCTATCCACTACACCAAGTTCGTCAGTAAGAAATCACCCAAGCTGACACAGTTGCAGCAGCATAGAAAACAAAAGAGCACCCCTGCATTGTTTGCAATAGGAAATAGCAGTCACTTCCTGGTAACAAGCTTGCCCCCTACTCAGTTCCTAGCCTCCACGCATCCCCTTCCATACACCAACAAACCCACAGGGGTAAGAATATAGGCCCCTAGCAACCTATGCTTGTCGTAAGGGGCAACTAAACAGATAGGGTGGTCAGACTCGGTGGCTTGGTTGATTGCATGTATGCCATCGTAGCCAAATTGCGTAGATCCATGCTCATGATATCAGTCACTGGATTATTTACCGACCGCTGTCATATAGCTGGAATATTGCTGAGTGTGGCGTTAAACAGGGACCAAATCAAACCATTCGATTCATAGGCTTGGATACAACCCTCCATTATGGTGGAGTGGAGTGTATTCGAGACTGTGAAGTTGTGACTATGATAGAGTAGGCTAACTGCATTACACCCACACACACACACAAAGTATTGCACCTTTTGCGTAAAGCAACATTTACTTTCAAAGTAATATCCCCAAAGATCATATTTACCATGACAACAAAAAATGCCTTACAACAACAAAATCATGACATTCTTGAAACACCTGCCTTGCAACATGGCGGTTTGAGGAAATATTTACTAATGCATAAAAGTATTTATATATACATACATGTGTTTTGTGAGTTCATGTTTTCTAAACTGGCAAGAACACAATTGGCAGATATGTAAACCAGGGTACAAGGTTCAGGGTGAAAACAAGTGTTAACATCGTTAATAAAACAATTTTGACTACCGTATTTGACGTAATAAGCACCCAGGGCGCTCTCAAAATTAGAAATAGGGGGCTCTTATTAGAATATTATTTTGAGTTGTAAGATCGTAAATTTCGTGGTTTATGCTGACAGCCTGAAATGTTTATATATGACAGATATATTTTTCCAGGATTTAATTGCCCATAATTAAGGGTGCATATAACACACGAGTGCGTATTATACACAAATAAATAAGTCTTGTGTACGTAAACCAATTGGAAGGGGTGCTATTTGAGATTGTTCACTAGCCATGTATTGGCAAATATCGCCGTGGGCGCTTATTAGAGCAGGGCGCTTATTACGTTGAATACGGTAATCATTTTCTTATTTTCTTCACATTTAGCAACCTATTCATATTTCAAGTCTTATCACGGTGAGATTTCACCTCCTACCACTATATCTATGTTCTCCCTGTAGGGGACAGAAGTCAACAATACCAATAAGGCAAGGAAGACCCAGAGTTCAACATGGGGACACAGAGAGATGTAATGCATAACCATCTCACTCATCTTCCTCTATCTGCATAAGATTTGAAGATCACAGTTGCCTCCTTGCATTGCAAAGCCCATCCCTCTTTCAAGTTTGTTTTAACACTGAACATTTTTTGATTACACCATGGCTTTTTAGCATTGTGATTGTGGAGGGGTGACACAGCTCGAGAGGATGAAGGGGTTTAACGTTGTGTTCAAGATTATTGCACTTTTATAGCCTCGTACGTGCATGTGTGTGTGACTGCTTGTACTCGTGCAGACTGATGTCGGTTTTACAGTGCTAACCCACTGAGATACCAAACCACAGTTTAACATGGATACCCCACTCAGACATAGTTTTCTGACTCCAAGCCGACATGTCCCTATTTTAACTTCCCACGTCCTTGTGGTGCCAACACGAATCAACCAAGTCACCAAGCCTGACCACCATATTGTCGCCTCTGCTGACAAGCAACAGGTTGCTGAAGATCTATTATAACCTGGAATCTTTGACTAGAGCACTAGTGCAGTGTTAAATCAACTTTCCACCAATAAAAGACTAATATTCTGCCACTGGTTGTTGATCTTTGGAAAATGTCAAATTGTGAAACTTGATTCTTTGGTTTTCTCAAATAATGTGTTACAGATAACATACCTTTGACAGGTACAGACATGCATGTTCGATGTAATAGAATGGAATTGCTTATCTTACAAAATAGTCATCATGCACTCATCGTATGTTTCATATCAGCATGCTGCCTTATTTGACAGTTTCAGCGGGAGAAAAGGTTATTTCAAAACTACTTGTTGTCTGTTTATCTTTGCTCTCTCTCGTCACTCTCTCGTCACTCTCTCGTCACTGAGCAAGCAGAGTAGGATGTGACCACAATTCTGGCAATCTTGCAGCCCTGTATCTGTGGACGAGAGTATATTGTGACTGTTGTGCCATACTGGGAACTGAACCCAGGGCTTGTGAATGAAGAGCCGTGGCAGAAACTGCTGTGCCAACTGACATCATTGATAAGTCAAACTCGTCAATCGGTAAGAATTTTAGTAAAGCTAATGAAAACATAATCATTTGTCAGGAACAGTAAAAAAATACGGCAACGGAGTTGGTACATTTTGGGCGTGTAAAAATGCAAAACTGTTAATATATTCAGGAAGCACAGCATGCCAGGAAAAAGACTAATACAGTGATGATGTAGACAAATGGCTCCTATAAAGGTAAGGACACACGCAGGGCAAGCAGCAGGCACCTCATGATGTCATGGTGTTACAAAGGGGGAGAGTGTTAGAAGCACTCTAAGCTGAATGCCCTTGCCAGGCAAATTGGTGGGAAAATATGTATTTTGTCAACAACAAAATTACTACTATTTTTGTTCTTTTGTTTTTCAATTTAGATTCATTTTGACAATTTACATATATTGCATTAACGCAAATCTAAGCATGAAAGCCTTTCCTATCCATTGGTCCTGTACATAGTCATAACATTAGTTATACTGTATAAGCATGAACTTGGGAAAGGGTTCATTCCAATTTGGAAATTATTACGAACATTTGTTGCAGACTTAGGGCCGAAATCAGCCACTGACTAGGTCTAGATAATCCCTGTGATGTCAAAAGAACCAGATAAAGCTCTGGATATTAAACATATCAGTACTGTTACAGAATAATTATTCACTTTTACTGAAATAAGGAGAAAAAGAATTGCCTCCCTAAACTTGAGACAATATGTTGAGTCAGCATTGTTTATGAAATGATTATCTCCCCTGGCTTGTGAGGGACAATGATTTTTCTTCCATTCTAGCTATGGGACAATGACTCCACCAGCATTAAACCCATATGGAGATATGAACATATGCAGCGCGATGAGCGACTGCTTTGACCACTAGGGTCCAGTAGCACTGTAAGCCTTGTCACTTCTCACTACAAAGCTATAGTTTGCATTCAAAAGAAGGTGAAGTAGGTGAATGTAACATCTGCCACAGGCAAAGTGGACACAATTTATGGACAACTTCTTTAATTACTGTAAAGCCTTTACAGTAATAAAAGAAGTTGTTATCCATAAATTGTGTCTACTTTGTCATCCGTCAACTTCTAAGTAATGCCTATCAAACAATTCATCTGCCACAGGGATAGACACCAGAGCAAATTCAACTCACCTCCAGGTCAATCTGGACTAGTGCTACATAGAAGTAGATTTGGGGAGACATCAAGTAGTCCTTCTAGCTTGTCCCTGTCTTGCAACTAACAGACTGGAGTGTGTGTATACCCCTGCATCGGTTGTCTATGAAGGCTGTTTCAGATTCAGGTCAACCATTTACATTAGTGCATCATCTCGCTTCGTCTAATCTGATCTTGCGCAGCTAACACTGAAAACTGTCACTGACCTTCCAGTTGTTGGTATATCCTGGTAGCTTTCATCATCGTCTTCATCCATCTGATGCTCATTAATCGCTTTGTATTGTTAGCCTGTATAAGGTCAGTTACCATGGTTTCCTGACCAGTAATCCTTGAGGAACAAATCTAACGGATATTTACTTCAGAGAAGTAAGAATGACAAGAGTGCATCAACATGATCAAGGATGAACGAGGCTGGTTTATCACATTTATCACTAACAAATCAGGAATTATTCTCAGGTTGTTGGGATGTTAATTAGAAATACAAGACCATTAAAATGAGGAAAACATTTTATCCGTACAAAGTTACAGCAAATGTTGACGCAAGTCTCAATTTCTGTTAATGATAATTACCAGTACTGTTACCATGGGTATCTCCGAACACGCTCGTTAGTAGTGTGTATAGACAGAGAAGCATGACCGCAGTAGAACTCGCCTACAAAAATACTTCATACACAAGTCAGAGATTCTTTGCTAACATTGCACAAGACACTTGTCATATCTACAGTTTTTTATGGCAATGCTGTCAGAAGAACCATTTCAAACAATTGTCCTTCAACAATAGAAGTCAGTGGCGTATCTTCTCAATGAACATTGATGTGACTGTAAACATGTTGATAACGATGTAACCATGGCAGCCACTTGACACACTTCAGTGTCACACATGTGGCAACAGGAAGACAGCAATCCGTTAATACGTTAAACTGATGTCTGTTTGATCCATCACTGGTTTCCACATCAATTAGCATATCAAGTTCTACACCTTGAAGTGAGCTGGTCTGTTGCCACGGTAACTTGATGAGACTGCTGCCATGGTAACTCAGTCAGATTCAGATCGTACTGTAAATGAGGATGAGAAACTTTCACAGGATGCTGTCAAAGAGGAAGGAAACACCAGAGATTACTCTATGTTTTCATACGAAAAAGAATTTTGCGATTCAAAGTCAATTTTTTACATGAAATGTTAGTAGAAAAAAGTTGTATTAAAAAAACATTCATTGCGATCAGGATCAGTTTCAAAATCAACAAAAATGTTGAAAATAGTCAATTACCTCCCCTTTGACCAGCCAATAATATTGCAATGAATGATGTGATGAAAGTCTGAAGGGCTGTCTACCCTCATACAGGAACCCTCAATACAACTGTTCACAGGGTCAACAATCCCGACCCTGTGTTAGGCCAAAACCAAAACATACTTGTGTTTCGGTAACATAATCCAAACAGAAATGGGTCTTAGAAGGCTGTTTTATGTTTAACATTCTTTTATAATGTAACACAAATCGCTCGTTTTTATCTGTTTGTTCCCAAACTTGTAGGTCACAATACCTCAGCAAAGATAATATTAGGAAGTAACCAATGTTTTTCAGAATGTAAAATATGGATTTCATCATAACTGTTTCCAGCTGTGATGAAAACATTTGGGTTGCAAGTGAAACAATGGGTTGGTCGGGTTATCTACAACAAGTTGTGTTTTTTCCTTGGTATTATATAGGTGTTAATGATTTCAGAAAGTGTTGCCCTCAAAACTGACTGGGGATTCTATGTGCATCCCATTCATGTATCATGGGTGTCTGACATAATTTTAAAACCCAACAAGAACATATTATCTGAATACAACAGGAACGTTTGCTTGGTTTCAGAATATGGCCCAAATAATCGTAAGCCTATCATAAAGTATGAGAGTTTCGATCACCTTAGCGCTAAGATCGCATGATGGACCGGGGCCCAGATGTGATTTTCAAAGTTACTTGTGTTGTTCCCCATGAGGAACAAGGAGCGTGACAAGTTTGGGCAAGTGACCTACATTCATCTTGCAGGCTAAAACAGTTCACAAACGTATTGGATATTAGTATTGTCATACATGTACTGTATCAAGATGTCAGGTATTAATACAAAACCATATGTGTTTAGGAGGTCATCAAAAGGTATAAAATAAACGAATGGTGTTTACAAGAATTTCTCACAAGATTTAAGTTTAACACTAAGAGTTTCAATTTACTGTTGAGAAAGTAAGACATAGCTGCCACATTGACACAAGTTTGACAAAATGTTTTTGATCTTGTGTGCCTACATAATTTCTCAATCCATTGGGATGAACATCAATGATCAAATGTAATGATGAAATGTGTGACAAAAGTCAGAGACAAAGGCTGTGATTGGTTAAAATACAAACTGCCATTTTTTAATATGGCATAAGACATAGTTTGTTCGAAATGAGACAAAAATTCAATGATCACTTTAAAATCACAGAAGAGTGAAATGAGAATGAAATTGACCAATCCAGCTTATTATTCCCGTCAAAGAACAATACTGCATCTGTAACGCATACCATTCACAGTCAAAGGTGGTCAAATGTAGATGGACATGTGAACCTAACGATGAAATCTTTGTTTACTCGGAAGTGTCTCTGATAAAATTAACAGCAGCTCTTGACATAATTCAGGGCACCAAAGAGAGAGTGAGTATGGTTTTACGCCGCTTATAGCAATATTCCAGCAATATGACAGCGGGAGACACCAGAAATGGGCTTCACAGGGGTGCCAGAGATGCCTGAGATTTCCCTGGTAGATGTCCATCACGGGGCGTTGTATCGAGGGTTGCCTGTATGACATTTTCAACTAACATGGAAACTGTTAATAATTTCAATGTAACTTGACAAAATATACCATCATATTTACTCTTTATAAAAATACATACATTATTGCCATGACTGAAGGTATGCTAGTATTTTTGAGTATTTCTGTCATTATTTGAGCGTGTTTCTGTTTGTTTGTTGCTTAATGCCGCACTCAGCAATATTCCAGCTATATGACGGCGGTCTGGAAATAACCAAGTCTGGACCAGACAATCCAGTGATTGATAACATGAGCATCGATCCACGCAATTAGGATATGATGACTTGCATCAACCAAGTCAGTGAGCCTGACCACCCGATCCCATTAGCTGCCGCTTACGACAAGCATAGTCGCCTTTTACGGCAAGCATGGGATGCTGAAGATCTATTCTAACCCGGGTCTTCATGGGTCCTGAGTGTGTGAGGTACCCACCTTCTGTTTCTGGGTCCTGTACACTGCTGTCGGACTCCTCACGTCTTAGGTTGGTGGGTGCTCCTTCTGCTTGGTGTGGGGCTGTTGGCTTTCTGGAAAAAGCACAGTGGGTTAGTTGGGCTTAATGCTGCTTTGAACAGAATCTCAGTTACATCATGATGTGGCAGTTAAAAATGGAAAAACAGCTCAAAGTGATACAGGTCGAAGATGTTTACCACATTTTTTAAATCCCCAAACACATTGTCATCCTCATGAGGCAAGGGACTATAAAAGTCCAGTTTCCATCCTTGCCGAACTAGGCTGGAATGATGTCATATGTTGGCTGGACTGATGAGTCAATGCATAGTCCAATCAAAATCGCACAACAAAATTAACACCCGGTTAGTAAACTGCCTTGCAGATTTCGGTTGATTGAAATACTTGATACTGTTCGGACCCCACAATTTGAAATCCAAATGTAGTATGTTGTAGGCAGAAAGGATTTTGATATTTGGACCCCTCCCTTGCAGTGAGTGAGTGAGTTGGGTTTAACGCCGCTTTTAACAGTATTACAGTTATATCACGGCATGTCAGCTTCATGTGGGAGGAAAGCCTGAAGTGATGTAGGTCAAAGACATTTACCACTTCGGTGAAACCCACGAGCACGGGTATGGTGCTGAAAAACCTAGAAACATAATTGGGGCGAACCGGGATTCGGACCCCCAATCATAGGTTTCTGGCATAGCCAAGGGAAGCAACTCTTCACAGCAAATAGCGGCACCTTAGACGACTGGGCCACCCGTGACCCCCCTCCCTTTTAAAAATGCTGGATCTGCCCATGGTTTTACTACTTGTTTTGTGCCTTATGTTATGCCCAATAGTTTACATGTTGTCACTTATAAATTGAAATAAAGCAGCCTGAAAAGATGTCAATGTTACAACTGTTTTATATTCACCACCAAAATAAACATATGGAGAAGTATTAAGGAGAGATGTTTCAAATGTGTACCATAAACATTGGTTCACACAATATACCTGTATGTTCCTTTGTGCATCTTGAATATGAGTAATTCTTCTTACATTAACCAATGTGTATCGTATTCGCGTTCTGTTGGTAGTCAGTATACAAGATATACTTATCATAGAAGGATCAATGGTGTCCTCCCATTAGTTAGACGTCCCAATAGTTAGACAGCTTATAACAACACTTTAAACGGTTGAGTGCACACTAATCCTTATGCTTGTTACCTCAGACTTTAAAATGGAATAGTCCAGATTGGACAAACAAAGCAAAGCAGCTTTAAATAGATACTTTAATATTATACTTAACATTTAATGACACTTCCACGCCGAGAGGTGAGATACTCTACTTTCCTTAAACCAGCCATATCGATACTGATAACGATACGTACCCCAAGATCATTTATTATGAGTAGATAATCTAAACTCAACTCCTTCAACTGATCATACAGTAAGACAATTAAGCTACTCCATAGTTTACATAGTTAATCTCATGCCTATTGAACCTGTGCTGAGAGTAAGGTAATTTTTAGGTTAATTAACCTTTAGCCTGCTGAATTATTTTCACACTTCTTACCCCTGCCTGCTGGATTAATTTTAGCATAAGGCGCTCTAAAGAGGGTGGGTGATTTCAAACAGTCGGTGCCTCATTAAACAATGGCCAATTGAAGAAATATTTTGCACATTTATTCCTGATAGAAAACTACACAATTCTATATAAAAATATCCTGGTGTTTTCAATTATACCAAAGTTTAAACCAAAACGAACACAAAATTTGTAAATTTTCTTGAACTTACCTGAATTGCGTTATTGAAGGTGGTTTGCATTTCATGCTAGGAACCTTTTAATATCGTAACATTTTTGCAAATTGATTTCAATAATCATATCTCCGATATCTTAATTTTAATTGAGTAAAAATTCGGGTTTTATAATCGGCACATATCAGCGCGATGGTAAATTATGAACCATTTCAGTGAATTTATTATCTAAACGTTAAACAGAAAAATAACTTAATTTTCGAGGTCATCATGTCGGTTGCAGAAATACGAATATTCGGGTAAATCTGACGTGTCATGTTATAAAATTTGCAGGAAACAATTAATGACTTATAAATATTCACTAATCCTAATTTCAAGCGTTTTGGTTGAATATTTACGATATACAAAAATAAACAACCCGTGTCATGATGCTAGCAGACGTCCTAAAATCAAACATGGCGCGCTTCGCCCGACCTCCGCATAACTTATTGCTATTTTAATATCAACAAAGTTTACATTGCCTTTATAAATATAACTTAACGAAAGTTGACGATCTTCTCAATCGAAGAATGTTTTATTCGTCATATTCCAATAAATATGACGAGAGAAAAATGAAAATAAAGATCGTGAATTCTGACAGCACTATTTCAATAAGTGCAAAGGTCACCGGATGTGATGTCACAGACAGGGGTAGTCTGCTGATAAGCTTTCGAAACAAAACAATTACAGTAAATTTTGAAATAGTTCGCCTATCACATACAGCAAAAATATAAGTCGATACACAGTATCAGTAATCACCACTAACATGAAATAAAAATGTGACTTTGACGATATAATTCGCGTATTAGTTAATCCGTTTGACCTTGCATGCTCCCGTGACCCGGAAACGGTAGACGATAAATCAACATGCCACATGCAAGTTTCTCGGTATCTTTTATTTGAACTTCTGTTGATATTTAAAAAATCACCATTCAATGTTGTGAATATAAATGGGACATGATTCATATTTCTGCGATGTACATGCTGATAAGTTTCACTACAACAAGTGTATCCCACGCAATACGTCTATGGATATCGTCGATCAGCAAGATCACCCTCAACAACAGGTGCGCGAAAATGGGCTTGACAAAACTTGTTTCAAAATTACATCCCCGCGTTGCCGAATATGATAGGGTATATATAAGCAATAAAATGCTACGTACATATTTTCGGTGTTAGTTCCACATTACATTTAGGATAGTTTTCCTTTCGGGAATACATTCATAGATTCTAGCATGATTTTAGAACAGTTTCACGAAGGATTTCTAAATTTATTCCAAAAATATGAAGACCACCATGATTGCGCATTGATGATAGATTTGTAATTGTTTAATTATTTACAGCTGTTTACAGGTTTTAAAATTTTAAGTTATATTTAATAGTTATTTTTCCCACAATGATGGTGTGTGGGGACAGTAAATATTAGTCTTTGCATCAGCACAGTGTAACTGATCAAACTTCAATTATTATCTTTAGTTTAAACATATTTATACAACAATTATTATCTTGCACTCTGAAAATCAACTATGTGAATAAGTAACTCTCTGATGTCATCATTTTAATTTTAGTATTCCATGAATAATGAATAAATCAGATCCTTAACATATACATACTAAACTCATATGGACATTAATCTTGTGCATTATGTGGTTTGTTTCCAAATAAAACAATTCTGAAATATAATTTAATAGGAATTAATTTAATTTAATTACAGTAAAAGTACTTGTAACAGTACATGACATTTTTGTTTGTTTAATCACAAGAACCATGGTGGCACATGAGCTGGTAAGTTTGCCATAGGTTTCTTAGAAAATGCTATCTCAGTCTTCTGGTTGGAATGAAAAGAAACATGCCTGTGTACATGTTTACCCTTGCCAGATGTATTTTTTCCAGTCAGCCAATCCATTACTTTTGTTCACCTTATGTGGTCTATTTTATACATACAGGTACTGCTTCCAACCTGTTTTTTCTTTGTATGCAATCACAGTATCACAACTTCCTCAGCTGGTGTGTATAAAAGTTCCCCTGTCATCATGAAAAAAGAATTATAAAGGAAAGTCATATTTTCATTCAAAAAACATATCTGTCTTTCCTTGAATACTCTTTGTCTAAGTGCCAGAAATGTCAGTGTCATAAAAAAAATTAAAAAAGATTTTCATAAGGACTTTTCTTAGATAGACCTAGATCTAAGTCAAACCATGTGACTAGTTAGGTAGAATTATAACCTTATAAGCCCTCATTTCTGAGGTGTCCATATTTTTCACCTTTTTAGGACTAAATGTGATCCGTGTAGATCTGCCTGTTTTGTTATGTAAAACAAATTCTTGTCTTAAAAAAATGAGAAAAGGAATCATTCATACGAATTTTTTTTATCCCATTGATTCACGAAAATCAATTGAAATGTACAGTGGTGACTTTTGTACCCAAAATTTCTAGTAATTTGTTACCCAAATGGGTATGTGATTTTGTAGATCTACCTAGAATTATTTCAAAGATATACATTAATTTGGTGTCTTAAACTTAACATAATATCACTTTCCTATCAAAACAATTCATTCTTACTTTAACCAAAATAACTGGCCTCTCCTTCTGTGACAAGACGTCAATTTTCTCTCAAAACTAAACAATCAATTTCAAGGATCACAGTCATAATCATATTTGGAACTTGATGAAATATTTTATTATGTGTTCTGTTCATCTACATGAAAACATAAATATAATTATAGATTATTGTCTTATTTTCTTAGGTACAAATGCACAAAGTATTTTGGGTACAATTTAATTTGTTTTGGGTACAAAATCACATATATATATATAAATAGGAGCCTAGAATCTATATCTATTTACACCTCGTTGTGTACCAAAATGTTATCGGTTCAGAGGACGGGAGGTTCTCAGAAAGTTTTCAACAACATCTTTAATATTTAAATTGTTCTTTTTGTAATGTTAGACCAATAACAATATTATGTTACTATTATGGCATATCAATACGTTGTATCGCTCTCCGTTGCGTTCGTTTTTAGAAAATATTTTAAAATTAAAATCATCGAGCGTGAAATCCATTACGGTTTCGGATTTAGACTTACACATTTGATGGCGACAATCACGAAGAAATATGAAACAAATAGGAGTGAAGATTGCTCTCCATATCAATAAATAGTAAATTATGTATTTTCTTTTGAATTTGAATCTATTTCGGAATTTCTTTATGATAGCTTACCAACTTTTGCATATTTTGCTTCCATGTGTCACATGCGGTACGTGCTTCCGGTTTCAGAAATGATAGCTAAAATTGCAAGTATTTTGATTATTTCTCGTAAAATGCATTATTTTGCTATTGAATGGTTTACCTAGAATGTATATCAGTTCAGATTTTGCGTTTCATTCAATATTTGTCATTTTTCGCAGTGTGTGTTGACTTTGTTCAACTCAACAAATCGCGAGTTAGGCCACGCCCAAACGTATCACTGACGTTTGTCGGCTTGTCAATGTGTCGGAAAGTTTATCAAACGAAATCATTTGCAAACTCTTTAAAAATGAAATTCTTTTTACAAAGATTTATACATACGTGTCAATAATTCTAGAAAATTAAGTTAGATGTAACAAAATGATTGTAATAGTCTAACGGGATAACTATGCATGTGGAGTTGTTTGTTTACCGCCGTTGCCATGATCGTACAAGTTCCATCCAATCGATGATGTTACGATTCAGATTGTTTTTGTTTACAATTAGTTACACCGAAAGTTGCTAATTTTTAGAAATAAAGGAACATGGGTGTTTTCCTTTCGTCAGCAAACAAAAAATTATGATCGAATAGGAAAAATGATGAAATTATAAAGAAAATATCGGACTGCATGCCGCTCAACGTGAAGTGCCAAAAGTCAACAATGGCCGTTTCTGGTAGTTGTGTGCCGAGAAGTTTGGCCGAAACATTTTAAACTCGCGATATTTTCTTTTTGAGGTAAATAAATGACTGAACATTTGATATTGAGCAAGCTGAGCATTTATGCATGTCATACGTAATTTAAATGTTACGCAAAGCCTTCTCGGTAAATAGATATGGCGAGTTTTATTTTGGGGTGTTGTTATGCTATTCGCCTGTCGAATGGGTTCGACATCAGATGCACGGGGATGGACACCTCTGTCGAATGGGTTCGACGTTAGCGTGCAGAGCTTTAAACGAAATTATAACATATATACTCCCTAAACTGTGAGTCCCCTTTCCCTACCCAGTACTTTAATCTAATTAGGACTGATCCATTACACCTGTAGGTATATTCCCTCTTTGCCCAAATAAACATGTCTAACAATTGGGACGTCTAACTAATGGGATGTCTAACTAATGGGATATAACCGGATCAATACAGGCTAAAATGTATCGATATAATTAGCAGCAGAAATAGTATCGTGATTATCGCAGTATCGATGTATCATCACATTTCTACTGCATTGTGCTGAGGACAAGTGAGTGAGTGAGTGAGTATGGTTTTATGCCGCTTTTAGCAATATTCCAGCAATAATACGGCGGGGGACACCAGAAATGGGCTTCACACATTGTACCCATGTCGGGAATTGAACCCGGGTCTTCGGCGTGACGAGCGAACACTTTAACCACTAGGCTACCCGACCGCCCCTGCTGAGAACAAGTAAACTGCAAAGATGGTGGTCCTCATGGACTAGTAGCATTTGAGTCAACAGCTAATTTACCAGAAGATAGTGACCGAGTTACAAAAGAGATAGTCGCCAAATTAGTCAGAGCAAGGTGATTTAACTTGCACCGGGTGCATATTGACATGAAAACCTAGTTGCACCTGACAAAACCAGGTTGCACCCTGGTCCCGTTCAAATTACGCATAACACAGGGATTATTTCTGTAGAATGGTAAACAAAGCTTATAGGTATTGAATGTGTTCAAAGACCCTTCCAAGTGGGGCTAGATCTGAAACAATTCAACATGCACCTGGTGCATGTAAACATAAATGTAAGGTTGCATGTTGCAATAATAGGTAGCACTGGTGCATTTACATAGCTGAATCAAGCCCTGGGGTACCAACATTGGAGAAGTCATGACAGAGAAACAATACTAAGGGCTTGTGAAACCGGCTATTAATAATTCGGCAATACAAACAAGAGTCATCAGAAGATGACAAATCCCCCCAGCCCCAACAATAGCAAAAGGCACCACTTCAGCCCCTTGTTAATACATACACCGAGTTTGTACGTTTTTCAAGTTACGATACGGAAATAAAATTATATGCTGGAGGGACAAAAAGTCCTATCATAGATGTTCTTACTTTTGTCGTTTCAAAGGCGAATCTTGTGCATCTGTAGAGTCGGCCTTCCTCTTCTCGCTTACTCGGTCATCACCGCGTGATCTCTCCTTCTCCTCCCACATTTTCAGCCTTTGGACTCGCCAATCAATTGCTCGCAAAATATTTTCACTGTCTTTGGGGGCAGCCTGAAAGAGGTAATAAAATCCTGAATGTGACGATTAGTCACTTACAGCCTTCCCGGTGACTCTGGGTTAGAATAGTTCCCCAGCAACTATATGCTTGTCGAAAGAGGCGAACAAATGGATCGGTTGGTTGATTGCATGTCATCGTATTCCAACTTCTTGGAACGATGCTCGTGACGTTGCCTGGTCCGAACTTGACTATTTTTAGACTGCCGTCATATTGCTGGAATATTGCTGAGTGTGGTGTTAAACAACAAACAAACACACAAATTATCGTACAAGTCTAATAAAGGGCATAACTGCCTTCATAGTAAGTGAGTGTGTGAGTAAGAGTAAGTGTTGCTTTACCCTATAAGGCCATCTAATCACTTCATTTACAGACATATTTCTGCAGACTGTAGGAGGACCTTTATTGCTCAGCACAATCCCCAAACTGCATGGAGGTCTAATCACCAATTTCAGAAATATCAGATATGAGAAATAGGGCAGGTCCAGGACACCCATACCGGGTTTTCCCTTTAGCTATTTAAAGGCATCAATGACCTGACCCCCACGGCATTCTGAGCAAGTTGCAGAATAGTTCCACGTTTTGTTGGGATTATCATTAATACTGAGATCGATTCTTACATCACTGTTGGCACACTGACTCATACAATCACTCCATTGAGACCCCCCCATTCCCATTTTAAACACTTCTCACAAAAATATGTGATGTGTTTGTGTGTTTTTTGTTTAACATGCAATATTCCAGCTATATGACACAGGCCTGTAAATAATCAAGTCTGGACCAGACAATCCAGTGATTGATATTGTGAGCAACGATCCACAGCATGAGGGTACAATGACTAAATCAACCAAGTCACAGAGCCTAACTACCCGATCCATTTGGTTGCTAGCATAATTTGCTGTTGACCTATTCTAACCTGGAATCCCCCGGGGTAAAAAAACATGAAGTACTACGAACTGCTCTGCCACCTCATAACAAGCATTCAGTACTTGAACCGATTCTTCCCTGGAATTCCGATAGCAGTGAGTTATTAGGAATTCATTTCAAAGTCAATGAGACAATCACCCACGATTTAACCAAAACGTTTGAACTGGCACATTACTGAGCAAAAAGTGTTCCGAAAAATATCTGAAATTGTGTTGACTGCATGAGACAGAATGATGAATGACATATTTCACTGTTGTAACTCCTTCCTGTACCAACAAAGAAACACATCTCAGAGCAGCAATTGATGCTTCACTTTCCATATTTTCTACTGTAACATTACTGACAATCCAATCTCATTAAAATCAGACCTTAGTTCTCGCTACCGCTAAACTAAGATCTGAGGACATCCCATTACCGGTCACGTCATATCGACCTTGCGCAAACTTTTACCAACCAATAGAATGACCGATCAGAAGGCAGCTTTCTTGTGCTTTACGGCACTAATTTCAAATTGGCGACTACGCTTCGAAACATATTTGGACAAATTCTCAATTACAAATTTGAAACTTAAACAAAAGAACATTCTGGAATGGCTAATAGATGGTCCAGATTGTATGGATTCAGTCGTTAAACCTGTAACTATCGTTCGGAATACCTCATGTTAAAGTTTTTGAAGTTGTATGATTAGAAATCACATTCCGAATGTCACTTTCATGATCTGGTAAGCGACGCTCTGATTAGACGGATGAAAGGTCATTCTGATGTGACCCCTAATGGGATGTCTTCAGAGCTTTGTTTAGCGGTTTAAGGTCTGATTTTAATGAGATTGCTGACAATTGAGTTTATTTGTAGCACAAGTTTCCACAACTCAGCAATATTCCAGCTATTACATCAAGGCCTGGCAGACCAGTGGCACTTCCCCTCTGGGTGTGGTGAAGACTCTCACGACAAGCAGGGGTACTGGGGACCCATTCCAACAGGAGATATTATTATTAAGAAGGAACTTCAGTACTCACAGTGACCAAGAAGACTTTGACACCATCATCGCCATCTGTTGCTGTGATACGTAAACTCTTGGAACTAGCTCTCTCCACCATCATGCCTGACCAGATTTTGGTGTTGAGTATTAGCCGCAAACTACCTTGTGTGCGCATAACTGAAACAAGAAAAAAGCACTGTCACCTAGGGATTCAACGACACAGAGTGTTGTGATACCGGGAATGTCACTGTACATACTGGGATATTTTGTTAAATGGATACAAGTTTAGGAATATCAATACTAAATTTACAAGAAGACAGAGTCATCCATTCCCCCAACTTTCTTGCATGCCTTCAATTGTAAATTGTAATGTTTTATTTCATTTCGGTGAAAACGATATGCACCAGTTGTAACTAGGCTAATAAATACATTTGCAAAGATTCATAAAGAAAAGTGTGCAGCTGTAAAAAGCCCTTCCCTAAAATAAATATCAAAGGCACCGATAAGCACTTGCCTGATGTGTATACAAAGTTTCAAGAAGATATACACATAAAACAGTTCGTAATTTACATACTTAAAATGAACCCTACCCTCATTTGAGCAAACACAAAAATAAAACAAAGGTAAAAATTTGTTTTTCAAAAACTTGATGTCTTCAATATGTTATCCACAGTGGTTACCGAGAAATTGGCAGTACTGTGACCCAATAAGGGCCATAACTCTGTAAAACATGAATTTTTCAAACTATGGATCAACATTTTTTATCCCTTAATGTGTGCAAAATTTCATCCACAGTGGTTTCTCATAAAACTTTTCCCCATTGGGGATTCCGGGCACCATATGTGAAACATGGGCCAGAACTCTGTCAAACATGTACTATCGATGATGTTTTCAAACTCTATCAACATATTTATCCCTTAGTGACGTTTGCCAAATGTCATCTTTGTATCCATAGTGGTGTCAGAAAAAGCCTGTCCCCGTTAAAGTCAATCGACAGACCTATTTCCTATGATGAGATGTACTTCCTTTTCAACAACGAACTCAAAACAGGTCCCTGCTGTTGTAAGTATGGTGAACAAGTTAGTTGTCGTGTCAATTTGAACAGTATTCAAAGTATTTTTTGGTGTATCAGGTTCATTTTGACTCGAAGTGACGTAGGCTGCAAATGTTTACCATTAACAGAACTGATGAGAATGGGTATGACAATGACAAAACTAAAGGATCACAGTTAGGTCAACTTATGATAAGCAGATCAAGTCGTACCTAAGGGAAGCAACTCTGTGGACTGCGATTGGGTGAGGTGTGAGGTGAAATTGGGTTGAGCACCACGTCCAAGATTATTGCACTTGCATGCGCATGTGTGTGTGTGTGTTAGGGGGGGGGAGCCTGCTGGTACTAGTCTGGACAAATGCCGATTTTATAGTGCTAGCTCACTGAGATACCATGCCACAGTTTTAACATGAATACCCAGCTCAGTCACTGTGTACTGTCTCCAAGCCAGCCAGTCCTTGTTTTAGCCCCTTAATGCCGAACACACGGCAGGGTATCAACAAGTACCATATTTTAACGTCTTTTGGTATGACATGGCCAGGGATTGAACCTCCGTGCTTCCTCTCTCCCGGCGGACGTTCTACCACTAGACCACAGAGGCAGACTGCAATCATGCCCCTATAAGAAGAATGGGCTTTACAATACTCACCTTCTGCTAACAAGCATTATACTAATAACTCCGAAAATTGTCCAAAAAACAACAATACATGGATTTGGTTGGTTACTGAACCCAACAGGCTATCTATTAATCAAATTTCATCGAAATTCTTCATTGTTTGTACAAGTACAATGTGTGAAGCCCATTCCTGGTGTCCCCCGCCGTGATATTGCTGGAATATTGCTAAAAGTGGCGTAAAATAATACTAACTCACCCTATACCGTGATGGCAGGAATGACAACGAGCAAGGTTTTTACTGACGGAAACATTATTGGTCAAAGTAATAAACATGTAAAACGAGGTACTCACTTAAACGAGAATGAAACTGCTCAGCAGGGTTTGATGGAGACATATCATTAAGTTTTAATACACCTCGGCCTCTTTCATTCCAATTCTGTTTTTCTCCATCAAATAAAAATAATTTACAATTTGCCTGCAAAGAAAGAAAAGCAAAAGTTAACAAATGAATACAACATTTGATCCACTACGAGCGAACAAATCAAGTTGCAGAAAACCGTGACAGGAAGTTCCTCCCCCACATTGTGTGATGATGACATCTAACTTGGGTTAGTTGGTTGGTTGGTTGGTTTGTTGTTTAACGCTGCACTCAGCAATATTCAAGCTATATAACGGCGGTCTGTAAATAATCGAGTCTTGACCAGACAATCCAGTGATTAATAGCATGAGCATCGATCCATGCAATTGGGATCGATGACATGTATCAACCAAGTCAGCGAGCCTGACCACCCGATCCCGTTAGACACCTTTCACGACAAGCATAGTCACCTTTTACGGCAAGTATGGGTTGCTGAAGACCTATTCTACCCCAGAATCTTCATGGGTCTCTAATTTGGGAACTTCTCAGGGGTAAAAACATTTACAATCCCTACAATATAGCAAACACTTCAGTTCAGAAATTAATATTCTACAAGTTTCTTTGCTTGTTTGTTGTTTAGCTCCACACTCAGCAATATTCCAGCTATGTGACCGTGGCCTGGAGATAATCAAGTCTGGACCAGACAATCCAGTGATTGATATTGTGAGCAACACAGCACACTATCAGGGTACGATGACACGCAATCAACCAAGTCACTGCGCATGACCACCCGATCTATTCAGTTGCCTCTTACGACAAGCATGGGCTGCTGGGGATCAGTTCTAACCCAGAATGCCCTTGTTCGATGATACCTTCACCAAAATAAATTGTGGTTTTAAGTCGGGACTAGCATGATTTGTATTTCATATTCTAGCCAGTGTTCCACTTCAAGGTGCCCCGTCAAAATCCTAATGCTAAAATCCAACTTTAAGAGGTCCCTACCCTGCCTTTATTTATAACCCTGCTGACATGACAGAAGTAGACTTTCACCGTAAGCACATAACAAACAGGATTTACAGTCAATATATCTACTGAAAGGCCACACAAATCAAAACTCAAGAAATATCTTGCCTACTGCATCGACTGGACAGATAGTTTGTGATGTAGCTCACCTGCAGTACATTAGATTCATCCTCCTCGCCAGTAACTATCTCCACTTCTTTAAGATCGGGCTTAACTCCGTGCTTGGCCTGGTACTCTCGCGCTGATTCCTCCAGTGTCTGCCCCCCAGAGTCTGAACAGATATGATGATTGTCACACATGTATACATCCAATGCTTAACATGTTCAAGCATTTTTATCAATCAATCCACTCACCAGTGAGAGCAACACCAAGGTCATTTAAGGTGGGGGGTGGATTTTGATGTCGTGATGTCGGCGAAATCGTGTGTGAAGCGATTGGAAGATCGCACAACTCACCATTATTAACAGCAACTAGGTCAGATTACCGCTATTGACACCTTTGACTCGTTAAAATTCATATTTGTTATAGCTTGACGATTCTATGTCAACACGTAGTTGTTGCGATCATGTGTGCGGGAGCCTCGACGGTGACTGGTCAAACTGGTTCCATGTGAAAAATAATAACCGGCAATAGCGATCAGCTGCTTCGCTTAGGGTTATAATTATTTTAAATATATTTAGTAAAAGCTGCAACTACAATAACAAGATATTGGAATATATTATTCCTGATAAAAAAATAGTTTCAGATACAATTTTTGCCGATCCTTGCATTAAAATCCTCTAAAGTTATATCATTGGTTGGGTGTGTCTTGACAGAATAACCGGTAGATTCCAAGAAAACGTGTGTACAGCTGATTGCTGTGTCCGGCTTATTTTACGAGAAAATACACAAGATAATCTTAATCCATGGATGTAAAACAAGGCCTAGCAGAACAAAAAGTACAATTTAAACGGTAAATCAACATGTCTGGTGATTTTTTATCTCAAATTTTATCTCAAATTTGAACTGACCAAGTTTGTCATCACCCATTCGTTTACCGGAATTCGCTGAAGGGGTTCAGTGTAATTTTTTCTGCCCATAATATTTAATTATTTTTTTCTCCAAAATACCTAGTCCGCTAGAGGGGGGTGCACATCATACTCGGGTGCGCAGTATACTCAAGAAAATATGTTTAGACTAAAAATAAAAAAGTCTTGGTTTTCAGGCGCTGATCGCATCATCATAAAGTGTGCCGCACATTTCCTTTTTATTTCCATTTAAAAAATAAAAAATAAAATCCTAATACTTTAAAACAATGCGATCCAAAATAGCACAGTCACTTTCCTTTACATTCGCACTGCTTTACTGAACATCTTGTGTTAGGGCGGTATAGGAGTTTGTATGCTTGTTTATATGGGGAGGCCCTTTCCCAGGTTGATAGTACACAACTGTACATTTGGATACATACTAGTTCGGAAAAACAGAACACCAACTGCCCGCACAATGTTTTCAAAGCCATTACCTGAGAACCAATTCTTTGACTTTTATACGCCTGTTATTCAACCTCATCACCAACACCTACTTACTAATTTTGTTTTAGAAGTGCTGTGAAGTGAAGCAATATGTAAAAGCAATTTCATATTCCGACTGGTAATTTGAATGGTCAAGGGGAAGTAACCAAGATCAAAATTGTTCTTAATTATCTCCCTTTGACAAGACCAAGGAACCCCTTCAGTGTTCAACTACCAAAAAGGTCAAAAAAATTTGGTTTTACTTTTTCAATGATTATAGAGAAAAAGCTGACAAGACATTAAAACATTTAGATCAATAAATCATACTTCATATTGAAAACTGTTCAGTAAAATCTGGAGGAGGCATGAAGGACCTACAAGATGCAGGAGCAAGATAAACCGAAGTTGTTGTATATCTCACCTGAGGGACATGACTCTGCTTCCTTCCCGTTTGTTTCCGTGTCAGGTGGGGGCGAACCTGCATCTGAATGGACGACTCTGTCGGCCAAATTCTGACCAAACACGAATCCTGACGCCGACTCACTGGCAGCCTGTGATGAAGACACTCCCTGAATTCACAAGTAAATCTACTGCTGAAACAACGCAGGCTACACACACGCAGGTGATACAAGAATACAGCTCATTAAACCCATAGCCACAGTTTGCTATATTGTCAGTGAGAGTACTCTAGGTAGCTCTCGCCACGGTCGAGTCCTTGAAAATCATTGTCTCTTGTCAGTGATTGTGTTCGCTATATTTTCAGTGAGAGTACTCTTGGTAGCTCTCGCCACAGTCGAGTCCTGGAAAATCATTGTCTCTTGTCAGTGGTTGTATCACAATGATAAACTACTTGTGATTTACTCCTGTTACTCGACAAGGTCTAATTTTTGAAGAACTGCAGGCAGAGACTTTCTATACAATATCCCTGCTTAACTTACAGACTGCTCTCAGTATCAAAAAACAAAAACTAATGTTTCTTTTATTCCAAATGTTTCTTTTTTTTTAAATATTACAACTGAGACAGATGAAACACTTGTCGAAAGAGGCAGTGAAGGAGATCAGATGGTCAGACTCGGTTAGTGCCTGTCATCGTATCCCAATCTATAAATCGATGCTCATGATGTGAATCACTGGATTGTCTGATCCAGACTCGATTATTTACATGTAGCTGGAATATTGCTGAGTGTGGCGTTAACAACAAACAAACAAACAAACAAACAAACAAACAAACAAACAAAAGCTTTTACAAGCTTGGTTTACATTTTCCAACTATCCCGAGCTACCTTTACTACAACACTAAGCAGTGACAGAACTTTCTATAAGAAGCAAAATTCCCAATGTAAAAAACATCCTCAGGGTAAGAAGTCCTACGGAAGAGAATTCATGGATGTCAACTTCTTTATTATAAGGAACACAACGTTTCAGACTATATGCTTACTCCTCCATCACCTGATGAAGGAGTAAGCATACACTCCAAAACATTCCTCATAATAATGTTCCTCATAATAAAGAAGTTGACATCCATAAATTCTCTTCCTTATGTGTATCACAACTAAATGCCTTTCAAAGACTTAATTAAAGACCTTTCTAAAAAGTCAGAAAGTAAGGTTAGGAAGGGTTAATCTTGCTGCAAATGTCATACCCATATACCCATGTCTGTGTGTGTAGGTCTGTACCTAAGTGATTGTATCTTCATATTAGTACTCACTGTGACTCGTTCTGTTAAATTTTGTCCGAATATAAATTCCCCTCCTTCAGCCCCCGCCGCTGATTTTGATGTAGAATCTGCCACACTGCAACACAATACACCGGGATGGGTCATGTCTCATGTTTCTGTCAACACACTCATGTCCAGCAAGTTGGCAGCAAACAATATATCATGCATAATACTTACTGTCTTTTAACTGTCATATCCAACTGGTATATATTCTTTCACACTTGGGAAAAACCATTCAGTGGATACTCGCAAAACCTCCTTTTATAAACGTACTGCCACTTTTGCCTATTGTATTGTAGGTATATTCCTATCTCATGTCATGACTTTAGTAAATGAAAAATGCAGGGACATTTCAAAACATTAGTCATCCAACAGGAGAGCAAACCCCAGTGTGCTGAAACAGACAGTCACATCAAAGATTTGCCTACTGCTTATGCAATGACATAAACACGTGTTCAAGCTTTTTAGCTTTCAAGAAAGGTAAAGAATTACCTGATCCCTAAAGTAATAATAAAAAGTGATGAACATTCTTTGATTTTAAAAGGTATCTGAAAGCTTGTATGATGCACACCTGTTTTCTGGGGCAACGGCTGCAGCGGCAGAGAAGAGGCCGTTGTCGGTGATCTGTTTGGCTGCCTGGGGTTTGTCTGGGCTTTTGACTGGGAGTGACGTGGACGACACCTCCTTGTCCTCGCTTGCTTCCTCGTCATCATCATCCTCCCCCTCCTTCGTGGGACTCTCTACACAAACACACATTACATCTTGTACATGATATAACAAACACAGGATTTATCTTGTACATGATATAACAAACACAGGATTTATCTTGTACATGATATAACAAACACAGGATTTATCTTGTACATGATATAACAAACACAGGATTTATCTTGTACATGATATAACAAACACAGGATTTATCTTGTACATGATATAACAAACACAGGATGTATCTTGTACATGTCACAAACACAGGATATATCTTGTACATGCTGTCACAAACACAGGACATATCTTGTACATGTCACAAACAAGGGATATATCTTGTACATGTCACAAACACAGGATATATCTTGTACATGATGTCACAAACATGGGATATATCTTGTACATGCCGTCACAAACATAGCATATACCTTGTACATGTCACAAACACAGGATATAATTTGTACATGCTGTCACAAACACAGGACATATCTTGTACATGCTGTCACAAACATAGGATATATCTTGTACATGTCACAAACAAGGGATATATCTTGTACATGCCGTCACAAACATAGCATATACCTTGTACATGTCACAAACACAGGATATATCTTGTACATGCTGTCACAAACACAGGACATATCTTGTACATGCTGTCACAAACATAGGATATATCTTGTACATGTCACAAACAAGGGATATATCTTGTACATGTCACAAACACAGGATATATCTTGTACATGATGTCACAAACATGGGATATATCTTGTACATGCCGTCACAAACATAGCATATACCTTGTACATGTCACAAACACAGGATATAATTTGTACATGATGTCACAAACACAGGATATATCTTGTACATGTCACAATCACAGGATATATCTTGTACATGATGTCACAAACATGGGATATATCTTATTCAAGTCACAAACACAGGATATACCTTGTACATGCCGTCACAAACATAGCATATATCTTGTACATGTCACGAACACAGGGTATATCTAGTACATGTCGTCACAAAGGATATATCTTGTACATGATGTCACAAACACAGGATATACCTTGTACATGTCACAAACACAGGATATTGATTGATCACAATTTCATTACATTACGGCATTTGGTTTTTCATTTGGTTTTCCTTCATGTTCTTAGGTGTTTACAAAACACAAAATACAGCAATCTAACAGAACCAGCTGTCCCCATCTTTCCCTCCAGGCAGACTCATGATCTGCACTCAAACAGAGATGACTTTGCAAATAGATTCAACCTGACAGCTTGCCTGCTATTCGCTCGGTTTTTTCTAGGCAGAAAAAACAAGGACTACTGACTGAAGGCCCTAGATTTTACTGACTTCTCACTTGTAACACCCCCCCCCCCCCCCGCCCCCATCAAGGCCCTCTTATGGTATGACCGTCTTTGTCTGGCACTGACATTTACAAGATGCCCAAGACTCTTGCTGACTGGTGACAAATAACATTCCCTCACTCACAATAACAAGGCTTCCAAGATGGAGAGCCTGGTAGACACCCACCTTTACTGTCAGGGGGCTGTCGAGGATCAGGTAGCGTAGCAGGCTTGAGTATTGATGACTGAACAGCAGGTTGTGGTGAGGTCCGTCCTGAAAAATGTTTTTAGATACAGGAAATATATAAATACAAAAATAACATATTCTTGGTTCTAAGACACAGCCTGAACCTGTGAACCTCTTCAGTACTGATAGTGTACTTCATTTCAGCCTTAAGTCAAGCAAAGATGCAATATGATACATGCATAGCACTGGTTTAATATCAAACAAGGAATGCTGTGTCAAATAACTGTTGCATCTAGGATTTGCCTTAAGTGGCCATGTATCAGTTTGCTATTATGCTACCTAAAGCCCACTATACCAATCAAAGACCAGTTAAGCAGATGAGAATTGCATATACAAAGTTTCATTGAAATATGTTGAACAGTTTTCAAGTTATGGCCTTGAAACAAACCCTACCCTCATTTTAGACTTAGTCAAAAATGTTTCCATGGAAACATAAGAAATATAATTTGGTAAAATCTTAAAATAGCAAAAGGCACCAGTTAAACTGATGAGCAATGCATATTCCAAGTATCGTTGAAGAATTTTCAAGTTATGTCCCACAAACGAACCCTACCCTCGTTTGAGACTAAGTCAAAATTGTTTCCAGGCTAACGTAAAACATAAAATTTGGAAAACAAATAAAATAGCAAAAGGCACCAGTTCAGCTGATAAGTGATGCATCTGTCAAGTTTCGTTTAAATAATTTGAATGTTTTTCAAGTTATGGCTAGGAAACAAATCCTACCCTTGTTTAAGACTAAGTCGAAATTGTTTTCATGGAAAATAATTAAAATTATGAAAAAATTTAAAATAGCACCAGTACAGCTGATGAGTAATGCATATCCCAAGTTTCGCTGAAAGACATTTAACGGTTTTCTGATCATGGCCTGGAATAGGATGGGAACATTGACACTGAAAACAATAGGTATCTCTTCCCTTTCATTTTCCAGACAAATCAAAGAACTTTCTATGTCAATCAAAAAATTTAAACTGTTTGACCCTGACCTTTACTCTTCAGTGTTTCCACCTGGTTTGTGAGGGCTGAGGGCCGCAGCTGGAACTTGCGGTTCTCTCCCGGGACTGCAACAATCACATCACTGTCAGAACCTTCTCTCATGGTATACCTTACCATTACACTACATTAACAAGGTGTCCATCTTTTAAAAGAAACAACACCTACATTGTATTTATTTTATCATAGAATCCAGAACAAGAACATCTTAAATTTTAATTAAATTGTATAGTTATAATTCTTATCCTATCTCAAACTATGCATATCTCCTTCTTTCAATCCTATGTGGAAACATGCTTGAACAAATGTTTCCAGCTTCTAAAAACAATTTCACCCAAACACATCCAAGCATCACCATGGTCACCACCCAAACAAATGGGTCATGCACTAAAATCCTGTGCACAGCGACCTACACGACCTAATCACATGACTACGTCTTTCTTGGAGCTGACAGGCTAGTATAACTCACTGTGATGCGGGGATGGACTGGCGGGGATGTAACGGGTGAGATAGGATAAGTATCATAAATATACAATTTAATGTAAAATTTACAAATTATTAAACTTATCCATCTCACACTATGCATTTATCCCTTGGATGAATGGGGAACAAATCCTCTAGCCTCAGTAGACTACAACTGTGAGACGTACACAAGGATTGGTTGGTTGGTTTTGTTGGTTGGTTTGTTGTTTAACGCCGCACTCAACAATATTCCAGCTATATGACAGCTGTCTGTAAATAATCGAGTCTGGACCAGACAATCCAGTGATTGATATCATTAGCATCGATCCACGCAATTTGGATCGATGACATGTATCAACCAAGTCAGCGAGCCTGACCACCCGATCCCGTTAGTCGCCTTTTACGACAAGCATAGTCACCTTATACGGCAAGCATGGGTTGCTGAAGACCTATTCTACCCCGGGTCTTCACGGGGCACGTACACCAGGAAGCTGGTGCTGAACAGTGATACCAACACAAGTCGTAATAATAAAGACAAGAACTTGTGAGTGGATGTAACCCCTTTCCGCTGGTCGGATGTAACAAGATGAGATCGGGTACAATGTGTCACATTTTTTCATGTAGAACATGCATACATGATTGACCGCGCAACTGTGAATAGAGATCTAGTCAGCTTGCGACTTAAAACTGACCTGGAAGGAGTCTCCAGGCAATCAGTTCTACAAGACAGACCACACCTCTATCTCCGAAGGACAATTGGGTGACCTTACTTGGCATCTCGTTTAATGCTTTGTCACAGCTATCAATCACGCCCCCAGGATTGAAGCATACCAAGACAAGAAGAGGAACGATCAACAATACCCACAAGTGGATCTTCAAAACAGTACCTACACACGTGCCTAAAGCAAAGGTAGGCAGGGAAATGTTTTTGGACACTGTTAAACAGCCACGCCTTGCGGCAACTTCTATATAACAGACCAGAGTCTCTACAGACAAGGTCGATCACCCTCTAATAAGTACTCAGTGTGGAACCAGAGCAATAATGACAATAAACAAATGAGTGACGATTCCAATATTAATATGGAGAACAAGTCAAACTAATAATGAAGGACTGAAGGACCTTAGTAATAACTGGCATTGACATGACTACTAACAATAAATGCATCACTGATGACAACGATAGCGTTATGTGAAAATGAGATAAATTACTTACGATCAACGTCAGAATCATTATCACTTTGCGAGGCAGACTTGTCGAGGGACATGAATGGGTTGACCATGAAGCGACTAGGTGCTATTAGACCTGAAAATGATCAAACACATCTCGATAACCGAGGAATACAGTAAACTACGGTTATAACGAACTGACAGATATAACGAATTTACTTTTTAGTCCCGACCATTTGCTGTGGTTATGCTGTATATATGCTTATAACGAACTACGGTTATAACGAACTAAAAATAGAAGTCCCTTTGAGTTCGTTATAACCGTAGTTTACTGTATTGAAAACCAAATCAACAAGAAGATGTGGTGAACGGTTGTGCAAGCGTAGGATGACTGCATCCCCAAGGCATGAAGCATGTGGTCTTTATGTTTTAATCATTTGATCTACAGATCCTTAATGTTCCAAATCATCTTTACTTTCCAACAAGTCTGAACTTTTTTCAATACTTTAAGTGAGTGAGTTTTTAGCAATAGCCCAGCAATATCACAGCAGGGGACACCAGAAATGGGCTTCACACATTGTACCCATATCTGGAATCGAACCCGGGTCTTCAGCGTGACAAGCAAACACGTTAACCACTAGGCTACCCGACCGCCCCTCAATACTTTAAAAAAGATTCATGGTTATCAAATGTGTGAAGGGAAGTAACTCTTTACATGCTCTCCTCACAAATTTCGTCGTTTTTCAGTTTCACCTGACCCATAAATAATCAAACTTACAAAACATCAGAATTTACATGGAACATAAGTGTTTGACAAAAAAAGAAAAGAAAGTAATCTGATTGATGAGGAAGAGGCTCTGTTGAACCAGAGCTGAACACAGAACCTGGATCTTGTGTGAGAAGCCAACACTTTACCTGCTTGGCTACCCCGCATAACCCCAACAATTCAGAGGAAAACATGGAAACAGTTTAATAAAAATCTTAACTGCGTTAGTGCCATGGTTATCAATCTTAATTTGCACAAAGGATGAATGGCAACAGGTATTATATCTGTTGTGTAACACCTTGCTTCAGTATTAGATAATGAGTGAATTCAGTGGTTGGGACACTCGACCAGGTTTACCAACGAATCACATGTTGGAACACAGATACTACTCAAAGAAACTACTCTTTCTTACAACATTTGAACAACGACCACATCTAAACAGCAAGAGCCGCAGTCTATAATAACTGCTCTGTACGCATAAAACACATGGACCAAATATGGCGTAAATAAAGCAAGGATAGACCCACTGACTCACACAGTAACTCTTACATGTCCGAGCCAATAGAAGAGAAACTTTCAGATTCTTCCCTGTCTAAACATTTACTGTTCTTTGTACTCACAATAAAAAAAGCTGAAACACATTTTTCTTACATTCTAAGAATATATTCAATGCGTTCTAAGAATACATTCAATGCATTAATGTCAAACCAAGTCACACATGCAACTACAGCATGTTGTATTACAATTTTAGACATTTCTTGTTCAGATATTTTACCAACATTTGCTGTAGAGTTCAGTTGTATACTCCCCAGGGAGTTGAGAATGATAATTGGAATGCATACAGATCCACTGGTAGAGGAACAAATAAACCTGGACAAGTGTGGTATATAAATGAATATTATTATTGTTGTTGGTGTTATTATTATAAAAATAATAATATCAGCCTCTTAGAATTTTCGTGATAATTCCTTGAGAAATTCCTTAGCTTCCAAATATTCAGTTCAAGAACAATAAAAAAGGAGACTGACTGAAACTCCACTAGCTGATCGGACTGCTTTAATTATTGAACTACTAACCCCTGATTAATGTTTATGGTATTTGTTTCTTGCTCAAGTGTAACTGTTGAACCCTGCGATGGGTAGGTCTATACCAGGAACAACGACCAGCACAATGCCACCTCTACAGCTAAAGGCAGCAGCTTGGTAACCATGGCAGCGAAGGGAGGGGTGACAAAGGGAGACAACCAACCTGTACCTTCATGTGGGTGAGGGTGTGCTGACCCAGTGGATACGACATCAGATTTCAGAGTGGCACGTGGAGCAAATGGGTTGGATGAGAAAGCACCTTTACAAACACACATAAAATATTAACATATCTGTATCACACATTTGTTGGTCACAAACAGCTACTTCCTTAAAGTTGATATCAGCCTTAACCCCTAACTGACAGTACTATAAACCATTACCCCTAACTGATTGTGCCATAAACCATTAACCCACACAGATAGTGCTATAAATTAGTACCCCACACTGACAGTGCTATAAATTATTACCCCATACTGACAGTGCTATAAATTATTACCCCACATTGACATGGCTATAAACCATTACCCCTTACTGATTGTGCCATAAACCATTAACCCACACAGATAGTGCTATAAATTATTACCCCACAGACAGTGCTATAAACCCTTAACCCCACACTGACAGTGCTATAAACCCTTAACCCCACACTGACAGTGCTATAATTATTACCCCACATTGACAGTGCTATAAATTATTACCCCACACTGACAGTGCTATAAACCACTAACCCCACACTGACAGTGCTATAAACCATTTACCCACACTGACAGTGCTATAAACCATTAACCCACACAGATAGTGCTATAAATTATTACCCCACATTGACATGGCTATAAACCATTACCCCACACAGATAGTGCCATAAACCATTAACCCACACAGATAGTGCTATAAATTATTACCCCACACTGACAGCGCTATAAATTATTACCCCACACTGACAGTGCTATAAACCCATAACCCCACACAGATAGTGCTATAATTATTACCCCACACTGACAGTGCTATAAATTATTACCCCACACTGAAAGTGCTATAAACCATTAACCCACACTGACAGTACTATAAATTACCCCACACTGACAGCGCTATAAATTACCCCATACTGAGAGTGCTATCAACCATTAACCCATACTGATAGTGCTATAATTATTACCACACACTGACAGTGCTATAAATTATTACCCCACACTGAAAGTGCTATAAACCATTAACCCACACTGACAGTGCTATAAGTTACCCCACACTGACAGTGCTATAAACCATTAACCCCACACAGATAGTGCTATAAATTATTACCCCACACTGACAGTGCCATGAAAAATTACCCAATACAGATAGTGATATAAACCATTAACCCACACTAATAGCGCCATGAAGCGTTGTCACCTGATGATTTCAACCCAAAAGTACATAGCCAGATGCATTATAGAAAATGCAAGTACATATTTGTGACGGTAAGACTTGGAAGTATTTTAGGAAGCAAATCATGTTACAGTCTTCATGAGATTACGATTTATGTACACTATGGCAGTGTTGTTAGTGCTGTATGTTCCGAATCGGGAATCTATTAGGATAACACCATGGAACAGCCTGTAGCTCTGTGTAGCGACAAGTCAATAACAAAATTGTTTATAGGGAGCAGCACAGAGAGTGAGTGAGTGAGTATGGTGTTATGCCGCTTTTAGCAATATTCCAGCAATATCACGGCTGGGAACACCAGAAATGGGCTTCACACATTGTACCCATGACGGGAATCAAACCCAGGTCTTCAGCGTGACGAGCGAACGCTTTAACCACTAGGCTACCCGACCGCCCAGCAGCACGGAGACCTGTAGGTAGATAAATACGATAAACACCTTTAGATAAATGTTATAAACACCTTTGATGTCATGATGGTGCCACCATGGGTATTTGTGTAGCCCTTAAGGTCTTCCTTATTCTCATCCTTTTTAAGGGTCAAGGTGTATATCAATACAAATGTAATTTCTTCATTATTTATTACGTTTGTTGGTTTAACAGGGAATGGCGTCATCCCTCAGATGACATCTTCAACTAGTCAGCTCGCGGACAGGGTTTACCTCTTTGGTCATGTGGACGAGGCATCTTATGGCCACACTGCAGACACAGTACTATCCACCCTGGAAAGGAGTTCTACCACCTACCATGGATAGGATGTTTAAGTTCCAACTCAAACAATTTATACTAAATTAATCAAACAGTAAACATGAATCTACTTGATCTTACCAGTATTCGCCCCTGATCCTCCAAATGCTGGAGAAGAAAAGAAAAATTACTTATTACTATTGAGTCAAATAATAAGTGCAACAATTTGTCAAATTTGTAATGTCAAGGGTTGTTATGACTACCAATAGATTTCACAATATAGACGTACAGCAAAAATGTTTATCTGTGCCAGTTCATATCTCATGTGCATTTTGTACATAGAAATAAAATATTTACTATCCGAGCACCAGTACCTGAGAATCCAGGCCTAAACCCACCCAGCTTGGAAGGTTGAATCACAGAGGCGCCATTTCTATGAGGAGGATCTGAAATAACACATTTATGTTTCAATAATCACAAAAAACAAGGCCATTTACAAATGAACCAGCTTGCCCTCTGCTCCGGTCCTCACCATAACAGGGTCTAGATAATATTTTTAGCTATTGAATATTTACCCACATGTAATCATTCACTTTGGGTATTGAGAGTTTTCTTTGGACATTGATAGTTTTCTTCTTCCGTAAATTTTTAAGTCTGCATGGGTATTTTAAAACCAATGAATGAATCTTTTTTTTAAATAATTCTGCTTAAAATTCTGTTATAGGGGACTCCTAATTTGCTTGTGTTATATATGGTATCAGCTCATAACAGCGATACATGTCTAAGTTACAATAAGCCAGGCGTGGCTGCTTATTTTGCATTATTCACTGGAGTAGGGTTCATGCATATGTGACGCCTGCATTCGATCAGTAAATAAAGATCTACAAAGACAAACAGCTACGCAAGCTCAATAGGCTAAACTGGGTAAATATGCAGTGGCGTTATACCATTGTTTGTAGTCACTTTTTTCATGTGTATTTGTCCGCAAGAAAGTCAAAATGAATTGAGTTATGGCGATTTTTTGTGCATATTTTAGGCAAATTCTGCTATAACAATTCTAATGATAATTCAGATACTTGGTCTCGAGGCCTGACCATTATTCTCCACGATGTATCGTGTCTTTCTGTGTCGCCCAAACCCAACTGACCACCTAGTCCATTTATTCCAGGGATGGGTCACTGGGGACCAATTCCAAACAGAAGAGGTACAAAGTGTAAATATTAATGTAATTGGAAATGGTCCAACAAAAACACAATAAATAAAACAAAAACTGCACACACAAACTTATTGCAAACAAGACAAAAAGTGAGCAGGGCTCACTAATACCCCCGACTTTGACTTTCTAAGTTCAAAACATGAAAAATGCAAAATTTCTCAGAAAATCCACTCATAGAAATATAACTTTGGACTGCACCTCTCCTATTGGTATAGAATCTGTAACACCATTGGAAAAGAATCCATGAAGTCGTTTTCAAGTCACAGGTTGCACAAATGTTGCAGTAAACAAATATATTCTAACTTCACAATATGAAAAACATCATATTTTGTCAGAAAATACACATATCACATTCAAACTTTGAACTGCACCTCTTCTATTAGTATGGAAACTGTTCCCTAAATTTGAAAAAAAATCCATGTACTAATTTTCAAGTCCTAGGTCACACAAATGTTTAAGTAAAAAAATGAAAAACTCTGTATTTTTTTCAGAAAATCCACCTGCACCTCTGCTATAAGTATAAAGTGTTCGCCAAGTTTGAAAAGAATCTATGTAGTAGTTTTCAAGTTATAGGTCACGCAAAAAAATGTCCTTGGAAGGTTTCACATATGGGGAATCAAACCCAGATGTCTGTCCTGATGAGCTATGCTTTCCCTACTGAGCTACCCAAGGCTCTTGTAAGGCAAACAATGCTGACTAACCTGCAGCTCCCGCTGGGCCTTCAGTTGATGTTGATACCTGCAAACAACCATGAAAAGAACAAATGTAGTCAAGTACTACTAATTACACTGATCACATTAATTCATTGCACCATGCCCCATGACTTTTCTTTCTGACAGAGATCCAGATAACTTTTTGAGCAATTGAGTTTTAACTCGATGGTTTCTATTTTAATTGGGTTATAACATTTTTAATTGGGTAACCAATATTTTTTCACTCATCTATTCATCACGCTATTGGTTTTTCCCAAAATGAGTCAACTTTCTAAGATTTTAAAAAAAATGAAATCATGTTTTAGATGTATATAACGGTTCTAAATATAGGCCTGACTAGGAAAGTAAATTAGCTCATAATTGTGTTTTGGAAATGAGCTGTTGTATGCATGCTGAAAAAGCTTCATTGGCTATTTGCGCGTGCTGTTTTTATACATTTGAGATTTTCATTTAATACATGCATTTCTGTATGCAAGTAAAATGAAAGTAATTGCGTTTTGAATATTTGGGGGGGGGGGGGGGGGGGGGGGGGGTATTTTACCCAAATACACAGCTTACAGCGTTAGAAATTGGCACTAGTCCTGTAGTCCATGCCAAACTGCCCAAAAGTTAAGGTATCCTAAGCACTTGTAGGAATTGGCCATTTTTAATGGTTTTGCTATATGTTATCATTATAAGGACTAGTGGACTAAACCTGTTAGTTTCTATTGCTAGCTCATCTGTAGCTCTGTTCTCATATTCCCAACCAATGTATTTAACCCCAAAATTTCTTATGAACCTTTTGTGACACCATCCTAATGTTTTCATGGGGCCTTCATTTTGTTGATAAGCCTCAACCAGGGATACATCTAGGATTCCAAACCAAGTGTCCTTGGCAAGCAAACAGTTAAACACCGTGATATTGTTTGAAATGTGATCATAATAACGTTCTTATTTTCACCAATTCTGAGGAATTAGGAATTTTTATAAATATAAATCCCTGCAAACAATCACGAAAAGAACAAATGGCTATAAGTCAAGCAGTACTAATTACATTGATCACATTATTCCTGGGACCAAGACAACTTTTCTTTCTGATATTCCTAACCCAAGTATTGAACCCCAAAATTTATCATGAAACAGGAACATAATAAAACTTAAGTGATGTCATCCTAATGTTTTTTACGGGTCTTCATTTGGATGATAAACATCACAAGTAGTCAAAATCTTTGAAATCCTGGGCATTCATACAGAATGCCTGGGGCTTTCCATCAGAAGGCCCTGACTTGCCTGCGTTTGATGTTTATTTACATTTTGAAGTACGTCTCACGGCATGGTGTTACATCACCCAAGGTATATACACATCATTTTAATAATGCATCTTATGTTAGTTTTTGACTGGTTAAACGTCATGGTTGTTAAACATTGCAAAAGTCCATGATGTGAATCATCCCTGAAACCACACGTGTTAAGTTTTGTAACCCACTGTTTTCCCACTGAGCCACTGGTGCAGGTGAGGAAAGGGTGTTCAATCTTACATGTCATGACTTCTGTTGTCTGCATGCTGCACAGGGTCTTTCTCTCGCCCACTGTCGAATTTGTTTCACATTGAGACTACTGTATTTGTTCAGATAAGCTTTTGGTGTTGTGGGTATTTTACCCATGCATTTTAAAATCATTGGGTATCAGTAATTCTATCTGCGTATTCAAATTTCTGTTACCCACTAGTTTTTACACATGTGGGTATTTAAGTTAAATATTTAAAAACACTATTCATCTAGTCCCTGCAAACTGGTGTCGTGTGGGTTCGAGAGCTTTATAGGACTCCAAAATACCACGATACTTCCACAAGAAAGTGTGATGGCAAATGATCATGATGTAACTGTCATCGTGGAGTTGCTGATTTGCTAGTTGAATACGCAGGGTTACTTCACAATATTTCGATGATACGCACAAGTTTTATTTTTGTAGCGTATCTGTAACGTTCGTTGCGTATTTGATACGCTTGGATTATATTTTACTGTGTATTTCTGCATTTCTGATGCGTATTTCACGCAGATACACAGCTTATCTGGAGCTCTGGGAAAGGGTGTTCAATCTTACATGTCATGACTTCTGTTGTCTGCTTGCTGCACAGGGTCTTTCTCTCGTCCACCGTCGAATTTGTTTCACATTGAGACAACTGTATTCACTTAATGTATTTTGTTGCCAGAATTCCGGGCTGTTTGGTGTAATGTGACAAACTGATCATGTTGATGACAATCAAACCCCTCAAAAACCGAATGAACCGAATAGTGTTTAAAACAATAAATGTATGCTTTGTCAGGCAAAGGCTTAGCACTTCAATGTAGATTACAATTAAAGTGAATACGTTCTAGACTGCAGTCAGCAATATTCCAGCTATATCATGGCAGCCTATAAATAATCAATGTTAGGTGAAATGAGGCTTAACGTTCTGTTCAAAATTTCTTTACCATTATACGCCGGAAGTGACAGTGCATGCATGTGAGTGCGACTGTTTGGACTAGTGCTGGTTTTATAGTGCTATCCCACTGAAATAACATGAACAGTTTAACATGGATACCCAGTCAGTAACATGATATGGACTCCAAGCCGTCCAGTCCTTGTTTTAATGCTGAGCGCTTGGCAGGATAACAACAAAAAAAGTATTTGAAATTAGCACTAGTCCTATACCAGCTTTAGAAATTGGCACTAGTCCTTGAGTCCTTGCCAAACTGCCCAATAGTTAAGGTATCATAAGGACTAGTAATAATTTGCCATTTTTAAGGGTTTTGCTATATGTTATCATTATTAGGACTAGTAGACTAACACAGTTAGTTTCTATCGCTGTATACATGCTATAGTCCTTGCCAACCTGCCCAATAGTTAAGGTATCCTAAGGACTAGTAGAAATTTGCCCTTTTAAAGGGTTTTGCTACGTGTTATCATTATAAGTACTTGTGGACCAAAAATGTTAGTTTCTATCGCTATATTAAATACCATCTTTGATTGTGTTTTGGTATGATGTGGTAAGGGGATCGAACCACCGACCTCCCACTCTCCAGGCAACCACTCTATCCACTGGACCATGGTTGTGGTCCTGTAAGCAATCGCTGGGACCAACCCTGACATGTTCCATGAACACAGGTCCAAGCTGTTGGTGACTCAATGCAATTTTACTCACCCTCTCAGTACCCTCTGTATTGTTTTCACTATCTTCACTTTTTGTTGAATCTGAAAATATCATTGTGTTTCATCACATATGCAAGACAACACACTGCATTCAAACTGAATATACCAAACACCTTCATTAACATGCCAAAAGGAATAAACATGATTAACAGATGCTGGTCCATACACTGACAAATATGTTTATTTTATTGGTTGAACATGCTGGTCTGTGCACATTTTCATAAGCTCCACCGACTTCTGCTCCAAACTCAAGAACATCACCGATCCAGATCAAATCATCAGTTACGACGTAGTAGACCCCTTCACCAACGTACCCATAGATGACACTCTGAAAATTCTCCATCGCATCTCTGAAACTCCTCTTGAAACTAGCCTATCCACAGGATCTATCATCGCCCTCACCACCGCCTGTATCTCCTCTACCTACTTCACCTGGGGGGATGAGTACTATCAACAGGTACACAGCCTACCCATGGGATCCCCACTCTCTCCTATCCTAACTGAAATCTACATGACCTACTTCACCCATCCAACCTATTTGCTGGTACAGGAATGTTGACGACACCTTTGTCATCCTAAAACAAGACCAAAACCCAACCCTCCTACTAAAACATCTTAACCAACAACACACAGCCCCCAACCCCGAGTACAGTTCACCATCGAAATAGAGTGAGTGAGTGAGTGAGTTTGCTTTTACGCCGCTTTTAGCAATATTCCAGCAATATCATGGCGGGGGACACCAGAAATGGGCTTCACACATTGTACCCATGTGGGGAATTGAACCCGGGTCTTCGGCGTGACGAGCGAACGCTTTAACCACTAGACTACCCGACCGCCCCTACTCGATAAAATGAAGTGTTAGTGGGGAAGACTTAACAGTCATAGACTATTCAATTACACAAGCCCCCCACCCCCCACCCCCGAGTACAGTTCACCATCGAAACAGAAAAGAACAACCAACTACCCTACCTAGATGTCCTCGTCTCCAGAACCCCAACAAACAGAATCCAAACCAGTGCCTATGGGAAGCCCACCAACACCAACCAGTACATCCACTTTAACTCCAACCATCCCCTTAGAACTAACCCGCATCAGCGCCCTTCCGCATCGCCCTCCCTTTCATACGAAAAGCCTCCCACATCATCAGCCGCCTCCTCAAACAGCAAGCCAATATTGACACCCTGTTCATCAGCTCCACCTCCCTCAATACCCTGCTAAGACAACCAAACCCCAAGAGCCCACAACTGTGGACTATCTTACATAGGTAAAACACCCAGCTCCATCAACACCAGAATCAAAAAGCACAAAACCTCAACCAGCAAATCAGCCATCTTGGACATATCAGCAACTGTCCTAATCACATCAACTGGGACAGCGTCCAAAGCCTATCCAAAAACCTCCATGATTTCACTAAAAGAAAACCAACAGAAGCAGTCCACATTCGTTACTGTTAATCCTCCACCTACTATATATATTCTGTACAATGTCCCTCATTCAGTCTTGCTTGACAACGGTATAAGGATCTATACTGAAACATCACTTTTTACAGTATTAAAGAAGTTGTTATCCATAAATTGTGTCTACTTCGTAAAACAAAAGTTTTCCATCTTACTTTCCAAAGGATTAATAAAAAAGAGAGAGAAACAGAATGATTACATGTACGAGGGCTGGTTGAAAAGTTCTAAGCCTACTCTTGCCACCAACAAGTACAATCATTTAGTGAATCATAGACATAAGAACTGCAACTGTAGTGTTATTATGTCTTTGTACCAGACCATCTTATGAACCTACCCATTGAAATCACCAGAAATGGACAAAACTGTCTATAGGGCAGTCATCAAGTACCTGCAACTGAAAGGGCTAACTCCAACACAGATACATGCTGACATGGTCTCCACTTTAAGGGATGATGCCCCTTCCTTTTCCACTGTAAAGAAGTGGGCTGTGGAATTCAAGTGTGGCAGAGAGAGCCTTGACGATGACCCGCATCCAGGAAGGCCTTCAACAGCAACCATTCCGGAAAACATTACCCGGTTGCATGACATGGTGATGGCTGATCGACGATTGACCCCTCGACATATTGCCAGTGTTGTGGGCATCTGTCATAAGAGGGTTGAGCACATTATCACCAACTAGTTGGGAATGACAAAAGTTTCTGCAAGATGGGTGCCAAAGCTCTTGACAGCGGATCAGAAACGTGTCACATTCCTGATGTCCCGTGACAATTTATGCCGTTTTGAAGCAAATCCCAATGATTTTTTGGCCCGATTTGTAACCATGGATGAGACCTGGATTCATTACTTTCAACCAGAAACCAAAATTCAGTCTAAACAATGGAATCATCCGGAATCACCAGCCCCCAAAAAAGCCATGTGGGTTCCTTCTGCTGGAAAGGTGATGGCTTCAGTCTTTTGGGATTCCAAGGGTATTCTGCTGATTGACTATCTTGAAAAAGGCCAGACTATCAATGGAAGATATTGTGCTGACCTACTGAGACAGTTGCGGGAGGCTATCAAAGCTAAGCAACGTGGAATGCTCACTAAAGGAGTCCTGTTCCACCAAGACAATGCTCCTGTTCACAAATCGGTGGTTGCCATGTCAGCATTCCATGATTGTGGCTTCTAACTCATTGACCATCCCCCTTATTCACCCGATTTGCCCCCGTCAGACTTCCACCTGTTTCCCAAAATGAAAAAGGAACTAGCCGGTCGCCATTTTCCTAGTAATGATGACGTCATTTCCGCTGTGAATGACTTTTTTAGGGTGGTTGAAGAAACTTTCTTGTTGACCGACATCCAGGCCTTGCAGCATCGCTGGCAAAAGTGTGTAAACCTGGAAGGGGACTATGTGGAGAAATTAATGAAAAACATCAATTTGGTAAGGGTCTTTCACAGTTAGGCTTAGAACTTTTCAGCCAGCCCTCGTATATCTGCCTTATATTTAATTGCAATATGAATTTGGAAGTCAAATAACCTGCAGTTATGCATGTTGTATGCCTTGTATCATTTCCACTGAAAGCCTTATCCACTAAAAAACAGGTCCAAGGTTTTACACGATGCACAAATGTGCATTCAGTACAACACAAATGTAGAGAATGGACACAGAAAAAATAAATAATACTATAGTACCATCAGTGCAACAAGAGCAGTTGAGGGTGTCTGTTATTTCATCCATCAATCATGACCACTGTTCACATGATCATTGATTCATTTCAGGCTCCAAAGTAATTATTAAAATGTACAAAACACTACACCATTTCATTACTTTACAGGACCCTTCTGTTGCCTGCTAGGCCCCTTAATGCTGATTGTCGGGGGTCCCCTTGATACCCACTTTTGCAAGTCAAGGTAAAACCCTGCAGGTCCTCATAAGCATGAAGTCAAACAGTACAAATCATCTATCTTTACACTACTGAATGACCATGCATATATTCAAATATACTTGTTAAAAAAGGTGCAACCCTAATAAGTCACACTGACAAACCAGGTAATCATTAAATAACAAGGAAAGCAAGAAATATCAAGGAAAGCAAGAAATATCAATGAGTACAGCTCACTCTGACATGGGTCTTTATGACTAGAAATTAGAATATACTGTAGATCTAGGTCTGTCTGAAATACTAAAACTTGAATTTACACTAACAGTCAATGGTGTGTTCCCTATTTTTTCTAAGTTGGCATCTAAATTACAAGTACTTTTGGCAAGATAGTTCCGGTGCATTCATACTGGAGAATCGAGTGCACTAGTACCATCGCATTCCAAAGCCGCTTTATTTGGATTCCATGCATTGTCATATCCGCAGATTAGACGTCTTCCAACATCAATATTTGCACAGATATCACACTGACAATCAATCAACTCCATGCCTACTTAACATATTCAGTTTGACATAAACTGATCACAAAATTACAGTTATTTACCGTTATGATAAGAACGAGATGGTCCTCTTTTTCGACGACCAAATCTTGATCAAGTTGGATGCACGAGATTTTTGAGTGAGCACTTGTTTCAGTATCGAATGCTTTATTCGTGATTTTGAAGATATGTTTTGTAGTGATACACAGTTTCTTGGAATTACTTTATTACAATATTAATTTATGACATGCATGCTTTCATTTTATTGTTGTTATCATCTGATTTCTCAACTTTTTTCCCGGCAAACCTACCTGCAACTGAGTCCGCCATCTTGCCTGTTGTGTTTAGATAGGTCACGTGACCTTATAGATGGCGCGGTGCAATGTTTTGACACGGCTCGAAATTTAATCAGAGAATAGGTTCACATTTCTTACTCGGGGACCCACAGCAAAACAAAATAGAAAATTATCTCATTCATTTTGTGTGTGAACCCATTCACGGATGTATAACCCCATAAATGAGCTATTGTTAAAATGGATCTATGCCAAAAACGAACTCACAAAAAAAACTCAATGTATATAGAATCCTAAAGGGAAACAAATCTAAAAATAACGGATCTTTTTAAATAAATAATTGAGATGGGTTGTGTCATCTTGTAACATGAGGTGCTTACTGTATTCTGCAATGTACATATTTGATATTTCATAACATTACAAAATGTGTACAACTAGTGTTATACAGCAATTATCGCATAGTTATACAGAAGTTTATTCATGAATAAATAAAGGCCACATGTATACTGAAAAGAATTACGCTCATATTTTGACATTCATAATTTCATGGGCATATTATAATTAGATATATGGATTTATTTTTATTAAAAATAATTAGTAGTAGATAGAATATTGATAGATTTATGAAAGAATGGTTCTACATATGACATATTAATGACATATTTTTCCATGCTGTTTTTGTAAAGTGTTTATCATTACAGTATGTATGTTTTATATTTCTGGGGGTAAAATGATATCGCGTGGTCGAAGAACAATTACCATGGTTAAAATGAACTCGTTGAATCAGAGACAAACATATACCAAGGATATATATACACATGTACGCTTTATTCTGTGGGAATAATACATTAATACCAGTATTAGTCGGCTACTCGTGGCTATATAGTAACATAGTCAAAGGTAGCGTGAAATACATCCAGGATCATTCAGCTCCAGTGTGACAATATTTTCGGAGCGGATTTTCTTCAGTTATTCTGCAGTTAGTATTTCTCGTCATGAAGAGTTTTTATTTCAGATTGTCCTTTGTAGCTCTTCAACACCATAATACTTTAGAGGCTGGTCAACATGACCCTTTATGGAAACCATGCCACGTATTATGGACATATGGAAAGCTCTTGGAAATGTGCATTCAACAGTATCACTCAAATAAATCAAAACTACCAAAATACCGTCTTTATAGCCGTTTGAAGTTATAAAAAAAATATGTGTTGTCACCCCCGGCTGTCCTAAGGATATATAGTAACATATGGAATCATTGGCATCTCTATCCAGACATCGGCAGTATATATGAACAGCAAGTAGTTAATAAAACAAATAAAATATTAAGCGACATCTCGCATGTTTTACATTCGGAGTATCAACTTCTTCCTTCTGGCCACCGACTACAGCCGTGAACTATTACTTTTACTATTTACTCAAATCAGACGTACAATATAAATATTAAAAAATCGATTTGTATTTATATTAAGTGTCGCCATCATTGGTTCATACATGTCATCGGTGGAATTAGGAGATACACATACTGCTTTTCCAATGTTGAAATAGGTGGCCTGTTGCTTTAACCGGCCAGTAATATATACTGGTTTGGGTTATAGTCAAAAGGGTCAAACCTTTCTACTAAGCTAGACTTTTTGGTGTCCGTTTTGTCAAATTTATTGCACACAAGATAGTGAAAAATGAAAAGAGAAGTCGCACCACTCAATGTGACTCAAAAGATATGTCGTCACAGGCGAATATATAGAAAAGCACCAAGCTCTCGATCTGTGCTTCTCAGAACGTCATTAACATTCTGTTGACTTCGGTCGTGTTTTTATGCCCAGAATATATGCATTTTGTAACTACTTTTTATACAATTAATGATTTTCAAAATGCCTACACACGATCAAAGACCATATATTATGGTCTCTTGATACTATGAAAGTATTACTATTCGAACCTCCCTTACACATACATATTAGTTGTTGTTTCTATCAGAGGTGATTATCATAATTTGAAACCTCTGATTGACCAAAATTAAAATCGAGTATTTTACAAAGTCATGTTAGAATTCGTAAGCAAATCCCGCCTGACGTAGGGATAACGCTTTGTTGGCTACTGTTTGAGTATGACAACTCTTTTAACCGAACACCGTGCACCGCATTACTATACCATATAGCGGGTAAACGAGTTTCACAGGAAGTTGGTTCAGTGAGTTACTCAAAATGGCGGACGACGAAACCAATGCGAAGAAGGGAGGTTTTTCTTTTGGTTTTGCCAAGAAAATTGACAGCAAAAAATTACAAAATTCGGTTGCCAGCGATTCAGAAAAGAAAAAGGAGGAAGAAACAGATTTTGTGTACTCGTTCGAGGGTAAGGAAGTCAAAAGCTCAAAACCAAAAGATACAGCCCCGCAGGCATTTGTTATTCCGTTGATAAAGAGCAATAACTGGAGAACTCAGTTTTTGGAGAAGAAAGACCAGGTAAAGGAAGAATGTGATAAGACTAACACAAACGACAGCAAAGGCATTGCACCCGACATTGCACCCAAAGTAGAGAAAGGAAACCTGACTCTGATAGAACAGGCGACAAGAGAAATTATCGAAGCAACTGCACTTGAAAATCAAAACTGGGAGGGGCGCGGGCAGCCGGATCCAAGTTTAAGCGTTCCTTTACTTGTTCGTAATAAGGTTCCCGAAGGTTTCGAAACAGATGATAAACTTGATGTGTCCTTGAGGCCGGATGGTCCAGAAGATGCTGACTATGAACAAATACCAATAGACCAGTTTGGGTTTGCGATGTTGAGAGGTATGGGGTGGAAGGATGGCGAGGGCATTGGTAAAAACAAGGAACTGGTCCCACCACCCGAGGCAATATTAAGGCCTAAAGGACTTGGGCTTGGTGCAGATAAAAGTAAAACATTACAGAAGAAAAATGGTGCTGTCTCTGAAAAGGGTCATGATAAAGATGACGAACTTGAGTTGAAGAAGGGTGCATTTTGCTTAATAACTAAAGGCACTAGCAGAGATATGTATGGAGTTATTGAAGGTTTAGATGATGACAATGCAAGGACTATGGTGAAATTAACACTAAGTGGCAAAATTGTGACAATTTCCCAGTATTCAATTGAACTTGTGTCAAAGAAAGACTATGAGAAGTTTTCAAAGTATCTCAACAAGGGAAAAGTTGATAAGTATAAGAAAGAACAGGAAAAGAAGAAAAAAGACAAGCATAGATCTAGAAGTAGAAGTCCCCATGAAAAAAGCAGAAGGAAGAAATCTCACCGGGGTCACAATAGAAGTCCACACGATGACAGAAAACTTCATGATCGCAGTAGAAGTCCACATGACAGAAAACATGGCGATAATAGTCCGCTTGTAAGATACTCAAGCCCAGATATGGAGCGCTCAAAACACATGGAACATGACAGAAAGAGGAAACACAAATCCAGCAGAGACTTGTCTGATGATGAAACTACTTTGGTCAAACAAAGTTCAAGTTCCCATAGGCATATGCCAGAGGATAAAAAAGCAAAAAGAGAAAACGGGCACACAGAAAATGGTATTTTCTTGTGGGCAAGGCCAGACATTAGGGTTCGAATTGTTGATAAAAAGTTTAAGAGTGGCAAATATTACAAGTCAAAAGTCATAGTGGTGGATGTTATCAGTGAAGATAACTGTGTATGTCGGACAGAGGAAGGGCGAGTACTGGAGGGACTGTCACAATCAAGCCTTGAGACTGTTATTCCCAAACATGATCATGCACATGCTTTGATTGTCTCTGGAAAGTACAGGGGTCAAATAGGAGAAGTTGTGAAAAGAAGCAAAGAAAAATGTGAAGCTTTACTGCAGTTGCTTAGTGACCGAGACATCGTGCTGAAACTTGGATATGATGATATCTGTGAATATGTTGGTGACATAGACCAACAGTTTGACTACTAGTAATGCTAGTCATGCTAGATAATAGTTTTGAACATGTTGGACAGAAGCAAATGTCTTAATGCAGTTTGAGACAGCATGTAAACAGTCAGACAGTGATAGAGCAGTACAGGTGAAATGTCATGTATGACATGTACAAGGACATCAGAAAATAAAATCTCTTTGTAACAGTTATGGTGAACATTGGCATGACAAGGGGTGTAATTATTTGACTCTATGTATTCCCATCTTGACCCTGCTGTTATGGTGACCCCCCTCCTAGCCACAAATCCAATTCGTCAGAGAACTAGTATTTGTTTCGTCTTATATATCCTGATGCTGAAATTAGAAACTGTCATGATACTGCAATGTATTGCCAAACATTGTGATACTGTTACCAGATACCATGGCTACCACAATTATTTTACTAAGTAATATTTCAGGACAAACAGACTGATCAAACTGAACTGACCATGATGAAATAAATATAATAAGAAGTTTTGTTCACTTCAAATGTTTTGTCTTTCATATGGTTGTGACATTCCCCAAGTACATGTACATTAAAGTACCCCATGTCTGATTTCTGCACTGTTTTTTGAAACTATGGATTTGTCAGAGATACTACAACTACCCACATGAATTGTGATACTTTTCACTAACAGCACCCACCATCCGATTACATATAATTTGGCAAGCCAGTAGGCAATATTTGGCAGTATATCATTTTGAAAAAATATAATAAAGGATTATATTTGAGAGACATTACCACATGAAATTAAGTCCCATCAGATGATCACTGTATCGGGGATACCCCAAGATGGAAGTCAAAGGGTCTTTGTCATACCCCTAATGTTAATAACAGGGGTGTTCACATACCCAAACTTTAACATTTTACTTGCCCAGCCTGATTTTCAACTTGCCCTGCTAAATCAGAGAAAAGAATGTATTAACTTTAATTTTTTTTAAAAACTTAATTAACGGAAGCAACAGGTAATGGGAGATGTGCAGAATACAAAAATGACTAGTCAGGTAGTTCATCTGCAGATGACAAACACATGATGTTAGCTCCACCGATTTTTCATAATTGCACAAGGGCAACTAGATTATATTTTACCACCTGCCTGGCAATGATACAATGAATATTGCATTGAGGTATAGGTCTGATATCTGTGATCTGGTAGTCTGACGTTCAATTTAGTGTAAATGTTTTTGAGTAGAAAGAGATACAGGTAAATGATTTTGTTTGGTTATCATGGTTATGTCCAACTCATTCCCTGTATGCTGTGTAGTCTGCAGAGTTGTGTCCCTTTGTGGCCAGGATTGGTTGGAATCCCAGATTCATTCTGATTATTATCCTTGGTTTGTCAACACCGTACCAATGTTTATCAAGTTTCTCTAAATTTCGTAAATGTCTATGACCAGCAGGACTTTGGGCATCGTGAGCATATTTTATAACGAATGTATGACTTTTCAAAGCAATTCTCAGTCTTAGCAGCAGAGACCATATAAAATCTATTATATGGTCTCTGTTAGCAGGTATTCATTAATTGAGATCATTCTGAACCAAATGATAAATGAATACCATAATTATACAAGAGACAGTGTTTCAGCTTAAGGCCATCTTTTTTAAAATTTCTTTGCAGGTATTTTTACTCTAAACCTTGGGTTTGAGAACTTAGCAAAAGTAAAATTATGCCCTTTAATATGTTTGGTAAAACAAATAGGTCATGAAGATATGAAAATAATATAATTTTAAATTCACTATTTTCATTTGTCGTTAAATTTAACAACAGGAACAGGAATGTTAAAAAATGATTTGTGTTTACCGGAGAACAAAGCCTCACAAACTTGGACAAAGCTTGGAGTACTGGGGAGCTATTAATAGTGTTTGTCATGGCAACCTATCACATTTCGGTCTGTCGGCACAGTAAATTAATTGATTATTGGGTTCAGACCTACACTGGACACGTGCAACAGACTGCAGCACAAATGTCTAGACCTACTCTATAGTGTGATTATGTAAAAATAAGTTGGTTACAAAATTCAAGACATGACCTGTTCAGATGCTTGCAGATGTTTTGGTGAATCAGAATCATGAGTTCTTTTATGAACCTTAAGTCTCAAAATACTCACAGAAAAACAAACATTATGTGTCTTTGTATAGACATCACTGTTAGTAAATAGAACAAACACGAAAATTTACAATGTACCATCAGTTGAGGATCTTGTATTCAGTCTTGTATGGAGGCATAAGTGACCCAGTGAACTAAAGTGCTCAAAGTCAGAGTGTGCAGAGTTGCGGCCCTTGTTCATGTCACAGGTCCATGATCACCTGATATGACGAAGGCGATTCTTGGTTTGTCTGCACCTGGTGGTATAGATTCATCACTTTGTAATTTCCTCTCACTTAAAGCTTACAAGGTACATTAAGTGAAAATGATAATTTACAGCATTCCTATTGATAGTTTGCATATTTAGCCATACAGGTTTGACATGACCGTGATATTTTGATAATATCATGATGGGTCTTGGATGAGGTGACTGTGGGTCAGTTGTATCTGCACTATGTCCCCACTGTTTCATCCTGTAGTGATTCCAGGTTAGACTTTGTCCCCAGCAACCTATGCTGGTCAGAGGCGACCAAGGGGTGGTCGGGTAGCCTAGTGGTTAAAGCGTTCACTCGTCATGCCGAAGACCCGGTTTCGATTCCCGACATGGGTACAATGTGTGAAGCCCATTTCTGGTGTCCGCCGCCGTGATATTGCTGGAATATTGCTAAAAGCGGCGTAAAACCTCACTCACTCACTCAGAGGCGACCAAACAGATCAGGAGGTCTGACTCTGTGACTTGGTTGATATGGTGTCATCCTGCCCTGGCCATGTCGATCAGTACAGTTTGGATTATTGATCAATTGAATCTCCTGAACCTGGTATTTGCTGTTCCTTTTGTTTTATAGCAGGACTAAATCATGTTTGACTGTTTGGTTTTCTTCTGCAACACTTATTTAAGGAATTGTACCACCCATGACATCAGCACAGCCACATAGCTGGAAACACTGAGAACTAAAGTTGTGAATGGTTTGACATGTCAGTAGTGTTGTGAAATCTATGGCTCATGTTCAATCAAGGTGTTTCTGGACACCAGTACTGTGTAATGAGATCTACTTATTTGTGTGTGTTGTCAAATGTATTTAGTCTACCTTCTTGATTAGAATCTCACATTCATAGCTGCAGAACTGAAGACACATTTACATTAAAAAGGAATATGAACCTGCTCAATTGTTTACTCCTTACTCAACTTTATCTGTTTATTAGCATTGAAGTGAAGTAAGAAACATTCGCTTGTCCCAAGTGCTGGAGTAGTGTTCCTGTTTTTACATTTTGCATCAATTTTATAACAAGAAATACTTCATTTTTGTGTTTAAATTTTATAGGTAAACTCTCAACATGTTGGTGTAGTGTGTTATTGTTTTGATTGGTTGGGGAAGAACTGTAATTGTATTTAGTTGAGTGACTGTTGAATTTGTAGGACTCATCTTTAGTTATTTCAGTTACTTATTTAATATTTCATCTTTTCTTAACATGACAGGCATGTCGGTACAGGTATATTTACCCCAGTCTAAAATAATTTAATAATACAAACACACCTTTTGTCAACAATTTAACTTGTTTTTTGTTAGATACATCTTGAAAAGTGACTGTTTTCTAAAGGGCTGGACCCATCACATGCTTGTAAGTCACAATATTTATTTCTTTACAACTAGTTGTATATACTTAGATGATTGGATCATTTAAATAAGTCACCAGAAAAAGTAAATTTTGTAGAAATATTTGTTGACATGGTTGAGCATGTTCAAATATATAAAAAAGAAAGTGATTTCATTTGGATTATTGAATGCATAGACTATGATATTTAGATATTTACAGTATATTGTATTCTACAACAAGGTTTACAAACCCATCCTCATCCACTGAATGGGGGAGCTGTTGGGTAGCCTTGTAGTGAAGTCGTTTTCTCGTTACCGAGAGGTCTGGGTTTGATTCCCCACATGGGTATTGTTAGAATATTGCTAAAAGCTGCATAAAACCATACTCACTCACTCCAGTGTAAGAACTTATACACAAGTAATCTCTTGCCAACTGTCTTTACAGCTGACTTCACACATGAGATCTTATAAATATAGAAATGACAGAATAAAAAAAATATGTTAAAGGAATAATCTTTCTTTGTTTTAGTTCTGAACTGCGCATCGTTCACATTATCATTCCCAGAACATGGCATGCATACATGGCCACTATGTACAGGGTAATTTGTAACAGTTTATCCTTACTTACTTAAATTGGGAATTTAACCTGCGCTTTCCGACATATGCGTATTACCTATAGAACCCTGTCTGACAAGGCATGCAGGCGTTAGGCCAGATTAAAACCCTTTTGGACATGGCGTCACATATTTTTAGTGCATATTTTATTTTTTGCCTGTGAAGAGATCACCCGTTTAATAACAATACAGCTGTATTACACATTGTGTAATACCAAAACGTGTGCTTTTGTACTCTCGGAACACGTTTCACGAACGAATATTGAAAGCTCTCAACATCCCTTGGCTTATTCAACGACATTGCGTGTGGAGTTGATAGATCACTGATAGGAGCTTATGCACACTCGATGACCCCAGCAACCTTGTTGCTAGACTGACGTCACATGGCATTGTTTCGCCGATGGATCTTGCAACATAATTCCACAAATTACGTCATCGGGTATTGCGACGTTATTGTAAACTTTGAGGTGCAAGGCCCGCTCCACAAGGGGATCGTATTGCAGCGCAACGAAAGTCGTTAGTCTAAGTTAAAGTATGTGAGTTGCGATAGTCTTAGCCCTACGATAATTTTGTGAATTCTAAAGGTGGACCGTTGTATGGTATTAAATTCATACGTTTCAACTTTTGACGTGTTTGAAGTATTATTCTTTTAAACTCAATTGGACTATGCCGTGGATCGTGCAGGTGTCAGCCTATTCATACTCACCTGATTAATTCTAAAAACGTTATAAATGGCAAGTAATAAATAAAATACTAAACTGGCTCCCGTGTAGTATTCTATATTTAGACCACCGTAACATACCCGATCGGACCAGTTGTGCATCTGTTAGACCGCCGTGACATACCCTATCGGACCAGTCGTGCATATGTTAAACCACAGTAACATACCCTATCGGACCAGTCGTGCATATGTTAGACCACAGTAACATACCCTATCGGACCAGTCGTGCATATGTTTGACCACAGTAACAAACCCTATCGGACCAGTCGTACATATGTTAGACCACAGTAACATACCCTATCGGACCAGTTGTGCATATGTTAGACCACAGTAACATACCCTATCGGACCAGTCGTGCATATGTTAGACCACAGTAATATACCCTATCGGACCAGTTGTGCATATGTTAGACCACAGTAACATACCCTATCGGATCAGTCGTGCATATATTAGACCACAGTAACATACCCTATCGGATCAGTCGTGCATATGTTATACGACAGTAGCATACCCTATCGGACCAGTCGTGCATATGTTAGACCACAATAACATACCCTATCGGACCAGTTGTGCATATGTTGGACCAGTTGTGCATATGTTAGACCACCGGAACATACCCTATCGGGCCAGTCGTGCATATGTTATACCAGTAGCATACCCTATCGGACCAGTCGTGCATATGTTATACCACAGTAGCATACCCTATCGGACCAGTCGTGCATATGTTAGACCACAGTAGCATACCCTATCGGACCAGTCGTGCATATGTTAGACCACAGTAGCATACCCTATCGGACCAGTCGTGCATATGTTAGATCACAGTAGCATACCCTATCGGACCAGTCGTGCATATGTTTGATCACAGTAGCATACCCTATCGGACCAGTCGTGCATATGTTTGATCACAGTAGCATACCCTATCGGACCAGTCGTGCATATGTTAGATCACAGTAGCATACCCTATCGGACCAGTCGTGCATATGTTAGACCTGGGTCCACTTTGACACCCTGTTTGAAATGGCATGCAGACTTTACACCGTTTTAACATCGGACATGTGCACATTTTCGACCAGTGTAATATTCCCCATCAGGCTAGTTCGAATTATGTTTCATGCGTAAACATATGCCACAATTACACACACGTTAGAAATATATATTCTGATCAAATTCATAAGCCATATAATTATTTTAGAGAAATATGACGATGAACAAAATGATAGCGTTGGTAAGACGTTATGATAACGATAATACTATAAGCCACATAGTAGTATCAATAATTGATAATTAATGCACACAATTAGTTAATTGTACCCCCGTGGGGAATCGATCCCGGGCCTTCGGCATGACGAGCGAACGCTTTAACCACTAAGCTACCCGACCGCCCCCATAAACTTTTGAACATCAGCACTGTACACACATACCGCTGTCAGAACAAGGTGTCTCCAGCACAGGTGATGCATTATCTAGCCACATTATACAGCAGTGTCTACTACTCGTGACCATCTCGTGTCATTCCGGGACAAGCCTGCAGGTTACGCAAAGGTACGGTGACGAATGCAGTGTCGAGTTGCAGGTTTATGACGTCATTTTTATGTCATTGTGACGACATCATCACAATGCTCGTGAAGGCGTTCTTTGCGCGTCGTAAACTTTTGATATGAAAAGACAGAGCCAAGTTCATCGAAAAATGAAGAATAATCTACTTTCCTACCTGGAGCTCCTTGCGGTAAACCTAGACTGGCTGAATGTTGTTATTGAATTAACAACGTATTAGTTTATGTCACATTCGTGACCAACTCGAGTTATTCCGGGACAAGCCGAATAGCGAGAGTCTTCTTGCAGGTTACGGAAAGGGGCGAGTGGTGACGAATGTTTTATGTCAGTGAATATTTGAATTTAGTAATTCTAATAACTTGACTCCCCAAATCACTCTGGGTACATTTGCTTATATATTTAGTTTTAATGACCAGTTTTCTGATCCTCAATATCTCAAGCCAAGGGTAATGCATAGACTAGGTCCTAGCCCGATTACCTGGCCCAGACTCGAAAATTTAAAAGCCGTCGCGATATAGCTGAAATATTGCCGCCTGTGTTGTAAAGACAACATTCGCTTGCTTGTACAGCGTAACGAGTGAGTGTGTGAGTGAGTATCGTTTTACGCCGCTTTTAGCAATATTCCAGCAATATCACGGCAGGGGAACCAGAAATGGGCTGCACAAATTGTACCCATGTCGGGAATCGAACGTGACTTTGACGTGACGAGCGAATGCTTTAATCACTAGGCTACCCGACCGCCCCTATAGCGTAACGAAGTGATTATATGCATGGTCCTTTGAAAAGGTACCCCTCTGCCGTTCTTCCCTTGTAAGGGGCCGTGACTGTAATTTTTGTGATAAGAATGACCGTTGGCCTTTCCTTAAAATGCCTGGAAAAATATTCCTTTTCCCCAGATTCTAAATAAATCGTTCACTGGACATGCTAGGTGATCTGAAAAATAACTGTTTTGGGTAAAAAACAATTGCTTGGCTCCTCCATTCCGAGACCACCTGATCCCAATTTAGTCCAGTCCCACAGCAAGCATGAGTGAGTGAGTGAGTTGGGTTTAACGCACCCAGTAATTCCAGTTATATCACGGCGTGTCAGCTTAATGTTGGAGGGGCTGCAGTGATGCAGGTCACCGACGTTTACCACTTCGGTGAAACTCACGAGCACGGGAATGGTGCTGACAAACCTAGAAACATAATTAGGGCGAACCGGGATTCGAACCCACGACCATAAGTGTCTAGCGTGCCCAAGGAACGCATCTCAGCACAGCGAGTAAGTAATACATAAGGACCCGGAATCCCCAGAGGACAATCTGCTCCCTCAACATCATAACCAGGATCCAGCTGCACAAACGGTCGCTACTATTAATAACTTGAGGTTCAAACTTCAAAGTAAGAACATCTGAAGCGTTGAGACAGCTTTGTGAAAAGAGTTGATCTAAGGGGCCACAATTCGCGATGCACTATTGTGTCCCTTTTCAGAACCAGCATCCACCGTTCCTGGGTTCGAATCCTACAGTGATTCCGATTATGAACCTTCGTCTGTCAGCTACAGGTTAGTTGGGTCGCCAGCTATGAACAGTCAGCTTCTGTCAAAATACTAGTAATTTTCATGTTGTATGGTAACAGAATATTTGGCGTCAATGCCACATAAAGATATAGCTGACAAAATGTGAATCTTGATTGTCATCTACGATATCATAGGAAGTGATTCTCATACATACTTCCTAAAAGAAGTTAGAGAAAACATTACGCACGCACGAATGCACGCACGCACGAATGCACGCACGCACGCATACAATCACACACTCTCTGTGTCCAAACCTATCATTCATACATTCGGGAATTTTATAGGGTATTCTAAATTATATATTTTCGGCACAAACGATTACTGAATGCCAAATAAGATAATTCACTCCTACTTAATATAATATACCCCTGTGAGGTTTCACATGACAGTTCTGTGATCTATCATTTCCAAGTCTGCTAAAATATACAGACGACTTCCTTATCTATAGTCAGTCTGATGTTGGTATTGTGTAACTGTACTCAGACAGAGTACATGAAGCATGCAATCTGATAAGTACTGTACATATATACTTTGACGTTGCGTGGATAACGTGGCCGGATCAGACGTGTTAAGGGACACTCTCATTCTGTTTTCAGGACATTATAAGGCCGATTCGAAAAAATAATTATTGAATTTGCCATTGAATGTTTTATTGTAAAAATGGCTCTCCTTATCTGCATCCGCATAATGGATTTGAAATATTGTTTAATTAAGACTGAACAAATATATACTAGAAATACCCTTGATCGCTTTTGAATCGCTCCCTTTCATGACAGACGGCCCAGCAGAAACACCATACCTCGTTGTAACGAGTTGATAAGACACACTGCGGTTATCGAAATATTAGTGATTATGATAGGTACACCTGTTTGATCGTGTGAATTAGGTGTAGTTCTGATATTTTTCCCCTTTTCTAATATTTAGTTATCATACACACAACACATTATGAATGTAAATCAAACAAGACGGGAATAACGAGGGCGCGAAGTATACACGTCACGTGACTAAACTCCCAAATCTTCTAAACAACAAATCGATCAGGGGTGCAAGTTGAGTTGCCTAGCTCCTGTCACGTTTGTTGCAAATGTGTGTCGACAAGACAACGAAATACGCCGTCATTATGGTCATTTGAAGGTAAGCAGACAAAATATCGTATTTATTTACCTTAAGGGAAAGAAATATACGGTTACTACATGGGATAATCTAAAGTGTGCGTGTGTGGTCTGAATAACCGTTACCTGATTTTCTTGGGTTTATCATGTCTGAAAGACCTTACGTCAAGCCCGTCTTAATGAACACTGGCATACGCATACATGTCTGGGGTATTCTGACACGTTTCTTCGTGTACATGTGTTAGTGAGTGAATATCGTTCGTCGCCGCAGTCGGCATATTCCAGCTATATCATGGCGGCCTGTAAACCAGTGGTTGACATTATGAGCAACGCATGGTGGTACAACGAGCCAAGTCAATGAGCTTGCACCGGTCCAGTGGTCACCTCTTATAAGCGTGCTAGGATGGAGATAAACTGTATACATACACATTATGGACATCTCCATACGTCGTTGTCGGTGCTGAAAAAACTGTAAGAGATCCGGGTTAGACTTGGGCTTCAGCAACCCATGCTTGACGTAGGAAGCGACTAACGGGATCGGGTGGTCAGGCTCGCTGACCTGGTTTGAAGCATGTCATCGTATCCCAATTGCGTGGATCAATGATCATGATATCAAACACTGGGGTGCCTGGTTCAATCTCATTAAAATCAGATCTAAGTTCTCGCTGCTTTGGTTAGCGATAGCGAGAACGAAGATCTGATTTTAATGAGATTGTGTCTGGTTCAGACTCGATTATTTACAGACCGCCATCGTATAGCTGGAATATTGCTTAGAGCGGCGTTAATCGGCTGTATAATGTCACATGTTACCGAGTTAATAACGGATAGAAAGATACCTAAAATACAATAGGCAAAAGTAGGTTTATAACGTGAGTTCAGAAAGATGTACCAAAGGCTAAACAGGGATTATAACAAATGTTTCGTTTTTTTTATTTGGGCCTAAAAATAAGCGACGGTAAATGTAAAATAAAAGATCTCTTTGACTGACATGAGAATTCGTGTATTTCACCGAGAATGTGATATACTTGGTGGGGCAGAATTTGGCTCGTCACGCGTAAGGCCCGGGTTCGATTCCCAAGATAGGTATCATTTGTGGTCCTGGTGTCCCATTCTTGGAGTGTGCATCGTGATATGGCTTCAATGTTGCTTTACAGTTGTAAACTCAACTCACTCACTCACTCACTCTTACATTATGCTGTGGGTGAGTATGGTTTTACGCCGCTTTTAGCAATGTTCCAGCAAATATCGTGGCGGGGGACATCAGAAATCGGCTTCACACATTGTACCCATGTCGGGTCTTCGGCGTGACGAGCGAACGCTTTAATCACGAGGCTGTCCCACCGCCCCCATTATGCTGTGCATGCCATCCAATATATAATACTATAAATGAATGTTTTGAATCATGTTAAATTATGTTAGCAGATTCATGTCAGTTGACACCAATTGTTTATATTGTTTGAACATGCATTTTTGTAATGATCACATTAGCTCTAAAAACCTATATGTTATATAATAATCTTTTTCATTGAACCACTTAAACGATCTGTGTAATTCCATCGAATCAATCATTTAATATTTACAAATGAGTAACACCGATAACGTCAGACCCTTCTATAACGACATAATTATAGCTACATTGATGATAGACAGATACAGGATACGATGCTTTTTGACTTAATGAGTATAATGTATATATACTATCCAAAAAATGAAACGCATAGGTGTTACTGATATGTCAAAACGAAAATAATACCTATTGTATTCATATTATCGTCAAAATATGTATCAATATTGGTAAGAGCATCGATTAACACGCTTCCGTTTGCAACAAATCGATTTTGCTTGAAAATGTTGACTTTGATGTAATTTTTTGAGAATGAGTAAGAAATGCATCGCCACAACGCAACAAGTGGCATCTTGCACGTTGAAATTGGACAGGAAAAGCATGCAGTGTTTGGCAATAAAAAGCAAGCTTGCTTTCGGAAATAGGCATTCGTTCAGAAGGTGTTTCCAAGCCAAATGAACATGCCACGTCTTGATGCTGCCACAAGGAACATCGACTGCAGGCTAGAGAGTCCCAATCTTCTGTTGCCCGACGTCTGAATGTTAGTTACATCCGGGTCCTCCATTTGCGTGACCTTACTGCTATGGGTGAGAGCACTGCAGCCAGGGTGCCAGGACTTAGGAGGATATCAGGCCAGACTGTACGGAACAGGCTGAGAGAACATGGACTGAGAGCCAGGAGACCCTACGTCGGGAACGTGCTACGTCGTCACCATCGTGCTCATCGTCTCCGTTGGTGTAACAACGTGACTGCCTGGAACCTTCGCAACTGGCGACGCATTTGGTTTAGCGATGAGTCCAGATTCCTGTTGCAGAAAACGTGATGGTAGGAACCGGGTCTACAGACGTGTTCATGAACGTTATGCCCCTAACTGCGTGCATCAAGTGGACAGATTTGGTGGAGGGAGTGTGATGATGTGGGCGGCAATATCCTACACTGATCGTACCGATCATGTCCACGTCCAGGGAAACCTGACGGCTGTACGTTACAGAGACACCATCCTGCTACCACACCTCCTGCCAGCCATTGACGTCCAACGTGAGATTTTCCAGCAGGACAACGCCCGGCCCCACACGGCACGTGTCACAATGACCTTTCTCGCTGCTAACAATGTCAACGTGCTCCCCTGGCCGTCCCGTTCCCCGGATCTTAACCCAATAGAGCACCTGTGTGATGAACTTGATCGCCGTCTCCGTCAGCGTCAACATCAACCCCAAACTCTCCAGGCACTAGCTGCATTTCTGCAGGAGGAGTGGCGGAGGATTCCCCAGGCCGTTATCCAGCGTCTCATCCAGTCCATGACAAGGCCTGTGAGAACTGTTATTCGTGCACGTGGTGGGCACAACAGATATTGATACTCCATTCAAGTTTGAGGAATATTGTGAATGCCTTACCTCAAGTTATGGACATCATTGTATAGACATTGATCTCTCCTAAACGGATGTAAAATTTCATGTACTCAAGTTCATTACCTACCAAGTTATTCATGTTTGAATATACATTTTCTCAGCAAATAGAGGCTATGCGTTTCTTTTTTTGAATAGTATATTAAATTTGTGTTTCACGGCCTTCATTCTCGCCCGGAAGCACAGGCGGCCCAGTCGCCTCAAATACCGAATATCGATTTACGAGTTGCTTCCCTTGTTCGTGCTAGTCTAGATGCCACATAAACCAGTGGTTGATATAAAGAGCAACGCCTAACACCGTCATTGGAGTGTCTGGTCCAGACTCGCTTATTTACAGACCTCGACTACGACATACAAATAGAACATCGCCTGTACTGCTGACAATGTGGTCGCTTTGAAAAAAAGAGAACATTTCATCAAAGTGACGAAAGACCATTACCGCTGCTTGCGTGATTGTTGGTAGTCAGAATGATGTATAAGGCTATTGACCCAAGGATATCATGGACCAGTAGGTTGACGTCTTCCAATGAGTCTTAGGGTACCATCTGTGACGTAACTCGGCGCTTGCTGTAAACAGCATGACTGATCACACGTTGGGCTCGAGACAATGGCATACGTGAAGTCTTTAGATCTTGGCCCCGTAACGTGAGTTTAGGTATCACTTATGTATGTCAGGCTCGCTGACTTGGTTGATTCATGTCATCGTATGCGTGGATCGATGCTTATGGTATCAATCACTGGATTGTCTGGTCCGATTATTTACAGACCGCCGTCATACAGCTGGAATATTGCTGAGTGTGGCGTTAAACAACAAACAAACAAACAACAAACTTACTCCCAAACTTGTTGTGTTAAATGGATAGTATTTTCTCCATATTTATTACCTCTTTTCCGACTGTTATTCCAGATCCCGAGAGTATACAGCTGATCAGAAAAGACGCCGCCACCCAAGCCACTATGGCGTCCTCTTCAGCGGTATGTAATCTGAATGTGTCAATGACCTTGTTATGTCTATGTAGACAAACAATGGGTTAGTATTAACCATGTTATATTTGGCAGTGCGTCTATCTCGAACTGGGCCAATAACGGATCCCCGTGAAGAGTTACTGGTATTCTTTGTCGTGCAAGGATCCGCTTATCGTAGGTTCGAACCCAGGTTCACCCTGTCTGTGATGCTTGTTTTGTGAGCACCATTTCCGTCCTCATGGGTTTCACCAACGTGGTCAGCGTTTACGGCCTACGCCCCACGCCCCATCCCCCTTGCACTTTACTTATGATCTGTGCTTACTGAAAACGTCCCCCGTGGGGGTACGGGGTTAGAATAGGTCCCCAGATACCTTTGCTTGGAAGAGGTGACATAATGGATCCGGTGGCAAAGCTTGTTGACTTGCGTGTCATCGTACCCCGACGGCGTGGATCCTTGCTCACATATCAATTACTGGATTGTCTGGTCCAGACTCGATTATATTTCTGAGTGCAGGGTTAAACAACAAACAAACAAACTGATGGCGTAAAGATATTAACCAACTATAAACATTTTTCTATCGTTTTGACTGATACCATATCCATGAAGATTCGGGTTAGAATCTTCCAGCAGCCCATGCTTGTCGTAAGAGGCGACTAACGGGATCGGGTGGTCAGGCTCGCTGACTTTAGCTCATGTATGTCATTGTATCCCAATTTATATAGGGTGATGCTCATGATGTCGATCGCTTGATTGTCTGGTACAGAGCCGATCATTTACAGACCACTGTCATGTAGCTTGAATATTGCTTAGTGTGATGTTAAACAACAAACAAACTAATACTATGTCCTTCTTCAGGGAGACAATTCGCCATTCAAGGTTAAAGGTCTGTCCCCGCAGACAAGAAGCCAGTCCATGTACGTGGAAGGCAACGGCAGCCCCGGAAACGGCAGACCTACATCAGCTGCGACGACTTCTCATATCACCTCGTCACTTGACCCGGTCTCGGATGGAAGCTCTGAAACCCAGAGCGAGGCTAGCGGAAATGAGATAATGAGTCAGGTTGTCGCTGTCAACAAAACTCTCGTGCAACAGATAGACGCTCTCCGTCTGCGTCTGGAGATCGACTACAAACACAACAAGGAACAGAGGGATTCCATCGTGGAGGAAACGGATGCACAACTTGAGCAGAAGAACGCAGAACTCTCCAATCTGAAGTCAAAGGTTGAGAAGAGGACAGCAGTCTTGACCCATTTGACAGACAATAACGACAAGAAAAATAACGAGATCGAGGAGATACAACGTCAGATTGAAGATCTTCGCAGGGATGTAGAGGACACTAGAGTATATGCAGATGAACTTGAGTCCGAGGTATCTACACTCCAGAGAGATAAAGGGAAACTTCAGACTGGCTCGGCTTATCAAGAGAAGGAGGACGAGATTAGGGGACTACACAGGGAAATCGGGTATCTCCGAAAAAATCTTTCCCGATTCGAAAAAGAATTGGTAAAAGCTAAGGAGGTGATCTCTCAACATGGCGGAAAGCTCAGGTTGTTGGAGAAAGAAAATAAAAACGTTCAAGTCAAGTTCAGGGAGGAACTGAATAAAGTCTCGCTGAACATGAGACTTGAAATCGGTAAAATGCGAGAGTTGATGAGAAGCCAGTGGCGAGAGATGAAGGAATTGCGAGAACAGAACGAGTCTATGCGAAGTGACATTAAACAGATCAGAGACATGCTGGTAGAACAAAGTACTACGAAAGCATCGGCAACCATCGATGAGCCCCCGAAGACGCCATTGAAAGAACATCATAGCCAACATGAGCAGGCGACACCTAAAGAACATGCGCATATGGCGTTCAAACCATCACTTCCGGCTCTGAGCAAGGACTCAAAACGGACCAACGTCCACAGCAAGAAAAAATAGGGAATTATAGGTTTCAGTAAAGACCATCACTGCTATGAATCAATATCAACCATGCCACTGAAGGCAGACATCTGTGATAAAAAGAATGACTTGATTAACAAACTGCAATACTACAATGAAAACAACGGCTAAATTTGTTTTGTAAACAGTCATACTATCATTTTGTATTTTACTTGTGTGCAATGCATCGTGTTTTCTTTACATAAAGTGTTGTGTTTTAGTAGTTGTGTTATGTCTTGCTAGTAAGTGTACATACATACACGCATCGTGATGTGTGCTGAATCCGGAGACATAGGTGGCTCAGTAGTTTAATGTGTCACGATTTTCACAGGGAATGAGTGAGTGAGTATGGTTTTACGCCGCTTTTAGCAATAGTCCAGCAATATCACGGCGGAGGACACCAGAAATGGGCTTCACACATTGTACCCATGTCGGGAATCGAACCCGGGTCTTCGGCGTGACGAGCGAACGCTTTAACCACTAGACTACCCGACCGCCCCTCACAGGGAATGAAGTGTAAAATGTATGTTCCAGTATGAATTTGTGTCATTGTCCTTTAAACACAGTAAATAAGCGAAGAATGGCAAGTACATGTTTACATACGAAGGATATATTCAAATCCGATTGCCTACATTAAGAATGATGTAGTGAGTGAGTGACTATAGTTCTACGCCGCGTCAAACTAACGATCAATAGAGGAATGTGTTTTAATTGTGTTAAAGGATCAAGAAATGGTTGGTTGCCAAGGTACAAAACATGAAAAGTCGACGACTTGAATAACACTTGCTTTAAATGCAATTTAGATGACAATCAATGCATTTTGAATGGGCGATCGATGTCAGCCATGAGTGGTAAGAAATTAGAGTTACGTCCCTTGGTGCGTCGTCTGCTAGGCTAGCTTTCCCGTGACAATGTCTTCCAAATAAGGTAAACATTTTTTCTTCTTATTGTTTTACAGTCATACACGGAATTTAGAGATGTTTTAAGAGTGGATACATTTTACAATTCTATGTTATGGTATATGATAAAAAGGTTAGTATATGGCAGTTTTCATATTATACCCCATATCAACCCTCGACCCCCATATGAGCCCCCTGGCCTTCGACACCCATATCACCCCCCTGACCTTCGGCCGTCGGGGCGATAAGGGGGCCTCAGTTTGATATGGGGTATTGTATATAAACTGCCATAAGATTACCTCTAACTATCAATCAATGATGATGATAGCAAGGTGTTCGCGGAAAGGTGACCATATCCTGCCCCACCGGTGGCACCCGTCACAAACACATGCAAAGGCAGATCAGTTGTCCACCTGAAAAAAAACACGGGAACATAAGGTTCAAGTAAACATAGGGAATTGCATCGAGCATACTTTTTGTCACTGATGCGTCAGATTTGGAAATGCCAGCAGCATGTCTACCATTAAACGTTGTGAACGCTTGAATGATGCTTTGAATGTTGTAACTTTGATCAAACAACTTTCGAACAACAATCGTATGAGGCTCTTTGAAATCTTCATAGAAAGAGTCTGCTCGATTGTTACTAAAACGTTGTGAAATGGAGACACCAAAGGTTGGAATTACTGGAATATTGCTCCACATAAAGGCAAAGTTGACTATTAGAAAGTAGGAGTCATCCCTCTCACTCTGAATCTTCATGCATATATATCTTACCGTATTCGACGTAATGAGCGCCCAGGGCGCTCTCAAAATTAGAAATAGGGGGCTCTTATTAGAATATTATTTTGGTGGAAAAAACAGAGTTGAAAGATAAATTTCGTGTTTTTTATGCTGACGGCCTGAACTGTTTATATACGACAGATATATTTTTCCAGAATTTAATTGCCCATAAATTAAGGGTGCATATAACACACGAGTGCGTATTATACATGAATAAATAAGTCTTGTGTACATTGATCAATCGGAAGGGGTGGTAATTGGGATTGTTCACATGCCAATATATTAGCAAACATCGTCGTGGGCGCTTATTAGAGCGGGGCGCTTATTACGTCGAGTAAGGTACTATGAAACAGATGAGGTGGTCTCACTGGTCTCTTTTAATTCTAGTTCAGGTTGGTAAATCACTGGAAGGGAATTGGCTATTAGACCGTCATAGGAACATATCAGGTCATCGATTTTCCTGAATTTCTTGGCCAAATTTCCAGTCGAAGCCACGAGTGGTGTCGTGATGTTGTCCTGCTAGTAGAGACCTGTGACCAGTCATTCTGATACCACCTCATACCATTATGGATCCACCCCAAAACAATATCTTGCTTCGGTCATGGAATTCGAGAATGACCCCAAAACAATATCTTGCTTCGGTCATGGAATTCGAGAGTGATCCCAAAACAATATCTTGCTTCGGTCATGGAATTCGAGAGTGACCCCAAAACAATATCTTGCTTCGGTCATGGAATTCGAGAGTGATCCCAAAACAATATCTTGCTTCGGTCATGGAATTCGAGAGTGACCCCAAAACAATATCTTGCTTCGGTCATGGAATTCGAGAGTGATCCCAAAACAATATCTTGCTTCGGTCATGGAATTCGAGAGTGATCCCAAAACAATATCTTGCTTCGGTCATGGAATTCGAGAATGACCCCAAAACAATATCTTGCTTCGGTCATGGAATTCGAGAGTGAACCTCGATTCATCAGAAATCATCACATTAGCCCATCGTCAATTATCCCAGTGCTGACGTTCCCTATTATACCACTAACGCCTCTGATTCAAATGACAGTAATTACGTGCAGTAAGTTGTGGAAAGACACGTGGACGTCGTGCGCGCAAATGCCATCTGTGAATGACGATTTCCGCCTGGGCCTGTACTCTTACACCAGTTGCCCGTTGCAACCGGTCCTTTATCTGAGTGGCAGTTTGAAACACGTCTTTCTTTACGCCAGCGTTCTGACCAATCTGTCCTGAACTGGAGTTGTTAATTGCCCTTGAGCGTCCAGATCAGAGTCGATCATCGACGTTATGAACGTGTTTGTTGGTATCGGGCCAACAATCTTCTGATGACATTGGTGTATTTTTCTGTAGTTTCACCTCAAAACAAAATGTCACTTACCTTTTTTGCATTGTATAGTTTCCCAAAAGAGATTATTCACAATGACTACGTCTTTGGTAACCGAGGGCAATCGATTGAAGTTGCTGTAAAATGTTAAGACCGATATGAATGATAGTGTATTGCCGATGGTTCTTCACGCGTTCATGTACACAAACATTGCACCATATTAGAAGTGTAACGACACATACCAGGTCAAGTTATCGAAGACGTGCGACAAGGGAAAAAACAGCTCTGCATGGCGGCTTTATTTGAAGTGATGTGCATACTCCTTTTCTTGGTTTTCCGTGTTTTTTTCACCTCACTATTCCAGATTAATCGATTCAAACACTTTATTGACAATCAATAGATTTAGAAAAATACTGCAGCAGTTGACTTGAGCCTTTCCTTTTCAAAGGTGCGAGATCTAATTTATTACGACATTCGAGGAAATAATGTCAGTCTGAATCATAGTACTAATTACTGCAATACAGGTAGATCTATAATTTGCCTTGAATGTCAGCTCTCAGATTATCGCATGGATGCCTGGTCATATTTCAGCAATATGTCGGCGGTCTGTAAAGAAATCAGGACCAGACAAACCAGAGATTGATATTATGGACGTCTCACATCGTCAGGGTACGACACCACCAAGTACCGAGTCTGACCACCCGATGATCTATTTATAGTCGCCTCTTACGACCAGCACAGGTTGCCGGAACCCGGAATCCCCGCTCATACTCTTTCAGGACATTTACTATACTTTATAGTAAATACATACAGAGTAAACTACCCCAGTAACCTACTGAACGTAGGAACTATTGCGGACGTGATACGATGCTGGAAAATCTACTGTGAGGAAGTAGATCTAGATCATATAAATTCTACATAGACTCTAATAGTGTCTGAGTATCGCGATTGTGTTTAACTATCGCAGTATTGTTACTATAGTTTAAATGCATCTAAAGATCGCCGCCTAAAAATAATGTAAAGAGAATGATGTAACTCCTTGTGACTGGCCGAATCAGTCTTTTATGATAATATTTTGTTTATCTCAGAAACTGGTAACATTCAAAATGGCTGAACGTTGCCGCTGTGCGCCACTGTACAATTGCAGACACATATATTTACCCGTGTTTAAGAAAGTACACACGGGTCACGGGTTTTATGGGTACCCAGATATTATCTGTTCGTAAACTATAAGTGAATCACATTTATGGTGAATCATGTTGTAAGATTTAGGTATTCTAAAACAGCGAACAGCTCTGACGAGTGTCCACGCGTACATTATGAGACACAAACTTCTGAATAAATTGGCTGCTACTGATTATATCAATGAGTTTTCCTAAAATTAAAAGGTCTTTCTGTGACGTGATACTATTTATATGGACGGTACACACGTTACGCATACGATAACATCAATTTGATATATGTCAACAAACACAATAAGGCGATTCTTCTAACGCCATTTATGTGGTCACCGAACATTTGTTGCTTGTCTTCTATCACGTCCGCGCGATGCATATAAATATGACGTAACCGATACCAAGGTCACTCTCGTCACGTTCTGCAGACTGTCAAGTGTGTTGTTCTTCGAGATGAATAGCCCAACCAGGATGTCGCGTTCTCGTTCTCGTTCTCGATCTCGCTCCACATCCCGATCGAAGTCTCCTGCCAAGCCCTCTTTAGCTGCTCCTAAACGGCCCCGATCCATCAGTAATAAGCGCCCCAGCAAAGCTCAGAAAAGAAAGCGCTCTGTTTCACCAAAGAAGAGCACCTCTCGCGGCCGATCCTCGAGCAAGCCTAAACCAGCAAAGAGGGCAAAGTCAGCCAAGAAATCAAAGCCAAAGAAGGCGAAGAAACCAGCTAAGAGGTCCCCCCAAAAGACAGCAAAGAAATCAGCAAAGAAGTCCCCCAAAAAGACAGCAAAGAAGGCTGCAAAGAAACCCATGAAAAAAGCTGCCAAAGGAAAGTCTAAGGCGAAATCAGCTAAAAAAGCCAAGTAAAGTCATTTACTGTGCCCTTGTCTGGCTTTTTCAACGGCCCTTTTTAGGGCCACCAATATCACTCAAAAGAAAACTTTCATATATTGCCAAAACAAAGTATGGTCATATTTCTTTTGGTTATTTATATCATACGATTGTTATGGGTGGTGATAGGTAATATGCACGCCGTCGTTATTTCTGTCACGGTTTTAACATTGTTAGAACATTGCGTTTGTTATAAGTCGAACACATGTTCATTGGCTATAGTGAATATTTCTACACATGATACACCAACCACAATGCCAAGTTAAGTAAAACGATTGTTTAAAATCCCTAACTCATTTCCATTCCATTCCCAGTCGAATGGATTGAAAACAAAAATAAGTTGTGCAATACATTTATCAGTAATGTATTATTAATCAACTGTCAATGCCACTAGAGGTTTTTATTATTTCATATTATGGTTTATAAAAACTCGGAAGTTACATTATAATAAGTTTGTTTGTGTTTCCCTTTTAAATCACATGGGAACAAAGTATTGGTGATTTCCGAGTAGGATCGGTCCAATGTGTTCTCGTGATTGTATGACGGCCTGCTTTCCTTTACATTATATTTTAAGTAGTTGTGAATTTTGTAAAGGAATAGACTGACAGACGTGTATATTCAGTATTTCATTGTGGGCAAGATAGAGTACAATAAGAACAATATATAGTAACTGTTGTAGTCAAGTGACTGACAAGACATTTGCTTCCAATTAACAACGCTTAGAAACCTTAAAGAACATGTGATTTAAGAGAGCTACTGACTTCATGGTATTTATATCATCTGAGTTAGGTAAACTATACATTACTTGGTGATTTATGTATGTATTTTCTAAATGTTTTCTTTGGTTTTATCCTTAATGCAGTGTTATCCGGGAATTGTTTTCCTGTTCATCTTCACGAAAAAATAGTATTCCCACAATTTTCGATAAAAAAAGGAAGAAGACCTAATATATTTTCCCAACATTCTTATTGTGGTTCGATCCTCGAACTCAACACGCTGAACGCGGAGAGATTACGGCAGTGTACGGGACTCGCGGTAATGGTGGCGCGTCCATGGATACCCATGACGAGACTTGTAGGTCAGGCACCCTGATTGAAATAAGTGTGGTCAATAGGAGTCTACATGCTTTTACACAGATGGTACACACTCCTGGAAAATGTACATACGGATAACATGATACCACGGGCTTACTCTAATAACAAGGTATGTGAGGCCTAGTTTTAATTAAGTTTGAAACTTTTTTTTGTTTACACACACGGACAGGGAGGCCATTGTGAGCGAGATCGTGGCTAGTATGATACTCCCGTCATTGCTGCGAACAGGGCTAGTCTGTTTAACTTGCAGAGTGTTTACCTTTTATTTAATGAATTGATACTAAATAGCTGCCATAACTCAGGATACTTTTCTGCTTTGGTGTTGAATATGCCTAACTCAATGTTTCAAAAGAAAACGTATTTTGTATTTCCATAAAGTCTTATCATGTTTAAAATCTATTTAAGAAACATTGTCAATAAAACATTCTTCAGGAAACAATGTATTATTTTATTCATTTGTGTTCATTTATTTGACGATTATGTAAGAATTAAGTAAGATCTTATCAAAAAAGATGTAACTAATATTAATGAGTATTGCATGTATAAGGTGATAGTGGATGTACAGACTGTAGTTTTGACACTAGATATAATTAGTTCACTAATTTATGTAATTATAGTCGGTGTTTATTTATTGGAATATTTCCTCAACATCTAATAGCTTTAGGGAACTTAAATACTGTTTATTCTAGCACTCATATCAAGTATTTATCATATTTTAATGAAATTAGTTTATAAATTAAGGTCTTAGATATTTATGTCGTAATACCCCATTCGAACAAAACTCATTGTACCACTGTTATGATTTGTCAAACAGATTAATTTACCACAAAACACTGGGTAGTACTTTCAGTCCTATGTGATTGTTTCTCACGTTCTTCCAGTATATTGCCTTGTGTTTGCAGTATGTATATAAAATGAACAGGCCGTACATGACGTGTTCTAGCGTGTGCTCTCTTATCAGACTTTGTCACTGAAAGTAATTTGATCTATATGTTTTTAAACTCGATCAATAAGCTATAGTATACTGATCAATCGATAAGACGGATCGATAATAGAAGTTCAGCTGAACTGTAGAGAGAGTCGATCTCTGATAAGTGGAAGAATGTACTAAGTGTTTTGTTAATCTTGAAATAAGTCTGTGTATATTAAATATTTTTGGTATATAGTATATGGAAGTTAATACCAATATTAACTGATAACAAGCGACCTCGTTACTGCTGAGTGAGTGAGTGAGTGAGTGAGTATGGTTTTAAACCGCTTTAAGCACTGTGCCAGCAATAGCACGGCGGGAGACACCAGCCATGGGCTTCACACATTGTACCCATGTCGGGAATCGAACCCGGGTCTTGGGTGTGACGAGCGAACACCTTAACGACTAGTCTACCCCACCGTCCCTCGCATGCGACTGACATGGTTTGTCTGTGTCAGGCTCCAGCATGGCAATATTAACAATATGATCACAATTTCAACGAAGGTGTGCCACGGGCATATGTATGTATTTAGATGTAAACTACGTTTATAAAGAACACGCTTATAACGAACTGACCGATATAACGAACTTATTTTTAATTCCTGGCCATTTGTTGTATATATGCTGTGTATATGCTTATAACGAACTACGGTTATTACGAACTAAAATTTGTGGTCCCTTTGTGTTTGTTATAACCGTAGTTTGCTGTATACCAAAGTCTTTCACAAACTGGAAGGATCGGGCGATATTGTCCTCTGTCAATGCAAACTCATTGGTCTTGATTTTAAATAAACCAACTCGAAAAATGGCAGAATAAAAGTAAGTTACAAATACAGCTTATTGTATTTAATTGTTTTAGAACAAAGTGCAGAATTCTTTATAATATTAAGTATAATTATCATGAGAATAACTGCAGGTTAAGTGAAGCCTCGTTTTCTCAAAGTTTTTTTTCATGGTTCCGGCATTATCCTTACCTGCGTTAATGTCATTTTTGTCGCTTGTCTCGAACAACGTACGTATTACTAATGTATTTTCAATGTGCATGGGGACTGTGCATCAATGAGGTTCGCTGCATAAACTTACCCCAAACCAAACTCGTATTTGATTTTTTTTGTTTTAACCTTGTTCAGTTTGTTGGGGGACTACGGTAGGTAAAGTTATTTGTCTACAGTAGTGGACCAGGTAGAATCTGCCTACATGCGTCATCGAGGCATACCTGGGCGTTAGGTCACGGGTTTACCTGGGTCGTGGGCAGCGCGCCACGCTCCACTGGGAATGTACACAGGTATGTTGATATAACACCAACTTGTATGCAGACTGTTAGTCAACTATTGATTCACAGGGAGTCCATAACTTGTCATGATATACAATGTGCTACAGGACCATTTGTGACTTTGAGGACCTATGTTTATCCAGGACGCTTGAACAGATTCCGTTGCAATAAAGAGCACTTGAAAAGCTGTCAATATGTCTTTGCATACCACGCGCAATATATACGTACATGTATATCATGATATACTAATTCAGTTAAGGCTTGAATATGTAACATTTGAATATAGGTTCATATTATTCATTATTTTCCATTTGCAGTTGAAATCCACAGTGATGTTTATTTATGCATTTAATGTGTATCCACGTGTATTAAGGTGAGAAAATCGCGCACTACAGTGAGGTATTCGATCACAAAGGCGCACTTGCAGCAAGGCAGTAACTTTAGGTTAGCTTGTTTGCATGTACAAAGTAAGTTCCGTGTCACCAGGGTTGCCCATGTAATCAGCAGTAGGTATATAGTCTTCTCTGCGCCTGACGGGCCACGCTACCCCGACAGGTGATAAGGTCAGGTGTGGTAGTTACCTGTTACGGGTAGTCGCTCCGAGACACTGGAGGTGGTGTTACCCAGAAGGAAGGCAATATAAATCACAATACACTCAGTGGTGATTACGCAGCAACAAACTGCACGGTGAAGGTTATTTGTAGACTAACACTTAATCCATGAAGACATTTCTTTAAAATAATTGTATTTTTTTTCTTCAAAAGGACCTGTCCTCTTCTGTTGTTTTTAACATTTCTGGGGCGGTCGGGTAGCCTAGTGGTTAAAGCGTTCGCTCGTCACGCCGAAGTCCCGGGTTCGATTCCCATCATGGGAACAATGTGTGAAGCCCATTTCTGGTGTCCCCCGCCGTGATATTGCTGGAATATTGCTAAAAGCGGCGTAAACCCCCACTCACTCACTCGCTCAATTTTAACATTTCTTTAAAAGAACCTTTCCTTTTCTGCTGGTTTCATACAGGGAACTAGACTTGGTTTAGTTTGATCTAGACTTGCCTTGGCTTTAGTAATATATATAATTCCAGTCATGGCGCAGGACGAGGTTAAATATTACAAAGAACGTTCTACGACTAACAAGCGTTGCTAGTTTGATACAATAATATTGATTTGTATTTATATTGTTATCATCATTATTATTAATATTTTTTTTATGAGAATAAAACACACGACATAACAATTTTAATTAGTATAGTCAGTAGGTCATTTAAGGTCTGCAAATAGTTGGGAATAGTATTGTTGGAAATCTTCAGCAACGTGGGGATTCAAGGTTAGATTCACAGGATCGTGATATTACTGAAACACTGGACCCCTATATATAAATACTATCCTGCTTCAGGGGCCTGTGGTTAGAATAGGTCCCCAGCAACCTATATGTTGATCGAACAGGCGACTGAAGGGATCGGATGACATGGTTGATTGTCTTTCTATCCCATCTTCCCATCTTCCCGAGGCAAATCCAGTTTCCAGTGGACTTTTAGAGTCAGTTATCCCCCTTGCATCGGGAAGATGTTGTATCCCGACGACATGGATCGTCGCTAATAAAATCAATCACTGGATTGTCTGCTCCATTGGTTATTTAGAGACCGCCGTCACACAGGAATATTGCTGTGTGCGGCGTTAAACAACAAACACACAAGCAAATTATGTAATGTTGAGTGAGAATGACCAGGTTGTCTTCACGCAGCTACATGCATGGGAACTAACATGTGCATGGGGCTCCCCGGGTTATAGAAAGTCCCACCACGCTGACACGTTGAGATCAGTTATGTCACGAAGCCCCGTCGAATGTGAACAAGTGTATCAGCGATTACCAGGCTACCTCCGATGTGTAAATGATTAACACGTGACTAAACAACCTGTGCTTATCAGTCAGTGCTGAGTATAGCGTGAAATCCTATCACTTTCCATATACAATTGCAGGTGCGGGTTCACATGTACATATATGCAATCTTCATATTGAAAAACAATAACGCAAATTCGTAAATAAGTAATACGTTATTACTTTATGTTTATTTGCTGTTTAACGCCGCACTCAGCATTATTCCAGCTATCTAAGTAAAGCTTGTTTCTACAACTCTGTATTAGTGATTTCCTCGGGTGTATAGGTAATATAGATACAAGAGTCCAGATATTTGTGCTTGTCAAAACTCCTTGATATACACAAGATTTTTCGCCGCTCAACGGCTCTCCAGGTATATATGTTACACCCAATCTGTGCAACTACCCATTGCGTGCGTGTATTGGGAAGGCCGTCTGTCCAATGAGTGCAATGGACAATACAGCTTGCCCAATGCGGGTGTAGCAGGGCGTGGAGTTATCCCACAGATGACATCCTTACCTTGTCAGCTTGCTGACGGGGTTAACCTCTTTGGGCATGTGGACAAGGCGTCCGACCTCGGATCGGAAGGTTCGTGGTTCGAATCCCGTCACGGGACTCGGAAATTTTATGGCCGCTACACAGGCAATGGACAGTGACAGTTGCACAGATTGGGTGTAACATATATATTAACTGTCTTAGAGAATATGTAGATTGCTCTTGAGGACGGTTAACTATCGATAACTTTAGATGCAGCAAATAAGAAAGTGAGTTTGAACTGATTATTTCAGTTCTGTAACTGCGTGTATATATAATAGGCAGCGTACGAGATCTACGGACATGGTGCTGGCAAACCAAGGGTCATAACTGGGCGAATATTTGGCTAAAATAACGTCCAGCGGATCCTGGTACAGTGGTTGTTGCCATTTATCTTGTGGCTGGTCATTTGTACGTTACATGTCTAATGCTACATTATTTTGTGAACACATTTTCTATTTTCTATGTTGATGATGATGATGATGATGATGATGATATGCATGATGTATGTCTGGAGAGGGTCCGGTAAGCAATGGGTGTTTTATCCCAATCCAGATGGACAATAAAAATATGTTTAAATCAAATCAAATCAAATTAAATCAGACCGCTGGTCCGCCATCCGTGCCCCCGAACATGTCCGACGGTAAAGCATATTAGGATTAGTGTCAGTGAAGGCAGGTGCGTGTCGTTCTATATAGACAGGTCACGGGGTTCACATACAGTGAGGACCCAGGAAGTCCTAAGCTCACTGTGGGGTAAGATCACCCGTCCCTACATAAGTACAGGATTGGTATTGAGACACTTATTGTCGACAACCAGTGTCCAAGATGCAGTAATCTACACAGCTGTCATAAGCCATGAAACAGGTGGGTGCGGGGGGTGATTTAGATTTTCCTTATCATGTCAAATAAATGAATTATATTAAAGAATTTACGATTGACTTAGCAAAGTAGTTCATGAAAGCTAATCCCAATACAAAAGCATAGATGTATTGGTGTAAGAGGCGTGTCTATGTCTCTCAGCCAAGACGTATGTCTACCCCTTCACTGGTAATTATACACGATACAGACGCGAAGCCAGCAGAACGTTAATCATCCGGGGAATATAACTAACGGTCACAATAACTGTGATGATATAATTTCCTATGACACTTATATAGGATACCTTACGCTGGCAGATTGCCAACAAGACTCGGAAGTCTGATACCCAGCGTGGGGGGTACATTGTCCTCCATGCAGTTAGTGAGTGAATAATTGTTTATTTGTTTGTTTGTTGTTTAACGCCAGCACCAGACCACCCGACCCCATACAGTTGCCCCGTACGACAAACGTATTCGCCTTTTAGGGCAAGCATGGGTTGCTGAAGACCTATTCTAACCTTCACGGATCGAGTGAAGAATTGACTCCAATATATTTGTTGCGCTGATGGAGGTATAACCGTAAACCGTGTACATACTGTGTAAGCCCGCGTAGCCCCAGTCGAGGTAGATACTGTTGGTAGGTGCAAGGGTGGCCCAGTCGTCAAGGCAACGCAATTCGCTCGGCACAGTTGTCTCTTAGACGTGCCAGAAACCTGTGATTGTGGGTTCGAATCTGTTGGTCATGCATGCTGACTTGGTTGTTCCATGATACCGCACCCCAATTGCGTAGATCAATGCCCATGGCGTCAGTCACTGGATTGTGTTGTCCCTGATTATATACAGACGCCCATGCAGCTGAAATATTGCTGAGCGCGGCGTTAACTAACCTACAGACCTCACTAATCATCCGGAAGTTGGGGATTCCGTACTAGCGGGGTGTCTCTTTATACAGAAACTGTAATAGAGACACACCAGAACATCTACAGACATACAAAGGTGATACCTAAACTTACGACCCGTGAAGATCCGGGGTAGAATAGGTCTTCAGCAACCCATACTTACCGTAAATGGCGACTATGCTTGTCGTAAGAGGCGACTAACGGGATCGTTATCCCAATTGCGTGGATCGATGCTCATGATGTCAATCACTGGATTGTCTGGTCCAGACTCGATTATATACAGACCGCCGTCATATAGCGGGAATACTGCTGAGTGCGGCGTTAAACAACAAACAAACCAAACCATACCTCAACTCACGTTACTGGGCCAACATCTAAAAACATAAATGTATGCCATTGTCTCGAGCCCAACGTATGATCACGCCATGATGTGTGCAGCAAGCGCCGATCGAGTTACGTCACAGATGATACATTAAAACTCATTGGAAGACGTGATCCTACTGGTCCATGGCATCATCGGGTCAATAGCCTTATATACATCTGACTACCAACAATCACTCAGGCAGAAGTAATTGTCTCTCGTCTCTTTATTGAAATGTTCTCTTTTTTTTCAAAGTGACCAAATTGTCGGCAGTATTTGTCTGTCGTCGTAATCCGTTTGGTAATGTTGCTGTTATATACTATACTGCGATTGTTCTGTGTAAGATGGATGACCAATGTTTATATTTTGTTTTAGATTTCAAGATGGCGTCTGGCGGCTTGATAACACAAAGAATGGAAAACACGCTTTCCGTCCAGGTAACTCTGTCACTTGGCTTTAACCGCCAGATGATTGTGCATGGGAGGACCTCCCCCCCCCCAAGCGACGCAAATATTTTTACACACACACACACGGTGTGTGTGTAAAAGAGATCGTTATAAATGTTTATTAATGTAGATTATGTTAATGTGTTTAAGAGGCTATAGTCAGACTGGGTATCCGGGCCACTGAATGACTCTAATGGTTATGTCATCGTTAGCCATTTGCACATAAGTTATGTAAATGAGTTTCATTATTGAACTTCAACCTAAATGAAAATGACCCGTTTTTGTTCAGATAATCTGCATATACTGTGTATACTGTGTACTGTGGAGTACCGCATTTCCTCCAATGAAATCCACCTATGTCAGGAAAGTTCCAAATTTTCAAAAATATCTGTTAAATATAGGTTAGTTCAAATCCCATGTCGGTCCTAAAACATTCACAAAAACAAGAGTTATTGACCATGTGTGGATTCTGGGTTAGAATTGATCCCATGCAACCTATGCTTGTTGTAAGAAGCGACAAAATGGATCCGTTGCTCAGGCTCGGCAACTTGGTTGATTGCATCTCATCTATCCCAGCATCGTTGATCGTTGCTTATTATGACAATCGCTGGACTCTCTGGTCCATACGTATTGGCCGTCTTCGTATGGCTGGAATATTGCTGAGTGTGGCATTAAACAACAAACCAACAAAATTAATAAAATGCCCAAGTGAGTACGGGTTTTTGTATTAGCAATATCACACGGGGGCATTACCAATCAAGAGAAATGAGTTGTACTTTCTATTTGGCTTCCAGGACCACTTGAAGGTTCATGGTACCGGCATCACCCCTCGACCAGATTCAAGAGCAGCTGATAATGGGAGTGCCAGTAGTGTTGACGTCACTTCCGCTTCCTCATCAAGGCCGTCGTCTGCTTCTCTTGAAATGGCGCCAGGTGATGCGTTCAACGTGTTACAGAGTGTTATCACCATGAACAAGGCACTCGAGGGACAAATTGATGCCTTAAGACTACGGCTGGATGTTGAGGCCAAGCATCATACCACAGAGAACGAAAGAATCGTCAAAGAAAAGACTCGAGAAATTGAGAAGAAGGAAGACGAGATAGGTAGCTTAAAGGACTCCTTGATCAACAGAGATGAAAGGATAGGCGTTTTGGTCAAATGTAGTGGTGAAAAGGATAAGATTATAAAGGAAAAATCAGGGGAGTTGAATGAGCTCAAGAAGCTTGTGAAACAAACCGAGGAGTATGCTGGGAAACTATTCAAACAGGTCAGTAGGCTGCGTGACGACAAGCGGCACCTAGAATCAGATACTTTGTATAAAGAACAAAACAATGAGATACATAAGTTACGCGAGGAGCTGAAAGAGTTGAAAGACAAGTGTGCCACCATGGAGACGGAACTGGAACGTGCCAAAAACATCATCACTCAACAGAATATGAAACTCGCCCAGTTTGAAGGGGAGAAGAACGAGATGGTGAGGAACTTCAAGGAGGAACTGGACAAGGCATCCAGGGCCATGAGACAAGAGGTAGAGAGGATGAGGGAGGTCATGAACCAGAACTATGAGGAGATGAGGAACTTACGGGAGCAGAACAGAGAAATGCATAGTGATGTGAAAGATATCAAGGACCTCATCATGAAGGGGAAGACGCCAAGGGAAGACGTGGAGGAGGAAGCTACTCCAGCAAAGCCATCCACCAACAACATCAACATGAGTACGTATATCTTAGCTCCTTCCAAAACCCCAAATCCCCCGAAAAGAGGACAGAGTCCCAATCCTCCAAGAAGAACTCTGGATCATCTTAATCAAAACGTTTCCCGGCCCCAGGCAAGCCCCAGCCCGTTAATCCGGTCGAACAGTAGAGCCGCCATGGCCTCCAGAACCTCCCACATCCGGGCATCACAGGGTGGGGTGGGTAGGTCTTCCGGGTCGGTGGCCAGTAGCAATGCTAGTCAAGCTGGACTTCCGCCGATACGTTACGGCCTAAAGGAGACCACGAGGTGGCAATCTGCCGCCATTCCAGAGAGAGCGTCTAACATAAGATTAGGGGCAAAATCAGCAAAGAGGGGTTCAGCTGTGACCAGGAAATGACCTCTGTAGAAAGACGTTTAGATTAACTCTGTTTTGTTGGTTACGATATGTTGTTGAGAAAGTTGTGATACGCTTTAAACACTGACTGTCCTACAGTTAATGGTGCAGAAAATCGGATCCGAATTCATATACACATTTACTACGTATATTGCATCAGGAATATAAGTCACACTGCACCAAGAATATGTGTCAGGAATCAGGGATGTGTGTGTCACTGCATCAGGAACACCAGTCTAATGTCAACGTCCTTGAGTGCATCGTTCGCGTAGCAACCTTCTTAACTGAGGCTACTAAGCTGTAGAAAGTTACGTATGATTTTAGGAGGTGTTCCATCAGTGTTAATGAAAAGTATTCCTTTCATTTCTTGAATGGCATTAGGATCCCTTTCAATGGAGTACATTAGTCATCAAGGTATTGTTGAACGCATTGCCTTGATAGGTGAACTTCAGAAAGTAGTCTTTCATCCACGGATGGATAATGTGACCTGTCTTAGTGACAGTGACATGTCTTAGTAACAGTGACCTGTTTTGTTCAAATGACAATGTCGAGTTGGTCACTGAATAATGAATAAAGTGTTGTCATGTCCCTGCTGTCTGCATGGGCTTCTTCGCTTGCCGAGGGAATGTAGACTCGTCTCTCTGTGACAATGTGAAACATACCACCGAGTCTCCAAAGACATATTTCCGACCTTGCTTTTTTATTTTGGGCTTAGTTTTGGTGTGTCAAGTGCTTATTCATGTGGTGACCAAAGTGGGCCTGGGTAAAAGAAGGGTGCTTAGCTGCTTGTGTTATGTCAACATTGAACATAGATACACAGAAACCTCGTTAGACCGGATCCTGGTAATCTGCAAACCACGTCTCGACAGCATAGAATTGCTTTTCGACAATTTAAGTCTGCAACAACATATACGACCGCGAGTGCGACATCACGTACGGTCAACGGAGACTCGATCACTTGTAAACACATTCATTTACGCAACACATTGTACACTGTAGGTATACGTGTATTATGTTATTGAATCTTGAACGAAACCCGTGTAACACGGTATAATGTACAGTGGGATGTCCACCCAACCTAAAGTATCGGAGTAAACTGTAATGGGGGAAGGCCAGCGGGAGCAGAACCCGGATCTCACCACAACACTCTCTCAACATCCCGCGTATTCTGGTAGGCATCCAGTCTTCTGTATGTGGAGGCATTATGACGGTCTGTGATATATTTATGTTGTAAAGCTTGTACCAAACTATTTAAACAATCGTTGCTATTTAGTATAGACGTTGCATAATTATTATCTTCAACACTGATTTAAAACGCCTCATTGCAGTCACACCCGCACATTCAAGAGCACGCTTGGTGTCAATGTCAGCAAGCGCGATGGGGTAGCCTAGTGGTTAAAGCGTTCGATCGTCACTCGGAAGGCTCGGTCCGATCGTTCACATCGTGAACTAGTTTACTATAGTACTCAAAAGAAGTTAAGGGACACCCGATATGTTCTTATATGACTATAGCTGGGGATGAACATTTGATGGAGGGGGCTGGGATATTATCGAAAACAATAAATTGTCGCCGAAAATTGTTATAAAACATAATTATGCTTCAGACCGTTGAAAAGAAAATTGCTTACCACAACAATTGCATAGCTGCAAGATGCTATTCTTAAAACAAAATTCAGGCTTATAGTATTAAATAGAAATATATCTGATTTTGTAGTTGCCGATGAAAATATCTAATCTGGTACAATATCCTAGCCAGAATATCAAACGGTCGGTCCTTCTTTGTCATACACAAAGTAGTAGTATTCAGCTTCATGTCAACATAGGTTAGGTCGCATTTCGATAAATTGTCTCTGGGAATCGCATATTAGGTCTGATCCCGGTATCCTTATCTAATGTTGAGAGGTATATTTCCTGAAGATTTTGAAGTTTGGGAATATGTGTATTTATAGACCATAACTTATTTCTAGGAGCATATGCCTTTGGTTAACATGTTGTTTCGACACGTCTCACGTTCCGGTGAGGAGTAAGGAATAAGTGTTGTTTATCAATATTAACCAATGAGGAGCACGGTTCCAAATCGTGACCGTAAAAATGAAAGCATGGACTTTATTTTAAAGTCAGAACTTTGTATGAGTGATTATGCTGGTGCTCTTTGCATTCACGTATTTGCCTATATGATCAAACAAGTCTGTATGTATATTTTATAAATAATAAATTAAATACATAATGAGATGAAGATGTTTTGTTTTGCGTTCTGGTAGATCATCTGGGGAACAACACGTTTTCCCGGGTGCATGCAGAATGTTTATTAAATTATTCGTCTTGCGCATGATATGTGCATAACGTTAATTTGTTCCTCGTCTCACCCAGACATATTCAAGTTATATCAGGGCGGCCTGTTGATTATCGGATCACGGCTAGGCAAATATGTGGTTGTTAGCATGGTGATACATTCTGAAACAGCAGTCACAGATCCTGCCCACTGCGTGGATACTTCAGCTCTGACAAGCTTGAGAGTCAAGTCTCGGAGCCAAACTACCCCATCCATTCAGTGAGTGAGTGAGTGAGTTAGGTTTAACGCCGCTTTTAACAGTATTTCAGTTATATCACGGCGTGTCAGCTTAATGTGGGAGGAAAGCCCGAAGTGATGGAGGTCTCAGACGTTTACCACTTCGGTGAAACCCACGAGCACGGGTATGGTGCTGACAAACCTAGAAACATAATTGGGGCGAACCGGGATTCGAACTCACAATCATAGGTTTCTTGCGTGCCCAAGGGGCGCAACTCTGCACAGCGAATCGCGGCGCCTTAGACGACTGGGCCACCCGTGCCCCCCATCCATTCAGTGCATCATAGGACACGAATAGGTTGCTGGAACCTATTCCTACCTAATTTCAAATGAATTATATGCAGATCCAGGTGGGAACATAGGGAGGGGTACAGGGTGCCCACCCACACAATTTTGAAAAACCAAATGTAGTATTTTGTAGTAAAATTATCTCCCTTTTGAAATGCTGGATCCGTCCCTGTAAATAAATGGGATTGGCAAGAAGCAGTTTACGAAAGCCATGGGAACACCATCCAATAGGAAGAGTGAGTGAGTGAGTTGGGTTTAACGCCGCTTTTAACAATATTCCAGTTATATCGCGGCGTGTCAGCTTAATGTGGGAGGAAAGCCCGAAGTGATGCAGGTCTTAGACGTTTACCACTTCGGTGAAACCCACGAGCACGGGTATGGTGCTGACAAACCTAGAAACATAACTGGGGCGAATTGGGATTCGAACCCACAATCATAGGTTTCTGGCGTGCCCAAGGGACGCAACTCTGCACAGCGAATCGCGGCGCCTTAGACGACTGGGCCACCTGTGCCCCCTCCAATAGGAAGAGAATTGATTGGTGTCAACTTCTCTATTATTACGGAGAACAACACGTTTCGGAGTATACGCTTACTCCTTCAACATGGGAATCGCTTACTCCTTCAACATGGGAATCAGGTAAGCATAAACTCATAAACTCCGAAACGTTGTGTTCCCCATGATAAAGAAGTTGACATCCATAAACTCTCTCCCTCGTGTGTATCACTTCTAACTGTCTTTCAAAGACTTGATACCATCAAGGGATCAGAGACACATGAACTGACTCATATCACAACCAAACAAACTGACATTTTACTAAAAATTTATTCATGTATACCTACATAAATACAAACATACATAGAAACTGTCACAAACTGACTGAAATGAACACATGTCGATAAACAGTATCTGAATAGAAGTGGAAACAACTAAAAACAAGAAGTCTAATGCTTGATGTATGGACGCTTAAACCTTCTGCTTCTGTGACATCATGATCCCTATCTCACACCTACCTTTCTGGAATACATTGACTAGATCGGTAGGAATCCAAGCAGAGTTGGAAGATTTGGGCCTTCTTTGTGTTCTCTAATTTGAGCGGGTATGGTTTCATGCTGCGTTTAGCCTGCAATATCAGAGCAGGGGGACACTAGAAGTGGGCTACACACATTGTACCCTTGTGGGGAATCAAACCAGGTCTTGGTGTGACCAGCCAAGCTTAACTTGAACTGTCAACATGATTGAGTTGAAGTGAGTGGACAAATTCCCCCTAGAACAGTGTTCTATCACCATGTGTCAGCTTAAAGTATGATGAAAGCCACAAGTAGCACAGATTATATTGTTAATTGGAGGTGCTGACCAACCAAGGATGACAATAATTTGGTGAAGCTGGGCTTCAAACCAATGACCAGAAGATCCTAGCTCTACCTCAAGACCACTCAACATGATTGCAGAGAAAGAAAAGTGATCGAATGGTACACTATCATATATTAAGAGACTCACTTTCATGCTATATAAAGTTCTTCCCAACTGATCACAGTGACTTGAGTGACTATAGTTTCTTAAGAACAGATTACTCACACAACACAAGCATTGGGCAAAGGTAGTTTCCAGCTGAATGCATGTTCATTACATACTAGGCAGAAAACAACATGACACATCCCCAAAAGCAACTATGTAGTCCAAATGGACATATCCCATCTGCCCAAAAAATGAGTTTCAAGTATATCCCTGCACGTCAGCTAAACAGAAGGAAGTGAGTGAGTGACTGAGTTTGGTTTTACGCCGCTTTTACCATGAGCTCGGGCATGGTGCATACAATCCAGTGATCTTAATCAGGGCAAATCTGGAATTCAAACCCATGATCACAGGATCCTGGCATGCCCAAGGGACGTAAGACAATGACAGAAGTTGCTCCTAGGCTAGAGAAGGGCTATAATGTTATCTTGTTATTCAACACATTATCTCGGAGTGAGTACTGTCTTTTGCTTCTTTTAGCAGCATCCCAGCAATATGTCATCTGGGGCCACCAGAAATGGGCTTCATGCATTTTACCTATGCTAGGATTCAAGCATGAGCCTTTGCCTTGATGAGCGAAGTCCTTAACCACTAGGCTACCCTACTGACTCTATTACTTATGATGAAAATTCAGAGCAAATATTACATTCAAATACAGTACAGGTGATACACTCACAAATGTGTATGTAAGAATTATCCATGCAATAACATATTAAAAGGAAACCAAAACTTCCCTTCACTTAGACTTCGTATAACATCATTTACATCATGGAGAATGTTTTTTCTGTTGTTGGAGTCCAACTGTCCGAGGATCATAGGCGTGATGACATCTTAACCTGACTTCTGTTTTTAATAATCCTGATAAGCATAAGCAACAAATAATATACCAAATTGTCATCAGCATGGAAATTATGTTGGAACAGAATGAGCAACCCTATATCCCGGCTTGATAGCAGTGTTACGTACAGTACAGACCTGTTACAATGTAACTAGTGATAGTCCAGACACTGAGAGTCTGGAAACCTGCCCTTCACACAATTACTGCTTGGATCATCTACATATACACAAGGGACATTACTATGTATTAATAATTCATTAACAAAGCAAATTCGATTCAGCCCAATGTTTCTCATTCAAAGCAGGCTCCTTTAAAACTTTCTTTGAAACTGGAACCAAATGGTTCTCAGGGGTAGACACAATGAGATAAATTGATCAAGTTCACACCTCAATTCAGACCAGTGGAATATACAAAAATAACTAGTTTTTGTTTTTAAGGAAATGTAGTCCTTCCAGGTTCTGACTAGCGAGAGGCCATGTCTAAAACATTAATGGATGTCTACTGAAACATAAATCTCCCTGTCTACTAACATGACAAATGCAAAGACTGAAACCAGGGTCTGGTAGCCTGAAACTGACATTGTTTCAATGGACCCTTAAAAACTTGTACATCAGAATGGAATGTCCATTTATTGAAAATATAATGAAAAACCTTTTTGTTACATCTTACACATCCACTTCAGTAGGACCCTCAACCCTCAACCCCTTAACAAACATGAACAATTACACATGTCAAGTCCAAGATATACATCAGGGTTAACTGCCCTCGAAGCAAAACAAATTTAAAACAAATCAGAAAAACAATAATAATTATATAATCGATCAACTCGAAATCATTATGAGATCTGAAAGAATTTTCTCAAAGGTAACTATTTCTCTTCCCAACAGACATGTGTTAGAATGATTTCTTTTACACAGACATTTTAAATAAATTTGAATCAAAACCTAATTATACAATTACTGATAACAAAATGCTGATGACAAAACTTGCTTTACTTTGAGTAAGAAAACAAGAAATGATTCATCGTTACTTTAACTCATAGGGGCTTCACAATTAACTGATGCATCGAAGCATCACAAATTCTCACCTGATGATACGATACACAATATGCCTAACCATGTATCAATTTTCAAAAAGGAATATTTACAAAGTGTTGTAAAAAAACGTGCCTGACCACTAAGGCAAGTGTAACTTTATCATGCTATATCTGACTGCAAATTGTTATTACATGTAGAACAAGCCAAAATTCTTGGTTGATAGCACAGCATATTGTCAACCTAAGAATGAAATGGAAGAACACCACAAATTATGTATACTACTCAAAAGAGGTTAAAGAACACATGATTTTTTCATATGACCAAAGGTAATCTGTCATGGCTGGTGGGTATTGCCTTCCAATTGTGGATGTCCTTTAACTTGTTTTGAGTAGAAAATAATGACACATATTGTATCATGATTTAAGCATCGTGATACCTATCGATATATGAGGTAGGCATATTGTGACACATCCAGTAATTAACATGCAGTGGTATGAGGTTCACTGAACAAATGTCCTATACTGATAACATACAAGCACTGTCACTGCTTTTGATTACATCTCTATTGCCTGTACATCTTGTAATTACATATAAACACATAACACTAACAGGTCAATATACTCTGCATATGACCAACAAGGAGCTGGCGTGACTATTAGTGAGTGCGTTGGGTTTAACGCTGCTTTTAACAGTATTCAAGTTATATCGCGGCATGACAGCTTAATATGGGAGGAAAGCCTGAAGTGATGCAGGTCTCAGACGCTTACCACTTCGGTGAAACCCACGAGCACAGGTGTGGTGCTGACAAACCTAGAAACTGTCAATGCCTATAAAAAAAACTCTTTACATGGTCATTTCATTTTTGTAGGAGACATAATATTTTTTTGTCACTGCCTAAAGACATTGAGAACAACAAACAAACAAAAAACAAAAACAATTTCATATCACCCAGTATTCCATATCATGATCCATATATTCTCAAGTAGCAATAAGATGATTTCATGCATACTATATTCACTGTATTAAGCATGCTGCTTCAATAAGCGCTTACCTTTGTCAATTTTTACAAAACCACAAACCCAATTTCAAAACACCCAGTATGTCCTGTGAACAAGTTTACTATGTGTAAATCTCATGCAAACTTATTTTTTCCTGCATTCCTGCTAATTAAATGGTTGGTCCCTAAAGTGAACCAGTAGTAACAGTGTAATATTTGTGTTCTCGTGTGTAATATTTGTGTTCTCATATGGAATGATTAAATAGTGCAAATAGGATACATAGCCAAATAAGCACTAACCACTCTCTTTGCACTTTGATCTATATCAAGCTTGAGGCACTAGTTTCATTGACAACTGACTACCATCAGTTCACCAAAATATAATCAGTATGACAGTATATTCAGGGATTTATCTAGGATTCAAAACTAAGTGCGCTTGACACACAAATCTGGAAACAAAATCAATTATTTTTTTCAAATAAGTTCCTATTTTCATAAATTCAGAGTAATTTAACACTTAATTGTAACATTCCATTCAATGCAATAATGTTAAACTAAGCATCAAAGCCCCTTCCATTATATTGGTCGTGTTATCAATGTATTACAAGCCACCGCTACAAAGCCATAAATTAGTTATGACAATAACACTATGAATGGAGACATGTTTAATTCTAATTTGTGACTTTTTACTGACATTTGCTGCAGACTTGGGACAAATATCAGTTTCAGGTCTAGATAAATCCCTTATATTGGTAAATGTTTGTCATAAGCATCAACTCACGACAACTAGGTATGTACAGAGTATGGGGAGTTTGTTACCATGGCTGAGCATGTTACAGAGATAATGGCATGATAATATGACAAAGTTCATCCCCTGTGTAGAAGGCAGAGGAACCAAAACAAGAATCACAGAAAGAAATGTCAGTCACACAGCGTTGCCATCACTCAGACCATTAGTATAAATTACACAAGTCAACAAAATAGAATCTCTTCACAACCACGCCATTTGGAACTTGATGTTTTCATGTTGGAATGTCCCCAGGTAAGTCTGCATTGGTGTGGGTCTGGTTCAAGGGGAGGTCACTCCGTCTGCGGTGGGTCTGGAAGGCAAACCAGCCACTTCCTCCTAGAGCTAGGGCACAAATAAAGCCAAGAGCCTGAAACATGAAGGGACAAAATTGCATTCATGTGCAATTTATCAAAAAAATGTTCAATGACTTAGAATAAAAAATCAAATCAAATATTCCTTAGGCATTAACTTGTCTTAAACTGGTGCTGACGTTTTCCTTTTTTTTTCTTTGTGTAAAAAGTGTAATTCATGATGATCATGATCCATATTTTCTTAAGAAGCAATAGAATGATTTCATGTATACCATATTTGCCATATCACGCACCCTGTTTAAATAAGGGCCCATCTTTGTCAATTTACTGACCACCCAAGGGCTCTAATTATGACATATATGGTAGATACAGTTATACTTTTTCAGTTTCAAACTTCTGCATACATGGTACATTGTATTAGGTTTCTCAGGTGAAAAAAAGACATAATCTGACAGTAACTCGAGCCCCTATTGTTCCATTATGTCTGTGATGAGTGGACAGTCTAATGGTCACCTCATCTAGCTCATGTTTGATCACTCAGAAGCATGGCACAAACCATATAAACCAAATAAAAATATAATAATGCATCTAACATACTGAAGATCTATACAAGACCACTTGACTTAACTGTTTGACTACAGCTACTAGGTTTTGGAAGTCCAAGGACAAGCAGAAAGAAATGTTCTGTTGGACCTCTCGTGATCCAGATTAAACAGTGTGTATAATAATTAATATAGAAATAAATAATTTACCATGTTTACCATGTAGGTTGCTAACAGCACACTCAAGTCACATCATTTGATTAATTAAACTTGCCCAGGAAACAGTTCACTAAACTAGGTCAAATAGACCAGACTAATTTCTGGCTACCCCTGGTACTGTGAGTATTGAGTGAGTGAGTGAGTTGGGTTTAATGCCGTTTTTAACAGTATTCCAGTTATATCACGGTATGTCAGCTTAATGTGGGAGGAAAGCCCGAAGTGATGCAGGTCTCAGATGTTTACCACTTCGGTGAAATCCACAAGCACGGGTATGGTGCTGAGAAACCTAGAAACATAATCGGGGCGAACCGGGATTCGATGTGAGTGTTAAATAGCACACTTACCACAGCCCCCTCGAGACTGGAGAAGGTGAGGTCGGCCTCCTTGACAGCAGTTGACTCCCCTAGGTGGGTGATGGACACGCACAGGACTATGGCTGCGATGAAGAGGAGGAGGCTCAATGCAGCATTCAGGATCATATCCTGTAAACAGTAGAAATCATGATACATGATACTTGATACACATGATGGCATGATTTGTCGGAGGTTTCAAATGCTAAAATATCTGCACATCAATTTCATGGAAATTATTACAATCTGGGTAAGAAGTGGCAGTCATGTGACTGCAAGCGGTTCATATTTAGTAGTGAACTTGGTCAATAGTGCTTTAAATACTACATCTGAATACATATAGCCGTTTGCAGTCACCTGACTACCGATCCTCGATCAGATTGTTACCATGTGATCAAAACTCAATGACAATGCTTATCACAAGCAAATTAGATATTTCTCAAAAAGCACAGGTTTCTTGTAATATTACAATACAACTACAATATTTCTTCACCCAGGACCTTCGCAGCGCTGTCCTTCTAGTTGTCGTAAGTAAGCAGTGAATGCATTAAGGAGTAATGCAGGATAAGTAAAAAAATTGTAATATTGTAATATTCCGTAATGCCGGAATGGCTTAATTTCACTTTCTTAGTTTTAGCACATATGCAGCTATCTTTGTTAATTAATTATTGCGATATTTCGTGATCATATTTCACGTGGCGGGGACCACAGCTGATCACCATGATCAGGGCAGAGATAGATACATATTACAATACAAAGTGGTGCATCACGTAATTATGAGTTATACTAAAAACTCATGGACCAAAATAGAGTCAATGTAAAATCAGCATGCTAACTGCCATATGCATGACATCATTTTTTCAAATAAATTTTATTGATTTGTTACTCACAACAAGGGGTGACAGGTAAACTGGTTTGATGAGGACAATGAGGCAGAGGACTGCCACACTGAGAAATGTCAGCGTTGACATGCCAACAAAGTACTGTAGGTTGTGGAGAACATTGAAGTCACTTCGGTTGAGATCATTGTAGGAAAATCCCTCGCTTCGCCAGCCAGTCACCAAACACACGGCTATTACACTCAAAAGCTGGAAAGTGTCAAAACAACATATTAGATAATCATACGCTGTAATCTAATTAAACAGTTTTTAGTGGTTAATACAGTTTTGTTTCAATTGGTTCTGTAACCATTAGGTCCTATTTGTTTGTTGTTAACGCCACACAGCAATATTCAAGCTATATGATGGTGTCTGTAAATAATCAAGTCTGGATCAGACAATGCGGTGCTTGATATCATGAGTATCGATCACGCAACTGGGATACGATGACATGTCCTGTTAGTCGCTCTAATGACAAGCTTAATCGCCTCTTACGACAAGCATGTGTTGCTATATGACCTATTCTAATTTTCACGGGTCTTTAGGCCCTAGTCACCGACTCCTTTATCAATCGTTTTCTCGTAACAATTTCGCCAGAAACTTACAATGATCAGGAAAATCGGAAAATGCGTCAATATATACTGTCAATGGAAATCGTTCACTGTCTTGTTTCATTTATCACGTTTTCTCTAAAATTTCTTCTATTTCATAAACCTTGAGTTGCTGTTCCGAGTTTTACATGGTGCCAATGTTACCAAAAAAAGACGTTGAGACATGGTTAATCAGGAATGTTTCGGCGCCTTATGTTCACACTAGAGACGTGTTAAGAGTATGCAAATGTTTAAAAACATCATTCAGTGTAACGTTTACTTACAACTTCGATGAGACGAAGTAAATTTGGTGGCAGCACAAAATTACGAATTCGGAAACCTGCCATTTTTCTGAGATATCAAGACGGTGAATTTTTCGTATATTCATAAGCATCTTGTTGTGTAATATTATGTTTTCTTAACAGTAATTATTACAACACTATTGAGAATACTCTACAAATATATATTATATATGAAAAATGTAAACATATTGAATACGCAAATAACACTATAAAACGAACATTACATAAAAATAGGTATTTTAAAAAAACCGAAATATTCAGGATAGAATAGACTCAAGTTTCAACACTTATCTGTTCACAAATGAACTGATTTGTATTTTATTAGTTTTTTTCGAATTCGTATGTATTAAACAGAACAATACGGCGCTTTATCCTATCATTTAAAACAAAAAGAACCAAATAAAATTCCGTATTCGTATTCCGTATGTGCTTTTGGAAATACAGCACAGGTTGTTGCTAGCATTCCATAAACATTGTCGAAATGAACATTGCTTGTTACCGATCTTTCTGAACGTGTAGAAAGACGTCTACTTTAAAATGCAACTAAAACACATGAAAACATTACTGGCTCCCCAGGTAATATTTCTGAACTTTGTAAACAGTTGTTATCTTTTCTAGATGTGGATATATGCATATTTACCAACTGTTTAACTAGTTAACTGTCCGATACATGGACACAACCGGTGCATGTCATAAGTGATTTAAGATGGAGATTGTTTATTGATTTGTTCACAATCTATAGTTTTGATAAGGAAGATCCAAGTAGTTTAAGTGAACATAACATAACATGTAATTGTCAGTTATTCATCGAGCAAATTGTAACATTAGCCTGAACATTTGGTTTTAGCAGAGACCATATAATAGATTATTATATGGTCTCTGGTTTTAGGAACAGATTTACATGCCATTTCATATGCTAAATTATAATGGAATTCTTACTGTTTTTTCTTTTCTTTAAATTGATGATTGCATTTGAGTATTTATTTGAAATATGTGAACAATGATAAAGATTAGTTCTGTATTACTGCAATCATTTAACACATTATATTCTTAGACGGCACCAACTCGTAGACACAATTTATGGTGAATTCGTAGACAAGCTAGGAGTGACTTCGCAGAAGCATTTCTTATATTTGAATTGAATAAAGTATATCCAAACCGAGAAGGACAAGAGGATCGTAAATTGGTGACTGGAGTATGGGATTACCCCTAATCAGGCTGAGATCGAAGCTGTTTTCATAGGAGATCAATTAGAGCTTCCGCATTTATGTCTTTAAAGATAACTGGCAGAACTTGCATATCACTCAAGTCGAAATGGCGAACTGTGTTACATGCGAGACAGAAGTTAGAAAGGGACAACATATACTTGTATGTGACAGTTGTGGCCAGTGGGAGCACCTTCAGTCCAGCACTAGGGTATCAGCGGCCATTTATCGCTGGCTAATGCAACCCAACTTGATTATGGATTTCCTTTTCGTGAAATGTCTGCATTCTTTTCCGTTATCCCTGGTGTCTCCGAATCCTTCAAATCCCTACTTTGTCTACATCTCAATTGTATTGGTTTTGTCTGAGTCCACCATGAATTTTGTCTACGAGTTGGGAGTGGCTACAAATTGGCTTGGTCATGAATTCAAGTACAGCCATTACAAGCCTATTACTCATAATCATGATGTTACTTTTTTTATAAAAGGATGGGGCAGCAAAGATCTGTGCAATTGCATGGGCGCTGAACAATAACAAGATGGCAGTGTGCACATCCGATCGGGTCATCTTGTTATATGATGAACAGGGCGAGAAGAGGGACAAATTCTCTCTCAAACCTGCAGATTCAAAGGTAGAGGAAATTTATTAACTGTCAATTTATGATGGCTGTATTACTGAATGTAATGTATTTTGCTTCATGTTGTATTATCACTAGCAACTATTGACGTTATTTAGACATAATATATGTTATCATGAAAAGACATAATGACTTTTTTCACTGATCATCAGAGAAAGTTGAAATGCAAAGTAATTTTGTCTTCTCAGTTTGCCTTTGCCATGTATACATATGTCTTAAAGTGATGAGAAGATTATTTGTTTTTCCTGGAATATATTATGGTGCATTTATTTGAATGACTTATTTCTTTCTTTATGAGTTTAATACAAAGTGAAATCTGTTTCGGGGACACATGGTAATTAATCATGGGGGTCTCAAGCATTAAAATGGGGCTCCCACTGAACCAACATCAAACAAACTAAAATGTTTGTGTGATGCCTTATGCTTACTTTTGATGGCAATTTTCTTGTTGGAATCGAAAACTTGGTGATCGAGTGAGAGGAAAATCTGAAATGGACTGTCTTGAACATTGATTGTATTTTTCTATCAGAACAGAAATATCAAATAAATCTTATGTAAATTCTACAATTTAATTAGTTCAACCATTTCAACATCCATACTTTTTGCATCCAATGGGACTTGTAGTGAATATTATTTGCATCTACTGGTAGTCTTTATGTTAATGGGGGCGGTGGGGTAGCCTAGTCGTTAAAGCGTTCGCTCGTCACGCCAAGACCCGGGTTCAATTCCCCACATGGGTATAGTGTGTAAAGCCCATTTCTGGTGTCCCCCACCGTGATATTGCTGGAATATTGCTTAAAGAGGCGTAAAACCATACTCACTCACTCATTCACTTTATGTTAATGCATATCGGAATCAATAAAGTTTGAGTACATTTCCTCTGTTTATTTTAGTACGGGAAGAAAAGCTACACTGTGAAAGGCCTAGCATTTTCTCCTGATTCCGCCAAACTTGCAGTTGGACAGACTGATAACATCATCTATGTCTACAAGATTGGTGATACTTGGTGAGTTGTGTGATAATGTCGTTCATGAGTTGTTGAATTGTTAATAGTTTATATGTCCTGCTTCAGCATTTTGTTCGTTTGATTGTTGAGAAAATTCAGACATCTGTCAGAAATATCACTTGTCTCTAATATACTTGGCATATAATAACCTCTAAATATCAAATCATGTTTATTTGAAAAGTGTGAAAAATAATGTAAGGTTAAAACACAATAATTTGTCTTGGTTCTCAGTCACCACACACATCATCATAAAGTCTGCTGCATGTTTCGTTTTTATTTCCATTGTCCTCCCAAAATAATCCTAATACTTAAAAACAATACAATACAATTTAGCATGCAGTTACTTCCCTTTACATGCACACTGCTTTACTGTGCATCTCGTGTTGTGGTCATGGCGTCAATAGGAGTTTGTATGCTTGTTTATGTAGGGAGACACACAAATGTTTATCTGGTCACATACTAGTTTGAACACTACCCCCCCCCCCCCCCCCCCCCCCCCCCCCCCTCCTAAAAAAAACACCTCCCGCCCGCCTGATATTTTCAAAAGTCATTGCCTGTGAACCAATTCTTTTATTTTTTTTAAGCCTAGTCATTTCTTGATGAGATTAAAGGATTACAATTGATTGAAGATTGATATGTGGATATGGAACAGTAACATTGATCTGCTGAGATGTGTAAATTAAGCATATTAGTCATATAAATAATGCCCTGAGAGCGGAAGGTCCGGGGTTCAATCCCCGACTGCGTCATACCAAACGACGTTAAAAGATGGTACTTGTTGTTACCCTGTCTGGCGCTCGGCATTAAGGGGCTAAAACAAGGATTGGTCGGCTCGGAGTCAGTATACTGTGTCTGAGTGGGGTATTCATGTTAATTTGCGGCATGTTATCTCAGTGAGCTAGCACTATAAATCGGCATCAGTCCGGACTAGTACAAGCAGACACACACACACACACACACACACGTGCATGCACGTCGCTATATAAGTGCAATAATCTTGGACGCGACTTAAAACCCCATTTCACTTCACCATATAAATTACAACTTAGAGTTAGGAAAACAGGCTGCATGTGCAGTTAATTGTTATGTGGCATAAATTTCAGGGGAGACAAGAAGGTCATTTGTAACAAGTTCGTCCAGCAGAGTGCAGTCACGTGTATGACATGGCCAGCTGAACAACCAATCATCTTTGGACTGGCAGATGGAAAGGTAAACATGAAGAAGTTGTATGTAAAAAGAAATTCTGCTGTGACAACCAGTGTGTGTGGGTCTTTTAAAGTTCTATACTTTTAGTTGTTCATTAATGGCCTCATTTTACAGTATTTTCCTGTTTCAGTGAACTTAATGGCTGAATTAAATGCAAACAAAGTGTGACCATAGCATGTAAATATTTTGAAATGAGAGACCTATGGTAAAGTGTGTTCATTGGAATAAATCTCAACACATGGAAAAAGTAAACATATGCAGGCCTTAAAGTTGCGACTAAATTGGTCGCCATGGCGATCTAGTTTTGTATTTTGCGACTGGTATTTTCATGTCAGTCACCAACTGGCTCCTTTAATTAAGTTTGGCGACTAAATATCTCTTGTCATATGATATTAAAAGGATCGTTTATGAGACATTTTTTTTTGAAAGTCAACAGGACATTTTAGCATATTCAGTCGCCATTTTGGAATGTAACTAACAAGTTGTTTTGTTGCTCAGAAGAATGAAAGTTTCATGTGTCATGCTTTAACATGATCAGAATAAAGATTATTTTGTTTGTTTAATGTTGTGCTCAGCAATATTCCAGCTATAAGACAGCAGTCTGGACCAGACAATCCAGTGATTGACATCTGAAGCATCGATCTATGCAATTGGGATGCGATGACATGCATCATACCTTTCTTGTTGTCTGTTTGAATTCAACAATAGCGACATGAGACTTATATTTTTGTTATTATGTTTACTGAAGTTGTAAATTTCTGTTTCAGGTTCGAGCAGCCAACATTAGAACAAATAAATCTTCAACAGTGTACTCCACAGAGTCCTACGTTGTGTCACTTGCACCAAAGTAAGAACAGTCGCCTCTAACATTCTCTAGTTATTGATGTACTAAGACATCACTTCTCAATGAAGTGGGGCGGTCGGGTGGCCTAGTGGTTAAAGCATTCGCTCGTCACGCTGAAGACCTGGTTTCGATTTCCCTCATGAGTACAATGTGTGAAACCCATTTCTGGTGTCCCCCGCCAAGATATTGCTGGAATATTGCTAAAGGCGTCATAAAACTACACTCACTCACACTGACTCTCCATGAAGTGGTATATTGTCAGACCTTGGTTTTGTGAGTATAGCAGTGATAACAACAACAACAACAACATGTCAACATATACCGGTACAGCAATACACAAACAAACACATTTTTCTCCAGAGCATTTTGGAGAATTTTTCCATGGATATTCAAGTCATCATTATTGAAAATTTAACCCCCAAAAAATCAAATTCAAACTGTTATGAAATATTGTTCTAAGAAATCACTGAAACTCAAAGAAAACTGAAAGTGAGTGAATACATATTGTCAGTGGATAGTTTCTGACCTGGCTACGAGACAAAACTCTGACCATGTCTTTTCTAATTGAATAGAACAGTTTTTTATAAATATGTCAAATTTACCCAAATCCCTAATCCTATTCCCCTGTGCAGCCCATCTGGCAAGGGATTCCTCTCCGGACACGCTGATGGCTCCATCGTCAGATTCTTCTTTGATGATGAAGGCTCTGGTGACAGTCAGGTAGTATTTAACATTATTGCAGGTTTTGTAGAAATAGGTTCTGGTATTCATCATTTAGACAGAAATTAGGGAAGTTCTCTCTTTCTTCCACTTATATACAGATATATATGTAGTTGCTACCCCATGGTATGTTAGGGCTAAATTCAAATCATAATTAGTAAGGGTGTGCAGTATTACAGGTATATCAGTAAATTGTAGGTACATTTGTTCCATGATACGTATCACAATATCATTTTTCCATGCTCGATATATCGGGTGATTTCAAATAGCGATTTTTATGATGTGTTTAATGTTATAAACTTGCCAAGTGCCTTTGCAGCCCCGGAGCATGCATCCAGGGTCCCAAGATGGCTGCGTATTTATTTACTGAGTAAACATGTTGTACCAGCATCTTGTTTTGTTCCATTTTTGAAATTCAATTCATACCTTAATGTATCAGATTGTTTCTGAATTCCAAATTTAGAATTATACAATATATTGCGATACATATCGCAAGATATTGTAATACACTGTAAACATCCAATATCCATCCCTAATAATTAGGTCTAGACTCAATTATTGACAGTTATTATAGCTACGTTGCTTCATTCAAATTGTAATCAACTTCTGAAATTGACAAAGGGTCAAGGGGACATAACTCTTGAAATTTGTTATTCTGCATGTATTTCTTGTACATGCTCACTGACTTTACGTAGGGCAAGATCTGCACCCACTCCTGTCCTCCGTACGCCCTGGCCTTCTCCCAGAATGCAGTGGTAGCTGCTGGTTGCGACAAGCGTATCGTGGCTTACGGTCGTGATGGACGTAGTTTCCAGCACTTCGACTACACGCGGGACGATGAGGAGCATGAATTCACCACCGCCATCTGCTCCCCAAGTGGACAGTCTGTTGTTGTTGGCAGTTTTGACAGGTAGGATTCATTATTTTGTTGTTAGCGGAGATTTGATTTGTATCCATTTCAGGTTTGATTAGGTTAGGCTAAAAAAAAAAATAGTTTTGGTTCTCAGGCACTTCCCACATCATCATAAAGTTTGGCGTTTTCGTTTTTATTTCCATTTTAAAAAAAACAAAACAAAAAATCTTTAAATATTCCATGTCAAACGGTAGTCAAATACTGTATTCCAGTGTTTTACTCATCAAGGAATACATTATTGTAGGGAGGCCCTTTCCCAGGTTGATTGTACACAACTGTTTATTTGGTTACACAACTGTTTATTTGGTTGCAATCCTTGATTCATAAACAACAAGTCGTTACATCAGTTTGTATATGACGTGGCAGTGCTATTGTATGTACGTCCTCCTCCTCCTCCTCCGCAGACTGCGGGTGTTCAACTGGAGCCCCAGGAAGCAGATGTGGGACGAGCCCAAGCTGAAGGAGATCCCTAACCTGTACACTATCACGTCTCTGTGCTGGAAGAAAGATGGATCCAAAGTCACTGCGGTAATACAACTAATGGATTAAATATTGTCACAAGACGCTGTTAGAGCCATGACGGTTGTGGTTTCATGTTAATTTATGGAAGTTACAAGTGTCTTACAGCTAAGATTGCTTTGTGAAACGGAGCCTTGGATTGAAGTTGCTTGTATTAAAGGAAATTGGATAATTTTTATACTTACCCTATCTCACACTATGCATTTCTTCCTTCTTCTTTCGATCCTTCTTTCGTTTCACATGCTTGAACAAAGTTACCAGCTTCTAAAAAAACAATTCACCAAAACACATCCCAGCATCACCATGGTAATCTCCTGGAAGAGGCTCCTCCTCCCATGGCCACAACGGAAGTTTCCTGTACTGCCATCTTGTTTTGGCTTGCTTGACCATCATATCGGCCTACCCTTTTGCTGAATTGCCATCTCCTGTGACGTCCAATCCTCACAAGACCCGAGCTGTCACCTCTACCATGGCCTTGCACAGCAACTGCACCCTCTCTGCCATTATGGAAGGGTTCTTCTGGAAGTCAGTTACAGTCTTTGCTTCCCACTATCTCCATGACATATCCGTTACAGATGTCCAGGGTCTTCACCAGTTTGGTCCCTTGGTCTTGGCACAGCAGCCGTCGACTGCACACCAGCACAGATAGTTGATGTGTGTACCCTCTCCTGTTTTCACTTGTACCAAGTATCTTGTATATACAGAAAAAATCCTGCAACTTAAGCTCCTGTGTTTATTGTGTTTTATTAATCTGGTTCCCAGACCGAGTACCCAATCGGAGGGTGGATTATCTTGTTTGTAGAGATTTTGGTCTTCAATATCGAAGTCGTTGCAAGGCGTGGACGTTTCAATGGTGTCCTGAATCCTTACCCGCTCACCTCTGCTTTATGCATGAACAACCTGGTATTGGTTCGAAGATCCTCTTGTGAATATTGTTCATCATTCCTCTTTGCGTCTTAGCATGTTTCATTCCCTCGGGGGGTTTGACAGCCTTGATGATGCGTTAAAGAGATTATTGAGATGTGTTATTGTTTGTGGGAGATAGTGCTACGACCTATTTTATTGAATCGAGTTGCTGGAGACCCCTTCCAGATCAATTATAAGTCGTCTGCTGCATTAACTGTTCTTTACTTCTGCGGGGGGCACGGGTGGCCCAGTCGTCTAAGGCGCCGTGATTCGCGGTTCGAATCCCGGTTCGCCCGGATTATGTTTCTAGGTTTGTCAGCACCATACCCGTGCTCGTGGGTTTCACCGAAGTGGTAAACGTCTGACACCTGCATCACTTCAGGCTTTCCTCCCACATTAAGCTGACACGCCGCGATATAACTGGAATACTGTTCAAAGCGGCGTTAAACCCAACTCACTCACTCACTCTTTACTGCTGCACAGTCGTTCATCACAGCTCCTTTAGCCTCTTAGCTTTGCCAAAGAGAATGATGTGGCACAGGTATTCACGTGACCAGGTCATGTTGGTCGCTATGCACAGGATTACATTTGATTACCATGGTGATGTTGGGATGTGTTCGGGTGAATTGTTTTTTAGAAGCTGGAAACCATGTTCAAGCTCGTTTCCACATAGGATCGAAAGAAGAAAGAATAAATACATAGTGTTAGATAGGATAAGTATATAAATATAATGAAAAATTTCCAAAATTAACAAACAAAAGGTATACTTTAGCATCAAAATAATGGAATTTCATGTTCCTATGTTGTCAAATGTGAAAGATCTAAAGGCATGATAAAGCATTTTCTGCAGCCTGTTAATGTTTCATGATGTTTGTAAGAGTGCCCGTGTGTAATAATTTTGAGATTTCTGATTAACAGGGAACCTTGTGTGGAGGAGTTGAGTTGTTTGACTGCTGCCTGAAGAGAACTATCTACAAGAACAAGTTCGAAATAACTCACGTGGGCCTGAGTCAGGTAGATTACTGTGTTGTTGGATTTCCCATGTCAAGTAGAACTCTGATATAGAAAAGCACAAACTTCTGATAAAGCATTTGTAAGTTTACTGAAAGTTAAATAAAATGCCAACATTATGAGGTCCTCATTATCATAGATTCACTGTAGTTTGACTCATGATAGTGTTTGTTGATAATGTGTCCGATATTAGGCATGGAAGTCACAAGTATTAATAGTTAACAATTCAGGGACTGGCCATATGTTATGAGGTTGGTGGGATGGATTGAGATTGGTCTGAGGACTATATATCATATTTTGCTGTCCCTCCCCCCACACCTAATTTTTAATGTAACAATTGTTCATGCCCGCCTAAATACATTAAAAGATGTTAAAAGATGGTATTTGTTGTTACCCTGTCTGGCACTCGGCATTAAGGGGCTAAGACAAGAACTGGTCGCCTCAGGGTCAGTATACTGTGTCTGAATAGGGTCTCCATGTTAAACTGCGGCATGGTATCTCAGTGGGCTTGCACTATAAAATCGGCATCAGTCCGGACTAGTACAAGCAGCCACACACACACGAACATACACACACACACACACACATGCATGCATGTCGCTATAAGTGCAATAATCTTGGACACGATACTTCACCTCAACTCATTGTCTATATGGATTTGTCTGATCTGTTTGTAATGTCTGTATCAGGTGATAGTGAAGAACATGTCAAGTGGCCAGCGCGTGGTGCTCAAGTCTTTCTATGGTTATGAGATTGATGAGGTTCGTATCATGGGTAAAGACCGCTACCTTGTGGCTCACACATCGGACACCATCCTCCTGGGAGACCTGACCTCTGGCAAACTCAGTGAGGTTAGTAGTGGGACACAATGATGTATATCTTTCGTTTAAATAGACATTCAACACCGACAGAAAGCAGACATTGAGATGATTATATAATGTTTTCAGCATGTTACTAATCACATTTGATCTCATTGATCATTTTTTTTTTATTTTGATATCATTCATGACTTTGAAAGAATGACAGATGACAAAGTAGACACAATTTATGAATAACAACATCTTTATTTACTGTAAAGGCAACGTTTCGATGTTGATCTTTATACCGTTGTTAAGCAAAACATGACAACAGTGTAACGACCTATACCGAAACGTCACCTTTACAGTAATTAAAGAAGTTGTTATCCATAAATTGTGTCTACTTTGATAGAATTTTCATTTTGATTTATCAATTTATCCTCTTGTGTTAGCAGCATCTTGTTTAATACTTCCTTGGAGTCAAAAGACAGGTTTGAAAATAACTTGCATTTGAAACATTTAACTATCAAATAACCTACATCTCCAATTACAGATTCCATGGCAGTCATCGGGGGGCAACGAGAAATACTACTTTGATAACGAGAGTGTAAGTTGTTGATGTTGTTCATTGTTTCAATGTTCAGCTGTAGGTGTGGAATTTCTGGAATCTGTATGTTGTCTAACAACTCAAGTATCATGCATGTGATGGAGACAACTCTAGTCCGACTGAAAACAATTAGACTGAACAATTGTATAGCTTGTAGACATTTTGAATGTTTTTGGTGACTTTTAAGAAACCATCAAATTCTTTTACTGTACAAATGCTGCTACCCAAGGATCTGAAATAAGATTCTTTGATGTGCCAGTATTCAGTTAACAACCGTTCCAGATTAGTCTACAAGACTGTGTAACTTCCGCTTGTTTCACAGCAGATTACCCGTGAAGTTCCGGGGTAGAATAGGTCTTCAGAAACCCATGATTGCCGTAAAAGGCGACTTTGTATGTCGTAAGAAGCGACTAACCGGATCGGGTGGTCAGGCTCGCTGACTTGGTTGATGCATTTCATCGATCCCAATTGCGTGGATCGATGCTCGTGATATTAATCACTGGATTGTCTGGTTCAGACTTGACTATTTACAGACCGCCGTCATATAGCTGGAATATTGTTGAGTGCGGCGTTAAACAACAAACCAACCAACCAACCAACTACACGACTGATTGTTGGTCTGGTTAACAGAGCTGTGCTACATCTTGCACTACTTTGGGCTTTCCTCCCACATTAAGCTGACACATCTCATTGACACACTGATATCCTGTACAATACATGGTTAACAAACCTTACACCCGTTTCTTGATATGCCTGAGAAACAGTGATTCTTTTATATACTTTATGATAGCACTGTAAAACTTTTCGTTGCTACTACAGTAAACTACAGTTATAATGAACTCAAAGGGACCACTAATTTTTGTTTGTTATAACCATAGTTTGTTATGAGCATATATACAGCATATCTACAGCAAATGGACAAGACTAAAAACAGTTCATTATATATGTCAGTTTGTTATAAGCATGTTCGTTATAAAAGTACAGTAAACTATGGTTATAACGAACCACTAATTTTAGTTTGTTATAACCGTAGTTCGTTATAAGCATTTATACAGCTTATGTAGAGCAAATGGTCGGGACTAAAGCGTAAGTTTGTTATATCCGTCAGTTCGTTATAAGCGTAGTTTACTGTAGGTATTTCAGTCTGCCAAGAGAAAATATCAAATTGACATCAAAGCCTTGTTCATTCAGGTGTGCATGATCTTCAATGCTGGAGAGCTGTCTCTCATTGAATATGGAGCCAATGAGGTTCTAGGATGTGTGAGGACAGAGTTCATGAACCCTCATCTCATCAGGTACTTAGAACACTTTCACTGAATCTCCGCCACTTTTTGTATTGGAGGTTTTCAACCATTTTTCACATCGTTGTTTACAAATTCCTGAGAAGCAAATTTTCTATTGCCTAAATACATCTTCTAATGAACTTCTGATGAGCTTTCGTATTGACTTGTGTTTCTATTGAAATTTCTAGTGTGAGATTGAATGAGAGAAAACAGCGTGGTGTCTCCGACAACAAGAAGATGGCCTACCTGGTGGATCTCAAGACCATGGCTATCAGTACGTTCAGTTCAACACAACACTTCACACAAGAAAATATGTCGATAGGCACCTGACAGGGAACTCATTCATCCTTATGTAGATAATATTGTATATAAGATTAAGTTGGACTAAAAATAATTTGAGAATTATTTACCAGATAACAATTCTCCGAAGTTTGTAAATGCAGGATTATGAGATAAGTGAAGTATTGTGGTAGTCCTCTGGTTGGTGTGTTTGACCATAACCCTACAGGTCCAGGTTCAATTCCCCACATTGTTACTCTATGTGAAACACTGTGTTGGGTTCCTAGTTTTGATGTTGGCACAATGTTGATAAGATGAAAATGTGAAAGCTAAATTGGTCATCCATTAGAGGAAACAGTCAAGGGGAGACAACTCTGGATAAACTTACCTTTCACTCTGTATTCTGTTTACAGTGGACCTTCTCACTGGGATGGGACTCGGACAGATCAGCCATGACTCCAAGATCGACTGGCTGGAGGTATGTAGATCTAGTTTCATTAAGTTATCAATATTGCTTGGAAAGCAGATGGCATTTACTGGCTAGATCACTCAGTTCCTTAGATAGAACTGTAACAGGCACAATTTATTCTGTTTTAACATATATTGTAGTTATTGATTAAATGCATGATAGGGGTACTGTATTTGTTTGTAAGTGAGATGCTTCAATGTTTCAGATGAATGAGACTTGCAGAAAGCTCCTGTTCCGAGACAAGAAACTGAAAGTAAGTCAAGCACTGTATTACAATGACCGACTTACACACCTAGGGAAACAAGTAGTGAAAAATATAAGTGTGTGATAACGATTAATATAAATATTGATCTTTAAATAAATGCTGGTTAACTTCAATAATGTATGTTTTGCATTACTCACATATTTATGTTATTATAAATAGTAGTCTTTAAGGTCATATAGATATGTTATATACTGGTAAGAAATCTTGTGTATTGGTATGTAAGAAGTTGTTGATGTTTTCTCATTTACTCCACAACTTTTAGAATGAACACACAATGCCATTTAGAAAGTGGTCAAATGTTATATTTGGGATTACACTTTCTTAGTAAAATTCAGATTCAAATTATTTTTTTTTGGTTGAGTCCCATCAGTGATTCGAACCCACACTGCCAGTGTGAGGCACCAGGACACAAAGTCAGCGATCTAACCCACTCAGCCACCAAGAGCTATGAACACACAATATCCCAAATATAACGTTTGTTATGTTTAACTTCTAGAATGCCATTGAAACAATTGGTGTGTAAGAGTATGTATCTGAATGGTCATGTTCCTTCTCCAGCTTCACCTGTACGACATGGAGACGCAGATGAAGTCCAGCATCCTCAACTACTGCTCCTATGTCCAGGTATGTGGACATGTGCCTCTTGGGTTTGACCCCTCACCTCTGACATGGGGATTCCCGGTCAGAATTAATCCCCAGCAACTTCGGCTTTTATTAAATTGAGGTGACTAAATGGATCTGCATCCTCAACGGTTGGTCAGTGACTTTATTGAATGCATTTCATTGTACCCTGACAGCAAGGATGTTGCTCATGATATCAATCACTGGCTTGTCAGTCCATCAGGAAGAGCTGTGGATCAAAAGATGACATTGAGGAATACATATGTAGTTCAAAGGTCGAAACCATGCATTAAGAAATTACATTCTATAGAGTTGTGGACTTTGCCTTGTTTTTGGACATAGTGAACTGTACCCCTAAATGGGGACAAGTTTTCTCTGTAACTAGTACAGATGACAGTTTGAATATATCATTGAGCTAAATTAAGAATATGGTATGAAGTTTGAAAACCTCAATTGAGAATAAATGTTTTTCAGAGTTGTGGCCCTTGTTTCGAACTATTCCCCCAATCAAATCATGATGTGGGGAATATGAAAGACTTTGTCTTCTTGTACTTGATATTGTGTGACTTTGTTGTTTCACATATATCCTACAATAAGAATTACCTTGATAAAATTAAACACATCAAGGTTACTTTTGCATTCAGCTGAAAATGTGTTTGTAGAAATAATGACTTCTCTCTACATTTGTAGATATATATAATCTTCTTTCTCACATTTCAGTGGGTACCCGGTAGTGATGTGGTTGTGGCTCAGAATCGTGGCAACCTTTGTGTGTGGTACAACATCGACGCCCCGGAGAGAGTCACCATGTTTCCCCTGAAGGTCAGTTGTCTCGCCATCAATTCTTCAATTTCCTCAAAACTCAGTTAGATGAGCGGACATGCCCTGTCTCTCTGGTTACACACAACCAAATGTTTTCCCATAGACTTCTATAGTAACGTTATATTTTTTTTTAAAATAACTAAGCATTCAACAGCTATTACCTGTCTGCGTGTGCACAGTTTTGCCTTAGAGCAGCGATAAAAACATAAAAAATTACTAGCTTAGCCAGCTCCTTTTCCGAGTACAGGAAGCTAAACACAACACCCCCAGTTTCGCACCAAATGTCACCTACTTGAAAATAGCTGTGGTCACATTCAGCATAAGTCATCATGTTGAAAAAGACAGTACTAAATATAGAAAAACATGGTCAGTTCTAATAACTGGATGGATGTACATTTGAAAGACATAAAAATCTTACAGAATATCCTCCAATCACAGCCTGCAGATATCTCTCGATCTGCACTGAAGGCTCCCTACGAAAACCACACTGTCCAAACTGGTTCTGATTTGGTGTAGTAGAACCTTCTAGACTGTGTGTGAGGCATGGTTCTGTTATTCAAGCCACTTGTTTTCAATGGTTAGAAACAGTACCAAAAACTAGCATTTAACTGATGGTGCTCTTCCTGGTGGAAACCTTTTGGAAAACAGGCTATTTTTCTTATAACCTTTGTAAGTCAAACTAAAGTGTCTTCTAATCACATCTCCCTAGGCAAGGGAGTTAACTGACTATAAAAGTCCAGTGTCCACCCTTGCTTAACTAGGTTGCAATTATGGAGTTTGGCTGGAATAACGAGTCTAACTATGCATAGTCAAATCAAAATCTTCCTAAACTGCCGTGCAGCTTTCGGTCAGTTGCAGGATTTCCAAATATGTCTACCATCAATTTAGCATCAACATATACATGTATATTCCAAGCCTTTTCATGTTTTTAATCAAGGTACTCACATGACTTGATGTACTCCGCGAAGTAAGACCGTAATTACAGTAAAGAACTTGATTATCAATCAGATCATCTTGACTGGACGCTGCCATCTTGTTTGAAGCAGATGCAATTGATATGAGAGGTGGAGCCTGATTGGTCAGTTTGGGGGACTTAGAAGGGACATAACTCGTAATAGCCACTGATGGTGCTACGGTCCAGCCCAGATTTTCAAGCCTTGTTCGGCAAGGGTGGAAACTGGACTTTTAACAGTCAGTTAACTCCCTTGCCTCGGGAAAATGGCTAATCAAGACTATATTGTGTGCTCAAACTCTTATCTCTCCCAGGGTGATATTGTTGACCTTGAGCGGAACGATGGCAAGACAGACGTGATTGTCAACGAGGGGGTGACCACCATCTCCTACACTCTGGATGAAGGACTCATTGAGTTTGGCACCGCTATTGATGATGGAGATCTGGCAAGGTGAGGTGATTTAAAATAAGTAATTATCATAGGACATGTCTTGGGTTGGTTGTTGGTTGATTTGTTGTTTAACGCCGCACTCAGCAATATTCCAGCTATATGATGGCGGTTTATGTCTTGGGATGACTTGGGGGTCACATAAACCATTGCCAAAATGCTATTGGGGTACTCCTGCAGTAGTGATATACTGTAAACAGCTTTATTTCTGCGCCGTTTAAATATTGCGAATACCACACCAAAGACAATACTGCGACGAGATATTTTTGCGAGTTGCCGTGTTGAGATGACCCCTAGATTACCAAACAATAGACAGCTTCTCTCCAAACCGGAAGAGATTGCGACCAATTATCAAATACCATAATTGACTCAACTCAGTGTCCTGACTGTGAGTTTGAATGCAAACTATAGAAGAAGACACTAATTGGTCTGTTTACACTGTCATTTGTGATGTATTGTGTGACCATTCTGCATTCATTTGTGTTTTTAACTTATTGAGTAACTTGTGGTTCTGGTTGATGATTTCAACATTTGATGACGTATTGTAATGAATAAAGTATGTATGTATTATTTATTCTTATTTTTGCGTTTTTTTAATTTTTGCGATTGAGTCTCGTTCGCAAAACTCGCAATAATAAAACGGTCGCAAAAGATTCCCTGTTTACAGTAACTACAGTAATGCAATAGTATTGTTATAATGTGATGTCTTTCTTCCCATAGATGTCCTTGTATCATTCAATGTTAGTCAATAAAAGTTGTGAAGGTCAGGGAGTTACTTCTGATTATTGACTGATCGAAATTTATGAACATATTTTGAATGGATTCTCACACAACTGCTGGGGTCAAAAGATTGTTTTGAAAATTGGTCTAGCCTCAGTCACATTAGCAGCACCTTAGGTGTGTGAAACAGATAATAACATACCCATGACCTTCTATGTCTATTGTCTCTGTACTCAGTTTCCTTTGTGTTCAGAGCTGCGGCCTTCTTGGAGACCCTGGAGATGTCTTCAGAGACGGAGGCCATGTGGCACTCGCTGTCCAAGATGGCTGTGGAAGACAGGCAGCTGTACATTGCAGAGAGGTGATACAGTGTTCTTAAAGTTCAGTCAGTGGTCCAGACTCGTATTTACTCGTCGCCATCATACAGTTTGAATATTGTTGAACCGCCTCTGTGGTTCAGTGGTAGAGCGCCTACCCGGAGAGCAAAAGGTCCGGGGTTCGATCCCTGGCCACGCATACCAAAAGACATTAAAAATGGTACTTGTTTTTACCCTGCTTGGCGCTTGAATTAAGGGGGTAAAACAAGGACTGCTCGACTTGGAGTCAGTATACTGTGTCTGAGTGAGGTATTCATGTTAAACTATAAATCAACATCAGTCAGGACTAGTACAAGCACACGCACACGCACAAGCACACGCACACGCACACGCACACACACACACACACACACACACAGAGAACCAATAAATAGTTTTGTGTTCCTTTATCTTTTGGTAGAGTATGTTACATGGATATTTGATAAAAATTTAGTATTCCAATGCCTGTAAGTATTTTTGTGTTGATTTAGACACATCCCATGTTTACTAGTGTTTGTCATGGTCTATAGTGACACATATGTTGGTGTTTGTATTAGATGGATAATTGTGGGAAATATCCTGATACGTACAGGATATTATATGAATGTTCATGTCATACTATATTTATGTAAAAAGTGTACGATACAGAGACAAATTTTAGTGTTTACCTATTAGGACAGCAAGTCGCAAAAGCAGCAGAACCATAATTTGTCGATTGAGGTAAAAAGATCTTCAGCTATGACGTCGTTTCTAGTGTGACGTCGTTCCGACCTCACGTCACAATGAGATTCAAATGATGTCAACAATACCATCCAAATGACAATACGATGTTGTGTCGTGATGTGATATGACCCTCGGGCACATACGATTTTTATGAACCCTGATATGGTTGCTTTCGTAGGTAATAATCATTTTTTTGGGTGTTTTGTGTTGATTTTGACACATCCTGTGATGTTGATCATGGTCTGTGCTGACATATACGGGTTGCCATGGCAGGTGTTACTGTGCACTGGGAGACATAGCCAAGGCTCGCTTCCTGAAGGAGACTCTGAGAATAGCAGAGGAGGCCGCCAAACACATGGTGAGTACAGACTTCTCGTGCTTTTCATGTGGTGATACTCAGCGAGCTTTTATGGGCTGAACATTTATAATGTTTCCCCCAGTAAATAACTTGGGTTATCAAACATAACTCCATTATTAAGAGCTTTCTACATGTCTGAACAAAGGCATAATTCGCTGTGCAGAGTTGTGTCCCTTGGGTACTCCAGAACGATATGATCGTGGGTTTGAATCCCAGTTCGCCCCAATTATGTCTGTAGGTCTGTCAGCAACGTACCCATGCTTGTCAGTTTTACCAAAGTGGTAAACGTCTGAGACCTGCATCACTTCGGGCTCCCTCCCACATTAAACTGACATGCTGCTTTGTAACTGGGATACTATTCAAAGCGCATTAAACCCAACTCACTCACTCACTCTCTCTGAGCAAAGTTAAAACCTGTTTGTCATGGCACACACATTGTTTGAAGAACGAGGGCTAGTAATTTTCTGAAACACTGCCAACCTTGAAAGTTCTAAAAACATTGACATAAGGAATTCTCAATTGTCCCTGAATGCTTATACTGCACCTTCAGTGCAAACATCCATTCAAGATGAATGCCCTTTTAGGAAGAAGTTGTAAATATGTACAATTAATGTAGTAAACTGACTCTACCATCTCCATCTTTGTCCTGTGTCAGGGTGGCGATGGACTCAACCACTACAAGGTGCGAGCTCGAATGGCCATCATGGAGAAGAGGTTCAAGGAGGCAGAGTCCATCTACCTGGAGCAGGTCAGACATCAGCCTTTCTCTTGTTTGTTTGTTGACACCTGCACAAAACATCCTTAGCTCTATGACTGTCGTAAGTCTATGAAAGAATGGGGGACCTCCAGGATTAGATCTTGTTGTCCATGCCTTGTGGATGGATAGTTTTGAGATGGAAGATCCATTTTAGTTCAGTTGATTGGCGTTTGGCCATGGTGTGGTCTATCTCAGGTTCCATTTTCCGCTGTTGAATGATTTGATATTGTAGGTCTCTAGTAGAGTGTTCCACAGAGTTGAAATGTGTAGCGTCAAGTTTGTCTCTTTGGTGGTTGATGTTGGCAAAGTGTTCTTTGAGTCTATGAGAGTGTATTGCTCTTGGGTTTAGCTTAACACCTTATCTTGTCCTAAATCTTTGTTAGGGTGAGGGAGTTATGATCATCTAAGCGCTGAGATAGTTACAATGGCACCCTGGACATCATGCACAGTGGAACCTCAGTGTGGTGAAGATGTGTAGATGTAATAAATAGGAAGAACAGCCTTGGATAAAGCGTACACGAGTCTACCAACTCACTGCTTTTATGCTGCTGAAACAGTTGTGTTAGACAATAAATTGTTCTAGCTGGTCTATTTTACAATATGAAATAATTTCTCGCCTCAAACATTAATTGTATACTGCTTCACTCAGTAAATAACAATGATTGAAGCATTGCTGCATTTGTACTGAGTACAGTTGGCCTTGTGGCCTAGGGCACTGATAGTTGCTGTGTGTTGTATCTGTTTATGTGTTCGAATCCCAGATTCCCCCTGATTATGAGCTTTGGTCACCATCATACCAGTGCTTTGTGGGTTGAATCCCGGTTCACCCCAATCATGTTTCTAGGTTTGTCAGCGCCATACCTGTTCTCATGGGTTTCATTGAAGTGATTAACATCTAAGACCTGCATCACTTCGGGCTTTCCTCCCACATTAAGCTGACACACCATGATATAACCAAATACTGTTAAAAGGGGTGTTACCCAACTCACTCACTCATACCTGTGCTGGTGGGTTTTTCCAAGTGGAAGAGATCTTCAACCTGTGTCCAACATTAACCTGACCTGCTGTTTTGTAAATGAAATATTGCTAGAGCAGCATTAAAACCCACCTCACTCACTGCACGTTAATGACCTGACCTATGTCATCATGTCTTGTCTGAACACCTGTAAACATCATTACAGAACCATGTCCTCCCACATTAAGCTGACACACCGTGATATAACTGTAATACTGTTAAAAGGGGTGTTACCCACCTCCCTCACTGGAGGGTAATGACCTGACCTATGTCATCATGTCATGTCTGAACACCTGTGAACATCGTTACAGAACCATGTCCTCCCACATTAAGCTGACACACCGTGATATAACTGTAATACTGTTAAAAGGGGTGTTACCCACCTCCCTCACTGGAGGGTAATGACCTGACCTATGTCACCATGTCTTGTCTGAACACCTGTAAACATCGTTACAGAACCATGTCGACGAGGCGATGGAGATGTACCAGGAGATGCACATGTGGGATGAGGCAATTGAGGTGGCGGAGGCAAAGGTAGGTCATCCTGACAACACTCGCAGAAGCTTATGTCCCATCTGTAGGACCTGTTGCGTAGTTATTGTGGAATCAACATATCAACAAATCAACATAACAAGTTTGGAAGTGTCCCACCCTTCAGTACTTATGGGTGGAGACTGTGTATAATGTGTGATGTGTGTGTGTATTATGTGTGAAGAGTGTGTATAGAGTGTGTATTATGTGTGATGTGTGTGTATTATGTGTGAAGAGTGTGTATAGAGTGTGTATTATGTGTGATGTGTGTGTATTATGTGTGAAGAGTGTGTATAGAGTGTGTATTATGTGTGATGTGTGTGTATTATGTGTGAAGAGTGTGTATTATGTGTGATGTGTGTGATGTGTGTGATGTGTGTGTATTATGTGTGAAGAGTGTGTATAGAGTGTGTATTATGTGTGAAGTGTGTGTATTATGTGTAATGTATGTGTGTATTGTGTGTAATGTGTATTCTGTGTAATGTATGTGTGTATTGTGTGTGAAGTGTGTGTGTATTATATGTAAAGTATGCATGTATTATCTGTGACAGAGTCACCCCGAGCTGGAGACATTGAGGCGGAACTACTACCAGTGGCTCATGGAGACCAGCCAGGAGGAGACAGCAGGGGAGGTAACTCACTTCATGGTCAATCTTCTTGTTCTGCAAGGATGCACCGCTAGCTATAATAAAACTTCTTGTGACGTTAAGCAATATTCCCTCCCTCACTCACGCACATTCTGCTAAGATGTATCACACATTAACATCACAGTTCACATGCAGACAATGAGGTTATAAATGTAACTGTGTTGTAGGCATCTGGCATAATCTGTTTTCTAATTGAACACATCACAAGGTGACAGCGAAGGTATGGATGTAACTCTGTTAACAAGCTGTCCATTGCTTGCAGGTGAAGGAGCGCGAGGGAGACTACATGGCGGCAATCAACCTGTACATGAAGGCCGGCCTTCCAGCTAAGGCCGCTCGCCTTGCCACCAGCAGGGATGTGAGTAGAAACATTAGGATGAACATGCGAGGCTCGTGACGAGATAGAGGCATTCAAATTTAAAAACTGGACTCTTTTATTTGTTTGAACAAGTGAGAATGCTTTTCAAAGAAGACACAATTTATGGATAACAACTTCTTTATTTACTGTAAAGGCAACGTTTCAGTATAGATACTTATACAGTTGTCAAGAAAGGCTGATTGACAACGGTATAAGAATCTTTACCGAAATGTCGCCTTCACATTAAATAAAGAAGTTGTTATCCATATATTGTGTCTACTTTGTCATCCGTCAGCTTCTAAGTAATGCCAATTAAATGATTCGAGAATGCATTTTGTAGGTTAGAATAGCCTTTATGAACTACATAACATGAAATATCTTTTACCTTTGTATTTTTCAAAATAGCACCAATTTATCCATTTTGTTCCCTCCAGGAACTGATGTCAAACTCCGACCTTATCAGCAGGATTGCCTCAGCTCTCATCAAGGCAGACCTCTATGAAAGGGTGAGTGGCCCTTGAAATAGTCTTATGATATAGTTGCAGAATTACAATTACTGTAGCAAAATGGGAACATATGTTAGGTGTCACCCTTATTGATCCATTGTATAATATGTCGTTTCTATAATTGTTAAATACCCTTGACCTATTCGCTACAATAGCTTCATTTTAGCCAGATTCAAATTATGAGATGCTTAAAATGTCCTATCAATATTCAAGAGCAAGAGAAATTCTGTGCTAAGTCAGTGACAAGAGATCCTTGAGACGGTGACATCACCTTGAAATGAACTTTCATGGTCATTTGGAGTATTTATCATAAGGCTTAAAAAAATAAAAGAATTGGTTCTCAGGCAGTGGCTTTTAAAAATTAGTTTGGGTGGGCAATGGTGTTTTTTTGGTTGTTGAAGCTAGTTTGTAACCAAATTTTTCTGGAATTTTGCAAAAGATTTAAAAAATAAATAATTGAAAATGAAACATGCGCAGAATTTATGATGATGCGGGCGGGGCCTGAGAACCAAGACTATTAATTTTTTTTAGCATAATAGAACAGAGATATAATACCCTGGGTTATCCAGGAGCAATAGGTCTCTGAAAGTTTGGCATCTACTGCTCCAATAAGTGCCCTCTGACCATCTTCTAGACCAATCTGTATGTAATCTTTGTAGCGACCCTACTTAGACCAAAGGTGCGGTCGGGTAGCCTAGTGGTTAAAGCGTTCGCTCGAAGACCAGGTTTTGATTCCCGACATTGGTACAATGTGTGAAGCCCATTTCTGGTGTCCCCCGCCGTGATATTGCTGGAATATTGCTAAAAGCGGCGTAAAACCATACTCACTCACTCACTCACTTAGACCCAAAGTTTACTTGACAGTCGATATTTTCTTGTGTATGTCTTAGATTTGTTTGCACAATACACAGCAGTGTAGAAAGGGCATGTTATGCCTGGTATCTGTTATCTAAAGGATCATGTTTCATCGGCTTCAGAACTAACTTTGTCCCCAACTGCTCGATCTCTGACAACAGAGTTAACTTGTGTCTTTTAAGTGCATCCTTTTGTCAACTTTCTAAGCACCAAGGGTGTCTATTACAGTGAATAAGTTATTTCGGTTGTTAACTGCTGCACAATTCTCCACACACTGCTGTATATTGGACAGGCTGGTGACCTGTATGAGAAGATGAAGGACGCCACCAGAGCCATGGAATGCTTCAGGAAGGGCAAAGCCTATAGGAGAGGTAGGCAGTTGTCTCGTGTTGTTCTTATGGTCAACAAGCCTGTCTTCTCAGAGGTAGAAAACTGTGATGTTAGATTAACAAATATTGCGGTGATGCTAGTCAGTGGTCATCCAAGACTGCTATTTCATCTGAAAGTGTGAAAATAGATAAACTTTGAGGTTATGTGAGAAATGTTTTCAATGCAAGACATACTTTATTTTTGTGCTGTATACCATTAATAATGATAGTTCAAGATTCTGATCAACCAGTTGTCAGTAACGTGCCTACAAGTGCTTAATTATGATAAATGAAGTCGTTCTGCAACACTGGTAACCATGGCATCTCATTGTGAAAGTAAAACGCCTTCTGAGGAATTGACTTTTATTGAGTCAGGATTTAGCACTGATGATGATGCCCAAGTGTCAGAATTTGTCTAAAAGTAGAACTAAAACAATATGACTCAGGATTTCATATTAGTACTCTTTGTCATTTTGTGTTCATAAATGTGTAAAAGAGTTTGAAAATTGATTAAGGTAAATGATATGATCAAAATGTCCTAATAGCCCCAAAAGGCATTTTGTCTCAAGCTAAATTATTGAGGAGTGTTATTTTTTCAGGTGTATACTTAGCCTAGCTTGAGAGGCCATGTTTGTTTTCTGATGGTAATGTTTGTGTTATGATGGTAATGTTTGTGTTATGATGGTTATGTTTGTGTTATGATGGTTATGTTTGTGTTATGATGGTTATGTTTGTGTACAGCTGTGGAGCTGGCTCGGTATGCGTTCCCGGCAGATGTTGTCAAGCTGGAGGAAGACTGGGGAGACTACCTGGTGACACAGAAGCAGCTGGACCCGGCCATCAACCACTTCATCGAGGCAGGGTAAGGGGAGGTGTATTAAGTCAGATATTTGTTGGTTGTGGTATTCAGTGTAATGTGTAATGTACAGTGCAACCATGTGGAGATATGTACTGAGTGGATCTCTACAACCCTTGGTAGCAAACATCATGATGAGAAGTGGGTTCAAACCCGTTGACATCCTACACAACTCTGATGCATTCCTCTGATAACATCAATATTTGATCAATTACAAAATAACATGTAATTCCCTACAGTACAGATATATAGAAACTAGGGCCCTGTTCCTCAAAGCGATCGTAGCGCTACGACTGTCGTAAGTCTATGTAAAGTATGGGAGTTATGATCACCTTAGCACTACGACTGACGTAAGTCTATGTCAAAGTATGGGAGTTATGATCACCTTAGCGCTACGAATGTGTAAGTATGTCAAAGTATAGGAGTTACGATCACCTTAGCGCTAAGGCTGTTGTCAGTCTATGTTAAAGTATGGGAGTTACGATCACCTTAGCACTATGATCACTTTGTGAAATGGGGTCCTGCAAGGTACATTCCTCCCAAACCCTGTTTATCTGCACATCTTGGGTATTTTAAGAAGGGTCTGTATAACTGAATACCTGGTGTCTGGATATCTGAACCTGACTGGACTTTCCTCCCGTGCCTTAAACAAAAAGATGTGATGCTATTTCCATATATTGCACTTATTTGGTGATAAGTTTTGTATAAGTATAACATTTTTGAAAACAGTTTTGGGGGATATCTTTTGTCTGGATATGTGGTGTTTTCACGCTTTTCTTTTGTAACTTAGATTGCTATTTGGACTGGTTGTACAAAGGGACAGTAATACACCTTGTAGCTTTTCTCTGTTCATCATGACCTATTTTCTCTTTACGGTTGTTTTCTTCACTATATAGGGCGGTCGGGTAGCCTGGTGGTTAAAGCGTTCGCTCGTCACGCCGAAGACCCGGGTTCGATTCCCGACATGGGTACAATGTGTGAAGCCCATTTCTGGTGTCCCCCGCCGTGATATTGCTGGAATATTGCTAAAAGCGGCGTAAAACCATATTCACTCACTCACTCACTTCTTCACTATATATATGTGAAGGGTGCTTATGTAGCCCTGTTAAACCATTGATCTTCACACCAAAGCTCTGAAATCCTACTCAAGATGTTTTTTACAGTTTTTGATGCACAGATAACAGAATCAGTTCAGAAAATGAGATTCTAGAGGCCATTATGAAACAAAGGACACATTTTCTGCATAGTTATCTCCCCTCTTCCATATACAGAATGTTAAATGGGAAGTTGACACAGTTGACTCACACAGTGGATCGGCTAATAAAATGGAAGTAAATTACAAAAAAATGATTCACTTTTGATAAGTGTGGTGACTGTGAAAGGCACTATTATCCCTTCAAACAAGCCAGTTGTTCAGTTTCATGTTTCCCTGTAGAGCCACTCTGAAGGCTGTAGATGCAGCCATTGCATCCCGACAGTGGGCCAAGGCAGTACAGATTCTGGAGATGCAGGACTCGTCGATGGCTTCCCGATATTACAAGAAGATAGCTGACCACTATGCCTCTGTTGGAGAATACGAGGTACTAGAGTGTGTTAAGTAATACCCACAGCAATAGGTTTACAGTGATTGGCCAATACTAGTTAAAGGTGGTGTGAGAGTGTGTTAATGAATGTCCACAACAAGAGGCTGACAGTGTTTAGCTTATACTAGTTCTCCACGTTCTAGGTGGTACAGAGTTATTAGACTGTTATTAAATAGACTGTTATGAGACCTCATCACCTTTTGGAAATATTTATTTTAACTTGTATTGAAGCTGAAAATTTGTCATTTTTCCATGACATGACTTCTCCAAGCAATCACATTCAGGCTTCACATGGACACTGTAATATGCCTAATGGAGAATGCATAGTTTCCACTTTGTTTCTTAAATCTGAGACCCCTGAAGATCCAGGGTAGAATAGGCCTTCAGCAACCCCTACTTGCTGTATATAACGACTATGCTTGTCTTAAGAGGCGACTAACAGGATTGGGTGATCAGGTTCGCTGACTTGGTTGATGGATGTCATAGTATCCCAATTACGTGGATCGATGCTCTTGATGTCAGTCACTGGATTGTCTGGTCTGGACTCCATTATCTACACAGACTGCCTTCATATAGCTGGGATATTGCTGAATGCGGCATTAAACAACAAACAAACAAATAAAGAATCTTAAATCTGAATTTGATGAGTTTGTGCAATGATACATTTCAATCTCGAAAATAGATGATAAAACACTTTCAGTAAAGTGTAGCATTAGAACTTAATATGCTATGTGATTGAAACATTTGGCCAATGGATGCAAATGGTTTAGATATGTTATATCTTGATTAGTATGCCCTGACTTGAGAATGGTGATGATTCAGACAGCCGAGCGGTTCTACGTGGAGGCGAGCTGTACGCGGGAGGCGGTGGACATGTACAACCAGGCCGGGATGTGGGAACAGGCTCACAAGGTACGGACATCCTACGGATTACTGATCCTACTAATCTGTGTCACACAGAATTCAGGGATGGAACTTACGCTGAAATGCTAGCCAGAATAGTTATACATATAAGGACTCCCCCTTATAAGCCTGAAATTCCCCTACACAGAAGAACCTCGGTCTAGCAGACTGGTGCCAGCACATCCCTGGATTTGCTACCAAACTACGTCTTCCACAGATATGAGAAACATTAGTTTAATTCCAAAATTGTAGCTTCAAATATTTTCAGATTTGTTTAAAAGATTGTATGTGGTCGTGATAAAGCCTGTTCAATGTTGATCATCACTGTCATGACAGTTACTAGGACAGAGACATGTTGAACATCATTGTTGGGCCTTGATTACTGTCAGGTATAATGTGAGTTCTACAGCCTGTATTATGACAGAGACTAAGTACAGTTGACACCATGATGTGATGTTTCCAGCTGGCCTCCACCTACATGAAGACAGACGATGTGGCCAACCTCTACGTGTCTCAGGCACGCCAGCTGGAGGAACAGGGCAAGTTCAAGGATGCAGAGAGGTAATGTCATCAACCAGGCCTGTGACCTTTCACTGAATCTGTGCCTTCTCAAGCTTGTGCCATGTATATTAATAGCTATTGTGTGGTAGAATCATGACAAGTTAATGTGGTTCCTTCTTACAGTAATAACAGTGCTATTATATAATTTAATGTATCATATATTTTTTTATGACTATTGTGAAACTACTTCACCAAGTGATGACAATGGTGAGGACTGAGGCTTGACTTGTGTAGAGGACTGAGGTGTGACTTGTGTAGAGGACTGAGGCTTGACTTTTGTAGAGGACTGAAGCGTGACTTGTGTAGAGGACTGAGGCGTGACTTGTGTAGAGGACTGAGGCGTGACTTGTGTAGAGGACTGAGGCGTGACTTGTGTAGAGGACTGAGGCGTGACTTGTGTAGAGGACAGAGGTGTGACGTGTGTAGAGGACTGAGGCGTGACTTGTGTAGAGGACAGAGGTGTGACGTGTGTAGAGGACTGAGGCGTGACTTGTGTAGGGGACTGAAGCTTGACTTGTGTAGAGGACTGAAGCATGACTTGTGTAGAGGACTGAGGTGTTGCTTGTGTAGAGGACTGAGGCGTGACTTGTGTAGAGGACAGAGGTGTGACTTGTGTAGAGGACTGAGGTGTGACTTGTGTAGGGGACTGAAGCTTGACGTGTGTAGAGGACTGCAGCATGACTTGTGTAGAGGACTGAGGTGTGACGTGTGTAGAGGACTGCAGCATGACTTGTGTAGAGGACTGAGGTGTGACGTGTGTAGGGGACTGAAGCTTGACGTGTGTAGAGGACTGAGGCGTGACGTGTGTAGAGGACTGAGGCGTGACTTGTGTAGAGGACTGAGGTGTGACGTGTGTAGAGGACTGAAGCGTGACTTGTGCAGAGGACTGAGGTGTGACTTGTGTAGAGGACTGAGGTGTGACGTGTGTAGAGGACTGAGGTGTGACGTGTGTAGAGGACTGAGGTGTGACTTGTGTAGAGGACTGAGGTGTGACTTGTGTAGAGGACTGAAGCGTGACTTGTGTAGAAGACTGAGGCATGACTTGTGTAGAGGACTGAAGCGTGACTTGTGTAGAGGACTGAGGTGTGACGTGTGTAGAGGACTGAAGCGTGACTTGTGCAGAGGACTGAGGTGTGACTTGTGTAGAGGACTGAGGTGTGACTTGTGTAGAGGACTGAGGTGTGACGTGTGTAGAGGACTGAGGCATGACTTGTGTAGAGGACTGAAGCGTGACTTGTGTAGAGGACTGAGGTGTGACGTGTGTAGAGGACTGAAGCGTGACTTGTGTAGAGGACAGAGGTGTGACTTGTGTAGAGGACTGAGGCGTGACGTGTGTAGAGGACTGAGGTGTTGCTTGTGTAAACGATTAAGATCCTTTATGTGTGTGTTTGTGTAGGCTGTATGTGGCTGTGGAGGAGCCGGACCTGGCTATCACCATGTACAAGAAGCAACGTCTCTACGGGGACATGATCCGCCTGGTGAAGCAGTACCACAAGGACCTCCTGCCCGACACACACCTCCACCTGGCCAGGGTGAGACAACTCTACACTTACTGTAGAGGACAGCACCAGTAGAAACCGCAGCTTGTTTGTACCAGACATAAACTGACTGTCATTGAATGACGAATATTAATTAAAGACTAGTCACTACAGACATAATTTCAGCACCTTTTAATTTTAATATGGGGTGTAATTCTTAATGCTGAACTGTGTTAACATGTGAAATGTTCAAGTGCACAACAGATTTGTCATGTCTGATTACAATGAAGAAAACTGTATTGTTACCATGGTTAGCATTCAGTTTTCCAATAATAATATTTTGACATTGTTATGTACGCAAAGTGTTCAGTGCTTTTGTCCTAATGCTGATTTGGGACAGAACAGGCAAAAACATACCCCATGATTGTGATGAAAGTGGTGACCCTGTGGTAACAATGGCTGGAGCCTACAAGGGTACACACCATGTGAGACCCCGCCCACTCCCCCACCCACCCTTTCCTCATGATGAGTTGTGTTGGCAGGAGCTGGAGGGTGAGGGCAATATGAGGCAAGCGGAGCATCACTTCCAGGAGGCCGGGGACTGGAAGGCAGCCGTCAACATGTACAGGTCACATGACAGCTGGGACGAGGCATACCGGGTATGTAGAGCTGAGATAGGTCATAGTGGGTCATGTTGCATGTGGCACGAGGCTTACCAGTATGTAGAGCTCAGATCGAGCATAGTTGGTCATGTGATACAAAGCTTACCAGGTATGAAGAGCTGAGGTAGGTCATAGTCGGTCATGTGACATGTGGACGAGGCTTACCGGGTATGTAGAGTTGAGAGAGAGCAAAGTAGGTCATGTGACATGTGTACAAGGCTTACTGGGTATGTAGAGCTGAGATGGGTCATAGTGGGTCATGTGACATGTGGAGGAGGCTTACCAGGTATGTAGAGCTGAGATGGGTCATAGTGGGTCATGTGACATGTGGACAAGGCTTACCGGGTATGTAGAGCTGAGATAGAGCATAGTGGGTCATGTGACATGTGGACAAGGCTTACCGGGTATGTAGAGCTGATATGGGTCATAGTGGGTCATGTGATGTTCAATGTGTGATCTGTGACTGAGGTGGATGTACAATGTGTGATCTGTGACTGAGGTTGATGTACAATGTGTGATCTGTGACTGAGGTTGATGTACAATGTGTGATCTGTGACTGAGGTTGATGTACAATGTGTGGTCTGTGACTGAGGTTGATGTACAATGTGTGATCTGTGACTGAGGTTGATGTACAATGTGTGGTCTGTGACTGAGGTTGATGTACAATGTGTGATCTGTGACTGGGGTTGATGTACAATGTGTGATCTGTGACTGGGGTTGATGTACAATGTGTGATCTGTGACTGGGGTTGATGTACAGTGTGTGATCTGTGACTGAGGTTGACGTACAATATGTGGTCTGTGACTGGGGTTGATGTACAATGTGTGATCTGTGACTGGGGTTGATGTACAATGTGTGATCTGTGACTGAGGTTGATGTACAATGTGTGGTCTGTGACTGAGGTTGATGTACAATGTGTGATCTGTGACTGAGGTTGATGTACAATGTGTGGTCTGTGTCACAGGTTGATGTTCAATGTGTGGTCTGTGACTGAGGTTGATGTACAATCTGTGATCTGTGACTGAGGTTGATGTACAATGTGTGGTCTGTGTCACAGGTTGCCAAGGCCCAGGGCGGTGCTACAGCAGCTAAACAGGTGGCTTATCTCTGGGCCAAGAGTCTGGGAGGGGACTCGGCAGTCAAACTACTCAACAAGTTTGGTCTCTTGGAGGCAGCCATTGACTATGCTACGGAAAACTGGTATGTGAGATGAAATTTGATTGGTTTTGGAGAAAGTTTAAAAAAATTATATGATCATATTAATATCTTCTAATTTTGTTGTTGTTAGAAGATGTAATTTGCTATTTACAAACAGTTACATACACATATGGACTATGCTTGTCATAAGAAGTGACTAACTGGATCGGGTGGTCAGGTTCGCTTGGTTGGTGCATGTCATCGTATCCCAATTGCGTAGATCAATTGCTCATGATGTCAATAACAGGATTTTCTGGTTCAGACTTGATTATGAATAGACTGCCGTCATATAGCTGGAATATTGCTGAATGCTGCGTTAAACAGCAAACAAACAAGTTTGGTGACTTTGAATTATAGCAGAAAGAGAAGAAGTTTAGCATTTTATTTGAAAGTGATGCCATAAGGAAATCACTGTTGATCTGTTTCAGTGCTTTTGAGTTTGCATTTGACTTGGGCCGTGTTGCCATGAAGAACAAACTGCCTGACGTTCACCTCAAGTATGCCATGTTCCTGGAAGACGAGGGCAAGTTCCCAGAGGCAGAGGCCGAATTCATAAAGGCATCCAGACCCAAGGAAGCGGTTCTGATGTACGTTGGCATTATAAACTGCTAAGGCTAAAAAATGATAAGTCTTTGTTCTCAGGCATCGCCACATCATCAATAAGGCCGCCACTCATTAAGTTATTATTTCCATATAAAAAACAAGGAATTTTTTCTTAAGCCTAAAACAGTCAAAACACTTGCAGTCTGGCATATCATCCTGACCAAGTCCTTGAAATTTGGGGAACGTGTTTCAGTCATTAAAGACTACACATTTTTCTGTGAAGAGTTGTGTCCATTTTGTATGCCTGGATCTTGTGATTGTGGGTTAGGATCCCAGGCTAAAGCTGTGTTATCAAGGGGGCATAACTCGGACAAACAAAATAAATTAGGAATGAATTATCAGTCAGACCTTGATTTAATCATGCTCTGTATGGAAACATTTTCTCACAAAAACAAGTGGTAAATGTCTGCGTCTCGACTCTGGCATCTCATGGGTTCGTGACGTTGTTACGTTACTGTTACCAGTTCAACCCAGCTGACTCACTCACTGTTGTGTGTTGCAGGTACGTCCACAACCAGGACTGGGATTCGGCGCAGCGTGTTGCAGAATCCCATGATGCTGACTCCGTGGCTGATGTGTTGGTCGGCCAGGCCAGGTTTGCATTTGAGGAGAAGGAATACGCCAAGGCTGAGTCCTTCCTGCTGCGAGCCCAGAGGCCGGAGCTGGCTGTCAAATACTACCGGGTTAGACGCTTATTACTCGTCCTGAAGCACGACTACATTTAGAAGTGTATACTTTTAGTGTTTTCACCAAGTTTGTGATTATTGTGCTTGAGTTATTGTATATATTACTCCAGCTGTATCAAGTGTTGGCATCTCAGCATGAAAGAAGGGAGATCGAGGTAGTTCCAGGTACATCTTGCTGGTGTATTTGCCCCTTGTGGTAGGTGAGCAGGTTCGAGCCCTTGCAGGGGGTGGTGGTAGTGTAGCCTACTGGTCAAAGCATTTGCTTGTCACGCCGAAGGCCAGGGTTTGATTCCCCCACATTGGTACAATGTTTGAAGACCAGTTCTGGTGTCCCCCGCCGTGATATTGTTGGAACATTGCTAAAAGCGGCATAAAACCAAACTCACTCACTCCTTGCAGGGGTATATTTTGGTGAGCCCCTGGACAGTGTACCCAGCATTATTTTGACTCCGTGTTACAAGCCAGGTCATAACATCCACTCCTTGATACCAGTACATTCATAGGATTCATGTGAAACCTGGATGCTTAACTCCCAATGGAGCCTGATGTTAAACTAGTTTGTGAAATCAATTTTACAACCCAGCATTTACCTTAAACTGTGTTCAGCAACACTTTCATTATTACATCAGATATTGCTTTGGTTATATCCTAGGAGATTACAATGCTTTGCAAACTATTGTGACATCATCAGTTACCATGACTACACAATCAAATGACATCACAAATCTGTCTGCTACCGAAGCTTGTTCGCAGTACCTTTCACACTCAAGACACTGGTTATAACTGTTTACAAAATGGAAATGTCGGAAGAATGATTTTGGATGATAAATAGAATCTCATCCAAGTGACTTTTGAAATGATCGACTTGTGTTGATACATTTGATATCAAAAGACACAAGGTGAGATTCTCTGTGTCTTCTTGTGTGAAGATGACTTCAGCAGTCATATGATAACGGACCATCAAACTTCTCACACTGCTATATCTGCTCCTACAGGACTCGGGCATGTGGCAGGATGCACTGCGAGTGTGTAAGGAGTACGTCCCCCACAAGCTGCAGACGCTCCAGGATGAGTATGACAAAGAGATGACCAACAAGGGACCCAGGTATGGAGTCTACAACACTCAGAAACATAGAATTAAGACTACCGTATTCGATGTAATAAGCGCCCTGCTCTAATAAGCGCCCACGGCGATATTTGCCAATATATTGGCTAGTGAACAATCTCAATTAGCACCCCTTCCAAATGGTTTACGTACACAAGACTTATTTATTTGTGTATAATACGTACTCGTATGTTATATGCACCCTTAATTATGGGCAATTAAATCCTGGAAAAATATATCTGTCGTATATAAACATTTCAGGCTGTCAGCATAAACCACGAAATTTATGATTTTTCAACTCAAAATAATACTCTAATAAGAGCCCCCTATTTCTAATTTTGAGAGCGCCCTGGGCGCTTATTACGTCGAATACGGTATTACACCTGTAACCTGTACTTTATTTGAAAAGCTTCTGGTGATTCCAGAGCATTATAGATCCTCAGTCCCTTGCTAGTTATAAGGGCATGAGGTCGCGACAATGGCTTCCCTGAGTTGAGTGTTTGGCTAGCTGGCTGCTGTGGCGGACATACTCTCAGATGGGACCTGGCTGATTTAGAGTGATCACTCTGTTGACCACCAGCTTGCTCCTCTACTCTGAGTTGAAATTTAGATTGCTGTGGATTATTTACTTGACGTGTGGTTATGAGGTATACACAAAATATTTTTATCACCTATTTCCATGTCACACTTTGTAACAAACATATCAAAATTGGAAATGTACTTAAATCATTTTTATGATATGTAACTTTGTACAGTGAGTTACTTCTGACATCACTTTAACATATCAATAGTACCAGAAAACAGGGATGTGTGTATTGATGTGTATCAGGGGAGATAACTTGGTATTTGTGCTTGTTCCCTGTCCAGTGGCAAAGGAGGAGAAGGGTGAGTATGTGTTGTCCTAGCCGCCTCTGTCTGTCACTACTTGCAGGACTTCCGGGCAGTCAGCCAGCAATAGGCTGTCTCATCATTGCAGGGTAGCTTACACTCCCTTGTGAAGGCTGTTAGTCAGTTTCGGGAAGTTGGAAAAATAATGTTATGCCCTCACTACTTGAATTATTCTGCTCCATATTGAAAGTGTCCTTCAGGCAATGGAACATTATTTTGAGAATTCATCTTTATGCAATCATGTATTTGCATAAGTGCTGGGGGCATGGGTGGCCCAGTTGTCTTAAGTGCTGCAGTTAGATGTGCAGAGTTGCATCCCTTTGGCATGCACAAAATCTATGATCGCAGGTTCAAATCCTAGTTGAGTAGGTTTCTTGGTTTGTCAGTTGGAGGCGAGAAACATCGGAAACCTCTGTCACTTCATGCTTTCCTTCCCCATCAAACTGACACACTGTGATTGTTCAAATCGGCCGGAAACTCAGTGTGTGACTACCAATTAAATGAAATTGGTTCAGGGGGTCAGGCCCGCTGACTTGGTTGATGCATGTCATTGTATCCCAATTGTGTAGATCAATGCTCATGATGTCAACTGGCTTGTCTGATCCAGACTGGATTATCTACAAACCGCCGTCATATAGCTGAAATATTGCGATGTGAAACATCATACAAACAAAGCAAACTCTTATGGCTGTGGTGACATCGTAGGGTGACATCGTAATGGGGAAACATCGTAATGGGGTGACATCGTAGGGTGACATCGTAATGGGGTGACATCGTAATGGGGTTACATCGTAATGGGGTGACATCGTAATGGGGTTACATCGTAATGGGGTGACATCGTAATGGGGTGACATCGTAATGGGGTGACATCTTAATGGGGAGACATCGTAATGGGGTTACATCGTAATGGGGTGACATCGTAATGGGGTGACATCGTCATGGGGTGACATCGTCATGGGGAGACATCGTCATGGGGTGACATCGTAATGGGGAGACATCGTAATTGGGTGACGCCGTAATGGGGTGACGCCGTAATGGGGTGACATCGTAATGGGGAGACATCGTAATGGGGTGACATCGTAATGGGGTGACGCCATAATGGGGTGACATCGTAATGGGGTGACATCGAAATGGAGTGACATCGTAATGGGGTGACATCGTAATGGGGTGACATCGTAATGGGGTGACGCCATAATGGGGTGACATCGTAATGGGGTGACATCGAAATGGAGTGACATCGTAATGGGGTGACATCGTAATGGGGTGACATCGTAATGGGGTGACATCGTAATGGGGTGACATTGTAATGGGGAGACATCGTAATGGGGTGACATCGTAATGGGGTGACATCGTAATGGGGTGACGCCGTAATGGGGTGACATCGTAATGGGGTTACATCGTAATGGAGTGACATCGTAATGGGGTGATATCTTAATGGGGTGACATCGTAATGGGGTGACATCGTAATGGGGTGACATCTTAAATGGGGTGACGCCGTAATGGGGTGACATCGTAATGGGGTAATGGGGTGACATCGTAATGGGGTGACATCGTAATGGGTATAAATAAGCAGTTATAGAGGCTGGCACTGCCTGTCGAACTTTGCTCACATAGTTTTCACAATAGAACTTTTGTTTGCCAAGTGTAAATGTGCCAGTTTGATGTCTGCCATATGTGTTTTGAATGTTCACTGTAGAAAGACTAGAATTCTACTTTTCATGCTGACTTTGAAGTTCTTGTCTGGCATAGCCTGGGTCTTGTTCCTATGGTAACGTGCATGTATGTTACAGTGTTCAGGACAGTAGTAGCACTGAGACTTGTGGAATTCACATGATGATTAGGTCACGACATTACGAGAACAATTGTAGATATTCCAATATTGTCTGACACTGTCATTCTATAGTGGTCATTCTAACTCCTCTAGAATCTGACAATGATCCTGTAGTTAGCACCTTAAAATTGTTGTCATAGAAATAATACTTAAGAATGTGCTGGTTACCAAGGTAACATAACCTTGTTTCCAGGATTAATCTTATGTTACCAACACGGTTGATAAAAACATTCTTTTTGACGATTTGAGTTTTATTTTCACTACATTATCAATTTAATTATGAAATGTGAATATCTTGACTTAGTTTCTGTGTCAATTTTTTCACATGAAATTTACAAGAAATTAATCTGAAAATAATCATTCAAAAGAAATATTATGTTTTATTTTTAAACACTATAACAGTGCAAACATTCTAACATTTGATATTTGTTTATTCACAAAACAGCTGTTTGTAGCATGTGTAGTGTTAGAATCTCATGATCACATAATCCTGGTTACTTATTTTAAAGTGCAATATTTCCTGTTTCCAGCTTTGAGGAGGGGTATGTAAGAATGAGCTATCCCCCTTATGCAGTATTATTGGTTTGAATGTGTACACACATACATACATACATATATGATTGAAATTATGAGAAAAACAGTCTTTGGTGTGACCTAATCACTTTGACATTTATTCAATGTCTCTATATGTGATACCTCTGTTAACAGTGCCTTGTTTCGGTGTGAGGCTCTACCATAATACTGACTGCGTACACTCATCTCCTCTCTGACACTCATCTCCTACTTATTGGAACTCAGATTTAGTTTTTCAACATATTGTTTTCCCACTGTTTTTTCTCAGGAAGTATTTATACAAAAGCATGATTTAAGGTGCTCATTTGTCCAGAGGGGAAACACATTAGCTTTTGTAGCATATCCTCTGTGAGCCCCCATGGGGAGTAGGACATTGCATGAAGATCAATCACTTGTTTCTGGAATATTGCTGAGTGCGGTGTGAAGCAATAAATAAACAAATGAAATGAAACAAACAAACAAACCAGTAGAGGTGTGTCATACCCTACCGAGCAGTGTACCAGTAGAGGGGTGTGTCCCTGGTGTATCTACTACTGAGCAGTGTACCAGTAGAGGGGTGTGTCCCTGGTGTATCTACTACAGAGCAGTGTACCAGTAGAGGGGTGTGTCCCTGGTGTATCTACTACTGAGCAGTGTACCAGTAGAGGGGTGTGTCCCTGGTGTATCTACTACTGAGCAGTGTACCAGTAGAGGGGTGTGTCCCTGGTGTATCTACTACTGAGCAGTGTACCAGTAGAGGGGTGTGTCCCTGGTGTATCTACTACTGAACAGTTTACCAGTAGAGGGGTGTGTCCCTGGTGTATCTACTACTGAGCAGTGTACCAGTAGAGGGTTGTGTCCCTGGTGTATCTACAACTGAGCAGTGTACCAGTAGAGGGGTGTGTCCCTGGTGTATCTACTAGTACTACCCTACTGAGCAGTGTACCAGTAGAGGGGTGTGTCCCTGGTGTATCTACTAGTACTACCCTACTGAGCAGTGTACCAGTAGAGGGTTGTGTCCCTGGTGTATCTACTACTGAGCAGTGTACCAGTAGAGGGGTGTGTCCCTGGTGTATCTACTAGTACTACCCTACTGAGCAGTGTACCAGTAGAGGGGTGTGTCCCTGGTGTATCTACTAGTACTACCCTACTGAGCAGTGTACCAGTAGAGGGGTGTGTCCCTGGTGTATCTACTACTGAGCAGTGTACCAGTAGAGGGGTGTGTCCCTGGTGTATCTACTACTGAGCAGTGTACCAGTAGAGGGGTGTGTCCCTGGTGTATCTACTACTGAGCAGTGTACCAGTAGAGGGTTGTGTCCCTGGTGTATCTACTACTGAGCAGTGTACCAGTAGAGGGGTGTGTCCCTGGTGTATCTACTAGTACTACCCTACTGAGCAGTGTACCAGTAGAGGGGTGTGTCCCTGGTGTATCTACTACTGAGCAGTGTACCAGTAGAGGGGTGTGTCCCTGGTGTATCTACTACTGAACAGTTTACCAGTAGAGGGGTGTGTCCCTGGTGTATCTACTACTGAGCAGTGTACCAGTAGAGGGTTGTGTCCCTGGTGTATCTACAACTGAGCAGTGTACCAGTAGAGGGGTGTGTCCCTGGTGTATCTACTAGTACTACCCTACTGAGCAGTGTACCAGTAGAGGGGTGTGTCCCTGGTGTATCTACTAGTACTACCCTACTGAGCAGTGTACCAGTAGAGGGGTGTGTCCCTGGTGTATCTACTACTGAGCAGTGTACCAGTAGAGGGGTGTGTCCCTGGTGTATCTACTACTGAGCAGTGTACCAGTAGAGGGGTGTGTCCCTGGTGTATCTACTACTGAGCAGTGTACCAGTAGAGGGGTGTGTCCCTGGTGTATCTACTACTGAGCAGTGTACCAGTAGAGGGTTGTGTCCCTGGTGTATCTACTACTGAGCAGTGTACCAGTAGAGGGGTGTGTCCCTGGTGTATCTACTAGTACTACCCTACTGAGCAGTGTACCAGTAGAGGGGTGTGTCCCTGGTGTATCTACTACTGAACAGTGTACCAGTAGAGGGGTGTGTCCCTGGTGTATCTACTACTGAGCAGTGTACCAGTAGAGGGATGTGTCCCTGGTGTATCTACTACTGAGCAGTGTACCAGTAGAGGGGTGTGTCCCTGGTGTATCTACTACTGAGCAGTGTACCAGTAGAGGGGTGTGTCCCTGGTGTATCTACTACTTAGCAGTGTACCAGTAGAGGGGTGTGTCCCTGGTGTATCTACTACTGAACAGTGTACCAGTAGAGGGGTGTGTCCCTGGTGTATCTACTACTGAGCAGTGTACCAGTAGAGGGGTGTGTCCCTGGTGTATCTACTACTGAGCAGTGTACCAGTAGAGGGTTGTGTCCCTGGTGTATCTACTACAGAGCAGTGTACCAGTAGAGGGGTGTGTCCCTGGTGTATCTATAACAATGTGTGCACAACGCTACATCATGATGCTTGTCCTACAGCTTCCTCCAGGTGTAGGTACCCATAATAGTCTTAACTTGCTTTCTAGATGTGTGTTATCTGTAGATGTGTTTCACATTTATGTGTTATGATATTAGTTTTTTACTTCCTTGTGATTATTTTTGTTTATGTGCAGTCTTTGCCAATAAGTCCAAAACTTGCCAATCTATGTGACAGGTACATTTTGGTCAAGAGATGATGTGTAAAAGTCGTATCATTATATTTTTATCAGATATGTTTCATATGACCATGGTTATTGCAAGGCAGAATCTGGAATACAAAGTTCATCATGGTTATAGACTTGGGGACGTCTTTTATAAAATCATCTGGAATAGATTTACATGAACATGGAAATGTTAAATTTCATTGTTTGCGTTATACAGTAAACAACTTTTATAACAACCACGCTTATAATGAACTGACCGATATAACAAACTTATTTTTTAGCCCCGGCCATTTGTTGTATAAATGCTGTATGTATGCTTATAACGAACTACGGTTACCGGTATTACAAACTAAAATTAGTTGTCCCTTCGAGTTCGTTATAACTGTAGTTTACTTTTTTTGTGTTTGTCATATTTTTTATTAGTAAACATGGTGACTAAGTTATTTTGAGTAACAGTGAAACATTGTCAGTTGATTTGTTGACAGACTATTTCTTCAGTAAATGAAATTATTGGTGAAGGCTGCATAGTTGTTATTTATGAATATGTATAGCTTCGTGTCTGTACATACATTGTGTATGTCTCTCTGTTCCACTGCATCTGAAGCATGGCCATGTTTTTGTACAGCTACAAATGGATCATGTATATATGGTCAATATTGTCATTGACACTATCATTACCATCTCAGAAGATATGGGGAAGTATGTAATAAATTTGGAAACCAAAATAGTTTGTATATGAAGAAAAACATGAATATTTTTTATCTCAAGAAGCTTAATATCATGAATATAGGGACAGATTGTCAATGGACATATGTCATAGTCTCCTGGTTAAAGCATTTGCCTATCAAGCCGAAGGTCCAGGGTCAGATCCCTACACATACAATGTGTGATTCCCATGCAATTCTCATGTCCCCTGCCATGATATGCTTGACTGTTGCTAAAAGTAGCCAAACAACTTCATCATCCTTTGTCCACTGACAACTTGTCTCATACACAAATACTGATTAAGTAGGTGGTTATTGAGCTCTTTGCAACAACCAAGCAAGGTTACAAAGCCACTATGATTTCTTTCAAAAGAGAACGGTATTAATCCCTTGTTTTGACTACAGAGGTGCAGAGTCGATGATTAACCAGGCTCGGGAGTGGGAATCATCTGGAGAGTATGCCCGTGCTGTCGAATGCTATGTCAAGGTCACCAACAAAATGACAGATGATGTCCGCATACTGGAGAAGTGCTGGATGAAGGTACGGATGGTGGTTACACTGAGGACTTGCTTTGTTCCAGTGCAACCCTGTGCTTGATCAGGGAGTTACATCATATAACCAGCGCTCCCTTCCTCAAAGCAATCGTAGCGCTACAACTCTCATAAGCCTATGTAACAGTATGGGAGTTACGATCACCTTAGCGCTACGACTGTCATAAACCTATGTTAAAGTATGGGAGTTATGATCACCTTAGCACTACCTATGTTAAAGTATGGGAGTTATGATCACCTAAGCACTATGACTGTCATAAAACTATGTTAAAGTATGGGAGTTACGATCACCTTAGCACTACCTATGTTAAAGTATGGAAGATATGATCACCTAAGCACTACCTATGTTAAAGTATGGGAGTTACGATCACCTTAGCACTACCTATGTTAAAGTATGGGAGTTATGATCACCTAAGCACTACCTATGTTAAAGTTTGGGAGTTACGATCACCTTAGCACTATGACTGTCATAAAACTATGTTAAAGTATGGGAGTTATGATCACCTAAGCACTACCTATGTTAAAGTTTGGGAGTTACATCATATAACCAGCGCTCCCTTCCTCAAAGCAATCGTAGCGCTACAACTCTCATAAGCCTATGTAACAGTATGGGAGTTACGATCACCTTAGCGCTACGACTGTCATAAACCTATGTTAAAGTATGGGAGTTATGATCACCTTAGCACTACCTATGTTAAAGTATGGGAGTTATGATCACCTAAGCACTATGACTGTCATAAAACTATGTTAAAGTATGGGAGTTACGATCACCTTAGCACTACCTATGTTAAAGTATGGAAGATATGATCACCTTAGCACTACCTATGTTAAAGTATGGGAGTTATGATCACCTAAGCACTACCTATGTTAAAGTTTGGGAGTTACGATCACCTTAGCACTATGACTGTCATAAAACTATGTTAAAGTATGGGAGTTATGATCACCTAAGCACTACCTATGTTAAAGTTTGGGAGTTACGATCACCTTAGCACTATGACTGTAATAAAACTATGTTAAAGTATGGGAGTTACGATCACCTTAGCACTATGACTGTCATAAAACTATGTTAAAGTATGGGAGTTACGATCACCTTAGCACTACCTATGTTAAAGTTTGGGAGTTACGATCACCTTAGCACTATGACTGTAATAAAACTATGTTAAAGTATGGGAGTTACGATCACCTTAGCACTACCTATGTTAAAGTATGGGAGTTATGATCACCTTAGCACTATGACTGTCATAAAACTATGTTAAAGTATGGGAGTTACGATCACCTTAGCACTACCTATGTTAAAGTATGGGAGTTATGATCACCTAAGCACTACCTATGTTAAAGTTTGGGAGTTACGATCACCTTAGCACTATGACTGTAATAAAACTATGTTAAAGTATGGGAGTTACGATCACCTTAGCGCTATGATGGCTTTGTGGAATGGGGCCCTGGCTGACAGTTTGTCTTCACACCATGACAGATCTGTCTGGCCCAGATCAGATTATTACCAGCTGCCAGGAAATGGCTGGAATAATGCGACAGCGATCGTTCTTTGGCTGGGTTTAACCATTGTTTGGTCAGAACTAATGAGGTTTTACTGTTTCAAAAATCTACTTGACTATGGCAAGAAGAAACATTTGCTGTTAATTGCCATCACCATCATAACTGGCAGTGGGTATCCTGGGTTAGAGCAGGTCCTCAGCAACCTGTTTTTGTCTTCCGAGCTGGCTTCATGAAACGACGGAGGGGTGGCATAGTGGTTAAAGCATTCACTAGTCGCATGGAAGACCCAGGTTTGATTTCCCACATGGGTACCATGTGTGAAGTCCATTCCTCGTGTCCCCCAATGTGATATTGCTGGAATATTGCTAAATCAGCGTAAAACCATACTCACTCACTCATGAATCAGACCGCCTTCGTGGTCTAGTGGTAGAGTGTCCGCCCAGAGAGCGGAAGGTCCGGGGTTCGATCCCCGACCGCGTCATACCAAAAGACGTTAAACGATGATACTTGGTGTTACCCTGTCTGGCGCTCGGCATTAAGGGGCTAAAACAAGGACAGGTCGGCTCGGAGTCAGTATAGTATACTGTGTCTGAGTGGGATATTCATGTTAAACTGCGGCATGGTATCTCAGTGAGCTAGCACTATAAATCGGCATCAGTCCGGACTAGTACAAGCAGCCACACAAACACACACACGTACATGCACATCGCTATATAAGTGCAATAATCTTGGACGAGACGTTAAACCCCATTTCACCTCAGCTCACTCATGAATCAGGTGTTCAGGCTTGGTGACTTGGTTGATTGCATCTCATCGTCGTGGATCATTGTGCATAATATTAATCACTGGTTTGTGCGTCCAGACTTATGTATAGACATCATCTTAGGAGACCCCTGTGCAGAGGGTATTACGTGAAGTACATTGGTTCAGAAACGTAAGGGGCGGTCGGGTAGCCTAGTGGTTAAAGCGTTCGCTCGTCCCACTGAAGACCTGGGTTCGATTCCCGACATGGGTACAATGTGTGAAGCCCATTACTGGTGTCCCCTGCCGTGATATTGCTGGAATATTGCTAAAAGCGGCGTAAAACCATACTCACTCATTCACTCAGAAACATAAAGTGAGGACAAGTTATTGTGTTGTTGTCTAATTACTAATTAATTACTGAACACAGGCTGGTGACCTTGCACTCAAGTTCCTGGGTGCGGAGAAGTCAAAGATGGTGATTGAGATGGTGTGTCCGCGTCTGGCAGAGATCAACAAACACACTTCAGTAAGTACAACAGCATCCAGGCCGATGTGTAGTAGTCATCTTTAGGGTTGACATATTGGCAGATAATTCATACTGCAATATACCGCAATATAGAGAGCTGTATCCAGTGTGTTGTAATGCAGATTGCTATACGTAATGAGGCCCTAACTATATATATTTGTCCTGCTCAAATGGTACGTCTTCATTCAATAATCCAGACTTCCGATTGTGAGATAGGTAGTATGGATAAACGAGACTACCTATTACATCATTAGTATGGAATGTTAATGCAAACAATGTTAAAAGTGTGTAAACCTGTTGACATGGTTTAGATAGGAACCCAGTCATCAAAATGTATCAAGAATTAGTCATAATTTTTATGATTATATATTAATTTTTCTGTGACTGTATCGGAAAATATAGATACACAAGTGTTGTATTGCAGTATGTGTATTGCTGATGGCCGTATTGCAATATACCGGTATGTCAGTTATATGTTTCATCCCAAGTCATCTTGATGTCAGGCTGTTTTGTTATGAAGGTTGACAGTGATATCCTGGGTGTAAAAGAAGCATCATCTGTATCTGAAATCGTTGAAACATCCTTTGAACCATTTTGTAAAACTTTCATTCTTCTATTAGGTTGACCATGATTCTTCATGTTCACACCCCAGTGGGGATTCTGGGTTAGAATTGGTTCCCACTAACCGATGCTTGTCGTTAGAGGAGACTTAATGGATCGGTTAGTCGGTGATTCGATAGCATGTCATTGTACCCCGACGACATAGATTGTTGCTCACAATATCAGTCACTGGTTTATCTGGTCCAGAGCTGGCTACTAATTGTCCACTGTCATATAGATGGAATATTGCTGAGTGTGGCGTTAAACAATAAACAAACATGTTAGTTTCCAGAGGGATTTTCAGATGGGTTTCCAGAGGGATTTCCAGAGGGATTTCCAGATGGGTTTCCAGAGGGGTTTCCAGGGTGATTTCCAGAGGGGTTTCCAGAGGGGTTTCCAGGGTGATTTCCAGATGGATTTCCAGAGGGGTTTCTGGATGGGTTTCCAGATGGGTTATATGATATGTTCAGGTACCAGTGATTAGTTGGCCATTGTGTCAGCTGGGGCAGTGGGTTCTAGGATTGTACACAACTGGGAAGGCCAACTTTGGGAGTGTTTAAACTAACTACAAGATGACTAGATTACACTGTTATCGATCACTGGTGTGTCTGGACATTATGCACGTTAATTATTGCTGACTGTGGCATTAGGCAACATCCACTCACTCACTCACTCATACAGTTAAAGCAGTGCTACCACTGGACGTGATTTTGGACTGGTTCCCTGAAAACATCCCTTTGTGTTCAGGCTGCGGAGCTGTACCTGGCTACCGACATGGTGAAGGAGGCCATCGACATGTTCATTGCGTGTGCTGACTGGGGCAAGGCAAAGAAGGTGGCCAAGGAGCTTGAGCCAAGGTTGGACAGATCTTCTTTTCTTTCTTTAATATTCACTTTTTTTTATGACAAATCAGTTCTGTCTTAGTCACATGTGTCTTCTTGTTATGAAGGCCCCATGGGGATGCCTGGTTAGAATTGGTCTGGGTTAGAATCTATGCTGGCCGAAAGAGGAGACCAAACGGATTGAGTGGACAGACTTGGTTACTTGCATGTCATCATGATGATGGAGTGGATCGTTACTTGCAATATCAGTCACTGGATTGTCTGGTTCATACTCGAGTTTTTTACTGGCTGCTGTCATGTAGCTGAAATATAGTTGACTGCAGCATTAAACAACAAACAAACAAAACAAAATCTTATGGCTGTGGTATTGCTAACTTTGGAGACATTGTAATGAGTACGAATGAGCAGTTATGGAGACTGGCACTGCCTGTCAAACTTTGCCCATATAATTTTTACAATAGATCTTTTATTTGTCAAGTGTAAATGTGCCATTTTGATGTCTGTGTTTAGAATGTTCACTGTAGTCGGTAGTTAGACTAGAATTTTATCGTGTTGAAGTTCTTGTCCGGCATAGCCTGGGTCTTGTTACTCAAAATATCAGTCACTGGATTGTCTGGTCCATATCGACTTTTATACAGGCTGCTTTTATACAGCTGTGAAATTGCTGAGTGCCGCGTTAAACAACAAAGAACCCCATTCCATCCTTCCCCCAATTGTTTACCTTGTCTTGAATGATCATTTGCTGTCCACATCTAGCTCTGGGAAACACATTGCTACAACAATGTTTACATAAGGCTAAAATAATAATTTTGGTTCTCAGGCTCCACCCGCTTCATCATAAAGTTCGCTGCACGTTTATCTTTTATTTCCATTTTAAAAGAAAAACAAAAAAAGTCCAATGGTAGTCAAATACTGTATTCCAGTATTTTACTCAGCAAGGAATACATTTATGTAGGGAGGACCTTTCCCAGGTTGATTGTACACAATTGCTTAATGCACAACTGTTTATTGCTTACATACTAGTTTGAACCCCCCCCCCCCCCCCCCTCCCCTCCAAAATAGGAAAAAAAAGCCCACCCCATCACACCCCCCTCCCCTCCGAAAAAAAAGAAAAGAAAAAAAAAGACACTGCCCACACGTGCTATATTTTCAAAAACTATTGCCTGAGAACCAATTCTTTTAAATCTTTAAGCCTAAAGTAGAAGTGTTATCCTCATGTTTACCGTACTTTCCTGTATGTTGTAGATACGAGCCATATGTTGACGAGCGTTACAAGGAATACTGCAAGAACCAGGGCAGGGCTGAAGATGTGAGCCACCATGTTTTGTTGTATATATCATGCACTTTTGTGCACTCACATCTCCTCCAGTGAGACAGGACTATCTTGTTGAATAACTACACACAACACGTGCTGTTCTCTGCAAACCTTGCAGTCTTTGTCTTTGCCTGCAAGTTTGACATTTTGTTTAATCTGACGATATAGTGGCCTCTGATTTATGAGAGCAAGATGACATCTAATACCATACATGACAATAATGACGGCTAATGTCCATACCTTGTATGGCACGGGCTGATCCAGAGGGGTGGACACAGCTGTCCACACACAGCTGTACTCTGGGAGGGTTCCGGGCAACATACGCTGACTGTAGGAGGTGACAATATGGATTTGGTCTTCAGACTCATTGACTTGGTTGATGACGTCTCAACGGCGCACACTTGATTGATCACTGTATTGTTTGGTCCAGACTTGATTATTTACAGGCTGCTGTAGTATAGTAGAATATTGCTGAGTGGAATGTTAAACAACAAACAAACAAACAAAACAGCTCTTGTGTCAGCCTGTGTCAGTGCATCTAGCATGTGTTTATGTTCACTTTGTGACTTTGTAGTATGCATCCAAAACACACACACACACAGAAACACAGAGACACACAGAAACAAACACACAGAAACACACACACGCACGCACGCACGCACACACACACACAGAGACAGAGACAGAGAGAGAGAGAGACACACTCACAGACAGACAGACACAGACAGACAGACAGACACACACAAAGAGAGAGAGAGAGAGACACACACACACACAGAGACACAGAGAGAGAGACACACTCACAGACAGACAGACACAGACAGACAGACAGACACACACACAAAGAGAGAGAGAGACACACACACACACACACACACACACACACACACACACACACACACACACACACACACACACACACACACACACACACACACACACACACACACACACACACACACACACACGCCTCCTGGATCTACCTGTATGGTGTACCATGATGTCATGATGTGTTGTATGCTGCAGCTGGCTAATGTGGATGTGATTGGGGCCCTGGACATGTATGCCGAGAAGGGAGAGTGGAACAAGTGCATTCAGACAGCAGAACAGCAGGTACAGCTGGGATTTACACATGTTCAGGGGATGTCAGTAGAAATACATCAAGTCTTGTATTGTGAAGTGTCTGTCATAAGCTGTCTGTTGATAGTAATATGCTTTGACAAAATTGAAGAAAAGATATTAGAAATATCAAGTTTATTCTGCTTATGATGAATATATAATAATGTGGACATACAGTATGTAATGAAATGTTAAATGTTATTGTTTCATAATATGTAACTGTTTGCCGAGAGCCAAGATGTCAGACTGCAGATGAGGACATTCCAATAAAAGTAATGATGGCACTAGATCCATAATGTTCTCAGGGTTCATTGCAAGGATTGACTACATTAAAATTGTCATTGAGACGAAGTGTCTTATGTTGTAGAACCCCAAAGTTCTCCATAAGTACATTGCTCTGTATGCTACACACCTCATCAAGGGGGGGACCTCGTCAGAGGCTCTGGGTCTCTACGCCAAATACGGAGCTCCAGCTAATGCTCAGGTAGGACACTTTCTGGCATCTTTATCTTACCTTAACCATGAATGTCGTATTCTGATTGGTTGAACCCATTCTATTATTTCCAATGAACCTCGCTAACATGTAAGGTACATTTCTTATGTATATTTCTTCGATTTGCCGAACTGTTGGCAATACATTTGCAACATACCAATCACAATTTTTATCTTGAATTAATTATGCAAGACGCAATTTTCCGGATATCTGTGAAACAAATCTAGGGGAAATAACACTAAGTTTGTTTTCTGCCTCAACAAAGTGGCAGAAAATCAGCCACTTCGCCTCCAGTTGTTGGCTAAGTCACTTTCTTCCCACCACAGCTCGCATACTGACCCATCCACTCAGAGACCAATATTCATGAATGGTACATTTAATATTTGTGTTTGCTTGAACATTTTTGGATTTGTTATTGTCCCCAGAACTACAACATCTACAAGCGGCTGTTCAGTGATGTGGTCAGTCAGCGGGACCTCAACAAACCGGAAGCATTCAGGACGTGGGCGGACCTTCGTGACATGCTGTTTGACGTGGTAACTTTGTCTCGGTAGTCTTGTGTTGGTTCACATGCTATTGCTGAAAAAGAATGATTCTTAAAGGGTATAGTATGTCCTTTTAAGCACCAAAAATTATTCATGTTGAACAATGGAAACAAGTTTTGAAACGACATTGGCAAGACATTACAGTGCGACCAACTTTCTTTTGGGGGATTTAGTTTTCCCCGAGGTTCACAGTCACTGGTTTGTCTCCATGAGATTGTGTGTTGCTTTGATTTAGCGGAGATGTTGCTGACTCTGGAATGAACACTCATTTATGTATCCTATAAGTGGAGTTAGTACTGTGGGCCAGTGGTGTAAGGTACTATAAGGTTCTACTCTGGTAGAATTGTTTCCCTTTACTACCAGGATCTGCCGAACATAGGTTGAATTATAGATTTGTTTTTCTTTTTGTCAGCACTGGTCATGCGAATAGGTTTCATATAAGTTATGAATGGTACAAAAAGTCCCCTGTAGAGTTTTGTCCCTTTACTACCAGGATCTGCTGATCATGGATTGAATTCCAGCTTCATTTTTCTTTTTGTCAATACTAGTCATGCTAATAGGTTTCATTTAAGTAATGAACCCCTGAGGGATTCCAGTGGCGACCAAATTGATGGGGTTGTCAGGGTCAGAGACTTGTTGACTGTGTGTTGTTGCTAACAACATTCACCACTGGATTGTCTGGTCCTGACTTGATTATTTAAAGGCTGCTGTCATATAGCTAGGTTATTGCTTAGAGTGGCATTACACAACAAACACCCAAACTGAAGTTAGGAGCACTTACCATTTGCTTACTTACTTTGGACTTTCCAATATAAACTGATATAGGACTGACAGGTTATGTCTCCTCCCATGACAGTGTGAGAACATATCCAAGTCTCCAGATGCTAACTCCCCCAACCATGAGGAGTTTGAGACACTGCTGCTCATCGCCCACTACTACGCTACCCGGTCAGCCTCCCTAGGTCAGAAGTCGCTGGACACCGTCGCTGCCCGTATCTGTGTGTCCTTGCTTCGCCATACTGATGTCATCCCTGCAGACAAGGCTTTCTATGAGGCAGGGATTATGTGCAGGGTGAGAGGTCTACTTTTGAAAAAACTGAACAATTATTTGTAACCTTGATTATTAACATTGGTATTTGTGTTTTGTATCCCAAATGCTTCTTTGTGGAAATAAGTTGGCATTTTGGAAAGAAATGATCTGATGGAGGCTTAGGTTAAACTTGATGTACAGTCCAGATGTCTCACTTCTAAATGGGACCCGTGAAGATCTGGGGTAGAAAAGGTCTTCAGCAACCCATGGGGTGGTGAAGCTCGCTGACTTGGTTAATGCATGTCATCGATCCCAATTGCGTGGATTGATGCTCATGATATTAATCACTGGATTGTCTGGTACAGACTTGATTAATTTACAGACCGCCATCATATAGCTAGAATATTGGTGAATGCAGCGTTAAACAACAAACCAACCAACCAACCAACCAACCAACCAACCAACCTCTAAATGACAGCATGCTATGGGAAGGATTATAGAATTTCAGAAATTAACAGGAATATTGTCAAGTATTCGAGTTGATGGCAGTTATATCATAAACATCTGAACGATCACCAGTGAATGACCACTTGATTGTATTCACAGAACAACGGCTGGGAGAACATGGCCTTCGTGTTCCTGAACAGATACTTGGATATTGCAGAGGTATGTGGACTATGGTCACTGTTGGATTTCATCCTCTTCTTCAAACAGGGAATATAAAGTACTCTATGTATGCATTCATATGTTTTCTTCATCAACAAATCTTTCTGTTCTATCCAATAATATTCTGCCTGTTATTTCCCATGATTGGATCGTTCAGTTGGCAAAGAATAAATAAATTCTTTGCAACACAGCCCTCATTGATGGAACCAATATAGAGCTTCTTACATTGCCATTCCATGTACCCAGACTCCTAGGATGACAACCAATCAGTAACCGCCTCCATGGTCTAGTGGTAGAGCATCCGCCAGGAGAGCAGAAAGTCATGGGTTCGATCCCTGGCCGTGTCATACCATAGACATTAAAAGATGGTACTTGTTGTGACCGCGCCTAGTGCTGGACACTAAGGGGCTAAAACAAGGACTGGCTCGGAGTGGGGTATTCATGTTAAACTGCGACATGGTATCTCAGTGGGCTAGCACTATAAAATCGGCATTAGTCTGGCCAGACTAGTACAAGCAGACGTACACACCCACAAACATGCATGCACGTCGATGTATAAATGCAATAATCTTGGACATGACGTTAATCCCCAATCATCTCACCTCACCTCAACCGATCAGTCCTAAATATTTGTGCAGTATTCCTGTGTGTATTTCTGCTGCCTACTGTACTGTATGTCTCTGCCAGGCTATTGAGGAAGGGACACTAGACATGCTGGACCACAGTGACTTCCAAGACACAGACATCCCCTTCGAGATCCCCCTCCCAGAGAAACCGTATCTGTCCGTAAGTCATGCACATGTCGCCAACTGGGATGGTTTTGAAATGCAATAAGTCTTGTGTACATTGTGCTTGTCATTAGATGCCTAAGATGCGGATCCAGGGACAAAATGGCTGCTATCTGGCCTATGTGTGAACAGTTTTTGGGTTGGTTCTATTCTCAGCCTGCTGACCACTGGTTTGACAGGTCCAAGGTTTGTTACTTATATGGGTAGGGTGATATTGATGGTAAGAGGTTAGAATGAACAGAAGCATTTCACAAACCTATTGCCAAACATGAATGTCGTGAGAAAGATTCACTCTGGGGATGTCATAAAAAACATACTTTTAGTGGTAAATATTGAAAAAACAAAAAATAACGACCACTTCATGTTTATATATAACAATGAATTCTAACAGAGGATCTTGATAGTTACGATGACTTAGCTCAACAGACAATACAACAGATGACAAAAGAAGGCATCTTCCCAAGGCAAAGGTGTTAACTGACTTTTATAAAGTTAGTTAACACCTTTGCCGCTGGAAGATGGAAATGAGGTGGTAAACTGTTGGTTTGTTAATCAGAGCGGCCAGCACGAGGAGCTGAAGGAGTGGGTCCTCACAGTGTCCATGAACAGGAAGGTGGAGCAGATCCTCCCCAAGGATGAGAGGAACACGTACGAGGCCTCGCTGGTTGCCACAGACACGGGCATACGCTCTATGCCTTGTGTGATTACAGGTAGGACTTTATGTTCAAAACAAGAGACCTGTGAAGATGTGGATGAGAATAGGTCTTCAGCAACCAATGCTTGTCATAAGAGGCGATTAATGGGATCGGGTGGTCAGGCTTGCTGACTTGGTTGATGCATGTCATCTTATCCAATTGCATGGATCGGTGCTCATGATGTCAATCAATGGATTATCTGGTCCAGACTTGATTTATTTACAGACCGCCATCATATAGTTGGAATATTGGTGAGTGCGACGTTAAACAACAAACAAACAAACAAACAAACAAAGCAAAACAAGAATTGCCATTCATTTATTTATCAAATTACGGAAGTTACTTTTGCTTTTGCTTTTTGATTTAAAGAAACCTAAATTATACTCCCAATGTTTCCACACCCAAAACGCTGCTCAACTACAAAGTCTCGGCTCCTAGGTGATTATTTAAGTAGTTGGTGATGTTTAAAAATACAAGTCCCCTTAGTAGATGTGTGAGTTGTGTGAAAAGCGTACTGATATGTGTTAACTATGTCTACTTCCCAGGGTACCCCGTCCTGCGGAACAAGGTGGAGTTTAAGCATCCTGGCAAGACGGCCAACAAGGATGACTGGAACAAGTTCCTTATGGCCACAAAGGTATGTATCATACCTCCATGTCAGTTTTATGAGATCTGATTGTCAATGTGATCTTGATACAATACTGTGTATGCTGCCTTGGTGGGGAATAAATTTCTCAGTGGGGAATAAATCTCTTATAACCCACCATGAGCAAGTCAGGCTGCACATGGATTTCTGAGAGGCAGAATAAATCCCTTATACCCTGCTTCAAAGCAAAAAGCAGCACACTTTTTCAGAATCAATGGAAGTCACGTGACATGGCGCAAACTAACCTCTATCAATTTTGAATTTGTTTGAATTCTTTTATAATGTCATATTTAAACATGTCGGTAAGATATATTCGTTGTAGCAGGATCACAAGTTTAAAACCTAACCTGTGACGCATTATACCCCATGTGATCCTGCTGCAACTTATAGTATCTAGATATTTAGTGGATTTCTCACTGGACCTACACTGGTCCCTCTTTCTCCTCCCAGCAGGAAACTATGTAGTGAGCCGAAATGGGGTTTTATATCATGTTCAAGACTATATTACTTATATAGCAATGTGTGTATGTCTGCTTGTGCCAATCTGGACTTATACTGTGTAGTGCCATGATACTGAGAGGCTCTGTTGCTGTTTAACATGGAAATTCCACTTATAGCCATACTGACTCCCAGCAGACCCATCCTTGTTTTATCCCATTAATGCTGAACATGTGTAACAACACAGTACCTTCTTTCAACGTCAATATGTCATGACGTGGCCAGGGATCGAACCACCGACCTTCCTCTCTCCGGGTCACTCTATGCACTACACCACAGAGGTGGTCGAAACTATATAGGGTTTGGTTGATATTGTATTGCTACCTCAGGTGATATTGTACTTGGACAGATGACCATCTGAAGAGCTCAACTTTCAATTGTGATGTTGCTGTGTCCTCAAAATGTCTGACTTACCCATAGACCTTATTGATATAGTTCTTGTATTACCAACAACCCCATTAATCACTCAGTGATTCTCAGGAAGAATAGTACCTCAGCCAATTAAGATGGGTTCACCAGATGCCAGGAGTAACTGCTTATAGTATTTTATTTGGTAATCAATGTGGCTGAGAGATGTATTCTCATGCTGTACATGAATATGCTAACACAATCATGCGGACCTGTGAAGATCCGGGGTAGAATAGGTCTTCAGCAACCCATACCTGCTGTAAAAGATGACTATGCTTGTCGTAAGAGGCGACTTATGGGATCAGGTGGTCAGGCTCGCTGACTTGGTTGATGCATGTCATCATATCCCAATTGCGTGGATCATTGCTCATGATGTCAATCACTGGATTGTCTGGTCAAGACTCGATTTACCGACCGCCGTCATATAGCTGGATTAATACAAACAAACAAACAAAACACAATCTTGTACTAATCTACTTGCTCCAGGGTCTTTGATTGGCACAGATGCTGGTGACAGGCATCATTCCATCTCTCACTGACCCTGATAGTGATCCTAGTCACCGTACCCATGCTCATGATTCACCAGTGTCACTGCCGGATCTCCTCCCATTTCCTTCCTAAGCTGATGATATATCTGAAATACTGTCCAGCAGTTATAAACCCAACTCACTCACTCACTCTGTTGCAGGTGTCACACAGTCCTGAGCTGCAAGATGTCCTCAAGTTCATTGGCTCTTGGTGTGGAGCGACCCCCAACCCAAGCTACTCCTTCCAGTAGGGGGAGACAACTCCTTCCTTTGGGGGAGACAACTCTTCTCCCTGGTGGGATTCTCAGCTGTGATAGATAACACTGACAGTTATACAGTTGTCGACTCTGTTGTATTCCTTGTTATCACTACATTCCGTCCTCACAAAGTGACAGTTTAACACACAGTGTCATTCATTATCATATACTCCATACTGTGTAGTTTTGAACGTATTTTTTGACAGCAATTCACAGATAACTATTTATTGATTGTTATACATGAATGGTTTCACCAGTCCTTGGATGTGTACTGTTATAGATATTTGCCTTATTGTAAAGTGCTTTAACCGCCATGTTTGCTCAGTAGTCAACTTTTGTTACAATATTTACAGAAATGTAAATCAAACAAACACAAAAGTGAAATTATGGCCCCAAGTTTGGGATGTTAATGAAGGAAGTAAACAATCTACTTTATATGTACCCTAGGTCACTTGTAACATTCATCAGAATATTGTTACATATATTATAACATCCGTCATTATATTGTTATGAAAATTACATATTCATAATGTATGTGATTGATACTTTTTACAGTATGATGAAAAATGGTGTTTGTTATTGAATTTCATTAAAGAGAATTGTAAATATACATATCATGTTCTTTGTTTTCAATAACTACTGATACTCTGAAAAACTTACAGTTGGTGCGGTTTTTTAGGTGTTTTTAGCTAACAACCCAGTGACCATTCTAGGGCAAAGAGTTCTAAGAACTGATTGGTCAAATGTGTGACCTGGTTGTGTGTCATCCTACCCTGATAGTTCTGGTCAGCAAATTGTTGGTCTCATTACAAATAAAACTATAAAGAGGGTGCTATGATATATAGCTGGAATATTGCCGACTACAACAATCACCCCTGTAATTGTTAGGTGAGGTGAAATGGGGTGATGTAAGGTGAAATAGAGTTTAAGTGTATAAGATTATTCCACATATATAGGATGCACTTATGCACATTGTGTGCGTGCATGTGGCTGCGGCTGCTTGAACTAGTCAACATTTATTCGAGATTTATAGTGCTAACCCACTGAGAAGCCATACCTCACAGACACATTATTCTGGCTCAAAGAAGACCAGTTTTTGCTTCATCATGAGCATCGATCTATGCAAATGGGATAGGATGACATGCATCAACCAAGTCAGCAAGCCTGACCGCCGATCCGGTTAGTCACTACTTGTGCCAAGCATAGTTGCCCCCATGAAACAGACAGGATGTGATAGAACTGGAATGCTATTATAAGCAGGGTTAAAGCAAAATCACTGGCACACTCTTTGTCTTTTCTTACTTCAACCAAACAGCTGCCCTGGTAATGGAAATATATCTGTAAAGAAAGTGAGTGTTTTACGTATTGTAAATGTACTCTTAGATACCAAATCGGAGCTGCTCAATTCCGTCTACATGAAGATTTTTTTTCTGAAAAGTTTCTCTGAAATTCGTTTGTACTATTACCAGCTGCAATGACCAAATGAAAATAGTGAGTGAGTTGGGTTTAACACTGCTTTCATCTTCCCGAGGCAAGTGAGTTAACTAACTATAAAAGTCCAGTTTCCACACTTGCCGAACTAGGCTGGTATTATGGAGTTACAATTTGGCTGGACTAATGAGTCTATGCATAGTCCAATCAAAATCGCGCAACGAAATCGAAATCCAGTTAGTAAACTGTCATGCAGATTTCGGTCGATTGCAGGATTTGCAAAGCATGTGCACCGCCAACTCGTTGTCAACAGATATTTTCAAAATCTTTTCATGTTTTTATTCAAGGTGCTCACGTGATTTGATATATTTCGCGATGTAAGACCCATTTTATCACAATATAGATCTTGATTGTCGAGCAGATCGTCCTGACTTGGCGCCGCCATTTTGTTTGAAGCAAATGCAAGTGACAAGATAGACACAATTTTTATGGATAACAACTTCTTTAATACTGTGAAAAGCGACGTTTCGGTATAGATCCTTATACCATTGTCAAGCAACGAGGGACATAGTACAGAATATATATAGTAGGTGGAGGATTAACAGTAACAACAATTGCATACATGAGTGGGATAACATTGGTAGGCCCTCATTCAGTCTTGCTTGACAACGGTATAAGGATCTATACCGAAACGTCCCAGTATTAAAGAAGTTGTTATCCTTAAAAATTGTGTCTATCTTGTCATCCGTCAACTTCTAAGTAATGCCTATCAAACAACAAATGCAAGTGATACGAGAGGTGGAATCTGATTGGTCCATAGGAGAGGCTTAGAAGGGATATAATTGGTAATAGCCACTGGTGGCGCTACGATCGAGCCCAGGAATTCCAGGCTAGTTCGGCAAGGGTGGAAGCTGCACTAAAGTCAGTTAACTCCCTTGCCTCGGGAAGATGCACTGCTTAAACATTATTCCAGTTATTTCACGGCTCTCAGCTTAATGTGAGAGGAAAGCCCGAAGTGATGCAGATCTCAGACGTTTACCACTTCGGTGAAACCCACGAGCACAGGTATGGTGCTGAAAAACCTAGAAACATAATCGGGGCGAACCGGGATTCGAACCCACAATCATAGGTTTCTGGCGTGCCCAAGGGACGCAACTCTGCACAGCGAATTGCGACGACTGGGCCCCCCGTGCCCCCCAATGAAAATAGATATGATTAATTAAACAAGTCATTCCAGTCCCTTCTGAAAAGTATCTGAGCATTTTTTTTCAAATGAGACTTTGCTTGTTTTGTGTTTTGTATAACAACACTTCGTACTAAGTAAAACAATATGCCACAAAATAAATTGGTACGTCCTGCAAATTTAGGTACGCGTTCTCCAAATTTGGGAACTGGTCAACTAGATAAAGTACGAATGCTCAAAAAAAAAGGTAAGCATCTTGCAAGAATTTTGGGTATGTGTAAGCCATTTTCGTTGGGCTCGAATTGGGTACGAAACTCAGTAGGTACGGATCGTCTGGCATACCTGTTTGTCAAAGTTACATAATTTCCTGCTGGTCAGTAAATCCTGTCTACCCACGACTATTAATTGTATGTATCGGTGACTGGAAAGTCCTTTATTCAATTCTGAGAAAGACTGGTTAGCAGCTGCCTTTGTACAAGCGTTTCCACGAAAATGTCGTTTCTTAGGAATTATGCAATGGCTTTTTACGTAATTCAGAATTCACGAGAATCTGTTGATTCAACTTTCGGATTCAACAGATTCGAGTGATTTCACTGACTTAAACCATTTTATGGTTGAAACATAATTTCCCCATAACATTGCATTCTGACCTACAGTTCCGCCAGTTTTGTTTTATAAAATGCACGTTATGCACAAGAACAATAGCGTGACGTCATCATAATCGGTTTAAATAATATTACTTGGTTTTCAGTTCCGCCAACCAAATCTTTCCATATGCGAAATAAAAATAAAGAATTTGATAGAATGTTCTTACCGCCAAGAAAAATATTAGGGAAAGAAACTTACCTGATTACACCAAAAACATATTTTAGTGCATATTTTTCTTTTCTTTATGCAGAGAAACTATGTAAAAGGTAAGAAGACATACACACAAATAAAACTGTTTAATTTGAATGCGGTATTGTGAAGCGAGCATAATCCGAACCGGAACTAGCAAATGGAATACATGTGTGTAATTAAGGAACACAAGTGTCTACCTACGTCGCTGACGTAACCTATGAATCCGTATATTGCCCTATTTAAATCACTAGGAATACAATTTGTATTCATAGACCTTGGGGAGTGCATGTTCAACCCTTTCTCAAAACACTGGTCCTCAGGGACCAGAATTAAGTGGCGACACGTTCGTCACCATTGACCCCTTTCCGGAACGGAGTTACCATTTGGCTTGCCCCGAATGGCACTATTGGTCACGAACGTTGGAGGAAGTCAGTTACCATTCATCACCACACGTCCGTAACCTGCAAGAAGACTCGTCCCCCTATCGATGAATGTTATGTGCGAAAATACGACTAATCAGAATGAGCGTATGACCTCAAGTACTTCGGCCAAAGAATCCCTCAAAAAAAAGAAAAGATTTTACATATGTCTTGCACCTAAAAATATATCCTAGATACAATTATACTGTATAAAATACCGTAAGTCCTGATGTGTTTTAAAAAGCACCTGGAATATATATGACATGGGGGAAATATACGTGAATCATTACGCAACGAGTTTACAATTCTTTTAACTATACCCGTTTGCGCTATAACGGAACCCAGTCCTGAAAATGGCCACGAGAGGGGCACGAATCACTATTCGGCTTGTCCCAGGATAACACGAGTTAGTCACGAATGAGTCAGTTACATGACCTGAATGTCAGGAGCGGTCCGGTCGTGTGCGGAATATTCACCCCTCAAAGACGAAGACAAGCAGGATGACAACACAAGCTGGACCACACAGAAACCAGCAGAAACCTTGTAACGGACAGAGCTCTTGCAGATCCACCAGCTCACTGGAAATGGGGATATGTAACAATATGTAGTATTTAAATTGTGTAGCACATGTTAGCGATAAGATAACACAATGCAGGCACAACATAGGAAGAATCTGATGATGATGTTTTTTATATAATAAATAATGGAGACTGACCAACACAGAAAGCATGGAGACACCACAAACGCCACCCGGGTACGAGGACACGAGCTAGATCACAGAGACAGACCTTCTAATTCCCATTGGTCTGCCCCTTCTAATTCCCATTAGTCTGTACCTTCTAATTCCCATTGGTCTGAATCTTCTAATTCCCATTGGTCTGCCCCTTCTAATTCCCATTAGTCTGCCCCTTTTAATTCCCATTGGTCTGCACCTTCTAATTCCCATTGGTCTGTACCTTCTAATTCCCATTAGTCTGCACCTTCTAATTCCCATTGGTCTGCCCCTTCTAATTCCCATTGGTCTGTACCTTCTAATTCCCATTGGTCTGCCCCTTCTAATTCCCATTAGTCTGTACCTTCTAATTCCCATTGGTCTGCATCTTCTAATTCCCATTGGTCTGCCCCTTCTAATTCCCATTAGTCTGTACCTTCTAATTCCCATTGGTCTGCCCCTTCTAATAGCCATTAGTCTGTACCTTCTAATTCCCATTGGTCTGCCCCTTCTAATTCCCATTAGTCTGCCCCTTTTAATTCCCATTGGTCTGCCCCTTCTAATTCCCATTGGTCTGTACCTTCTAATTCCCATTAGTCTGCACCTTCTAATTCCCATTGGTCTGCCCCTTCTAATTCCTATTAGTCTGTCCCTTCTAATTCCCATTGGTCTGCACCTTCTAATTCCCATTGGTCTGCCTCTTCTAATTCCCCTTGGTCTGCCCCTTCTAATTCCCAATGGTCTGCACCTTCTAATTCCCATTGGTCTGCCCCTTCTAATTCCCATTGGTCTGCACCTTCTTATTCCAATTGGTCTGCACCTTCTAATTCCCATTAGTCTGCACCTTCTAATAGCCATTGGTCTGCACCTTCTTATTCCAATTGGTCTGCTCTTTCGACCAGCATGTCGGACGTAATTTGAGTTGACTGAAGAACATAGAGATAGTGAACAAGAATCATTCTGTGAAAGTCCAGTATCTTGACATCTCGTATGTGCGGCTGTCACGTTTTAATCGGGATAGACTCCTTATCGGCACTGGACAATAATATCAGCACTCCACTTGTATCGAATATGGATAACCCAGATTATGTAAGGACAACCGTTAAATAACTGTAATATTGCTGAGAGTGGCGTTAAGCAACACACAAACAACAATAGGGGAACTACACTTTCTTAGTGAACAAAAGAATATTTAGAAAAGTCTACCAAGCTGAGAAGATCTAGCGTGTGTTCAAATGTTGGTTTGGCGTTTTAAGCTTATTCAAATGAAACACAGAGCATTGATGTCTGTTACTATCTCAATTAGCCCATGCTTTGGGGTTATTGTGTGCGGAACTAGTTGTAATGCGAAAAGTAAACCGGGAAAGAGCATTGCTGTCTAAATGTGCTTGCTACATGTGTGTAAAAACTTTAGGAGCCGCCTCTCATTATGGAATCAATAAAAGTAGTACAATGTGTGAAGCCCATTCCGGTGTCCCCCGCCGTGATATTGCTGGAATATTGCTAAAAGCGGCATAAAACCATACCCACTCACTTGTGTGTCGGGAGTACGGGTGGCTCAGTCGTCTCAGGCGCTGCAATTCCCAGATTCACCGTAATTATGTTTCTAGGTTTGTCGGCACCATACCCGTGCTCGTTGGTTTCACCAAAGTGGTAAACCTCTGAGACCTGCATCACTTCAGGCCTGTGAATCACATTAGCCTCATACGTCGAGTTTATAGTGACGTTAATTCAAACTCACCCCACAGTGACTAAACTCAATTAGGTGCTACGCCATTAAGAAATTAATACATACCGAATTTCCCCTATTAAAAACGCATTATGTAGTTTACTTTTAGACACGTCAGTAGTAAAGGCCGGCTCCTATTAAGAGATCCGACCCTTATTCGTTTCATAAGTGTGTCGGAACATTAGGAGACGGGACAGCTAAGGGTCTTACTTTATGGCATTCAAATGTAACCATTGGCTGGTGTTGACCTGGCCCTTTTTGTGGCTTAAAAGAACGAAGCTTCTTCATAAATAAATTAGTATTTATCTATTTATCTACAATGAGTCATATTTGGCTGTTATCTGACCTGGCTGATTGTGTGTGATAGTACCCCCAACAGCGGCATGGTATCTCAGTGGGTTGGCAACTAAAAAACCGGCAATGGTCTGGGCAAGTACAAGCAGCCACACGCGCGCACCCACGGGTACCCAAACACACGATCGTGCATGTACGTCGTTATATAAATGCAATAATATTGAAGTCGACGTTTAACCCCATTTCACACCTGCTGGGTAGGTAATATGTACAAGGATATAAATAAAATGAAATTATAAAAGCCTACGTGTGCTATGCCATGTAATAAACGTACAATCGTCGCTATCGTGATAGAGTGAATTACGTCATGACACTCAGGTCGCCGACAGCGGCATTAGAGGTACAGATAAAATATTGATCGTACAAAATGCATGTTTATAAAAACAATATTACAGTGGCATGTGACATTTTTCCCGAGCAGTCGGACCAAGTACAGAACACAATCTGAAAATTAGTGCAAACATCTTTGAAGTATTCTTTCCAGGTATAGAGTTTATGATGATTATTTTACACAACTTGGACAGTTTTCTCAATGTTCCTAATCTTTGGCTATTAAAAAGTAAATTCATATTATACGTTAGGTTTAATATAATAACATCTATGAATGAGTTGTTTTCTCCTCTCAGTCTTTTTTTATAATGTATAGGTGAGTCATAAGTATTTATAGGACGCTGGACGGGGCACTAAAAACAAGCTCCGCACATTATACCAATGTTGGGATGAACCTACGCTTTAACCACGAAGCTAGCCCAGCCCCGCTTAACGCCAGTGTATAACTTTTATTTATATTTCATTATATTTAGTTTTATAAGTTTCATTATCACAAAGCGAAAGTAAAAGTAAATGACAGGTGCACCTGCGCTGAAGATGCTGTCTGTACCTGCATCGCATGACTCACCGACAACCTCAAATCATGTTATTGTTTACGGGTTGTTTACATCTGTCTTTATAGTTAGAGACTGGCCCCCCTCCCCCGGGGCACCCAACAAGGAAGTTTCGTCTAAATTTCCCAACTAGTTTCTCTCTCTCCATTATGCAGTCCCGGAAATATTTCGACACGAGCCCTGTACGTCTGTAAAATGACATCACATGCGATGTACACTTGGCGCGATGGCAACGACGGCCGCTTCAGCTCCGCCTGCAGATGATACAGGAATACCAAGTATGATTTCTTAATTATTGATAAGGAAAGGTCTTATATCATAGGGGTTGGGGTGGGGTGAGATTGTCATGAAAAAAAACAACAACAGCGAAAGAGAGGGGGTCGCGATAGATTTCAATCAATCAATCAAACAATCAATCAATACTTTATTCAGTATGAAGGCCATAGGCCCATATACAAATAACAATTTACAAATATTGTAGAGGCAGAATACATAATTTCAAACATTGTTTAACAAATACATTCTTCTTTCAGACGCTTGATAAATAAACGGGCACAGTGGTTTAATTTGTTCTGTTTCGTTTGTGGCAATTATCTGTTTAAATGTTTGCATATTTTCAATAGTGATACTTGTCTTTGGAAGATATTTAACTTTAATCGCATATTATTTGTAGGATACTTGGCTCTTTATGCTAGACCTGAACAAAATTATCATAACTATATGGAGAGGAGGGGTGGTTGGGTGGGTGGGTTGGGGGGTGGAGGGGTGGAGGGGTGGATGGGTATCTTCCCGAGGCAAGAGCGTCCACTAGCCTTATTATCAAAGTCTTGTTTTTCACGTAGAAACTAGGCTTTGGTATAGTCTTGTGGACACTCTTGCCTCGGGAAGGGCATGACAAAAGACCAATCTCACCCCCACCCTTTATAATTAATGACCAGCCCCCAGATATATATTTCATTATGAACATATGCATGTATGCAGTTGTATGTATGTGTGTACAAGCTTAGGATCTCATTTCCCCTTGTAAATACGATGCGCTTTTCTAACCTTGTTTGATTTCATCTTGTAACAATGCGAGGGTAGTGGGGCAGGCTTAATTCCCTACATGGGCACACCATGTGAATCCTATTCCTGGAACCCCGACCGTCATATACCGGGAACATTGCTGCTCACTGTGGACAATGCGACTATTGCACAGCTACCGGCACCCCAATGCAGTTCATTATTGACAGGGCAAGCCTCATCTTCGTCTTCAATGGCATGCGATGGTTGACATCATTCATATGTGTGATACTGCTGGTTTCAACAAAACAAAACTAGTTCCCTAGATACTTTCGCGATAACTTCTTGTTGCTTATATATTTGAGTGAGTGAGTGATTGAGTGAGTGAGTGAGTGAATTAAAATCTAACGTCACGTCACGTCGGCATTATTTCAGCCATATAGTGACGATCATATATTTGAGTGTCATAAATATTTTGTTTTGTTCTCTCAAATATACTTCTAAAAAACCACAAATTCTTTCATATTGCTATAGTTAATCTGTCATTACAGCAGAATTTCCCAGTTATTCTACAGTGAAGACATTTATAATGTGGGTTGTGTTGGGCACGGAAGACTAATCGGTCTAAGGCGCGGTGCAGAGTTGCGTCCCTTGGTGGTACCAGGATCAAAGGTCCACCCTGATTACAACCTAATTTGTCAGTACCAAATTCATTCTCGTGTATTTCGTAAATGCGTCAATTTCGACTGTCCTTCGCCATTACGCTGACACCCGTGATATAAATGAGACACTGTACAATGCGGCGTTAAACCAATCACTCACCTACGTATACCGTGACCAAACGTACTTGAAAGAGACTGAATAAAGAGTGATGCCAGAATCAGGTCCGCAACGCCTGGCGGCATCATGCAGAGTAACGCCTGGGGAATGATGAAGGAAAATGAAAGCGAAAGTAGTGAGTGAGTGAGTTGGGTTCAACGCCGTAGAATTCCAGTTATTCCATCTTAATGTGGGAGGAAAGCCCGAAGTAATGCAGGTTTACCACGTTGGTGAAACCCACGAGCATGGGTATGATGCTGACAAAGCTACAAACATAATCGGGGGAACCGGGATTCGAACCCCGGGATTCGGTTTTCAGCGTGCCCAAAGGACGCAACTATGCACAATGAATTGCGGTGCCTTAGACGACAGGGCCCCCCCCCCCCCGTGCCCCCGTTATGTGACAGGGGGAAAGTTTTGTCGGCATGTGACAGAAACATATCTGTGTGTGGGAATAAACATGTTGATATGTGGGAATCGACATGTTGATAATATATGAGAATCAACATCTTGATATATGGGAATAAACAAATTGATATCTTAGAATATACATATTGTTATATGAAAATATACATCTTGATATATGGGAATAAACAAATTGATATATTAGAATATGCATCTTGATATATAGGAATAAACAAATCGATATATCAGAATATATATCTTGATGTATAGGAATAAACAAATTAATATTTGAGAATATACATCTTGATATATGGGAATAAACAAATTGATATATGAGAATAAACATCTTGATATATAGGGATAAACAAATCTCTATATGAGAATATACATCTTGATATATGGGAAGAAATAAATTAATATATGAGAATATACATTATGATATATGGGAATAAACATCTTGATATATGGGAATAAACAAATTGATATTTGAGAATAAACATCTTGATATAACGAAATAAATAAATTAATATTTGAGAATATACATTATGATATATGGGAATGAACATCTTGATATATAGGAATAAACAAATTGATATTTGAGAATAAACATCTTGATATATAAGAATAAACAAATTGATATTTGTGAATATAAATCTTGATATAGGGGAATAAAGACATTGATATATGGGAATAAACATGTTGATATACGGCAATTAACATGTTCATATATGGCATTGAACATATTGATATATCGGAACTGGTCATTAAGTATATACGATCATATTTCACACACCCTTGTGAATTATATATATACTTCAGAGTTCTATAACGTGGATTCCATGTTGCAGGTGAGGTGAAGCTGGCTCTGCCTGTAGTGGCAGGGGGTCTGGCCATCTTCGTCATTCTCCTCGTCCTCAAACGGTGCGGGTATTGTGACAGGTGCGTGCTTTGTACTTAAAGTATATCATTACCGACGCGAATAGCCTCTCAAGGATTCCGTGGTAGAATATCCTTTGCATATCAACGCGGCTGTTGAGAGATTATGGGTTGGATAAGTCCCTTGCAAACCTATACTTGTCGAATGAGACGACTCAATTGATCGGGTTGTCAGGTGTGGTGACAAAGTTGCTCATACTATCAATCACTGGATTATGGATTATTAACATTCCGCCTTCATATAGATGGAGGGGCGGCGGGGTAGCCTAGTGGTTAAAGCGTTCGCCCGAGTTCAGTTCCCCACATGGGTACAATGTGTGAAGCCCATTTCTGGTGTCCCCCGCCGTGATATTGCTGGAATATTGCTAAACGCGGCGTAAAACCCTACTCACCCCCTCACTCATATAGCTTGCATATTGCTGAGTGCAGGGCTAAACAACAACCCAAAAAAACAGTAGTTGAAAATATAGGTGACCATGTGGTCAAAGGCGGGTGACCCTACCAGGATCCGATAATCCTGGGTTCGAATCCAAGATTATGTTCCTCGGTCTGTCAGAACCATACCCGTGATGGTGAAATCGTGGTAAACTGTTCCAATCTGTGCCATTGTGGGCTTCTGCTTCATACAACTAACTCGCCCTGATGTGACTGAGATAACACCAAAAGCAGCGTTAACCTCAGCTCATTCACCGTCACGCCGAAGACCCGGGTTCGATTCCCGACATGGGTACAATGTGTGAAGCCCATTTCTGGTGTCCCCCGCCGTGATATTGCTGGAATATTGCTAAAAGCGGCGTAAAACCTCACTCACTCACTCACTCAGCTCATTCACTCATATTAATATTATTACTTTTTTTTATTTTGAAGGATGTGTAAAAGAAAGAAGACGAGGAAGATGGAGAAGGAAGACATAGAGATGAGGACAATGTTGCCTCCTCCCATGCCATTTTCAAGCCAAACACGCACCAACGGCGGCCATTTGTTGCAACCCCTCCATGTGGACAGTCGCGATGGGTCTCAAAACCGTGGTCATTACAGTTCTCACGTAAACAGAGCTCTGCCGAGTACCCCAACACCGCTACCCTGCCCCCCGAGGCACAGAGACTCTCACACCCTTCCCCCTGACGGCACTGACGTCGTGAGCGCGGGCTACAATGCCATTGATGACAGACAGTTGATACACCAGAGTCAACGTAGAAGCAGACTCGGTAACCATGGCTACGTGACAATGTCGTCAGGTAAAGCTGCTTCTTGTTGCAAGAAAATACCAAAGGCCACCTACATCACCGCACAACATGACTCCAGTGTTCCTGTCAACGTCTGTGCTCCAATCTTGAGGACACACACGGAATCCGAGTGCAGAGAACAGTACCGCCATCGCTTTAGTCTATTGTCATTAAATCACCAATGGAATCCAGACGTACGAGACCACAGAGCCGAAACTGTTCCATCAGCTGTTCCTCTCACGAAGATTTATTCAAATTCCACCCATTCTCTGCCAGATAGACTGAGGTGTACAGAGATACCAATTGGACCTTTCGTTTCAAGAGACACGCAGAAAGAACCAGATATGGATGAGGCTATTGCACAAACGATAGCGAGCGAATCCTTTGAAAACATGGCGTCCTTCGCAGGTGCATGGTGGCATGCACAACCTGAAGATACTGAAGATGGAAAGGATGCACCACATTTGCCAAAGAAGCGTTGTCAGTCACTGCCGCGCCATATGCACGCTACGGGAGCTACCTACGTTTCCATGACAACTCGGAAACTACCAAGATCACATACAATTGAAGGGGAGTATGTGACACTGCCCCCCTTGCACTGTCGACGCCCCTACGACAGCTATATAACCAGCGGCCAGAAGATGAGGGGTCAGTCATTACGACTGTCCGGGCAACATGACAAGAAATTTGCAGCGCTTGGTCGCCCCTGTCCCGTCAGGAAGGATCCACACATGTCACTGCCTCCTCCAGCTCCGTGTGTGATGTCCCACGACTACATCAATGCAAAGACAGCCTCGCACTTCTAGGACACGCCAAGGTGATTATTTGCTCTTCAGATTGCCTATCCTATCCACAGAGGACAAGCAAACATTGTCGATAATTTACGAAAATTGACTATTTTCGTGTGTAGATGACTGTATCCCTCATAACACATTAATATACATGTGTATTTTAGATCTCGGTTTCGTAGACATGCTATTTTTGCCTACATTCATTATTGTGAAGCCAATTTTGAGACGAGACTGGAAATAAAGGAACTGGATCTGATAATAGGGAAAGCTGTTCCAGAGGTGCAGCGATTCTGACTTACCAATTCCACACTTCTCAGAATGACGTCATACGATTGTTTCTTGATTACATATCATTATGTAAAGGTAGCATTAATATTGTGTATACTATATTATTCCGACTTATAATAACCCACAATACAGAAATTATGCACACTTTTTTATATTTTACGGTTCACGGTTTCTTTGCTAACCAATTTGCTTGTGTAGGTCGAAATGAAAGTGAAACTACCTTTGTGCACCTCTATAGTCATTTTTTTTATTTGGCATGACGTTGTTTTCTTCCCGGAATAGTGGGAACAAATGTTGTCCATGTATTTTTTAAGTGCATTTTATGTAACGTTTGATTTTTCGAGGCGTGTTTTTAAATCACTCCAAGACAGCGCAGTAGGACTAATCAATACATCTTCAAATTATTATTTGTTTTTCTGATTGTTTTGGCACCTGTCAGTCGAATCCGTGACCGAAACATACACTAAACTAGCTATTATATTGCATATATTCCAAGCATGAACTCATCAAGTGTTTTTTATATGTCTAACAACAGGAAACAGTTTGTGCGTGTTGCACAGAGATTGACAATACAGAGCGTAGCCCATTGCCAATCTGGGTCTGGACGTTGTAATCCATACCCTTCTGGGTGGTTGGTCGCGGGATAGCCGATTGGTTAAAGCATCGCTCGTAACGTCGGGGGCCGGGTTCGATTCCCCACGTACGTGGGTAAATTGTGGGAAGCCCATTTCTGGTGTTCCCCGACCTGATATTACGATAATAATGCTAAAAGGTTGCCAGTCACGGCTAGACTGATACCCACATTAGGTCTTGAGTTAGAGCATACAAAGTTAGTTTTGGATAATTTTAGTAGATATTTTTGTACTGTAAATAGCTGTAGGACTTACACATTAATGTCACGAGGAAACCATATGGACTTTTAATTGTCATATGTGCAAGTGTACATATGGTTTGAATCATTTTTTTAGAACTGACAAATGGCTTGATCGTGATATGCCCTAAGATTTACACTGAAACCTCCTTAGTCCGGACGTAGTTAATCCGGACACCCGACCTCCAGACAGCCTTGACAGGTACGTGTCCTGCCAAGGCACATTACGCGGTACCAATGATTCGTTTATCCGGACATTTTAAATTCCGGGCGCTGTCTCTTGGAATGGCAGTGTCCGGATTAACGAGGTCTCACAGCTAGTCTCATTCATGTTCTAACAGTGTCTGAGAGATGTTTGTATTTTCGCGTGAATAAAGTATATGTACTAATGGTAATATTAGTAGTGTGTTTATGTTGAAACCGGTTATGGTGAAAAGTTTCGAATATGAAATCATTAGTAATTTATTATTTTGATGAATAGTACATGGGGTACAATTGTATAGTTAGTAAAAATTAGTAGTTTTACAGGAGCATTCCGTGTTGTATTAACCACTCATACTTATACTCGATTACTTACAAACCGCCGTCATATAGCTGGAACATTGCTGAGTGCAGCGATAAAAACACCCGCCCCCCCCCCCCCCCCAAAAAAAAAAATAAAAAAAAAATAAAAAAAAATAAATAAATGAAAAATAAAAAATAAAAAATAAAATAGATACCCCCCCAAAAAAACAACAACAAACAAACAAAAAACAAAACAAAACAACAACCAAAAACAAACGCAAAACAAAACAGCAACACAAAAAAACAAGACAAAAAAAAACCCCAAACAAAAAAACTCACATATTATTCAGTAATGGAGAAATTATTAGAATCTTGTCATCCTTCTTCCCCTGGGGGCACGGGTGGCCCAGTCGTCTAAGGCGCCGCGATTCGCCTTGCAGAGATGCGTCCCTTGGGCACCCCAGAAACCTATGATTGTGGGTTCGAATCCCGGTTCGCCCCGATTATGTTTCTAGGTTTGTCAGCACCATACCCGTGCTCGTGGGTTTCACCGAAGTGGTAAACGTCTGAGACCTGCATCATTTCGGGCTTTCCTCCCACATTAAGCTGACACGCCGTGATATAACTGGAATACTGTTAAAAGCGGCGTTAAACCCAACTCACTCACTCACTCTTCTTCCCCTGGTTGGTTGGTTTGTTGTTTAACGCCGCATTCAGCAATATTCCAGCTATATGACGGCTGTCTGTAAATAATGGAATCTGGACCAGTCAATCCAGTGACTGATATCATGAGCATCAATCCACGTAATTGGGATATGATGACATGCATGAACCAAGTCAGCGAGCCTGACCACCCGATCCCGTTTGTCGCCTCTAACGACAAGTATAGTCGCCTTTAACGGCAAGCATGGGTTGCTGAAGACCTATTCTACCCCGGATCTTCACGGGTCCAATTTACTTCCAGAATCAACAGATTCAAGTGACCTTTTCGACTTAACCATGTTATGGGTGATATATAATGTCTTTGTACTTTGGCATAACGGCCTTATAGCTGAGTCAGTTTTTACGTGTTAAAATGCACATTCAGAATGGCCAGTGAATTCCTTGCCCAGAAGCAACTGCAACAACAATAGCTTACTCGCATCATGTTGGTTTAATTGTTAAAAAAAACCGTTTAGGTTTCCGGGGCTGACAACTGCGTGTTCATGATTCATACTGCTTCCTATCCGACATGGAGGGTCGGGGTAGAATGTGCTTTTACTCATGATGTGATGTGATTTGTCCTCCATCTATTATTTATATTCTGCACAATGTTCCTCAGTCAGTCTTGCTTGACAACGGCATCAGAATCTATACCGAAACAGTATTAAAGAAGTCAATATCCATAAATTGTGTCTACTTTGTCATCCGTCAACTTCTAAGTAATACCTATCAAACAATTCATGAGATCTTGTTATCAACATATCTTCTTTCTATCTAAACCTTTCTAGCATTAGACCTTGCTATCTACATATCGCATTAGACCTTGCTATCTACATATCGCATTAGACCTTGCTATCTACATATCGCATTAGACCTTGCTATCTGAACATCGCATTAGACCGTGCTATCTGAACATCGCATTAGAGCTTGCTATCTACATATCGCATTAGACCTTGCTATCTGAACATCGCATTAGACCGTGCTATCTACATATCGCATTAGACCTTGCTATCTGAACATCGCATTAGACAGTGCTATCTACATATCGCATTAGACCTTGCTATCTGAATATCGCATTAGACCTTTCTATCTACATATCGCATTAGACCTTGCTATCTACATATCGCATTAGACCTTGCTATCTGAACATCGCATTAGACCTTGCTATCTAAATATCGTATTAGACCTTGCTATCTACATATCGCCATAATCCTTGCTATCTACATATCTCCATTAGACCGTGCTACCTAAACATCGCATTAGATCTTGCTATCTACATATCGCCATTAGACCTTGCTATCTAAACGTCGCATTAGACCGTGCTTTCTACATATCACGATTAGACCTTGCTATCTAAACATCGCATTAGACCTTGCTATCTAAACATCGCATTAGACCTTGCTATCTACATATCGCCATAAGACCTTGCTATCTACATATCTCCATTAGACCGCGCTATCTAAACGTCGCATTAGACCTAGCTATCTAAACATCGCATTAGACCTTGCTATCTAAACATTGCATTAGTCCTTGCTATCTACATATCGCCATTAGACTTGCTATAAGCGATATCGACTACGTTCATGTGACCACCGTGTTTTGACGTAGGATATAATTCCATTAACATCTGTCAGAGGGTGAAACGTGAATGATACGGCAGAACTTTACCCTTCAAGTTCCACTGGTCATATGTTGACTAATCTTTAAATCGTGAAACACTTAAAAGTAGGGTGTCGATGTTTTTCGGGGAATTCAATAAACGTCTTGAATCTGCCGGTAATAGCGGTCTGTTAACCGTAGCGCCGTGTCGCTGTTTGCATGACGCACGCAGGGAAATAGAAAGCTGTGACTGTCATCTGTTTACAATAACGTGTGTAACATGAACCCAGTCCAATGGAGCATGTTATCAACAGTCTGTGATGAATCCTTTCCTCGAGAATTTCTTTATGCGGTGTAACACAGTTGTGTTTGAACAAGACTTGGCTATATCCGTGCGGTTGTAGTAAGACACGCACATGGCTCTTTCATGGTCTGTTTGAATGTTGTATGTCACCAGCATGAGGACGCGTTTGTTTGTTTGTTGTTTAACGCCGCATTTAGCAATATACTAGTTGTATGACGGCGGTAAGTAATCGTATCTAGATGAGCCAAGCCAATGATTGACATCATGGGCATCGATCTACGCAAACATTGGGATTGGGTGACATGCATCAACCAAGTCAGCAAGCCTGACCGCCCGATCCCGTTAGTCGCCTCTTACAAGCATGGTCGCCTTTTACGGCAAGCGTGGTCGCCTTTAACGGCAAGCATGGTCGCCTCTTACGACAAGCATGGTCGCTCTTAACGGCAAGCATGTGTTGTCGAACGCGTTTGCACCAGCCCACGTGAACACACCAACCAATCAACCGACCGTTCTGTCAAGGTTGCGGACTTCGGCGGACAACAGTGCGGACTTTGTGGGATCGAATGCGAAGTCTTTGGTCATTCTGTGTGTGTGTGTGTGTGTGTGCGTGCGTGCGTGCGTGCGTGCGTGTGTGTGTGTGTGTGTGTGTGTGTGTGCGTGCGTGTGCGTGCGTGTGTGTTGGGGGTGGGGTGGGGTGGGGTGGGGTGGGGTGGAGTGGGGTGGATGGAATCAGGGGTGGCCCAGTCGTCTAAGGCGCCGCGATTCGCTGTGCAGAGTTACGTCCCTTGGGCACGCCAGAAACATATGATTGTGGGTTCGAATCCCTGTTCGCCCCAATTATGTTTCTAGGTTTGTCAGCACCATACCCGTGCTCGTGGGTTTCACCGAAGTGGTAAACGTCGGCGACCTGCATCACTTCGGGCTTTCCTCCCACAATAAGCTGACACGCCGTAATATAGCTGGAATACTGTTAAAAGCGGCGTAAAACCCAACTCACTCACTCTTTGCTGGGAGGGACATGAAAAGATCGTGCAAGGTCATAATGACTGGTCCCTAAGGTAAACAGTTATTAGCTACATCAGCTGCATTATCGGGCTTCGTCTACCAGACAAAAACCAAGGACAACAGGGCAGTCGTTTTGTACTGTCCATTTATCAGTGCAGGGCCATCCTCCCTTGAGCGCGTAGTATATAAATACACATCAAAGATATTCATTGTAATTAGATGACATTCAGTAACAGATTTGACACAATTATTTTACCCGAAACCGTGTAAATACTTCCTGGTCTGGAACACGATACGAAAACAGGTCATATTTGTTTCCCGATTCAGCTGAGACTGCACTGTGCAGAGTTGCGCCCCTTTGACAAGACGGCAGTGAGTCTGTTTAACGCTTTGAACAGTCTTTCACTTATATTTCGACGTGTCTGCTTGATGTAGGAGGAAAGGGTATCCTCCCAAAACACAGACCTGCCAAAACGCAGACCCGTTAAAACAACACTCGTTATGGCTGGTTGCATCAGTAATAAGTACCCTGTAAAATGGTATCACCCATGTAACAAGAAAGAAAGCTGGGTAGATTTCACAATTTTTTATTCAAATGTTATTTCAATTGTCATTTACGATTATCAGTCATTTTTAATTTGGCTATTTGAGTTTAGATATAGGTTACGCCATTTTTTTGGTGATTTTTTTAAAGTGATGCGGGTCTTAGACGTTTATCACTTCTGTGAAACCAACGACCAATGATATGGCACTGAAACACCTAGAAACAATAAATGGGCGAATATGGGATTCGAACCGATGATCATAGGTTTCTTGCACGCCTCAGGGGCGTAACTCTGCACATCGAATGATAGTTCATGACCGTTCAGGAATTAGTATAGTTGTATTTGCATATATGTATGTGTGGACGTATTTGTGTGCGTTGAATACACGTTATGAATGGCTTGAAACTTTGTATGCAGTTACTAGTTGAACACTAAAATTCTGACGATGCGCACGCATGAAGATTCATAATTAACCTTGTACTGGGTGTAATTATACCATGTGCGGGCTAGGGCTGGTATCCCAATTCCCACACATACCTTCAGCATCCAGTTGGGCAATGTAAAAGCTGTAAAACACTGAAACCATTTTATAGGCTTTGTTCGGCATTAACCTGCCGCAGTGAAATCCAAAGAACATTTCAGAAAGACTCGTTAATATTGTACAGTCACGAACACCTAGAACAATACATTATTGTTCGTGCCTGTAGTGGGGTGGTTTTCTTTTGACGGACGGTGGACTTGCCAAACCTCAACTCAGTTCAGACATCAATCAATTCCATTACTGATAATATCATACTCCTGGTGAGACAGACATTAAACACGTTACTGATAATATCACACCCCTGTCTTCACTTCAAGGAAAATGCTATCATGAGTAATACACTCTGAAATTAACGATCTAGGCTTCAAGCGATTTTGTGAATGCGTTTATCCTAGGCGGCTCTTGTTGCTTTGTCAAGGTGGCTGTGCACACCTGTTGACGACAGGCGCAGTGGCGGCGTTCTGCTTCGGTAGCTTACATTACATGTGTCATCGAGTCGACAATCAGCGGACATGAAGCTCATGGCTTGTTACTCATCGTACAGGTCTCACGACTGGGAAATGTGTGTTTGATACGGCTCCGGGTGTTGAATGGCCAGTCATGTGACCATGGACTGGTCTGCATGCTGGGTGTGTGTGATCCTTGTGTTAACCGGCGTGGACACGAGAACCCGGAGTAAAGGAGGTAGGAGAAACACACACTATGCACACACTCACACACGAGAACGCGCGCGAGAGGGGAGAAAGAGCGATGTTGGGATGGAGGGAGAGAGTGTGTGTATGTGAGTGTGTGTGTGTGGGAGAGAGAGAGCGAGAGAGTGAGTGAGTGAGAGAGAAAGAGAGAGAGAGAGAGAGAGAGAGAGAGAGAGAGAGAGAGAGATACACATATCACACACACGAGAACGCGCGAGAGAGGGGAGAAAGAGCGATATTTGGAAGGAAGAAGGTAGTATGTATGTGTGTATGAGAAAGAGAGTGAGAGAGAGAGAGAAAGAGACAGACAGAGAAAGACAGAGAGAGACAGAGGCATCTTTTTTTATAAGAATTCATGACACTTTTTATTACACTGCACATTCTTTAAACTGAAATTAAAGAAAGCCGTGAATATTTAGCTGGTGTGTGTAATATCAATTTGTAATTGTATATACACACACAAGGTCCCAAATTGACTGAACCTGTGTTCATGTGTACATTACTTCCTCCTTTCACGGGGCTGGCGGGTAACCCTTCCGTGACACACTACAAGTCTGACACACATTCCGACTGGGGTCACATGCTCCATGTACTCGCGTGTTTACAGACAGCAGTCAAACTGCAGCTGCTTCTATTGATTCCAGCCATTGCTAGATATCATCTGTTAACGAATCGATGTAGTTTCTCCAGGTATTATACATAGATTACACAGGAATGCAGACACCGCACCGCGTGGATGTGATAAATGTATTGACATGCATGAGACTTACTCGCGTGGATGTGATAAATGTGTTGACATGCATGAGACTTACACAGGAGATGTGATAAATGTATTGCCACACATGAGACTTACACAGGGGATGTGATAAATTTATTGACAAGCATGAGACTTACACAGGGGATGTGATAAATGTATTGACATGCATGAGACTTACACAGGGGATGTGATAAATGTATTGACATACATGAGACCTACACAGGAGATGTGATAAATGTATTGACATACATGAGACGTACACAGGGGATGTGATAAATGTATTGACATACATGAGACTTACACAGGAGATGTGGTAAATGTATTGACATGCATGAGACTTACACAGGGGATGTGATAAATGTATTGACATGCATGAGACTTACATAGGGGATGTGATAAATGTATTGCCACACATGAGACTTACACAGGGGATGTGATAAATGTATTGACATGCATGATACTTACACAGGGGATGTGATAAATGTATTGACATGCATGAGACTTACACAGGGGATGTGATAACTGTATTGACATGCATGAGACTTACACAGGAGATGTGATAAATGTATTGACATACATGAGACTTACACAGGGGATGTGATAACTGTATTGACATGCATGAGACTTACACAGGGGATGTGATAAATGTATTGACATGCATGAGACTTACACAGGGGATGTGATAACTGTATTGACATGCATGATACTTACACAGGAGATGTGATAAATGTATTGACATACATGAGACTTACACAGGGGATGTGGTAAATGTATTGACAAGCATGATACTTACACAGGGGATGTGATAAATGTATTGACATGCATGATACCTACACGTGTGAATGTGATAAATGTATTGACATGCATGATACCTACACGTGGGGATGTGATAAATGTATTGACATGCATGATACCTACACGTGTGGATGTGATAAATGTATTGACATGCATGGGACTTACACAGGGGATGTGATTAATGTATTGACATGCATGAGACTTACACAGGAGATGTGATAAATGTATTGACATACATGAGACTTACACAGGGGATGTGATAAATGTATTGATATACATGAGACTTACACAGGGGATGTGGTAAATGTATTGACAAGCATGAGACTTACACAGGGGATGTGATAAATGTATTGACATGCATGAGACTTACACAGGGGATGTGATAAATGTATTGACAAGCATGAGACTTACACAGGAGATGTGACAAATGTATTGACATACATGAGACTTACACAGGGGATGTGATAAATGTATTGACTTACATGAGACTTACACAGGGGATGTGATAACTGTATTGACTTACATGAGACTTACACAGGGGATGTGATAACTGTATTGACTTACATGAGACTTACACAGGGGATGTGATAACTGTATTGACATGCATGAGACTTACACGTGTGGATGTGATAAATGTATTGACATACCTGAGACTTACACAGGGGATGTGATAACTGTATTGACATACATGAGACTTACACAGGGGATGTGATAACTGTATTGACATGCATGAGACTTACACAGGGGATGTGATAACTGTATTGACATGCATGAGACTTACACAGGGGATGTGGTAACTGTATTGACATGCATGATACCTACAAGTGGGGATGTGATAAATGTATTGACATGCATGATACCTACACGTGGGGATGTGATAAATGTATTGACATGCATGATACCTACACGTGTGAATGTGATAAATGTATTGACATGCATGATACCTACAAGTGGGGATGTGATAAATGTATTGACATGCATGATACCTACACGTGGGGATGTGATAAATGTATTGACATGCATGATACCTGCACGTGGGAATGTGATAAATGTATTGACATGCATGATACCTACACGTGGGGATGTGATAAATGTATTGACATGCATGATACCTACACGTGGGGATGTGATAAATGTATTGACATGCATGATACCTGCACGTGGGAATGTGATAAATGTATTGACATGCATGATACCTACACGTGTGGATGTGATAAATGTATTGACATGCATGATACCTGCACGTGGGAATGTGATAAATGTATTGACATGCATGATACCTACACGTGGGGATGTGATAAATGTATTGACATGCATGATACCTACACGTGTGGATGTGATAAATGTATTGACATGCATGGGACTTACACAGGGGATGTGATTAATGTATTGACATGCATGAGACTTACACAGGAGATGTGATAAATGTATTGACATACATGAGACTTACACAGGGGATGTGATAAATGTATTGATATACATGAGACTTACACAGGGGATGTGATAAATGTATTGACATGCATGAGACTTACACAGGGGATGTGATAAATGTATTGACAAGCATGAGACTTACACAGGAGATGTGACAAATGTATTGACATACATGAGACTTACACAGGGGATGTGATAAATGTATTGACTTACATGAGACTTACACAGGGGATGTGATAAATGTATTGACTTACATGAGACTTACACAGGGGATGTGATAACTGTATTGACTTACATGAGACTTACACAGGGGATGTGATAACTGTATTGACATGCATGAGACCTACACGTGTGGATGTGATAAATGTATTGACATACATGAGACTTACACAGGGGATGTGATAACTGTATTGACATACATGAGACTTACACAGGGGATGTGATAAATGTATTGACATACATGAGACTTACACAGGGGATGTGATAACTGTATTGACATGCATGAGACTTACACAGGGGATGTGATAACTGTATTGACATGCATGAGACTTACACAGGGGATGTGGTAACTGTATTGACATGCATGATACCTACAAGTGGGGATGTGATAAATGTATTGACATGCATGATACCTACACGTGGGGATGTGATAAATGTATTGACATGCATGATACCTACACGTGTGAATGTGATAAATGTATTGACATGCATGATACCTACAAGTGGGGATGTGATAAATGTATTGACATGCATGATACCTACACGTGTGGATGTGATAAATGTATTGACATGCATGATACCTGCACATGGGAATGTGATAAATGTATTGACATGCATGATACCTACACGTGGGGATGTGATAAATGTATTGACATGCATGATACCTGCACGTGGGAATGTGATAAATGTATTGACATGCATGATACCTACACGTGGGGATGTGATAAATGTATTGACATGCATGTTACCTGCACGTGGGAATGTGATAAATGTATTGACATGCATGATACCTACACGTGTGAATGTGATAAATGTATTGACATGCATGATACCTACACGTGTGAATGTAATAAATGTATGGCATGCATGATACCTACACGTGGGGATGTGATAAATGTATTGACATGCATGATACCTACACGTGTGGATGTGATAATGGTATTGACATGCATGATACCTACACGTGTGGATGTGATAAATGTATTGACATGCATGATACCTGCACGTGGGAATGTGATGGCATGTGTCAGATGTATTGAATTTTATGACACATGTACATGAATATGTGGTGAACACATTGACATTCATTACACATCCACGCGGGGCAAAATGCCGAATTTATACACGTTTATTAAACTTGCGGGATGTATGGCACTGTTCGCATTTACACGATAACCAATATATCATACTCGCGATGTCTTTGTTAAAATTTAACACTTACATTCAAATGAACATTCTTTAAAAATGACGTTGACAGAAAATGACATTTACAGAAATGCAATCAGTTTCAGACTGCAAACCGGGTACATTTGGTTGGAGATGCCAGTTTTCCTGTGCATGTCGCTATGGATCCTGTGACGCTGCCACGGGCCACTGCGATGCTGGCTGCCGTGCAGGGAGATATGGGTTTGGTTGTCAGTTAGGTAATATTAACTCATTATTTCATAGATACTTAAAAATCATTGACATATATTTAGTGCCAATTAATAAATATTTTAATAAAAATATTAATTTTTTAGAATCAGTGATAATAAGTAATTTTGATATACCATTTAACGCAGATAATTCGCAAATAGATTGGAGAAAATACAAAAGTAATACAAAATAACTGCCATGACATTTAACATTATCTTGATTCCCACATGGGTACAATGTGTGAAGCCCATTTCTGGTGTCCCCCGCCGTATTGCTGGAGTATTGCTGAAAGCAGCATAAATCCATACTCACTCACTCACCCACCTTTCACCATCCTGATGCCATTACGATCAATTTGAATCTTGCGTCTCGGTGGACTACCAACTTTTCAATGTCTACGAAGGACATATACACAATTCGATTGAAATAACTACTGGGATATGTTCTTAAAAAAAATTGTTCCAGAAAATGCTGGAAAAGATGTTTGGCCAAACAAACATTCAACAAAACCAGGCCACATGACATGCTGCATGTTCTGATTCTAATTGTGGGTCTCTTAAAAATGTTTGGCGACCTCTTACAGAGAGGAAAATGTATGACCAAATATTCGGTTCTATATCAATAACCCTAGAACACGCTACCCCAGAATCCTACCCTACCCCAAACTACCGGATATTTAATTGCCGGTCAACCCTGTTGATTCTACAGCTTCTCTATACCACCTAAAGATATTGAATTGAATCTCCGAATCCACAGGTGCTACATGCATGTCTGACCGCTATGGCGTTAACTACACCGGAGATGTCGACTCTGCCAGCAGCGGAAAGACGTGTCTGCCGTGGTCTGATGCCTATGTCGTCCAACAAGGCTACACTCAAGAAGATTTCCCCATAGGGGATGTGCCCGAGAACTACTGCAGAAACCCAAGAACCTCCCACGGGAACTATGCAGTGCAGCCATGGTGCTACATTGCAAACGGCGCTGCCAGATCCTTTGCTGTTTGTGATCTCATCACCATGTGTGGTAAGACATTGCTGGTGCGATTTCTGATTTTGAAAAAATGTACAATTAACCTATATAATTTTAATTTGGTTAATGTCAAAAGACGACGAACATCAGCCATTATGTGATTGTATATATCTCAATGTCATCGAGTGAGTGAGTTGTGTTTAACGCCGCTTTGAACAGTTAAAAAAGGTACGGTTGGCCCAGTCGTCTAAGGCGCCGCAAATCGCTTGACCTGCATCACTTCGGGCTTTCCTCCCACATTAAAACTGACACACAGCGATATAACTGGAACACTGTTAAAAGCGGCGTTAAACCCAACTCACTCACTCACTGTGAATCGGGACTGACCCTCTGAGAGCGGCTTGGCAGGCTGGCTGACTGCATCACCTCCAAGATGCGGCCTGGTCATTACTTAGCATTACTAAGAAGCTGACGGATGACAAGGTGGACACAATTGTATGGATAACAACTTCTTTAATACTGTCAAGTCTTGCTTGACAGGGCGGTCGGGTAGCCTAGTGGTTAAAGCGTTCGCTCGTCACGCCTAAGACCCGGGTTCGATTCCCGACATGGGTACAATGTGTGAAGCCCATTTCTGGTGTCCCCCGCCGTGATATTGCTGGAATATTACTAAAGGCGGCGTAAAACCATACTCACTCACTCTTGCTTGACAACGGTATAAGGATCTATACCGAAACGTCGCTTTCTACAGTATTAAAGAAGTTGTTATCCATAAAATTGTGTCCACCTGGTCATTACTGTTCTACGATGAAGTGTTATATTAAGATCACAGAATAAAGTTGTGTGGACCTACTGATGGACTTCTGTATTGGAAGGACAGATATCCATAACAAACGGCCCAGGATACAGTATTTCATTTATATAACGATGTGTCAGTCTTGTGATATACAGTACAATAACACGCCCGTGGGTCTCCCGAGCAGAATATGCCAGTACCCCGTGTCTGTTGCAATGTTACAATGTTTAACATGGCTGATTGTGGGTCGTTACTGATGTGGACGACCACTGGTTGGCCGTGATGAGCTATTGATGGGCTGCTGTCACGCAGAAAGCCCTTGTTCGAATCCCTGTCCGTCTAAAACTAAAACCATTTTTAGCGTCTCCTGCTGACTACCACAATCGTGTCATAAAATAAATGCCATTTTATGGATGTAATATAGCTTTGTACCATTTACTGGCATAGATTATCACATTTTAACAACCAACCCGGATGGGGACGGCGGGGAGATGTTTGTTTGTTTGTTTGTTTGTTTGTTTATTGCACTCAGCAATATTCCAGCTATATGACAGCGGTCTGTAAATAATCGAGTCTGGATCAGACAAGCCAGTGAGTGACAACATGAGCATCGATCTACGCATTTGGGATACGATGACATGTATCAACCAAGTCAGCGGGCTTGACAACCCGATCCCGCCTTCTACGACAAGCATGGGTTGCTGAAGACCTATTCTACCCCGGATCTTCACGGGTCGTCGGGGAGATGTGTTAAACTGGATACCAGCATTATTGCTTGTGGTAAAAGGCGGTTTTTCATTAGGCGTTACAGTCATGCAAGACTGCACAAACTGGTTTTCCACAAAGCAATAATGGACACACTTTGTTTTTCTGTGTAGATTGTCCAGTGGGCCTGTTTGGCCGGGCGTGTGAATCGTTCTGTCACTGCACGGATGCCAAGAACGGCTGTGACAAAGTCACTGGCTTATGTGAGTCGGGATGTGCCGCTGGCTGGACAGGGATTGGCTGTCAAACAGGTCAGTCATTCCACGAACAACTCTTAAACATTGAGTACATAGAAACATGAAAGTTGAATCGGTAACATGTACTTGGATGAACCATGCATTTATACGTGCTTTTAAATACACATGCTATTGATGTAGTTTGACTCGTACAATGAACTCTGCCTACTACATGCAAGAAGCTTGTGTGGCTGTGCTATCGGCTGTGCGACCATTTTAGAACACCTGGTGTCATCACTGAATTTCAGTGATCTATTGATATAATTTTCACCACTATTCTGTCTTTTATGTCTACTGGAATCTACAGATATCGAGACTTATTATTCTCTGGCCTTGACGTTTTGTTTTTAACAGTGAGTGAGTGAGTGAGTGAGTATGGTTTTACGCCACTTTTAGCAATATTCCAGCAATATCACGGCGGGGGACACCAGAAATGGGCTTCACTCATTGTACCCATGTCGGGAATCGAACCCGGGTCTTCGGCGTGACGAGCGAACGCTTTAACCAATAGGCTACCCGACCGCCTCCTTTGTTTTTAACAGATTTCCTATGATTATGAAATGCTTTTGTTGCTTTTATTGCAAACCTGTACTTTCATGGCATCATCATCCATCAAGTAGAGTGAGTGAGTGTGGTTTTACGCCACGTTTAGCAATATTCCAGCAATAATACGTCAAGGGACACCCCATGTGGGGAATCGAACCCGGGTATTCGGCGTGATGAGCGAACGCTTTAACCACTAGGCTATCCCGCCGCTCTCGTCAAATAGAGCTGACTCAAATAACTGACTCATGGTCTTATATATGTTACAGGAAACAAGTATAATCAGTGATTACGTTTAATGACTGAAAATTTCAGTGATTATGTCTAATAACTGATTCACTCGGTGGTTATGTCTAATTACTGAAATCTTCAGTAATTAGACAAAATCACTGAAATGAACCAAGGGATTTTATACTTGTTTACTGAAAGCATATCCCTGCCTTGTTTTTATAATGTGTGCTAGTTTTGAAATTAGATTAGCTATCAAAGTAAATACAACCTCCTGTAACCAGATACCTTAAACAAAAATCACAGAAATAAGCTTAAACAGTTCCATCTTTTATTTCATAAAATGGTATGACGTGAATGGTATGACATGAATGGTATGACATGAATGGTATGACAAATAGCAGTCAGATGGACACTCAGGAATGTTTGTTTGCACATGAAAGACTTGAATGACATCTAGAATTACATTGCATCTTGGCCTTAAAACATTTGCAGCGATTGGTCTGACACCGTTTAGTTCCAACACAATTACACCTTACAAAGCCTTGCCCACCACAGACGAGTCAAGTTGAACCGCTTGACGCAAAGAGCGTTTGATCGGTATTGAAATCGGTATTGAAACTGGACGAACTTAAGTACATAACTCTACATAACTCTACATTGATATATTTGTGTTTGCAGAATGTGCCCATGGGAAGTTTGGTGTTGGGTGCACAGAGACGTGTGGGCGCTGCTATGGCGACCCCTGCGACCACGCGACCGGGGAATGTCCGGGTGGTTGTACGGAAGGCCATCAGGGACAGAAGTGTCTTCAAGGTGAGTTCTATACTACAGAGAATATAGTCTCCGTTTCTGGTTTAAGTCTCTAAAATTTATACTTTTGGAATAGAAATTAGAACAATTACCACTAAAGTACAGACTGAAACGTCGGGAAAATAGAAATGATGATATTTTACTGCTTTGGTGATTATACTTGTGGCTTTTGTTCTGGGATACGAGACATTGGTGAGTATGTAGCAAACCCACCTGTCACAAACACATGCAAAGGTAAGTCAATTTTTTCACCTGAACAATATACAAACCACGGGGACATTTGGTACAAGTTAAAAGCGGGAATAGCATAGGACATAAATTTGGTCATTGATGCGTCAAATTTTGAGATGTCCTCCACAATCTACAATAAAACGTTTTGAAAGCCTTACTGAATCTTTACTGAGGCTTTGACCTGGGGCGGAGTGGGCAAGCGGTCTAAAGCGCCAGGCTACCAAGCGCAAGGTGTTGAAATCGTATTCTCTTTTTCAGCCTATGGACCAACAAAATTTACAGGCCTTTACCGTATTGTCACTAGAGGCTGCTGGAATATTGCTCTTCATAAAGTGAAAGTAGACTTTTGCAAACTTGAATTCATCCCTTGTCATACAGTCTGGTGACTATTTTTGGTCACCCAGTATCTTTATACATATATCTGAACAGGAAACAGATAGGGCGATGTCACTGGTCTCTTTTATTGCTAGCTCAGGGAGGACAATCAGTGGAAGGGATTTGATGTTTGACTATTGTTGAACGATATCAGATTGCCGATATACCCCAAGCTTAAGATAAATGTCTTGGCCGAAAATACCTTGAGGGGAACACAAGTGGTGATGCTTTCTTCTGGCCACAGTGTCCCATCCCTATAATGAAATACTTTGAAAATCCATAATCAACTTTAACTGGAAAGATCAATCTCCAAGATCCTTGTTCAAGTCCATCTCCATACACATCGAATGGGTTTCGAACCCGTACAACATTGTAATGTTGAAATTAGCTCATGCCGGCCTAATTAATTGTAATTGAGCCTTTCAATAGTAAGTGAGTGAGTGAGTTGGCCTTAACGCCGCTTTTAACAGTATTCCAAATATATCGCGGCGTGTCAGCTTAATGTGGGAGGAAAGCCCGAAGTGATGCAGGTCTCAGACGTTTACCACTTCGGTGAAACCCACGAGCACGGGTATGGTGCTGACAAAGCTAGCAACAAAATCGGGGCGAATCGGGATTCGAACCCACAACCATAGGTTTCTGGCGTGCCCAAGGGACGCAACTCTGCACAGCGAATTGCGGCGCATTAGACGACTGGGCCACCCCAGCCCCCCCCCCCCCCCCCCCCCCCTTCTATACCCCTGCTTTCATTTGCACGCGTCCAGGGTATATACTGTCGTCACGCTGGTCTATGTTTTCACATCGCAGTTGTTTATCTGTCTCCAACATTATGTAACAGATAAGCCATCGCCCAGGAAGCCTTTCGATCCGTGAAGATCCGGGGTAGAATAGGTCTTCAGCAATCAATGCTTGTCGTGAAAGGCGACTAACAGCATCGGCTGGCTGACTTCGTTGATACATGTCATCGTATCCCTATTACGTTGATCTATGCTCGTGATGTCAATCACTGGTTTGTTTGATCCAGACTCAATTATATACAGACCGCCGTCAAACAGTGAGCCTTTCCAAATCATTGATTCAGAATAATGACATTCAACATACTCGGTTGTATACCTGTTTTCTGCAGAATGTCCACCCGGCTGGTATGGACGGAATTGCAGCAGGAAGTGTGGGAATTGTTCTCACGAAGAACCGTGTCATATGAAGACTGGCGTGTGTTTCCGGGGATGCGGAGATGGTTACTTGGGAGAACACTGCGTACAGAGTAAGCTGGTTTCCTGTCCCTTGACACGAAGAAGCCCGAAATACTATCATGATGTAAAATAATTATTGCCCGAAGGAATTTCGAAATGTATTCTGAAGTAATACCTTATCGAACATATAGTGCTGGGAGATACACCTTTGAGTGTTCCTGACTGTGCCGGTATTGCATTCCCCGATCAACTCACCGACACACGCACGCACGCACAGACAGATTCACATGCACACACAGACACAGATTCACACGCACAAACAATCACGCACACGTACACACACACGCGCACACACAGAGTCAGGGAGAGATACACACACAGACACGCACATACACTCACAGAGAGACATGCACGCAGACACATACAGACACACTCACTTAGGCACGCAGACACACAGAGAGAGACACACACAAGACACGCACGTACACACACAGAGACATGCACGCACACACACAGACACAGAGATACACACACGCACAGAGACACGCACGCACGCACACACACGTACGTACGCACGCACGCGCGCGCACACACACACAGAGGCACTTGTGTATGGATACTCATTTACTTGACTTGACATGCTGTTACTATTGCAGCATGTCCTTCGGGGAGATACGGACGCGAGTGTGCGCATGTCTGTAATGACTGCCCTGTGAACGCCTGGTGTCATCACGTGACTGGCAAGTGCATCAGTGCGACCGAAGCCCATGCAGCTAGCGCATCAACAACATTGCTGATACCGATCATAGTCGTATCGGTCATAGTATTGGCGGCTCTCTTGATCGCATTCTTCTGGTAAGTGAGGGGCGATACATCGACGACACGGGTCCGATTCCCAACATTGGTACACTATGTGAAGTCCAATTTTATATGTCTAGGCCGTAGTATTAATGAAATATTGCTATGAGCGGCGCAAAATCACACTCACTCTGGTACGTAAAACAACAAAATCCTCATTGCATGAAACAAACTTAGAAGCTGACAGATGACAAAGTCGGCACAATTTATGGATAACAACGTATTAACAGTAAATAAAGACGTTGTTATTCATAAATTGTGGAGAGAGAGAGAGAGAGAGAGAGAGAGAGAGAGAGAGAGAGAGAGAGAGAGAGAGAGAGAGAGAGAGAGAGAGAGAGAGACTTCTAAAAGATGCGTCACTACAACTTTGTCCCTGGTAAAGATCCGGGTTAGAATTGGTCTTGCTCAACCCATGCCCATCGTAAGAGGCAATCTATTGGTCAGTTTCGCTGATTTGGGTCTTGCATTGATGCCCATGATGTCAATCACTGGATTGTCTGGTCCGGATTCGATAAATTACAGACCGCCGTCATCTGGCTGGAATACTGCTGAGTGCGGCGCTAAGCAACACTCGAAATTCAACTTGGTTCCTACAGTAAACTGACAACCATAATATATAATCGTTATTAATCGTTAACGTTAACCCCTGATCCTCCAGTGTTATATGGATCCGCCAGAGAGTGTGCACGACAAGGGAGGTAATACCTGTACAGGAGGACAGTCCCGGGATGACCACGCCTGCGGAAGACGTTGCGTTGCTGTCTGTGTGAGTAACTTCGTCGTCTACATGTTTATTTAAAATTACTTGGTTAACGAAAATATTTTCAAAATTTTGGTGCCGGAAATAAGCAGTAACTGTTTAAAGTGTTCTCTAACACATGGCCGGGAAGAGGAATGATGTTCTTTTAAAGACACATCCTGCTTAAAATATTGTTTTCCAAATTTTATCAATTGTATCGGTATAATACGGATTTATTAATCGAAAAAGTGAATACTTTGACAGGAAAAAAGTCTACAGCTTTAATTCCATTTCTGTTAAATTTGGAAAGGGTGCAGTTATGAAGAATAAACCGCTTAATTAACACTGGAGCTACGTCACCATCAAAGGACAGTATGTCATGTTATGCCTGATGTAGATAGGGTAATTCATACTCTACTGTACAAACATGTCGTTAAGAGTAACAATGCCTTCTTTCTCCTATTAATTGTTTCACCTAAAATAGGTCGTTAGTTTTAATCTATACCCAATAGTTGTATCGTTTGTTTGCCCTCCAATGTGAACACCAGTTACTTTGTGACACACAATGTGGTCAAATTATGAAAGGACCCGTGAAGATCTGGGGTAGAATAGGCCTTCAGCAACTCATGTTTGCTGTAAAAGGCGACTATGCTGGTCGCAAGAGGCGACTAACGGGATCGGGTGGTCATGCTCAAGTTCTTGGTTGATGCATGACATCACATCCCAATTGCATGGATAATTGCTTATGATGTTAATCACTGGTTTGTCTAGTCCAGACTCGATTATTTACAGACCGCGGTTATATAGCTGGAATATTACGAGTACGGCGTTAAACAACAATCAATTGAAACAGTGCAATTGAAAGAGCTGTATTTTACGATGTCATATGATAGAAATATGCATAAATCTACTTTCGAAAACCTCCAAAGTCCAACAAAAGACATATCATGGTATGTGTATGTTGTCGGGATAACAACATGGATATTGTTCCATGAATCTATGCATCATACACCCGTGCTCTCGTCAGGTGAACAATTGACTTGCCTTTGTATGTGTTTGTGACGGGTGCACCAGCGGGACAGGATACGTTCTCCTTTTCGCGAACACCTGGTATCATCACGATAGTGATTAATAAACACATGCTCATGATATAGAAACGTACAATGGACTCTGCTTTGAGCAGATATTTCTTATTGATATGGACAGAATTTTGACGCTTTTATTCTATGTTAATATCAGGGGCAGTCGGGTAGCCTAGTGGTTGAAGCGTTCGCTCGTCACGCCGAAGACCCGGGTTCGATTCCCGACATGGGTACAATGTGCGAAGCCCATTTCTGGTGTCCCCCGCCGTGATATTGCTGGAATATTGCTAAAAGCGGCGTAAAGCCAAAATCACTCACTCACTATGTAAATATCACAGTCGTCCATTTGACATGGAATCACGAGTAAGAAAAAGTAATAAGTTGAAATACAGAGCAGATTGAAACTAGTTTTTTTTGTCACATGTGATGTATATAGTTTATATCAATGTTATCATTACAACAGATCTGTTGACAAGAGAGAGGACCCCGAGGGTGAGGCGGATGTACAGCGTTTGACAGATGACGTCAATCACAACGAAAGCTGCGCTTGATCAGATGAGATCACATAGATCTAGCTTCAACAAACAAACACATAAGGTTTTATGCAAATTGTGCGAGTGGTGGGTACTAACGATAGGGTTGGACATGTTCACCCTTTTCGCGAACACCTGTTTCATAACATATTTTCAGTGATTACGCCTAAAGATTGCGCCTTTTGGGGCAGATAATTGAGACTGAATATTCCCTGTGTTGATGTTTTATATGTGCTGCTGAGTCAGTGAGCACAGTGTTTGTTATTTCCTCTTGTTTTGATACCCGCCGTCTTCATGCCGTGAGCACCACGTGGCATCTAGGCCTCACGCCTAGAGTTCATATTTTACAATATTTCAGCCAAATAGTGACTCTTAATGGTTGATATTGTTTATATCAATTATGTTCATTTTACATTTTACACCGGCGTATTGTATGTTTTATCCGACTATCCATTTCTTTCCCAATCCTCAACCTTATTGAAAATGAGGCAAGATTTATTATTATTTTTTTTTTTTTACTGTGTTTTCTGTGAAAAATCATGATCGGTGGATGGGAAAAATTAGAAAAGACATCACAGATTTACTTGTTCCTGAAGCATTATCTGAGAATGTTACAATGTGAGCAGCCATTGTGAAGTTTGTTCACCAGTCTTGCAGTTTAACATGTTTGCATTCGCCGTTATAAAATTAGTGCTTATCAATTTTAACTCCCCTCTCATTCATGATTTTACGGTCGGCGCAAATCCGAAAAACATATTTTTCAGTTAGATGTCTTTCCTGTATTGAAATGTGACTGGTTTCTTTTCCTGTTTTATGGCGCTTCCGACCAACTTTTCATCGCGGGTCACTATACGTAAAGGGTTGCCCTAAAACTGCTACAACAGCCAGTGGCGCCAGTGCTGCAGAACACGCTGATTTGACGGACAGCTGGTGTCATGTGTACAGTGAATTGTTTGTGATGATATCAGTTTCTTTTTGTATTAGTCGCAAGTGAATCTGATTTACGAGTTCACGATTGCTACAGTATTAACGCGTACGTTACATGCAACATGGTTCCAAGTTTGAATATTTTAATCATTCATATCATTGCGCATAGAGGTATTGTAATAAAAGGGCTAGGCCTGAACAAATTGGCAGCCTTAGCAAGGACTCTTCAAGTCGTATATTACCCCACTGTGTTATCTCATCAACTTAAAGGGTGTGTGAATTTTGCAGTTAATGATTTCCTCATTACACACAGACAATGTCCCAGTTCCAAGAACAACGTCTTGACCTTCATTTGAACGTGGCCCAAGGCGTGCAGAATAATGATCCTTTAACGCTTAGGGATCGATTTTGAATATTTGTGATCAATTATGCATTGCATTGAACATACAATGCCATTTAGAAAGTGGGAAAACACCCGTCCGGGATTCGAACCCACACTGACGCTGACTTTGTGTGCTGGCGATTAGGTGCCTCACTCTGGCAGTGTGGTTTCGAATCCCGGGCGTGTCTCAACCCAAAGAATCTGTACATGACGAAGAAAATGTTATCCCAAATATAACAATTGTTATATTCATTGTATCATTTTTGGATACATTAATTGTTAAATGTCGGTTTCTATAACGGCATTGTCACGTGTGTGTTCGCCGCACATGATTGTAAAGAATGGCATCTTCCCCATTCACGTTGTCATCGTTGACGTTGTTGCTGATATCATTTGACATGTTATTGCTTTCCCCGCCATGTTGCATTTACAAATATGTTATGTTGTTTCTTTGCGCATACTGGAATGCCCAAAACAAAACACACGCAACACACTGCCTAAACAACACGTACCTGCATGCCGAGTGCCTTAATCATGTAACCCCGCAGACCTGAATAAATATTTTTTAAACGATGTGTGTTTTTGTCACTGTTATCGTCCAGCCTCCTCCCGCTTCCAACAGAGACATCTAATGTATGTTAGCAGCCGGCATTGTCCGTAACATGGTATGGTAACGTGTAAGGCAATGTAGATCTAGTTGTGCCTATACGGTGCCTATTTAATGTAAAACAAAGCTTATTATGATTTACACATTTGCTGTTTTTAAACTTATTTATGACGACGTCACAAACAACACATTTCTAAATATACTACTACTGCTACTACTACTACTACTACTACTACTACTACTACTACTACTACTGCTACTACTACTACTACTACTACTACTGCTACTACTACTACTACTACCACCACTACTACTACTACCACTACTACCACTACTACTACTACTACTACTGCTGCTGCTACTACTACTACTACTACTACTGCTACTGCTACTGCTACTACTACTACTACTGCTGCTGCTGCTGCTACTACTACTACTGCTACTACTACTGCTACTACTACTACTACTACTACTGCTACTACTACTACTACTACTACTACTGCTACTACTACTACTACTACTACCACCACTACTACTACTACTACTACTACCACTACTACCACTACTACTACTACTACTACTACTACTGCTGCTGCTACTACTACTACTACTACTACTGCTACTGCTACTGCTACTACTACTACTACTGCTGCTGCTGCTACTACTACTACTGCTACTACTACTACTACTACTGCTTCTGCTGCTGCTGCTACTACTACTACTACTACTACTACTAGTACTTGTTTGTTAACGCTGCATTCGGTACTATTTCTTTTGTATGACGATGGCCAGTAAATAAACGTGTATGGACCTGGCAATCCAGTGATTGATACTGTGTGGAAGTTATGTACGGGCTTTAAAGTGATGGCGTGAGGGAGTGAGTTGGATTTATCGCCGCTTTGAAAAGTGTTCGGCTTATGTCTCGTCGTGTCAGCTTAACGTGGAGCGAGAAATGCAGGTCTCGGACGTTTACCTCTTTAGTGAAATTCACGAGTACGGATATGGTGCTGACAAACCTAGAAACACAATTAGGGGCGAACTGGGATTCGAAGGTTGCTGGCATGCCCAAGGGACGCAACTCTGCACAGCGAATTGCGGCGCCTATTATCTTTAAGAATGTATTACGTCTTGATGAGAGTTGGGGAGCTGTAGTAGTAGGCTTCTTGACTTCATACCAGTGAATATATGTGACTTCAATTATTGCTGATAAAAGTATACATATAATCCAGCACAACACATATGTCATATCGCACCCATTCACACCCTAAGCAAGCATGGCGAGGGTATGTTTATATTGCAACCATACTTATCCTTGCCGGTTCCTACCCATACCTTGCCGGTTCCTACCCCTACCCCTTCTACCCCACCCCAGCTCAATCCCTCCACTACCACTAAGCCTACCCTAGCCCTCCCCACCCCACCTCATCCCACCTCTATCCTTCAATTAAGCCTACCCCATCCCTCCCCACCACCTCCTCATCCCACCTCTATACCTCCACTACCACTAAGCCTACCCCAGCCCTCCCAACCCCCACCTCATCCCACCTCTATCCCTCCACTACCACTAAGCCTACCCCAGCCCTCCCAACCCCCACCTCATCCCACCTCTATACCTCCACTACCACTAAGCCTACCCCATCCCTCCCCACCACCTCCTCATCCCACCTCTATACCTCCACTACCACTAAGCCTACCCCAGCCCTCCCCACCCCCACCTCATCCCACCTCTATCCCTCCACTACCCCTACCCCAGCCCTCCCCACCCCTCCCCATCCCACCTCTATCCACCACTAAGCCTTCCCCCAGCCCCCCCCCCCCCCCCACCCCAACCTCATCCCACCTCTATCCACCACTAAGCCTACCCCAGCCCTCATCACCCCCTCCTCATCCCACCTCTATCCCTCCCAACCCCCACCTCATCCCACCTCTATACCTCCACTACCATTAAGCCTACCCCAGCCCTCCCCACCCCCACCTCATCCAACCTCTATCCCTCAACTACCCCTACCCCAGCCCTCCCCACCCCACCCCATCCCACCTCTATCCACCACTAAGCCTTCCCCAGCCCCCCCCCCCCAACCTCATCCCACCTCTATCCACCACTAAGCCTACCCCAGCCCTCCCCACCCCCACCTCTATCCTCCCACTACCACTACCCCTACCCCAGCTCTCCCCACCCCCACCTCATCCCACCTCTATCCTCCCACTACCACTAAGCCTACCCCAGCCATCCCACCCCCACCTCTATCCCTCCACTACCACTACCCCTACTCCAGCCCTCCCCACCCCAACCTCATCCCACCTCTATCCACCACTAAGCCTACCCCAGCACCCCCCACACCAACCTCATCCCACCTCTATCCACCACTAAGCCTACCCCAGCCCCCCACCCCAACCTCATCCCACCTCTATCCCTCCACTACCACTACCCCCACCCCAGCCCTCCCAACCCCCACCTCATCCCACCTCTATCCACCACTAAGCCTACCCCAGCCCCCCCACACCAACCTCATCCCACCTCTATCCACCACTAAGCCTACCCCAGCCCTCCCCACCCCCACCTCATCCCACCTCTATCCACCACTAAGCCTACCCCAGCCCTCCCCACCCCCTCCTCATCCCACCTCTATCCTTCCACTACCACTAAGCCTACCCCAGCCCTCCCACCCCACCTCTATCCTTCCACTACCTCTACCCCTACCCCAGCCCTCCCCACCCCCACCTCATCCCACCTCTATCCCCCCACTACCACTACCCCTACCACAGCCCTCCGCACCCCCACCCCCACCTCATCCCACCTCTATCCCTCCACTACCACTAAGCTTACAACAGCCCTCCCCTACCCCACCTCATCCCACCTCTATCCCTCCACTACACCTACCCCAGCCCTCCCCACCCCCTCCTCATCCTACCTCTATCCCTCCACTACCACTAAGCCTACCCCAATCCCTCCCCACCCCCGCCTCATCCGACCTCTATCCCTCCACTACCACTACCCCAGCCCTCCCCACCCCCACCTCATCCCACCTCTATCCTTCCACTACCACTAAGCCTACCCCAGCCCTCCAACCCCACCTATATCCTTCCACTACCACTAAGCCTACCCCAGACCTCCCCACCCCCACCTCTATCCCTCCACTACCACTACCCCTACCCCAGCCCTCCCCATCCCCACCTCATCCCACCTCTATCCCTCCACTACCACTAAGCTTACCCAAGCCCTCCCCTACCCCACCTCATCCCACCTCTATCCCTCCACTACCCCTACCCAGCCCTCCCCACCCCCTCCTCATCCCACCTCTATCCTTCCACTACCACTACCCCTACCCCAGCCCTCCCCACCCCCACCTCATCCCACCTCTATCCCTCCACTACCACTAAGCTTACCCCAGCCCTCCCCTACCCCGCCTCATCCCACCTCTATCGCTCCACTACCCCTACCCCATCCCTCCCCACCCCCTCCTCATCCCACCTCTTTCCCTCCACTACCACGAAGCCTACCCAATCCCTCCCCACCCCCACCTCATCCGACCTCTATCCCTCCACTACCACTACCCCATCCCTCCCCACCCCCGCCTCATCCAACCTCTATCCCTCCACTACCACTAAGCCTACCCAATCCCTCCCCACCCCCACCTCATCCCAGCTCTATCCCTCCACTACCCCTACCCCATCCCTCCCCACCCCCTCCTCATCCAACCTCTATCCCTCCACTACCACTAAGCCTACCCCAGCCCTCCCCACCCCCACCTCATCCCACCTATATCCTTCCACTACCACTAAGCCTACCCCATCCCTCCCCACCCCCGCCTCATCCCACCTCTATCCCTCCACTACCCCTTACCCTAACCCCAATGAAAGAATGGATTCCCGTGTATGAGATACAGGAAGGTGAGATTAAAATATATTTCCCTTAACATCACTATTTCCTTTTTAAAACGCGGAAACGTTAGAATAATACAAAGTACATTTCAACGAGCGCATTCGATTCAACGTCACGACCGAACTTTAAGCGTTCAGTTTCACCAGTAAGACGCACATATTCAAAAACAATGGACATCTTCCTCATATAGATCCGCTGGATTGAATTATAAATAGAAAAGTTAAACTGTCTTTAATAGAAACTGAAAGGTTATCAAATATCTAAATGCGAGTCATAACAGGAAATAATTCATACTCAGCAAGTAGAGTTACAAGAACTGGAGGACACGGGGGATGAAAACCTTATCAATTTTGGCGTTGGGTCTCTCCTTATTACGTCTCACTGATACAGAACGAGGTAAGATTAGCTGGTAGCTTAGCAACACATTGTTAAGATTGTTTATTTGTTGTTTAACGCCGCACTCAGCAATAGTCCAGCTATATGACGGCGGTCTGTAAATAATCGAGTCTGGACCACACAATCCAGTGATTGACATCATGAGCATCGATCCACGCAATTGAGATACGATGACCAAGCGAGTCTGACCACCCGATCCCATTAGTCGTCTCTTACGTCAAGCATAGTTACCTTTTACGGCAAGCATGGGTTGAAGACCTATTTATTAAGTAGTTGTTTTCATATTCAGATGACGTGATGTGTGACTAGTAGTAGAAGTACCTTCTTTGTCGTGGTGCATTTCTAACCAACTTTGATATTTAGACTCCAAATGTACAATACCGAATGGGAGTGGAAATCAAGGTAGTTTATCCATGGCTGGGCTATTTATGAAAATATTATCACTACACGTAATAGAGTGTTTACAACCAAAGCACCTGAGCACCGCTTCATGAACACCCGCATGGAGCCATACCTTCATACGAAAAACTTGAGTTTTAGCGATAAAATAATTGTCCATTTTATCATGCTTTTTTCATAATTTGTTTATGTTGTAAGGATCTTTTTTTCAAAAACTGTTTTTGTTGTAAGGATCTTTTTTCATAAATTGTTTATGTTGTAAGGATCTTTTTTCATAAATTGTTTATGTTGTAAGGATCTTTTTTCATAAATTGTTTATGTTGTAAGGATCTTTTTTTCAAAAATTGTTTTTGTTGTAAGGATCATCACCTTCTACAATGAATGAACTGTTTTTATTATTGCCGTTGGAACGCTTTGTTGCAATCACTGCGTCATTATGGCGTTGTCGCACAGATCTGGATAAGTACGTACACTAAAAAAAAGTTAAAAACCCTACACCGAAAACTCTTAATTATGTTTCAGGCAAACGATCATAGTTTTTTGCGGGTTACTTTCTGGTAATGTTACTTTTGTCCTGAAATCTGATACGGGTTTGTTCTGGATACCCCACTCAGATACAATATACTCCGTGCCGACCAGTCCTTGTCTGATCCCTTTAATGCCGAGCGACAGGCAGGGTAACAACAAGTACAATCTTTTAACGTCTTTTGGTATGACGCGGCTGGGGATCGCACCCCGAACCTTCCGCTCTCCGGGCGGACACTCTACCACTAGATCACGGAGGCGGCATAGGATCAAACATTTATTTGCCTGGTCCAGACTTTAATATATACAGACATATATACGTGCTATATCTGAAAACATGCTGACTTCGGCGTTAAACAACATTCACTAACTCACCCTCTAAAGAATGTAATGTTCTGCTAGGCTGCCCGCTCGGTAGTTTTGGATGGAAGTGTAAGTTCCGCTGCCACTGCCTTCGCGGGTCATGTGACGACACGAATGGATGGTGCGAGTCTGGATGCCAAGATGGGAAATATGGATTCGGTTGTCAACTCGGTGAGACACGTGTGTATTCTGTTTGACGAAGGCCGTAGAATTAATCAAGTATTCATCATAAGTGATCACATTCAGATCAGGGTTCATATGATCCGTATGCATAACAGCAAGCTGGATAACATGCGCCGTCCAAACATCGTAGTCAGACCACAGTGCTCACATAGGTCGCATAAGTAATATTCATCGCTTAAGACCCGTGAAGATCCGGGGTAGAATTGGTGTTCAGCAACTCGTGCTTGTCGTAAAAGGCGACCAACGGGATCGGGTGGTCAGGTTCGCTGACTTGATGGATGCATGTCATCGTATCCCAAATGCGTGGATCGATGCTCATGATGTCAATCACTGGATTGTCTGGCCCAGACTCGATTATTTACAGACCGCCGTCATAAAGCTGGAATATTGCTGAGTGCGGCGTTACACAAACAAACAAACAAACATCGCATAAGCCACCGTGACTCTGTTGTGAGATACAGTTGTATCGTCACTCTAGAGAAGCAATGACGTCACCAAAAGCCACACATGTAACAAACCGCTTGAGTTGGAATATATATATCTGTATGAATGCTACATTTGTACTAGGTAATTGATATCAGTTAGGATATAAAGGTCCTGAAGAGTATGCTAGACAGATACATGTTCTATGCACTGTACTCTACTATGCGTGTGTTCGTGCTGTATTAGAGTGCTTACCTTTCAGACAACCATTGTATTTATGACACCCATGGTATCAACTACACCGGAACATTCAGTCAGGCGCAGAATGGTAGTCAGTGTCAGAAATGGTCGGAACCTTTTGTTCATGAACTAGGTTATTCAACAGAAAGTTTCCCCCTCGAAGACAACCGGAAGAACTACTGCAGAAACCCCCGGCATGGGAACGACCAATACGCTACAATGCCCTGGTGTTTTGCCTCTGAACACACAGTGAAGCATTACGTTATGTGCGCTGATCTTAAACTATGCAGTAAGTTGATTCAACTGCTGCAATAACTTCAACGAGCAGCTGGTAAATTTAGAGTCAATATATGGTTCAATTTATTACAAAGTAACGTCCAAAAGAAAGTACACCAAAATGTTTTTTGTCTAATAACCATATCGTGAGTGAGTGAGTGAGTGAGTGAGTATGGTTTTACGTCTCTTTAAGTAATATTCTAGCAATATCACGGCGGGGGACACCAGAAATGGGCTTCACACATTGTACCCATGTCGGGAATCGAACCCGGGTCTTCGGCGTGACGAGCGAACGCTTTAACCACAAGGCTACCCGACCGCCCCCTAATTACCATTGAAGGTAAAACTTGCGAGAGTGAGATTGGTAAGGCCAGGAGGAAGGTATAGTCACAGTGGAAGAATATCTGCTTGCACCCGTGATTATATGACGTTTACTGCAGAAAGGTCAGACAATGGATAGACCTTGGAGTGTGACCACGCCCATTGAAGACCGTTAAAGCTCATCCCCACGAACGCAACGTCCTCGATGGCACGCGGACATCGTGTCAGTTTCACGTCGATTGAGGGAACATGATACCCGAGCACGTCGACCCTACTATGGAATGACATTGACGCCACAACACCGACATGATAGGTTAATATGGGCCCTGGCGGGTTCGGCGTTGGCAGGTTCGAGACTACGGACATCTGATTAGAGCAGATTTTGCTCTGGTCGACAGTGTGTGTACTGACGTCAAGTGAAAGCCCAGCGCCGAACTGGCTCCAGGAAGTGCAGCCATTTGCAGGAGGTGGTGTCATGGTCTGGGTGGGAATCTGTTGAGACTTTAGACGGGGCTTGTTATCATTCAAGGCAACATTACTGCACAGACGTATCGGGATGAAGTTTTGCGACCATTGTGCTTCCATTTATCCAACACATACGCGTTGCAGGATAACGCAAGACCCCATATTGCAAGGCTAACACAGGTCTTCCCCAACAACACGAACGTTAATGCTTTGCCATGACCTACTTGTTACCCTGACATGAACCCACAAGAACATTTGTGGCACAGTACCACCAGAGCTTTGTCTCATCCTGACATGGTAACGGATTCCCGCTAACGTCACCAGGCGGTTAAAGTCACTGTTGCGACGTCGTGTTGTGGCCTGCACTGATGCACGAGGTGGACATACTCAATTTTAAACAAGTCTGTTGTTACAATATTTTGACAATGACAATGTGAATGATCTCATCGATCCCCTGTTATGTTATTGTTACTCGTAAGTTTTCTACATTTATAGAGTGAACTTTTGTTCGCATGATGCCAAAACGCCACTTTCATTATATACATGTTTTAACGTCCGACGTGCTTTCGCTTTTCTTCAATCGCCTCTCAAAGTCTTGGCGTACTTTCCTATGGACGTCACTTTTCTTACTTAAATTTCAATGTTACCCTTACCCAAAATGTCGTATTTAACTTGGCTATGCAAATTACAAATTAAATAACAGCCACGCAACGTGTTTAACGATACGCCCTTTCTTGAAGGTAAAGGACTTAATGGAATGGTTTTCAACATTAATAAGAGAACGTGTTAGTAAGTGGAATGGGACTGTGTTTACCATTTGCATATACGTTTTGTTAAATATGTACACTATTGCGCAGTGACAGTTCCAGAAACTGCTTTGCAGATTGCCCCGACGGCTTGTTCGGAGAAGGCTGCGGGAAATTCTGTCATTGTGATGACGTGAATGAAGCATGTGCTGCCAGATTGGGCCACTGCAAGTCGGGGTGTTCCGCTGGATGGACTGGCTTGAATTGTCAGCACAGTGCGTTTAGCATGAACGTGCATGTTGTCATATTTCTGAACCAAATTGTAAAATTGTTAATGAGTGTCATTCATGAGTGTCATTCGTGGAGACATTATATGACACGGAGAAGTATATATTGTACCCCCAATGTCTCACAAATAATAAAATATAGATAAAGACAAATGATAAGTATGCTTCAATCTGTGTTCTTGCTATGGAACGCGACAAAACTTTAAGTACTGATATGTAGTCGTGAGAAATTCCTTTACACATTTATGTATAACTGCATACATATTACGTATTACGTATTACGTATAACATGTATTACTGAGTGAGTGAGTCAGGAGATTGCATCATGTGTTGTAGAATGTGGCGTAGGTAGCTACGGTCGAGGGTGTGGCCAGGTGTGTGGGCACTGTCACCAGGAGAGGTGTGACCCTGAGAGTGGGGCGTGTCAGGGAGCCTGCAAGGAGGGCTACTGGGGAATCGACTGTACACACGGTGTGTTTGTGTGTATACAAGTAAAGAGCACGTGTTCACCGTAACCCATTAGGCATGACTTGCACATGCATGCATGTCATGGCATGTGTTGGGCTGTAATCATACGTAACCATCTCCTGAACATGTAACCAACCAATGAATTTGTACCCAACCTCTGAAAGTTTAACCAACCCCTGAATGTGTAACCATATTCCGAATGTGTAATCATCTTCGGAATGTGTAACCAACTCCTGAATGTGTAAACGTCTTTTCAATATGTAACCATCTTCTGAAAGTGTTACGATCTTCTGAATGTGTAACCATCTTCTGAATATGCGACCATTTTCTGAATGTATAACCAGCTCCTGAAAGTGCAACCAACTCCTGAATGTGTAAACAATATTCTGAATGTGTAATCACCCCCTGAATATGTAACTCCTGAATGTGTCACCATCTTTTGAATGTGTATTCATCTTTTGAATGTGTAACCATCTCCTGAATGTGTAATCATCTTCTGAATGTTTAATCACCCCCTGAATATGTAACTCCTGAATGTGTCACCATCTTTTGAATGTGTATTCATCTTTTGAATGTGTAACCATCTTCTGAATGTGTAACCATCTTCTGAATAAATAAACAGCTCATGAAAGTGCAACCTACTCCCGAATGTGTAACAATCTTCTGAATGTGTAACAATCTTCTGAATGTGTAACCATCTTCTGAACATGTAAACATCTTCTGAATATGTAACCATCTTCTGAATGTATACCAGCTCCCGAAAGTGCAACTAACTCCTGAATATGTGAGCATCTTCTGAATGTGTAACCATCTTCTGAACATGTAACCATCTTCTGAATATGTTACCATCTTCTAAATGTATACCAGGTCATGAAAGTGCAACCAACTCCTGAATGTGTGATCATCTTCTGAATGAGTAACCGTATTCTAAATATGTAACCATCTTCTGAATGTGTAACAACTCCTGAATGTGTAACCATCTTCTGAATATGTCACCATCTTCTGAATAAGTAAACAGCGCCTGAATGTGTAACAAGCTTGTGAATGTGTAACAAGCTCCTGAATGTGTAAACATCTTCTGAATGTGTAACCATCTTCTGAATGTGTAATCGTATTCTAAATATGTAACCATCTTCTGAATGTGTAACAACTCCTGAATGTGTAACCATCTTCTGAATATGTCACCATCTTCTGAATAAGTAAACAGCTCCTGAATGTGTAACAAGCTTGTGAATGTGTAACAAGCTCCTGAATGTGTAAACATCTTCTGAATGTGTAAACATCTTCTGAATGTGTAACCATCTCCTGAATGTACAACCAACTCCTTAATATGTAATCATCTTCTGAATGTGTAACCAATTCCTAAATGTGTAAGCATTTTCTGATTATGTGACCAACCCCTAAATGTGTAATCACCCCCTGAATTTGTAACCAATTCATGAATATGTAACCATCTTCTGAATGTGTCAAGATCTTCTATATGTGTAACCATCTCCGGAATGTGTATCCAGCTCCTGAATGTGTAATCATCTTCTGAATGTGTAACCAATTCCTGAATGTGTAAACATCTTCTAAAAGTGTTACCATCTTCTGAATGTGTGACCAATCCCTGAATGTGTCACCAACTCATGAATATCTAACTCATGAATATGTAACCATCTTCTGAATGTGTAATCATATTCTGAATGTGTTACCATCTTTTAAATGTATGAGCAACCCCTGAATGTGTAACCAACCCCTGAATGTGTAACCATATTCTGAATGTGTAACCATATTCCGAATGTGTAACCAACCCCTGAATGTATAACCAACTCCTGGATTTGAAACCAACTCCTGCATATGAATATGTAACCATCTTCCGAATGTGTAACCAACTCCTAAATGTGTAACCATCTTCTGAATGTGTAACCAACCCCTGAATATGTAACTAAACCCTCAATGTGTAAGCATCTTCTGAATGTGTAACCAACTCCTGAATGTGTAATCAACTCTTGAATGTGTAACCATCTCTTGAATATGTAACCAACTCCTGAATGTGCAACCAATGTGTAATCAACTCATGAATGTGTTGCCGACTCCTGAATATGTAACTAAACCCTCAATGTGTAACCATCTTCTGAATGTGTAACCAACTCCTGAATGTGTAATCAACTCTTGAATGAGTAACCGTCTTCTGAATGTGTAACCAACCCCTGAATATGTAACTAAACCCTCAATGTGTAACCATCTTCTGAATGTGTAACCAACTCCTGAATGTGTAATCAACTCTTAAATGTGTAATCAACTCTTGAATGTGTAACCAACTCCTGAATGTGCTACCAATGTGTAATCAACTCATGAATGTGTTGCCAACTCCTGAATATGTAACCATCTTTTGAATGCGCAACCATCTTCCGAATGTGTAATCATCTTATGAATTTGTAACCATCTTCTAAATGTGTGACGAATCCCTGAATGTGTAATCATCTTCTGAATGTGTAACCAATTTCTAAATGTGTAAGCATCTTCTGATTATGTGACCAACCCCTAAATGTGTAATCACCCCCTGAATTTGTAACCAACTCATGAATATGTAAACATCTTCTGAATGCGTAACCATCTCCGGAAAGTGTACCCAACTCCTGAATGTGTTACCATCTTCTGAATGTGTGACCAACCCCTGAATGTGTAATCAACTCATGAATATGTAACCATCTTCTGAATGTGTAATCATATTCTGAATGTGTCACCATCTTTTAAATGTATGAGCAACCCCTGAATGTGCAACCAACCCCTGAATATGTAACCATATTCCGAATGTGTAACCAACCCCTGAATGTGTAACCAACCCCTGAATATGAAACTAACCCTTCAATGTGTAACCAAATCCTGAATGTGTAACCAGCCCCTGAATATGTAACTAACTCCTGAATGTGTAAGCATCTTCTTAATGTGTAGCCAACTCCTGAATGTGTAATCAACTCCTGAATGTGTAACCACCTCTTGAATATGTAACCAACTCCTGAATGTGCAACCAATGTGTAATCAACTCATGAATGTGTTGCCAACTCCTGAATATGTAACTAAACCCTCAATGTGTAACCATCTTCTGAATGTGTAACCAACTCCTGAATGTGTAATCAACTCTTGAATGAGTAACCATCTTCTGAAAGTGTTACGATCTTCTGAATGTGTAACCATCTTCTGAACATGTAACCATCTTCTGAATATGCGACCATTTTCTGAATGTATAACCAGCTCCTGAAAGTGCAACCAACTCCTGAATGTGTAAACAATATTCTGAATGTGTAATCACCCCCTGAATGTGTAACCATCTTAACGTGTAACCATCTCCTGAATGTGTAATTATCTTCTGAATGTGTAATCACCCCCTGAATATATAACTCCTGAATGTGTCACCATCTTTTGAATGTGTATTCATCTTTTGAATGTGTAACCATCTTCTGAATGTGTAACCATCTTCTGAATAAATAAACAGCTCATGAAAGTGCAACCTACTCCCGAATGTGTAACAATCTTCTGAATGTGTAACAATCTTCTGAATGTGTAACCATCTTCTGAACATGTAAACATCTTCTGAATATGTAACCATCTTCTGAATGTATACCAGCTCCCGAAAGTGCAACTAACTCCTGAATATGTGAGCATCTTCTGAATGTGTAACCATCTTCTGAACATGTAACCCTCTTCTGAATATGTAACCATCTTCTAAATGTATACCAGGTCATGAAAGTGCAACTAACTCCTGAATGTGTGATCATCTTCTGAATGTGTAATCGTATTCTAAATATGTAACCATCTTCTGAATGTGTAACAACTCCTGAATGTGAAACCATCTTCTGAATATGTCACCATCTTCTGAATAAGTAAACAGCTCCTGAATGTGTAACAAGCTTGTGAATGTGTAACAATCTTCTAAATGTGTACTATCTTCTGAACATGTAACCATCTTCTGAATATGTAACAATCTTCTGAATGTATATCAGCTCCTGAAAGTGCAACCAACTCCTGAATGTGAAACCATTTCCTCAATGTGTAAAAATCTTCTGAATGTGTCACCATCTTTTAAATGTATCAGCAACCCCTGAATGTGTACCCAACCCCTGAATATGTAACCATATTCCGAATGTGTAGCCAACTCCTAAATGTGTAACCCTCTTCTGAATGTGTAACCATCTTCTGAATGTGTAACCATCTTCTGAATAAATAAACAGCTCATGAAAGTGCAACCTACTCCCGAATGTGTAACAATCTTCTGAATGTGTAACAATCTTCTGAATGTGTAACCATCTTTTGAACATGTAAACATCTTCTGAATATGTAACCATCTTCTGAATGTATACCAGCTCCCGAAAGTGCAACTAACTCCTGAATATGTGACCATCTTCTGAATGTGTAACCATCTTCTGAACATGTAACCCTCTTCTGAATATGTAACCATCTTCTAAATGTATACCAGGTCATGAAAGTGCAACTAACTCCTGAATGTGTGATCATCTTCTGAATGTGTAATCGTATTCTAAATATGTAACCATCTTCTGAATGTGTAACAACTCCTGAATGTGAAACCATCTTCTGAATATGTCACCATCTTCTGAATAAGTAAACAGCTCCTGAATGTGTAACAAGCTTGTGAATGTGTAACAATCTTCTAAATGTGTACTATCTTCTGAACATGTAACCATCTTCTGAATATGTAACAGTCTTCTGAATGTATATCAGCTCCTGAAAGTGCAACCAACTCCTGAATGTGAAACCATCTTCTCAATGTGTAAAAATCTTCTGAATGTGTCACCATCTTTTAAATGTATCAGCAACCCCTGAATGTGTACCCAACCCCTGAATATGTAACCATATTCCGAATGTGTAGCCAACTCCTAAATGTGTAACCATCTTCTGAATGTGTAACCAACTCCTGAATATGAAAGCAACTCCTGCATATGAATATGTAACCATCTTCCGAATGTGTAGCCAACTCCTAAATGTGTAACCATCTTCTGAATGTGTAACCAATTCCTGAATGTGTAAACATCTTCTAAAAGTGTTACCATCTTCTGAATGTGTGACCAAACTCCTGAATGTGTCACCAACTCATGAATATGTAACTCATGAATATGTAACGATCTTCTGAATGTGTAATCATATTCTGAATGTGTTACCATCTTTTAAATGTATGAGCAACCCCTGAATGTGTAACCAACCCCTGAATGTGTAACCATATTCTGAATGTGTAACCAACTCCTGGATTTGAAACCAACTCCTGCATATGAATATGTAACCATCTTCCGAATGTGTAACCAACTCCTAAATGTGTAACCATCTTCTGAATGTGTAACCAGCCCCTGAATATGTAACTAAACCCTCAATGTGTAACCATCTTCTGAATGTGTAACCATCTTCTGAATGTGTAGTCAACACCTGAATGTGTAACCATCTCCTGAATGTGTAACCAACTCATGAATATCTAACTCATGAATATGTAACCATCTTCTGAATGTGTAATCATATTCTGAATGTGTTACCATCTTTTAAATGTATGAGCAACCCCTGAATGTGTAACCAACCCCTGAATGTGTAACCATATTCTGAATGTGTAACCATATTCCGAATGTGTAACCAACCCCTGAATGTATAACCAACTCCTGGATTTGAAACCAACTCCTGCATATGAATATGTAACCATCTTCCGAATGTGTAACCAACTCCTAAATGTGTAACCATCTTCTGAATGTGTAACCAACCCCTGAATATGTAACTAAACCCTCAATGTGTAAGCATCTTCTGAATGTGTAACCAACTCCTGAATGTGTAATCAACTCTTGAATGTGTAACCATCTCTTGAATATGTAACCAACTCCTGAATGTGCAACCAATGTGTAATCAACTCATGAATGTGTTGCCGACTCCTGAATATGTAACTAAACCCTCAATGTGTAACCATCTTCTGAATGTGTAACCAACTCCTGAATGTGTAATCAACTCTTGAATGAGTAACCGTCTTCTGAATGTGTAACCAACCCCTGAATATGTAACTAAACCCTCAATGTGTAACCATCTTCTGAATGTGTAACCAACTCCTGAATGTGTAATCAACTCTTAAATGTGTAATCAACTCTTGAATGTGTAACCAACTCCTGAATGTGCTACCAATGTGTAATCAACTCATGAATGTGTTGCCAACTCCTGAATATGTAACCATCTTTTGAATGCGCAACCATCTTCCGAATGTGTAATCATCTTATGAATTTGTAACCATCTTCTAAATGTGTGACGAATCCCTGAATGTGTAATCATCTTCTGAATGTGTAACCAATTTCTAAATGTGTAAGCATCTTCTGATTATGTGACCAACCCCTAAATGTGTAATCACCCCCTGAATTTGTAACCAACTCATGAATATGTAAACATCTTCTGAATGCGTAACCATCTCCGGAAAGTGTACCCAACTCCTGAATGTGTTACCATCTTCTGAATGTGTGACCAACCCCTGAATGTGTAATCAACTCATGAATATGTAACCATCTTCTGAATGTGTAATCATATTCTGAATGTGTCACCATCTTTTAAATGTATGAGCAACCCCTGAATGTGCAACCAACCCCTGAATATGTAACCATATTCCGAATGTGTAACCAACCCCTGAATGTGTAACCAACCCCTGAATATGAAACTAACCCTTCAATGTGTAACCAAATCCTGAATGTGTAACCAGCCCCTGAATATGTAACTAACTCCTGAATGTGTAAGCATCTTCTTAATGTGTAGCCAACTCCTGAATGTGTAATCAACTCCTGAATGTGTAACCACCTCTTGAATATGTAACCAACTCCTGAATGTGCAACCAATGTGTAATCAACTCATGAATGTGTTGCCAACTCCTGAATATGTAACTAAACCCTCAATGTGTAACCATCTTCTGAATGTGTAACCAACTCCTGAATGTGTAATCAACTCTTGAATGAGTAACCATCTTCTGAAAGTGTTACGATCTTCTGAATGTGTAACCATCTTCTGAACATGTAACCATCTTCTGAATATGCGACCATTTTCTGAATGTATAACCAGCTCCTGAAAGTGCAACCAACTCCTGAATGTGTAAACAATATTCTGAATGTGTAATCACCCCCTGAATGTGTAACCATCTTAACGTGTAACCATCTCCTGAATGTGTAATTATCTTCTGAATGTGTAATCACCCCCTGAATATATAACTCCTGAATGTGTCACCATCTTTTGAATGTGTATTCATCTTTTGAATGTGTAACCATCTTCTGAATGTGTAACCATCTTCTGAATAAATAAACAGCTCATGAAAGTGCAACCTACTCCCGAATGTGTAACAATCTTCTGAATGTGTAACAATCTTCTGAATGTGTAACCATCTTCTGAACATGTAAACATCTTCTGAATATGTAACCATCTTCTGAATGTATACCAGCTCCCGAAAGTGCAACTAACTCCTGAATATGTGAGCATCTTCTGAATGTGTAACCATCTTCTGAACATGTAACCCTCTTCTGAATATGTAACCATCTTCTAAATGTATACCAGGTCATGAAAGTGCAACTAACTCCTGAATGTGTGATCATCTTCTGAATGTGTAATCGTATTCTAAATATGTAACCATCTTCTGAATGTGTAACAACTCCTGAATGTGAAACCATCTTCTGAATATGTCACCATCTTCTGAATAAGTAAACAGCTCCTGAATGTGTAACAAGCTTGTGAATGTGTAACAATCTTCTAAATGTGTACTATCTTCTGAACATGTAACCATCTTCTGAATATGTAACAATCTTCTGAATGTATATCAGCTCCTGAAAGTGCAACCAACTCCTGAATGTGAAACCATTTCCTCAATGTGTAAAAATCTTCTGAATGTGTCACCATCTTTTAAATGTATCAGCAACCCCTGAATGTGTACCCAACCCCTGAATATGTAACCATATTCCGAATGTGTAGCCAACTCCTAAATGTGTAACCCTCTTCTGAATGTGTAACCATCTTCTGAATGTGTAACCATCTTCTGAATAAATAAACAGCTCATGAAAGTGCAACCTACTCCCGAATGTGTAACAATCTTCTGAATGTGTAACAATCTTCTGAATGTGTAACCATCTTTTGAACATGTAAACATCTTCTGAATATGTAACCATCTTCTGAATGTATACCAGCTCCCGAAAGTGCAACTAACTCCTGAATATGTGACCATCTTCTGAATGTGTAACCATCTTCTGAACATGTAACCCTCTTCTGAATATGTAACCATCTTCTAAATGTATACCAGGTCATGAAAGTGCAACTAACTCCTGAATGTGTGATCATCTTCTGAATGTGTAATCGTATTCTAAATATGTAACCATCTTCTGAATGTGTAACAACTCCTGAATGTGAAACCATCTTCTGAATATGTCACCATCTTCTGAATAAGTAAACAGCTCCTGAATGTGTAACAAGCTTGTGAATGTGTAACAATCTTCTAAATGTGTACTATCTTCTGAACATGTAACCATCTTCTGAATATGTAACAGTCTTCTGAATGTATATCAGCTCCTGAAAGTGCAACCAACTCCTGAATGTGAAACCATCTTCTCAATGTGTAAAAATCTTCTGAATGTGTCACCATCTTTTAAATGTATCAGCAACCCCTGAATGTGTACCCAACCCCTGAATATGTAACCATATTCCGAATGTGTAGCCAACTCCTAAATGTGTAACCATCTTCTGAATGTGTAACCAACTCCTGAATATGAAAGCAACTCCTGCATATGAATATGTAACCATCTTCCGAATGTGTAGCCAACTCCTAAATGTGTAACCATCTTCTGAATGTGTAACCAATTCCTGAATGTGTAAACATCTTCTAAAAGTGTTACCATCTTCTGAATGTGTGACCAAACTCCTGAATGTGTCACCAACTCATGAATATGTAACTCATGAATATGTAACGATCTTCTGAATGTGTAATCATATTCTGAATGTGTTACCATCTTTTAAATGTATGAGCAACCCCTGAATGTGTAACCAACCCCTGAATGTGTAACCATATTCTGAATGTGTAACCAACTCCTGGATTTGAAACCAACTCCTGCATATGAATATGTAACCATCTTCCGAATGTGTAACCAACTCCTAAATGTGTAACCATCTTCTGAATGTGTAACCAGCCCCTGAATATGTAACTAAACCCTCAATGTGTAACCATCTTCTGAATGTGTAACCATCTTCTGAATGTGTAGTCAACACCTGAATGTGTAACCATCTCCTGAATGTGTAACCATCTTCTGAATGTGTAACCATCCTTTTGAATATGTAACCAACTCCTGAATGTGCTACCAATGTGTAATCAACTCATGAATGTGTTGCCAACTCCTGAATATGTAACCATCTTTTGAATGCGCAACCACCTTCCGAATGTGTAATCATCTTCTGAATTTGTAACCAACTCATGAATATGTAACCATCTTCTGAATTTGTCAAGATCTTCTGAATGCGTAACCATCTCCGGAATATGTACCCAACTCCTGAATGTGTTACCATCTTCTGAATGTGTGACCAACCCCTGAATGTGTAATCAACTCATGAATATGTAACCATCTTCTGAATGTGTAATCATATTCTGAGTGTATCACCATCTTTTAAATGTATGAGCAACCCCTGAATGTGCAACCAACCCCTGAATATGTTACCATATTCCGAATGTGTAACCATATTCCGAATGTGTAACCAACCCCTGAATGTGTAACCAACTCCTGAACATGAAACCAACTCCTGCATATGAATATGTGACCATCTTCCGAATGTGTAACCAACTCCTAAATGTGTAACCATCTTCTGAATGTGTAACCAACCTCTGAATAAGAAACTAACCCTTCAATGGGTAACCAAATCCTGAATGTGTAACCAACCCCTGAATATGTAACTAACTCCTGAATGTGCAACCAATGTGTAATCAACTCATGAATGTGTTGCCAACTCCTGAATATGTAACCATCTTTTGAATGCGCAACCATCTTCCGAATGTGTAATCATCTTCTGAATTTGTAACCATCTTCTGAATGTGTAATGATCTTCTGAATGTGTAACCAATTCCTAAATGTGTAAGCATTTTCTGATTATGTGACCAACCCCTAAATGTGTAATCACCCCCTGAATTTGTAACCAACTCATGAATATGTAACCATCCTCTGAATGTGTCAAGATCTTCTATATGTGTAACCATCTCCGGAATGTGTATCCAGCTCCTGAATGTGTAATCATCTTCTGAATGTGTAACCAATTCCTGAATGTGTAAACATCTTCTAAAAGTGTTACCATCTTCTGAATGTGTGACCAATCCCTGAATGTGTCACCAACTCATGAATATGTAACCATCTTCTGAATGTGTAATCATCTTTTAAATGTATGAGCAACCCCTGAATGTGTAACCAACCCCTGAATATGTAACCATATTCTGAATGTGTAACCATATTCCGAATGTGTAACCAACCCCTGAATGTATAACCAACTCCTGGATTTGAAACCAACTCCTGCATATGAATATGTAATCATCTTCCGAATGTGTAACCAACTCCTAAATGTGTAACCATCTTCTGAATGTGTAACCAGCCCCTGAATATGTAACTAAACCCACACTGTGTAACCTTCTTCTGAACATGTAACCATCTTCTGAATATGTAACCATCTTCTGAATGTATACCAGGTCATGAAAGTGCAACTAACTCCTGTAACCTTCTTCTGAACATGTAACCATCTTCTGAATATGTAACCATCTTCTGAATGTATACCAGGTCATGAAATTGCAACTAACTCCTGAATGTGTGATCATCTTCTGAATGTGTAACCGCATTCTAAATATGTCACCATCTTCTGAATGTGTAACAACTCCTGAATGTGAAACCATCTTCTGAATATGTCACCATCTTCTGAACATGTAACCATCTTCTGAATATGTAACAATCTTCTGAATGTATATCAGCTTCTGAAAGTGCAACCAACTCCTGAATGTGAAACCATCTTCTCAATGTGTAAAAATCTTCTGAATGTGTCACCATCTTTTAAATATATCAGCAACCCCTGAATGTGTACCCAACCCCTGAATGTGTAACCATATTCCGAATGTGTAGCCAACTCCTAAATGTGTAACCATCTTCTGAATATGTAACCAACTCCTGAATATGAAAGCAACTCCTGCATATGAATATGTAACCATCTTCCGAATGTGTAGCCAACTCCTAAATGTGTAACCATCTTCTGAATGTGTAACCAATTCCTGAATGTGTAAACATCTTCTAAAAGTGTTACCATCTTCTGAATGTGTGACCAAACTCCTGAATGTGTAACCAACTCATGAATATGTAACTCATGAATATCTAACGATCTTCTGAATGTGTTACCATCTTTTAAATGTATGAGCAACCACTGAATGTGTAACCAACCCCTGAATGAATAACCAACTCCTGGATTTGAAACCAACTCCTGCATATGAATATGTAACCATCTTCCGAATGTGTAACCAACTCCTAAATGTGTAACCATCTTCTGAATGTGTAACCAACCCCTGAATATGTAACTAAACCCTCAATGTGTAACCATCTTCTGAATGTGTAACCAACTCCTGAATGTGTAGTCAACTCCTGAATGTGTAACCATTTCCTGAATGTGTAACCATCTTCTGAATGTGTAACCATCTTTTGAATATGTAACCAACTCCTGAATGTGCTACCAATGTGTAATCAACTCATGAATGTGTTGCCAACTCCTGAATATGTAACCATCTTTCGAATGCGCAACCATCTTCCGAATGTGTAATCATCTTCTGAATTTGTAACCAACTCATGAATATGTAACCATCTTCTGAATGTGTCAAGATCTTCTGAATGCGTAACCATCTCCGGAATATGTACCCAACTCCTGAATGTGTTACTATCTTCTGAATGTGTGACCAACCCCTGAATGTGTAATCAACTCATGAATATGTAACCATCTTCTGAATGTGTCACCATCTTTTAAATGAATGAGCAACCCCTGAATGTGCAACCAACCCCTGAATATGTAACCATATTCCGAATGTGTAACCAACCCCTGAATGTGTAACCAACTCCTGAACATGAAACCAACTCCTGCATATGAATATGTGACCATCTTCCGAATGTGTAACCAACTCCTAAATGTGTAACCATCTTCTGAATGTGTAACCAACCTCTGATTAAGAAACTAACCCTTCAATGGGTAACCAAATCCTGAATGTGTAACCTACCCCTGAATATGTAACTAATTCCTGAATGTGTAAGCATCTTCTGAATGTGAAACCATCTTCTTAACGTATAAGCAGCTAATGATTGTGTAACCATCTCTTGAATATGTAACCAACTCCTGAATGTGCAACCAATGTGTAATCAACTCATGAATGTGTTGCCAACTCCTGAATATGTAACTAAACCCTCAATGTGTAACCATCTTCTGAATGTGTAACCAACTCCTGAATGTGCAACCAATGTGTAATCAACTGATAAATGTGTTGCCAACTCCTGAATATGTAACCATCTTTTGAATGTGTAACCATCTTCCGAATGTGTAATCATCTTCTGAATTTGTAACCAACTCATGAATATGAAACCATCTTCTGAATGTGTCAAGATCTTCTGAATGCGTAACCATCTCCGGAATATGTACCCAACTCCTGAATGTGTTACTATCTTCTGAATGTGTGACCAACCCCTGAATGTGTAATCAACTCATGAATATGTAACCATCTTCTGAATGTGTAATCATATTCTGAGTGTATCACCATCTTTTAAATGTATGAGCAACCCCTGAATGTGCAACCAACCCCTGAATATGTTACCATATTCCGAATGTGTAACCATATTCCGAATGTGTAACCAACCCCTGAATGTGTAACCAACTCCTGAACATGAAACCAACTCCTGCATATGAATATGTGACCATCTTCCGAATGTGTAACCAACTCCTAAATGTGTAACCATCTTCTGAATGTGTAACCAACCTCTGAATAAGAAACTAACCCTTCAATGGGTAACCAAATCCTGAATGTGTAACCAACCCCTGAATATGTAACTAACTCCTGAATGTGCAACCAATGTGTAATCAACTCATGAATGTGTTGCCAACTCCTGAATATGTAACCATCTTTTGAATGCGCAACCATCTTCCGAATGTGTAATCATCTTCTGAATTTGTAACCATCTTCTGAATGTGTAATGATCTTCTGAATGTGTAACCAATTCCTAAATGTGTAAGCATTTTCTGATTATGTGACCAACCCCTAAATGTGTAATCACCCCCTGAATTTGTAACCAACTCATGAATATGTAACCATCCTCTGAATGTGTCAAGATCTTCTATATGTGTAACCATCTCCGGAATGTGTATCCAGCTCCTGAATGTGTAATCATCTTCTGAATGTGTAACCAATTCCTGAATGTGTAAACATCTTCTAAAAGTGTTACCATCTTCTGAATGTGTGACCAATCCCTGAATGTGTCACCAACTCATGAATATGTAACCATCTTCTGAATGTGTAATCATCTTTTAAATGTATGAGCAACCCCTGAATGTGTAACCAACCCCTGAATATGTAACCATATTCTGAATGTGTAACCATATTCCGAATGTGTAACCAACCCCTGAATGTATAACCAACTCCTGGATTTGAAACCAACTCCTGCATATGAATATGTAATCATCTTCCGAATGTGTAACCAACTCCTAAATGTGTAACCATCTTCTGAATGTGTAACCAGCCCCTGAATATGTAACTAAACCCACACTGTGTAACCTTCTTCTGAACATGTAACCATCTTCTGAATATGTAACCATCTTCTGAATGTATACCAGGTCATGAAAGTGCAACTAACTCCTGTAACCTTCTTCTGAACATGTAACCATCTTCTGAATATGTAACCATCTTCTGAATGTATACCAGGTCATGAAATTGCAACTAACTCCTGAATGTGTGATCATCTTCTGAATGTGTAACCGCATTCTAAATATGTCACCATCTTCTGAATGTGTAACAACTCCTGAATGTGAAACCATCTTCTGAATATGTCACCATCTTCTGAACATGTAACCATCTTCTGAATATGTAACAATCTTCTGAATGTATATCAGCTTCTGAAAGTGCAACCAACTCCTGAATGTGAAACCATCTTCTCAATGTGTAAAAATCTTCTGAATGTGTCACCATCTTTTAAATATATCAGCAACCCCTGAATGTGTACCCAACCCCTGAATGTGTAACCATATTCCGAATGTGTAGCCAACTCCTAAATGTGTAACCATCTTCTGAATATGTAACCAACTCCTGAATATGAAAGCAACTCCTGCATATGAATATGTAACCATCTTCCGAATGTGTAGCCAACTCCTAAATGTGTAACCATCTTCTGAATGTGTAACCAATTCCTGAATGTGTAAACATCTTCTAAAAGTGTTACCATCTTCTGAATGTGTGACCAAACTCCTGAATGTGTAACCAACTCATGAATATGTAACTCATGAATATCTAACGATCTTCTGAATGTGTTACCATCTTTTAAATGTATGAGCAACCACTGAATGTGTAACCAACCCCTGAATGAATAACCAACTCCTGGATTTGAAACCAACTCCTGCATATGAATATGTAACCATCTTCCGAATGTGTAACCAACTCCTAAATGTGTAACCATCTTCTGAATGTGTAACCAACCCCTGAATATGTAACTAAACCCTCAATGTGTAACCATCTTCTGAATGTGTAACCAACTCCTGAATGTGTAGTCAACTCCTGAATGTGTAACCATTTCCTGAATGTGTAACCATCTTCTGAATGTGTAACCATCTTTTGAATATGTAACCAACTCCTGAATGTGCTACCAATGTGTAATCAACTCATGAATGTGTTGCCAACTCCTGAATATGTAACCATCTTTCGAATGCGCAACCATCTTCCGAATGTGTAATCATCTTCTGAATTTGTAACCAACTCATGAATATGTAACCATCTTCTGAATGTGTCAAGATCTTCTGAATGCGTAACCATCTCCGGAATATGTACCCAACTCCTGAATGTGTTACTATCTTCTGAATGTGTGACCAACCCCTGAATGTGTAATCAACTCATGAATATGTAACCATCTTCTGAATGTGTCACCATCTTTTAAATGAATGAGCAACCCCTGAATGTGCAACCAACCCCTGAATATGTAACCATATTCCGAATGTGTAACCAACCCCTGAATGTGTAACCAACTCCTGAACATGAAACCAACTCCTGCATATGAATATGTGACCATCTTCCGAATGTGTAACCAACTCCTAAATGTGTAACCATCTTCTGAATGTGTAACCAACCTCTGATTAAGAAACTAACCCTTCAATGGGTAACCAAATCCTGAATGTGTAACCTACCCCTGAATATGTAACTAACTCCTGAATGTGTAAGCATCTTCTGAATGTGAAACCATCTTCTTAACGTATAAGCAGCTAATGATTGTGTAACCATCTCTTGAATATGTAACCAACTCCTGAATGTGCAACCAATGTGTAATCAACTCATGAATGTGTTGCCAACTCCTGAATATGTAACTAAACCCTCAATGTGTAACCATCTTCTGAATGTGTAACCAACTCCTGAATGTGCAACCAATGTGTAATCAACTGATAAATGTGTTGCCAACTCCTGAATATGTAACCATCTTTTGAATGTGTAACCATCTTCCGAATGTGTAATCATCTTCTGAATTTGTAACCAACTCATGAATATGAAACCATCTTCTGAATGTGTCAAGATCTTCTGAATGCGTAACCATCTCCGGAATATGTACCCAACTCCTGAATGTGTTACTATCTTCTGAATGTGTGACCAACCCCTGAATGTGTAATCAACTCATGAATATGTAACCATCTTCTGAATGTGTAATCATATTCTGAATGTGTCACCATCTTTTAAATGTATGAGCAACCCCTGAATGTGCAACCAACCCCTGAATATGTAACCATATTCCGAATGTGTAACCATATTCCGAATGTGTAACCAACTCCTGAACATGAAACCAACTCCTGCATATGAATATGTGACCATCTTCCAAATGTGTAACCAACTCCTAAATGTGTAACCATCTTCTGAATGTGTAACCAACCTCTGTTTAAGAAACTAACCCTTCAATGGGTAACCAAATCCTGAATGTGTAACTATCTTCTGAATGTGTGACCAACCCCTGAATGTGTAATCAACTCATGAATATGTAACCATCTTCTGAATGTGTAATCATATTCTGAATGTGTCACCATCTTTTAAATGTATGAGCAACCCCTGAATGTGCAACCAACCCCTGAATATGTAACCATATTCCGAATGTGTAACCATATTCCGAATGTGTAACCAACTCCTGAACATGAAACCAACTCCTGCATATGAATATGTGACCATCTTCCAAATGTTTAACTAACCCCTGAATGTGTAATCAACTCCTAAATGTGTAACCAACCTCTGATTAAGAAACTAACCCTTCAATGGGTAACCAAATCCTGAATGTGTAACCAACCCCTAAATATGTAACTAACTCCTGAATGTGTAAGCATCTTCTGAATGTGAAACCATCTTCTTAACGTATAAGCAACTCCTGAATGTGTAACCATCTCTTGAATATGTAACCAACTCCTGAATGTGCAACCAATGTGTAATCAACTCATGAATGTGTTGCCAACTCCTGAATATGTAACTAAACCCTCAATGTGTAACCATCTTCTGAATGTGTAACCAACTCCTGAATGTGTAATCAACTCTTGAATGTGTAACCAACTCCTGAATGTGTAAGCATCTTCTGAATTTATAACCATCTTTTGAATATGTAAGCAACTCCTGAATGTGCAACCAATGTGTAATCAACTGATAAATGTGTTGCCAACTCCTGAATATGTAACCATCTTTTGAATGTGCAACCATCTTCCGAATGTGTGACCAACCCCTGAATGTGTAGTCAACTCCTGAATGTGTAATCAACTCCTGAATATGTAACAATCTTTTGAATGTGAACCAACTCCTGAATGTGCAAGCAATGTGTAATCAACTCATGAATATGTAACCATCTTTCGAATCTGTAATCATCTTCTGAATTTGTAATCATCTTCTGAATTTGTAACCATCTTCTGAATGTGTGACCAACCCCTGAATGTGTAGTCAACTCCTGAATGTGTAACCAACTCCTGAATATGTAACCATCATTTGAATGTGTAACCATCTTCCGAATGTGTTATCATCTTCTGAATGTGTGACCAACCACTGATTGTGTGACCAACCCCTCAATGTGTAACAAATCCCTGAATCTGTAACCCTCTTCCGAATGTGTAACCAACTCCTCCATGTGTAACCATCTTCTGAATGTGAAGCCAACCCCTGAATATGTAACTAAACCCTGAATGTGTAGCCATCTTCTGAATGTTTAACCACCATCTGAAAGTGTAATCAACTCCTTAATGTGTAACCAACTCATGAATGTGTAACCATCTTCTGAATTATGTAACCATCTCCTGGATATGTAACCATCTTCTGCATGTGTAATCATCTTCTGAATATGTAACCATCTTCTGAATGTGTAACCAGCTTCCGGAAGTGTAACTAACTCCTGAATGTGTAACCAATGTGTAATCAACTCATGAATGTGTTGCCAACTCCTAAATATGTAACCATCTTTTGAATGTGCAATCATCTTCCGAATGTGTTATCATCTTCTCAATGTGTAACCAGCCCCTAAATGTGTAACAAATCCCTGAATATGTAACCCTTCCGAATGTGTAACCAACCTCGAATGTGCAACAGGCTCTTGAATGATTAATCATCTGGTGAATGTGTAACCATCTTCTGAATGTGTAACTATCTCATGAATGTGGAATCATCTTTTGAATGTGTAACCATCTTCTGAATGTGTGACCAACCCCTGAATGAGTAACTAACCCCTGATTGTGTAGCCATCTTCTGAATGTGTGAATAACCCCTAAATGTGTAACAAATCCCTGAATATGTAACCCTCTCCCGAATGTGTTACTAGCCACTAAATGTGTAACCAACTACTCCATGTGTAACCATCTTATGAATGTGTAACTAACCCCTGAATGTGTAGCCATCTTCTGAATGTGTGGGGGCACGGGTGGCCCAGTCGTCTAAGGCGCCTCGATTCGCTGTGCAGAGTTGCGTCCCTTGGGCACGCCAGAAACCTATGCTTGTGGGTTCGAATCCCGGTTCGCCCCAATTATGTTTCTAGGTGTGTCAGCACCTTACCCGTGCATCTTCTGAATGTGTAACCATTTTCTGAATGTGTAATCATCTTCTAAATGTCTAGCCATCTTCTGAATGTGTAACCAACTCCTGAATATGTTACCATCTTCTGGATGTGTAACCATCTTCTGAATGTGTAATCATTTTCTGAATGTGTCACCAATCCCTGAATGTGAACCCTGCTCCTGAATGTGTAACTAACCCCTGAATGTGTAACTAACCCCTGAATGTGTACCCATCTTCTGAATTTGTAACCATGTTCTTAAGGTGTAACCAGCTTCTGAATGTGTAATGAACTCATGAATGTGTAACCAACTCATGAATGTGTAACCATCTTCTGAATGTGAAACCATCTTCTTAACGTATAAGCAACTCCTGAATGTGTAATCACCCCCTGAATGTGTAACCAGCTCCTGAATGTGTAATCACCCCCTGAATGTGTAACCAACTCCTAAATGTGTAATCACCCCCTGAATGTGTAACCAACTCCTGAATGTACAAGCATCTTTTGAATATGTGACCATCTTTTGAATGTGTAACCATCTTCTGAATGTGTAATCATCTTCTGAATGTGTAACCATCTTCTGAATGTGTGACCAACCCCTAAATGTGTAACCAACCCCTGAATATAAAACCAACTCCTGCATCTGAATATGTAGCCATCTTCCGAATGTGTAGCTAACCCCTGAATGGGTAACCATCTTCTTAATATGTAACCAACCCCTGAAAGTGTGACCATCTTCTGAATGTGTAACCAATCCCTGAATATGAAAATAACACCTAAATGTGTAACAATTTTCTGAATGGGTAACCATCCCCTGAATATGTAGCCATCTTTTTAACGTGTAACCAACTTCTGAATGTGTAACCATCTTCTGAATGTGTAATCATCTTCTGAATATGTAACCATCTTCTGAATGTGAGACCAACCCCAGAATATGAAACCAACTCCTGCATATGAATATGAAACCAACTCCTGCATATGAATATGAAACCAACTCCTGCATATGAATATGTAACCATCTTCCAAATGTTTAACTAACCCCTGAATGTGTAACCAACTCCTGAATGTGTAACCAACTCCTGTATAAGAAACTAACTCCTGCATATGGATATGTAACCATCTCCCAAATGTTTAACTAACCCCTGATTGTGTAATCAACCCCTGAACGTGTATCCAACTTCTGAATGTTCAACCAACTCCTGAATGTGTAAGAACCTCTGAATGTTTACCAACCCCTGAATGTGTAATCAACCCCTGAATGTGTAACCAACCCCTGAATGTTAAAACCAACTCCTGAATGTTTTAGCAACTCCTGAATGTGTAACATTTTCTGACTGTGTTTCCACCCCCTGAATGTGGAACCAATCCCTGAATGTGTAATCATCTTCTTAATGTGTTTCCAACCCGTGATGATTCCTTAAATTTCTTTCAAAAATTGCCCAAACGCTGCATGTGGGGTTAAATAGGGTTTAACGTCGCGTCCAAGATTATTGCACTTATATAGCGACGTGCATGTACGTGTGTGTTTATGTGGCTGCTTGTGCTAGTCCGGACTAATGCCGATTTAAAGTGTAAGCCCACTGAAATACCATGCAGCAGTTAAACATGAATGCCCCACTCAGACACAGTATACTGACTCCGAGCTGACCAGTTCTTGTTTTAGCCCCGTAATGCCGAGCGTCAGACAGGGTACCAACAAGACCAATCTTTTGACGTCTTTTGTTATGACGCAGCCGGGGATCGAACCCCGGACCTTCCGCTCTCCGGACGGATCCGGGAGCTCTACCACTAGGCGGTCTCTAAACGATGCAAGTAAAGTTCATCATTCTTTCTTTCCAACTGTATACATGATCCTAAATCACCAGTTTTTGTCTGAAGAATGTCCCGCTGGTAGTTTGTGGCGTGACTGTGCCGAGCTCTGTGGACGCTGCCAAGACGAGGATGATCCCTGCAACTTCAAGGCCAACACCTGCCTCGGGGGATGTTCTCAAGGGTACACGGGCAACGCTTGCTGTTTTCATAGTGAGTGTGAGTCTGCTATGTCCACGTGGTATTTTTCTGAATTGTTTTTATCGTATCTTCAGTGAATAAGTCACAGAAACAGAACATACTAATATCATCTTGCACACTGATATGAAATGTTAATAGAACTAGGTATAAGAAATAGTCCAAATTTATACAAAACAACATGAGTGAGTCAGGGTGTTTTTACACCGCTTTTATCAATATTCCAGCAATATCAGGGCGGGGGACACCAGAAATGGGCTTCACACATTGTACCCATGTGGGGAATAGAACCCGGGTCGTTAGCGTGACGAGTGAACGCTTCAACCACTACGCTTCCCAAAACTCCCCCTAAATTATATGAATGTTAAGGAGGATAACCGTTTCACAAACATTTTGCTTCAGTTTTACAATGGTTTGTCCATGAAGGTCACTCGCTTACATACATCCTTCATCATTCATGACAGTGTTACACATTTTGACATGTTTCATGTTTTGTATGTTTCAGACTGCACAGTCGATAGACATGACACAGACTGTGTGTACAGATGTAGTAATTGTCTCAATGGAACATGCGGTAACTGCTCTTATGTCTGCAACCCTGGCAAGTATGACATGTTTGACGTAAAGATGGCATGTGTGACGTCGACCTAACTATGACTTGTGTGACCTACGTGTGATGTTTTGGGCTGAAGTATAACATGTTTGGCCTAAGTATGACATGTTTGGCCTAAGCATGACATATTTGGTCTAACCATGACATGGCTGCTCTAAGTATGACATGTGGCCTACGTATGACATGTTTGTCCTAAGTATGACATTTGGCCTAAGTATGACATGTTTTGCCTTAGCTTGACATGTGGCCAAAGTATGATATGTGTTCTAAATGTGACATTTGGCCTAAGTATGACATGTTTTGCCTTAGCCTGACATATGGCCAAAGTATGACATGTGTTCTAATTATGACATTTGGCCTAAGTTTGACATGTTTGACAAAAGTATGACATGTGGCCTAAGTATGACATGTTTAGCCTAAGTATGACATGTGTGTCCTAAGTATGACATGCTTGGCCTACGTATGCCATGTTTAGCCTAAGTGTGACATGTGTGTCCTAAGTATGACATGTTTGTCCTCAGTATGACATGTTTGGCTACGTATGACATGTTTAGCCTAAGTATGACATGTGGCCTACGTATGCCATGTTTGGCCTAAGTATGACATGTGTGTCCTAAGTATGACATGGTTGGCCTAAGTATGAAATGTGTGTCCTAAGTATGACATGTTATGCCTAAGCCTGACATGTATGTCCTAAGTATAACATGTTTGGCCTAAGTGTGACATGTTTGACTTAAGTATGGCATGTGACCTACGTATGCCATGTTTGTTCTAAGTATGACATTTGGCCTTAGTTTGACATGTTTGTCCTAAGTATGACATGTGGCCTACGTATGACATGTTTGGCCTAAGAATGACATGTTTGGCCTTTACCTGACATGTGGCCAAAGTATGCTATGTGTTCTCAATATGACATATGACCTAAGTATGACATGTTTGGCCTAAGTATGACATGTGACCTGAGTATGACATGTGACCGAAGTATGACATGTTTGGCCTAAAGATGGCATGTGTGACCTAACTACGACTTGTGACCTAAGTATGACATGCTTAGCCAGAGTATGTCATGTCTGACCGAAATATGGAATTTGTGACAAAGGATTGACGTGTCCTAAGTGTGACATGTGACCTAAGTGTGACATGTGTGATCTCAGAATGACATGTGTGACAGAGGTGTGACATGTATGAATTAGGTGTGACATGTGTGACCGAGGAGTGACATGTGACCGAGATGTGACATGTGACCAAGGTGTGACATGTTTGACCGAGATGTGATAAGTACTACGAAGGTGTGATATGTATGACTGAGTTATGACATGTGTGACCTGGGTGTGAGATGTGACCAAGATGTGACATGTAACTGAAGTGTGACACGTGACCGAGGTGTGACGTAAGAGCAAGGTATGAAACGTATGACTGAGGTATGACATGTGTGACCGAGGTGTGAAATAGGACCCAGGTGTGACATGTGACTACGGTGTGACATGTGACCAAGGTGGGACATGTTTGACCGAGGTAAGACATGTATGACCAAGTTGTGACATGTAACTGAAGTGTGACACGTGACTGAGGAGCGATGTACGAACAAGGTATGACATGTATGACTGAGGTGACATGTGTGACTGAGGTGTATCATAGGACCCAGGTGTGACATGTGACTGATGTGTGACATGTGGCCAAGGTGTGACATGTGTGACTTAGGTGTGACATGTTGTGACCGAGGTGTGACATGTGACCTAGGTGTGACATGTGTGATCTAAGAATGACATGTTTGACCGAGGTGTGACATGTATGACCCAGGCGTGACATGTGACCGAGGTGTGACATATGACCACGGTGTGACATGTTGGACCGATGTGTGACATGTGACCAAGGTGTGACATGTGACCAAGGTGTGACATGTGACCAAGGTGTGACATGTTGGACCGATGTGTGACATGTGACCAAGGTGTGACATGTGAACACGGTGTGACATGTATGACCGAGGTGTGACATGTGTGACCGAGGTGTGAGATGTGTGACCACGATGTGACATGTGTGACCAAGGTGTGACATGTGTGACCAAGGTGTGACATGTGTGACCAAGGTGTGACCAAGGTGTGACATATATGACCGGGGTGTGACATGTATGACCAAGGTGTGAGATGTGTGACCACGATGTGACATTTGTGACCAAGGTGTGACACGTATGACCGAGGTGTGACATGTGTGATATTTGTGACCAAGGTGTGACATGTGTGACCGAGGTGTGACACGTATGACCGAGGTGTGATATGTGTGACCACGATGTGACATGTGTGACCAAGGTGTGACATATGTGACCGGGTTGTGACATGTATGACCGAGGTGTGACATGTGTGACCGAGGTGTGAGATGTGTGACCAAGGTGTGACATGAGTGACCAAGGTGTGACATGTGTGACATGTGTGACCAAGGTGTGACATGTGTGACCGGGGTGTGACATGTATGACCAAGGTGTGAGATGTGTGACCGAGGTGTGAGATGTGTGACCACGATGTGACATGTGTGACCAAGGTGTGACATGTGTGACCAAGGTGTGACATGAGTGACCAAGGTGTGACATGTGTGACATGTGTGACCAAGGTGTGACATGTGTGACCGGGGTGTGACATGTATGACCAAGGTGTGAGATGTGTGACCACGATGTGACATTTGTGACCAAGGTGTGACATGTGTGACCAAGGTGTGACATGTGTGACCGAGGTGTGACATAAATGACCGAGGTTAGACATGTGTGACCAAGGTTTGACATGTATGACCCAGGTGTGATATGTGTGACCACGATGTGACATGTTTGACCAAGGTGTGACATGTGTGACCGAGGTGTGACATGTATGACCGAGGTGTGAGATGAGACCAAGGTGTGATATGTGTGACTGTGATGTTTCATGTGTGACCGAAGTATGACATGTGACCAAGGTGTGACATGTGTGACCGAGGTGTGACATGAACGACCGAGGTGTGACATGTGTGACCGAGGTGTGACATGTGCGACCAAGGTGTGACATGTGTGACCGAGGTGTGACATGAATGACCAAGGTTTGACATGTATGACCCAGGTGTGATATGTGTTACCACGATGTGACATGTGTGACCAAGGTGTGACATGTGTGACCGAGGTGTGACATGTATGACCGAGGTGTGAGATGAGACCAAGGTGTGATATGTGTGACTGTGATGTGTCATGTGTGACCGAAGTATGGCATGTGACCAAGGTGTGACATGTGTGACCGAGGTGTGACATGAATGAACGAGGTGTGACATGAATGGCCGAGGTGTGACATGTGTGACCAAGGTGTGACATGTGTGACCAAGGTGTGACATGTGTGACCGAAGTATGACATGTGACCAAGGTGTGACACGTATGACCGAGTTGTGACATGTGTGACCGAGGTGTGAGATGTGACCGAGTTGTGATATGTGTGACAGCGATGTAACATGTGTGACCGAGGTGTGACATGTGTAAACATGTTATGCATGTTGGGGTTGACCGACACTGCCCACACTTATTTTTTGTCACATCATCAGTGAGTGAGTGAGTGAGCTATTTATTGGATGCATGTCGATGTTCCAAAATAGAGAAGCACTGCATTGTCTGGTCCAGACACGATTATTTACAGACCGCCATATAGCTTGAATATTGCTGGTATATTGCGAAGTTAAACAACTAACAAACTACAATTACAACTACTACAACTACAACTACTAAAGGTCATTATGTCACTTCCAGGTGCAAACCAGATTTTATCAATAGGATTATCTGTGGGACTTCCATCGGCTGCTGTCGTGGTTGGGATAGTTGCTGGACTGAGGTAAGGTTACAACAGGGGAGGCGAACACGTGTGACGTCATATATACCATGCCATATGGAAACCTTTTTTACAATACAGTCACATGCCACTTGAGTCGCTAAGATGAATTAAAAATAATAATTAGGATCCAAATTGTCATTCCCCAACTCGCTCTTGCCATCATTTTCACTGCATGGAACTGTTTTGTTGTAGCCGGATGTGACTGTATTTGAGACATACGATCAAGAACATTACCGTTTGTAGTGAGTGACTTGGATTTAATATGATATAATAATAACATATCTGCATTACCCACAGCGCGCAAAAAGGCAAAATGTCGATGAAAATTATATGAATATATCACGAAATATCAGTGATGACACTAGGTTTTCGCGAAAAGGGTAGGCAAGTCCTGCCCTACGGGTAGCATCCGCCACTCACAATGTGCATAACAAATTATGTGTTTGATTGTTAACGTCGCTTTGAGCAGGCATATAACGCGTTTGCGTTTGTCTGTGCGCGTGCGTATAGTGACGTCCGCTTTAAGCACTAAGAGTTCCTACGATGTCTGAAGATTTCATATTTGTTTCCCAGTTACAAAGCCTGGAAGAAACATACAGCCAGGAAATGCCAACAAGAGTTTATTGAGATGGTACCCCAAAGACATCCCAATGCTGCTGCAAGTTCCCCTTTGTACGTATACCAAGCTCCCTTGTGACATCTGTGGAAAACATGTAGTGATGCGTATAACGGAGGGTCTGGTTCATGTAGGAGGGAATCCCTAAGTAACGCAGGTGTCAGGTGTGTACAGTTTGCTGAAACCTATGCTACTGACTTACCAAAACTGTTAACAGTGAATCGACGATACGAGCCCTTGATAGGTGCATCCACAAGGTCCAAATTCAACAGCACTGCCAAATGGGGTCATGGTAAAGATTAAAGTTTGTATCTTCTCTTTTAACGTCTTTGATGATTGATTGATAGGTAATGAATGATATAACCAATAGCATGTAAGACTCGACAAGCCACCCTTTTTCAGAATAACATTGCATGTGGTGTATTTGTTGAGATGAGGAATACTTGAATCCAGAGGGAACTGTTAGCACCACTTAACATCTTCTTGGGTCCCGGATGGTTCTCTCGTCTAAGGCACAACAATTCGCTGTGGGAAATTGTTCAGATTCCACATTTGCCCTGATTCCATGTAAGTTTCTAGGTTTTTCAAGACTTTTCCTTTGCTCGTGGGTTTCACCATTGTGGTAAACGTCTAGGACATATATCAGTTGGGGATTTTCCCCCACGTCATGCTGCCACACAGTGATATAACTGAACTACTGTAAAAACGGCGTTAAACCAAACTCACTCACTCTTGCAGGTCCTCGCGTGGAAGAATCTTTAAACAGCCACCAGACGGGCGGTCGTTGAATCCGAGAGGATCACAAGCCATCACAAGCCAATTTCTTCCTGGTCTTTTCTCCCACACGAGCTTCCAGCCAGATCTTTTTAGACGCTCTCAGGATTTACCTCGACAGGACAGTTATATTGACAGCATTAACATATTTGGAACAGAGGAAGTCGATGACAGTGCCACCACTCAAAGACGGCATCTTTTTGGCCAGAGTAGTCGTAAACAAGGTGTTTCGAGGAGCAAGAAGGGCGGAGGTAGTTTCAATGTTACCCAACCAGATAGTGGCTTTATTGAACAATTCTCTTCGCATTGTCAGGAAGACAAGACTTGAGCACTGTATGCTACATACGGAGGCGGTCTGAGATGATGGAAAAGAACTGAAATTGTTCATAATAATAAAATATATATTTTTGATTGTGTGTTTATCAAACTTTCAAATATGGTGGCGTCTCTAGTTTCATAAAAAAATATTGTTACAATTCCGGATTAGCATTCGTCTCCATTAACCTATGTTTGTCGTAAGAGGCGGGAAATTGATCGGGTGGTCGGGCTCGGTGATTTGGTTGATTGGGTGTCATAATATTAATCACTGGTTGTCTAGTCCAGACTTAAATATTTACACACAAATTTCACATAGCTGGACTGTTGCTGAGAACAGTGTTCAACAACAAGCAAGCAAACAAAATAGACCATGTAAAATACAACACCGTTCTACAAAAACGGATAAGTAGCCGTTAGTACTTCAAAGCAGCACTCGTGAACACCAACATCTCAAGTGACGTGATTGAATTCCATATTGACATTCTGAATCACAGACGACTGATGGACACCGATGTATCTCTGACTCTGGGTTGCCCTTACCCTCTCCTATGCTGCGACCAGGGTTCTTCATGATAGTTGGTTCTGTGTGGTCCAATATCGAGGCACTTGCTCTGGTACTCTTTGCAAGAGACTTCCATGTCAGTTTCAAGCTAATCGGGTCTACCTCTCTATTTGTTTCGGCGGATAATTGAAGTTTGCTTAGAAATCTCAATCAAATATCAATTTGTAGACATACGTCAATATTAGTGGTTAAATGCGATACAAGTCTAGACTGTTAGAGAATGTGAAGAAAATAACAGAATACATCCCCATACTTGTGTTCTTTGTGGACTCGTCAATTGATTATCCAGATGTAAAGAATAAAGCATGTATTAAGTTTCCCTCGTCAGATATACCATGCATCATTTGATCGTAATTTTATTACCCACAGGGTTAGAAATATCCGAGGTAATTAAATTCGTACGTTCATTGGTGCAAATATCATGCGCGCGCACCAGTGTAGTGTTTGTTGAGTTCGTCTTGTCTTGTTGTAACATGGAGGAATGACAGTACACTAGAAACGACGTCTTAGCTTAACTAGGTTGACGTTATTCAACAAGTGTGGTTTTCTGAGACGGAGGTTGTGATCAGTGTATTTTAATAAAGGAGAGCTCAAAAGGATTAACAAAATTAATGGGTCATAATGAAATTATAACACTCGCATGTGTGTCATACTGATTTTACGAAACTCGCTCTCGCACAAGTGGTTGTATAGTAATCTCTATGTCAGACCTACGCCGTCTTTAAGATAATTAACATGTTGCTATCTTCGCCGTTAATTATAATATTATAATTCGAATGTGATGAAATTGGCAATCATCATAACAGACCTTGCATTTAACCTCCAGAAAGTCTTGACTTGCCTGCAAACCATAATCGCATTAATCCCTAATGTTTGTCCATCTATTTTTTCTCGGACATAATTTGTGTGAAATTCAATAATGTCCGGCCTACCCGACACCTGCTATGAAAGTACATTGAAACCCCGTAAACTGGAAGTAGTTGTGGTCATATATAGAACGAGTAGTTTCCGGCCAGCAGTGTGTGTAATCCACAGGATTCATAAGGTTCACGGGATCGTAAAGATGAATCGTCTCAAAGGATACATCGAGATAATGATGGTCCAACTAGCAAGGTTTTACTGCGTGTAAGATAATAATTCACAATATATACTTTATATTATATACTGAAGGAAAAAGTAACTGTGCTTCATATGCGGTTAAATAAAGATAAGATTATTCTGAAATTAAATAATGCATGTTTTGATTCATTTTCATGGAGACATCTCCTCGGCTTTATGGTCGTGATTCACAGTTTGCACCTGCATTTTAATGCACGGTGCACAGTTAATATGTTCGTGTGTTTGTTGGGTGCATGACACTCACATGGTTTTTGAACGTGAACAGCTCACAATGATTGTTTAGCTGTCAGGTGCTCATAAAACACTTCTTTTTAACCGTAAATAACGCATACGCAATGCCACGGCCTGCTGAAAATCAACGTAGGTATGGTTTTGAATAAACGATGCCATTTAGAAAGTGGTCAAATGTAACAAATGTTATATTTGGGATAACACTTTCTTAGAAAAGTACAGATTCTCGTACTTTTTTGGGGTTGAGTCCCGTCCGGCAAGTGTGGGTTCGAATCCCGGAGGGGACTCAACCCCAAAAAAGTACGAGAATCTGTACTTTACTAAGAAAGTGTTATCCCAAATATAATATTTGTAGGTATGGTTGGCAAACAGGAAAGGCGCAAAACGAGTTGCCAGACATTTTTTGTTTACATAGAAACACAGTACGATCTCTTTGGAGACGCTCTCTGCATCAGGACAACACTCATGACTTTCTATGAGCGGGACGTCCACGTGAGACGTCACGTCAACAAGACAATCGTATTCGGTTGGTGCATCTACGGAATCGATATCAAACTGCCACATTTACAGCTCGGATAATTCCGAGGGTGAGACTAATTAGTGGTAGAACCGTACGCAACAAATGAAGTGAGCACAATATCCGTCTCGACGTATAGTGAAACGCCCAATTTGCCTTACGCGTCACAGTCAGGTACGCCCAGCTTAGTGTAGACAGCATCTAAGGTTCAGAAGACAGGATTGGGACAGTATACTGTTCACAGATGAACCCAGGTTTCATTTGGAAGGTTCTGGTCTACATGCTTCCAGGAGAAGGTTTAAGGGACGCCTGCGTTACTCAATGTTGTCAGTTTGGAGGTGGAAGTAATGGTATGTGGTGTCTTGGATGAGCTGACGCAAAATATAATCCACAATATATAGTATATAATGCACTATATATAACATATAATACACAATATATTGTATGTAATACACAATATATGGTATATAATACACAATATATAGCATACAGTGCACAATATATAGCCTACAGTGCACAATATATAGCCTACAGTGCACAATATATAGCATATATTACACAAGATATGGTATATAATACACAATATATAGCATACAGTGCACAATATATAGCATATAATGCATAATAGATAGCATATAATATTCAATATATTGTATGTATTACACAATATATAGCATACAATGCACACTATATAGCATATAATGCATAATATATAGCATATAATACTCAATATTTTGCATATAATACACAATATATAGCATACAGTGCACAATATATAGAATATAATGCATAATAGATAGCACATAATACTCAATATATTGTATATAATACACAATATATAGCATACAATGCACAATATATAGCATATAATGCATTACATATAGCATATAATACACAAGATATGGTATACAATACACAATATATAGCATACAGTGCAAAATATATAGTATTCAGTGCATAATATATAGCATATGATACACAATATATTGTATATGATACACAATATATAGCATGCAGTGTACAATATATTTCAAATAATGCCATATATATAGTATATTATGCACCACATATAGCCCGGGGTATTATTAAGCCGATCTTTGTCTGATGATATGCACTACAACTAAATGTATTTTTCAAATTGAAATATACTTTGAGAAATATCTTCTGTTTCCTTGTTTTACAAATTGTCCGAAACTAAGACTTTAAGATACGACATTTACTTCAAATTCGACCTTCCGGGTGCAAGTGAAGTGAGGTGAGGTGAAATTGGGTTTAACGTCGCGTCCAAGATTATTGAACTTATAGGCGACGTGCACGCACGTTTGTGTGTGGCTGTTTGTACTAGTCCGGACTGATGCCGATTTATAGTGCTAGCTCACTGAGATACCAGGCCGCAGTTTAACATGAATACCCCACTCAGACACAGTATACTGACTCCGAGCCGACCAGTCCTTGTTTAAGCCCCTTAATGCCGAGCGCAAGACAGGGTAACAACAAGTACCATCTTTAAACGTCTTTTGGTATTACGCGTCCGGAGAATCCGGGTGCCAGTGCACTTTGAATTTATTGCTCGTGAGTTAGCCATCTGTGCAGGATAAAAACAGGATATCATTCTGTTTGAAGTTATTATCCTAAAATACTTATATGCAGATCGAAAAACCCGAATCAATAGTCTACCCGGAAGTTCACAAGGACAATTTCAAAGTAAGAAAATGTCGATTTTGCATTCAGTCTTTCAGGTCTCCCCATGCAAATGAACCAAGATTCAATTAGCTCTAAAACAAAACAACAGCCACTGAAAGAAGATTTATTTTAAATGATTTTCAAGGTTCTTGTAATGTTCCAGTACCATGTTGAATAACAAATGACAAGCTTTCGTCTGTGACATTTCCAGTTTCACAGTTGTGCCTCGTATGTAGCATAGTTCTCACAACGAAAATCTACACCCTGTCCTTTCCATTTCCTCGTTAGTCAGATTGGGTGAAGTTTCAGATATTACATAGTTTCAAGTCCGCATCAAAGTCCGATGGAGTGATTGTCTTTGCAAATATGAAATAAGTATTCAGTAACGTTGGACATACTGAGTATTCGTCAAATAATATTCTATAATATTCTACATATCATATATTAAAACGTCCCATTTTAATTCTGGAAGCCCATTTTTCCAGAAACTCTCTGTGGTCAGTCTCGGTCAAAGGTATTTACAAAATACAACATGCTGTTCTCATGGGTACATACTAGGAAAAAAAAAATGTTTCGAAAACTCAAAATTTAATATTTTACTCTGCTCAAAGCTCATGTTTTTATTTAAACCGTTAGGTCATTTTGTTACAAAACATATCAATCACATTTTTTCAAACAATTCTAGTTCTTTTAATAAACCAATAATTAAAATGTTAATGAATGCTGACATTTTGAAAAGATCCTTTAAATGCTTGACTGTAATTTTCAAATCACAAGGGATACAGAGCGTAAAATGTTTCACTGATATCACAGCCCGGACGCCCTTGTGTCCTATGAATAACTAAGCGAACACTGTCTTATTATAAGTAATGTGCCATCACATGTAAAAAACCGAAACCCATCTATGTTGCACACGACCGTGTTGACGAAAGTACTTTTTTCCTCTTTGAAATATCTTCCGCATTTCCACAATTTGGACACACATACTTAAGCGTACCGGCTACTTTAGAGGGCGGGGATGTTTGTGAACATGAGTTCACTGTCTCACAATCACCAACATCTTTAGCCCTTTCCTTTGTAGAACATTCAGATATAATTCTCTCATTTCTCTCTAATTCCTCATGTTGACCTTTCTCTTCAGGATCTGAGTCCGGAGATGCTCCATCGAGTAACCTACCCGCTGGCGTGGCGTGCAGTTGAACAATATGTTGTCCACTTTTTCCTACACCCAACGACGTCACTAAACCCTTATTATATTTAAGAAGGTTGTCGTGTGAAACATACTGGCTAGTCGAAAATGTAGGGTTAGGTCTTCCTATGGGCTGCCCCTGGTCCTGTCCACAGAGGTGTCCCTTTCCATCATCAACCATGTGCTCCTTTCTATCTTCTCGGAGCTGACCGTGACCTTTTTTAGTGACGTGACCTTCACCTTTATTTCTAACGTGACCTTGACTATGACCTTCTCCGTTGCCTTCATCTACACCATCAAAGTGGTCACTGGCTATATACGATGCAAATGACGTGAGATACATGTCCGAGGAGGGAAAACTCGGCGGGAGACTACTAGGCGGTGTACAAGTAGGCATTTCATACGCTTCTGTGTAGACGTGATTATCTTCTATGTCAATGTACACGTGCTGGTTCAAAAGAGAAAATTCACCAGTTCCTGACTGAGTATACACTGAGCGCTTATTAATGAAATGTAATTCATTTTCCTCAGATTTAGGCGTCCTCCTCATATTCGCGTACATCATTGAAGCATGAGAGAACAGATTTCTCCACTTTGTTTGCACTATGACCATGCTATCCCGAAGACAGCCACACACCCTGAAACAGTGACAATTTCATTATTCAATGGCACTGTAACGAGTGTTCTTACTTAAACTAAGTAAGATTAAAAGATGAAACAGTTTCTACATTTATTCATTTCTTTATTAGGTGGGGCCCGATTAAGCCTAAGGGCATGGGTGGGTGTGTTTAACGCCAATTCTAACAGTTCTTTGACTGTATTTCAGATATATCACGTCTGTCACAGGAGGTCATCTTAAAAAGACATGCTAGTCGTAAGTGGACAGTAACAGGATCGGGTGGTCAAGCTCGCTGACTTAGCTGATACATGTAATTGTATGCCAGTTGCGTAGATCGATGCTCATGATATCAAGCACTGGATTGTCTGACCAGACTCCATTATTTATGTCATATAGCTGGAATATTGCTGAGTGCGGTGTTAAACAAACCAACAAACAAAAGAGTCACGTACGTTCTACATTTTTGTGAAACCAACGCGCTTGGTGTTGCTGACAACTAAGGAGTATAATCGGACCGATTCTGTAATTGGAATCCAAGGTCAGCAGATCAGTGCACAGACCTTGTTGACGCCGTGACTACTGACCAGCGAACAATATATTTTGTTTGGTAAAATATGAGCACAAATTATTTTTTCATATTTTCTTTTTGAGCCAATGATTGGGTCCGTAGTGCCAAACATGTCCGGGTTTAATGCCAGGGTGGAGTGTCACCGTTCGTGACCAAGTCGTCTAAGACGCCTCAATTTAATGTGCAGAGTTGCGTGCCCTTGTCACGCCAGAAACCAATGATCAGGCGTTCGAATCCCCGTTTGCCCTGATTATGTTTCTAGGTTTGTCAGCACCATACCCGTGCTTGTGGGTATCACCAAAGTGGTAAACGTCTGAGACCTGCATCACTTCGGGCTTTCGTCCCACGTCAAGCTGATATAACTGGAATGCTTTGGCATTAAACGTAGCTCATTCACTCACCCTCTCGTTGGTCCCATGAAACCGAATGCGTAAGTGTATATATGATACACTCGAACATTTAATCTTTCACATTTTTTATTGAAAATTATAATGATATATGTTGACAGTTATAATTGACAACAGCATGTTGATAACGTCTATATATTCAATATAGACACATCATTGACAATTGTATACATGTTGATAACGGATGTATAGATCGGAAGGACTTAACCATGACTTTGATGGTGAAACCTTGATTAAAAAGCTTAGTTGAAAGCAAAATGAGTCGTTCAGTGAAATTTGAATAAAATGTACAATCCCTAAAGTATCTTAGCAATTAAGAAATATAGACACAGTGGTCTGTTATACTACCTTTTCTATCCGCAAATTTGACCAAGATCTTGTCAGTCAGGAAATTCAGCAAAAACATATTTGGGTAACTGAATACAGGAAACTACGTTTATAACGAACACGCTTATAACGAACTGTCAGATATAACGAACCTATATTTTAGTCCCGGCCATTTGTTGTATATATGTTGTGTATATGCTTATAAGGAACTACGATTATTACGAACTTTACGAACTAAAAGTAGTGGCGCTTTGAGTTCGTTATAACCGTGGTTTACTGTATTTGTTCCTTTCGGTCTTAACAAATTGATCACCTTCATTAATAACTGTAGTGCAATTCAGTTTCCGAACCGCTTTCTCGGAAGCACACTTTATAAATCATAAAGTCACACTAACCTCTCCCTGAGAATGTAGATAGCGAGCAGGCAGAGTAGAGGGAGAAGAATCACCAACAGAAATGTCCCTCCATTCATGGCTGAAACGTGAAGATTGACCTCGATTCCTGAACGGTACCTTTCTGCTGTCCAATAATCAGGGTGATCTCCATCTTGGACGCATGGATTTCAAGAGATTGCAGAACACGGACTGGTTTATGTGGTTAGTGTGTCTTCTCACAAACCACAATATCTCATTGCAGTCTTGACATAACACTGCACAGATGAAGCTTAACCTAGGAGTAGTTATTTCACACAGAATTACTTACTTTTAACATGATAAAGCCCCGCTGTTAGTTTGACTTCAGTTATAATGTAATGCTGTGGGCGACAGTGAGAGTGCTTTCTCGTTCCCTGTTCGTTCGTGATAATCACCATTTAAATGCTTAGAACTGTTACTGTTTCGGTTTCCTTGTTTTCCTTGTGTTAATTCAACAGTGGAGAGAGAGAGAGAGAGAGAGAGAGAGAGAGAGAGAGAGAGAGAGAGAGAGAGTGAGAGAGAGAGTGAGAGAAAGAGAGAGAGAGAGAGAGAGAGAGAGAGAGAGAGAGAGAGAGAGAGAGAGTCGTAGTAATTGGGTCCAGTCGTGATGCTGTATAATCAGTTCTAGTAATTGTTCCAGCCATGTTACTACATGAACCAGTCCTAGTAATTGTTCCAGCTGTGATTCTGTATGAACCAGTTCAGTAATTGTTCCAGCTGTGATACTGTATGAACCAGTTCAGTAATTGTTCCAGCTGTGATACTGTATGAACCAGTTCAGTAATTGTTCCAGCTGTGATACTGTATGAACCAGTTCAATAATTGTTCCAGCTGTGATACTGTATGAACCAGTTCAGTAATTGTTCCAGCTGTGATACTGTATGAACCAGTTCAGTAATTGTTCCAGCTGTGATACTGTATGAACCAGTTCAGTAATTGTTCCAGCTGTGATACTATATGAACCAGTTCAGTAATTGTTCCAGCTGTGATACTGTATGAACCAGTTCAATAATTGTTCCAGCTGTGATATTGTATGAACCAGTCCTTGTAATTGGCTCCAACCAGTCATTGTTTGAAACTCACATCTTAATGTACCGACCATTGATAACACAACATATGAAGTAGAAATGTGATTTCTTTAATGCAAACTCAAATATTCGATATTAAGATATATAAATCGGACATTGGACATTATACATATTTATCAGTCGTGCATAAGACGATATTTTTCAATCAGGAGACATACATGGATTAAATATGAACATTGGTCATCATACCAGCCACTTGATTGTCGCGACAACGTATCGGCCGAATGGCTATAGTTAGACATTTGGGTAGCGATTATGTACATGCATCTTAGCTTCTAAAGTAACTTCTTAATTTTTTCAGACACGATGCGCTTTCGGATATATTACATTTTCAAATGTAGAGGAATGAATGAATGAATGAATGAATGAATGAATGAATGAATGAATGAATGAATGAATGATTGAATGTTTCGTGGCCTTCATCAAACGACAATCGACCCTTTACCAGATGTTTACTAATTGTTTTTTGTCTAAATTACTGAGCATGTAACCTGAATACTAGTATCGCTTCTACTAGTCTCAGTCATTTAGTCCCGACTATTCAACCTGACCAATCCAGCTTACTAAAGGAACTTTCCGTATACCAGACACCACTGGTGGACAACCTGTCCTCGAGTGAATCACCAAAATATCCCCACAGGAGGAATACACCGTGGCCCTTCAAGGCCTGAAATGTTTTTTTTTCTACTTTTAATGGCGTTTCACGAACCCCTTTACATTGACATAAAGACACCGGCTTGCGTCGTTAAAAGACCGTTTTCTTGACCCAATGGTGAAAGGTAGTTTTCTTATAGCACTCAGACGAGAGGCAAGCAGTGATGTATCCGGTAACGGCCTCTCTAGGATTTTCCTTTCACTATTTATATTGTATTGACAAGTATCTTGTGGTGTAGCCACACAATTGTGCATAATTGTATATTCGTTATCTGAAGCTGATTCTGTTGTCTGCTCATTCAACCACTGAAGTGAAATCACATCAATGATTCTTGTAAGGTAACCTCTGACAGCCTGGTAATCATCTAACGACGGGTCTGTGTTGACTTCGGCTTCTGACGATGATGTATATACCTGCAATATGTCCCTTGTAGGTCTGTTGAAGTAATCACGAACAGCTTCCTGCACTGCTACATCAACTCCTTGATAAACAGTGCTTTCATCAGTACCTCTAGCATCAGCTGATCTACATGTTCCTATCTCAGCAGTATCACCAGTTCCACTCATGAACTCAAAATTACCCAAGGATCGATAGGCATTTCCAACAAAGGTTACATGCGGTTCTTTTGTTCCTCCATCAATAGATTCAAGTTGTACTTCATTTGTCTCATGACGGACCAAACTGGAACTTCCCCCACCTGCTGCTTGTGGATTATCATGTTCTGGTTCTGAAGACGCAGGCGAAACATCTTGTCCCCTTCGACAACAGGTCACCCGTGGAACCCCATTTTCAATGTTTTGCACAACATATGAAACGGATTCCTGAATGCGATGGTACAAGTCTTCAGGGTGTTGCCCCAGTGTGGAGTCGGGTTGAACTTCATTTGTGATTGCGGTCATGATGTCTTGCATTGCATGGTGTACCGTAGCCGTCAAGTACTGGTTGTTGACTGCTACATCAGTTTCTGTGGCTGACCTGTCAAACAGTCCTGCAGTCGCTTCAGTTTCGCTTCTTTCTTCTTGTGTAGACGTCCGTTCATTGGATTTTGTAGTGGGGCAAAATCTGTAATGGGTTTATTTGTGTACATTATATTAATTGTCAGATCTCCAGATCCATGCTTTTTACTTTGACGATTATGTCCAGAGAAAACTATATTTGATGTGACGAATCACTGAAACGCGGATCGATAATTTTGTATACTACTGACAGTGAAAAATGAATACGATACCTTATTATATGTATTCAATGGGAACAAGGCTGGTTTGTCGAAATATTCATATGTTTTAGTATATTTACCCCATGTACTGATGACTATTTTATGCTGTTTCTACATTATACTAGTACTCATCCTAGATGTGAGCGACTGAGTGACCTTAATGTCGCTTATAATCAGTATTTATCAGTATTTCACGTGTATAACTAACTGTATGCTAGTATATGTTTGATGTGCAAGGAGAGACCGATGCAGATCTTAAAAGTTTACTTTTTTTAAACCCACGAGCACAGATCAGGTGCTGACAAACCTTGAGACATAACCAAGGCGAATGTTGGATTCGAACTTACGACCATAGGTAAATAACAACCCTAAGAGATGCACATAGATTAGATATACATGCAATTGTAGACATGGAGTTTTTGATGCACAGAATGTTACAATATAACTTAAGTCTGTGTTCTACGTTTGCATTGCAGTTGCTCTTACCTCATCCAGACTAGGCACGCACATATTAGGACCATGATTGCCGCTGAAAGGACCAGCATGAGCAGGAAGAAAAGTTCCTCGTCTGAAAATGCTAAACATGCATTTGAATATACTGGACTACATAAATATATCAAGCGAGAAACGGGATCGGGTGCGGTGGGGTAGCCTAGTCGTTAAAGCGTTGGCCAGTCGAACCCGGGTTCGAATCCCTATATGGGTAAAATGTGTTAAGCCCATCTCTGGTGTTCCGCGCCGTGGTATTGCTGGAATAAAGCTAAAAGCTGCGTAGAACCATACTCACTCACTCACCAACGGGGTCGTGTGGTCAGGCTCAGTTAGCAATCGAATATGTCCCAATTGAATAGATCGATGCTCATGATGTCAATAACAGGATTGTCTGGTTCAGACTCGATTTTTGACTGACATCGTCATATAGCTGGGATGCAGCTGGAATATTGCTGTTTGTGCCGTTAACCAACAAAACAAGAAACCTGAAACTCGCAGCATTTTGCTGATGAAATTAAAGTTGGGTTTGTCATTATTTTGGGGAAGAAATAGAAATCCTGCAAACCTTTTAGATAATGTCCACTGTGAATAATGTATATAGGGGGTCAGTTTCATGTTATTTGTCTGTGCTAAATACTGTAGAGTGTCTTTAACCACCAGGCTACTTCTATCCCTTATTCTGAATAGTCAATCCCTAAAATATTATGTAAGGCATCCAAAATATGCATTCACATATTTGAAAATTTGAAAAAACCCAAGCCACGTAAATATGTAAATAAGTTAAAATTTAGAGGATCTATTTTGCACCGGAATATCTAATATTTTTATGATACTCTAATATAGAACTGGTAGATATATACAAAACTGTGACTGACGATGACACACAATGAACCAAATGACAGAGTTACAAAAGTACACACGTATGAAAACTTGTTTTGAGTATTTTTTGTTTCTAGGCATTGGAGACCGTAAATATGACGTCTTCAGTATCAGATGTTCTCGAGGACCAGCAATTCTTAAAGCATAATCTTCATTGTAAGAAGCAGCGGGTTACCCGGGGGTTGAAGGGTTCGGTTTTCAGGCCAAAGACCCGGATTCGTCACAATGTGGTGCACAATACAGGTGCAATATATGAAAACATTCTTGTTGTCCCCGTTATATCTTTTGAATATTTCTAACTGTACACTTATATTGTGTACACAGATACAGTATCATTCTATAATTCTTCATTATCATTTGAGATTTCTTCTACTTTTCATTATAAATAGTTATTCATCAATATCACGCAACAGTGAAAAGATGATGAAAGGTAAAAGAAAAAGAAGTTTTGACGGACAACTTACTTTCAAGGTTCATAGCTAAAAATCCGTTTCGGCTGATTGTTCTCTGGCGTTGAAATATTATATTTAATTCTCAACTGGCTACAAACTTTCTCGTTTCATTTTCCAGTAGGTGGTTTCACATGAATATAAAGCGCGAATATTTTGTTTTAACACTGACAATTTCCGTCCGGAAATGATTCATGTGTCGCTGGCTATCTGATCGATCACACGGCCATGGTAGTATGTTGGCCGACAGTCATTAAGTGAACCCAAAATTTTGTAGTGCTTCAACTTTTTCGTGAATAAAAGATAAATACTTCAAAATAATCATCAGAGATTCCTCTGTCTAAAAATGGAATGTTCCACTGAAAAGTGTTAGGTAATAAACGGAATGTGAAAATAGGTGCTTTCACAGCATGGTCAATTGATTCTTAGCCTGCTCAGTGTTCGCTGCTTCGCGTCTCCTCAACTTCACTGTCATCAGTGTTTCTTTTGTCCATTTGCCGATTATGGTATCATAGTGACACATACATGTAGCTGTACACACTATTCCACCTTTCTTACAGGAATATCTGACACAGGATGAATTGTAACAGCTGACACTCAATAGAACACTAAAGTACTGTCGGAAATGCTAGACAAATGCTTTTCTGGTTTCATTTAATAAATATAGGGCTATGAAAATAGCATATATCAAAGTAACGCAAATTGACCTAATCTAGCCTATCCTAACTGACACTGTGATACCCTTAAAACGAACTTTTACAGGTAAAATGATGATAAACTTAGAAAATATTCGTATGTTGTCATGAATGTATGAAACGGCCTATAACCTGAGGTAATTACCTTACACCTGTCCCGAGGTGATGACCTCACACCGGCCCGTGCATTCTCCCAGGTGAAAATGTTACCCGAGTTGGGGGTGGTCTCAAAATATTGCTGTTATTGTACTTAATTGACAGTCATATAGCTGGAATATTGCTGATTGCGGCGTAAAACAACAAACCAACCAACCAACTTAATTGACATGTGCGTTGATGAGGTAGCAATTTAGGATATGTACTGGATTATATCTGCTTGGATAAATAAATGATGGAATAGTTAAAAGCTATGAAGCTGGATGTGTACTGGAATGTTGCGGTTTTTGAATCAAAAAGTAATTGTTTTTCTATATATGATATCTTGAGGTAGCATCTATCTTCGCTGATGACGTGTATGATTCTGTACTATCACCCAAATGTATGATAACTGGTTCAACAAGGCTGATAGCTAGCAAAGACTGCGTTGATCCTCCCTTTGACATGTGTGAGTTTGAATGTTGTGTAATGTCTTGCCACGAACCCTGTACAATTAGCCAAGATATGCTTAACAGGGTTGAGCTCACAATGTCTGACTGGCGTACGTAAGACAACGTGACCGTGTTGTGCTGCCAACACATATGTCTTGTTCTTTACTGGTTTCTTATTCAGCCGAATTTTCTCCATAAACTTTCGTTTCAGATGGTCTGAAGTCGACAATGTCATATGTTCCTTCATGGTCGCCTTCAGACTACTCATGGTTGGCGCGACTGTATCTTGTTCCCGGTCCCGCCCCCCCCCCCCCCCCCATCACAATCGGAATCTGTCATGCTCACTGCACTGCTGATCACTGATTTGTTCACACTCTCGTTGTGAAACACAAGTTTATAGGCTCTACCAGAAACATCCTTATCTCATTACCTAAGCGGTAGATTATTAGAGATGATAACTTCCGGCATATACACGATCTAGTAGCTTATAACAAAGTCCTATTGTCACTGTTTGAATAGCGTACATATAATGATGTTCATTCAAGCACTTTCTACATGTCATCGTCTAATCTTGAAAATGTATCTTGTTTTACAAATGCTGTCTATTAACTAATGTACAGAAATACAGCTTCCTAATGTCAAATAATACACGTGTTTCAAGTGCCCACACCCTCTCTCATATCTCGCCGTCGCGCATTAATGTGTTATTGATAGTAATGTATATCTAGTGCCAGATAGATTTGGTGAATATATGCATATTTAAAACAAATATTTTTTACTTTCATTGCAAGAAAGGTATTGTTTCATACTTTATACACTAGTCCCTGACTCTGTACGTGTGTATATGTTTTTACCTGTTTATGATATAGCTGTTCCTAATGTTAGACTTGAATAGACTATCTGTCTGTCACAATTACAGGTTAAAACAAGAAAATGTCCCAGCCCACAGCTAACCCTCTACCACTTCTACTCATTTAATTTAATCTTTTAAAATAGTTTTCTTGTCTTAAAATCTGAAACAGATTTACTGTTCCAACTCCATAATGCTCCCCAAAGAAAAAACACATATACCTAATTGATCACATGAAACTGTTACTTGATATGTTCTCTTTAACTACATACTGTAGGATAGAGATCAGAAACGTACGGAAGTTATTCTTCACATTCGGCTTATCGGCATTGCGGTAGTAACTATTGTACATTACCATATACCACATGCTTGGCGCGCCTGGACGAAATCTTTATCACGGCATTCAAAACGCACAAACAAGGAATCGTACAATGTTATCTGCCTGCATTTTATTTTATACAATTTTCCTTACCCGTCCGCATCTTTGGGTCATTTAGTGAAGATTTTCTTTCTCGAGAGCCTTTTGTACACAACGTAATGATATGATATACTGATATTTATTCTAAATTTATCAGAGCTAACTGATGTTGCTAAATGTTACGTTCTGTCCACAACTAAGGAATTTTATAGTAGGTACATTTAATATGTCATTTAAGGTATTAACAAACCAGCCATACGAGGATGGTATCACCTCCGGTGTCACACACTGCGGAAATATGACCTGACTGGGGCTGACAGATAGTGGTACTATTCAGCTACACTATGAGCATGAACAGGCAATATCATACGTCGTTTTCTACACGGTGGGCCCGTGGTCTCAAGTGTCGCATTCCGTTGTGAGTTGCGTCCTTTCGGCATGCTAGGAATATATGGTCGTGGGTTCAAATCCCATATTCTCCCTGATTACGTTTCTAGGTTTGTCCCCACATGGGTACAATGTGTGAAGCCCATTTCTGGTGTTCCACGCCGTGATATTGCTGGGATATTGCTTGAATATTGCGGGAATATTGTTGGAATATTGTTGGGATATCGATGGGATATTGATGGGATATTGATGGAATATAACTGGGATATTGCTGGGATATTATTGGAAAATTCTTGAAATATTGCTTGGATATTGCTGGGTTAGTGCTGGTATATTGCTGGCATTTTGCTGTGATATTGCTGGGATAGTGTTGGGAAAGTGCTGGGATAGTGTTGGGATATTGTTGGGATAATGCATTGATATTGCGTGGATATTGTATGGACTATGACTGTGATATTGCTGGAATATTGTTGGGATATTTCTTGGTAATGCTTGGCTAGTGCTGGAATATTGCTGGGATAGTGCTGGGATGGTGCTGGGATATTGCTGGCACATTGCTGGAATATTGCTGGGATATTGCTGCGATAGTGCTGGGATAGTGCTGTGATATTGCTGTAAAATTGCTGGAAAATTGCTGTGATATTGCTGTGATATTGCCGGAATACTGTTTGGATATTGCTGTGATATTGTTGGGATATTGCTGATATATTGCTGGGATATTGTTGGGAAATTGTTCGGATATTGCTTGGATATTGCTTGGATATTGCTTGAATATCGCTGGGATATTGCTGGGATATTATTGAAATATTGTTGGAATGTTGTTGGGATATTGCTGGGATATTGATTGGATATTGTATGGATATTGCTGTGATATTGCTTGAATATTGTTGGGATAATGCTGTGATATTGCTGAAATATTGCTGTGATATTGCTGTAAAATTGCTGGAATATTTCTGTGATATTGCTGTGATATTGCTGTGATATTGCCGGAATATTGTTGGGATATTGCTGGGATAGTATTGGGATAGTGTTGAGGTATGGTTGGGATATTGCTGTGATATTGCGGGAATATTGTTGGGATATTGCTGGGTAGTGCTGGGATATTGCTGGGATAGTGCTGAAATAGTGCTGGGATAGTGCTGGGATGTTCCTGTGATATTGCTGTGATAGTGCTGTGATATTGCTGTGATAGTGCTAGGATATTGCTGTGATATTGCTGTGATAGTGCTAGTATATTGCTGGCATATTGCTGTGATATTGCTGGGATAGTGTTGGGAAAGTGCTGGGATAGTGTTGGGATATTGTTGGGATAATGCATGGATATTGCGTGGACTATTGCTGTGATATTGCTGGAGTATTGTTGGGATATTTCTGGGTAATGCTTGGATAGTGCTGGGATATTGCTGGGATAGTGCTGGGATGGTGCTGGGATGGTGCTGGGATATTGCTGGCACATTGCTGGAATATTGCTGGGATACTGCTGTGATAGTGCTGTGATAGTGCTGGAATATTTTTGGGATATTGTTGGGATATTGCGAGGATATTGCGAAGAATATTGCTGAGATATTGCTGGAATATTTCTTGGATATTGCTTGTATTTTGCTTGGATATTGTTAGAATATCGCTGGGATACTGCTGGGATATTGTTGGGATATTGCTGGGATATTGTTTGAATGTTGTTGTAATATTGTTGGGATATTGATGGGATATTGTTAGAATATTGCTTGGAAACTGCTAGGATGTTGTTGGGATATTGCTTGGATATTGCCGGGATATTATTGGAATATTGCTGGAATATTGCTGGAATATTGCTGGGATATTGTTGGAATATTTTGCTGGGATATTGCTTGAATATTGCTGTGATAATGCTGGGATATTGCTGTGATATTGCTGGGATATTGCTGGGATAGTGTTGGGAAAGTGCTGGGATAGTGTTTAGATAATGCTGGGAAATTGCTGGGATATTGCTAAATGCGGCCTACACCCATGCTTATTCCTTCTAGGTTTGTCAGCACCATACCTGTGCTCGCGGATCTCATCAAAGTGGTAACTGACTCAAAATTGCATTTATTCGAGGTTTTATATTTTATGATATAAGTGAAATATTGTTCGAAGCGACAATATGCACGCACACTCATTTTTCCTTGTGCAGTTGTGTATCATATGATACGTATACACATGCTAGGGTATATATTTACTCAAGTCATATTCATTTGACGGCGATATGACGTCATTATGTTATGTACATTTGTCCTAGTGTGGACACCAACGCATAACCTTAATGTATTATCAGATCATATTAAGATACGTGTGTATATTACACACGCCTCCGTATATAGAGGACAATCCAATAATCGAAACATTTATTTTTTTACAAATTATTACATACATTGATATGTGTCTTCTATGTATTGTCATACTCTA